AATGGCCAGAATCACATTAAGGAAAAAGAATAACAAGATAAATATTCTGTTCGAATTAGGACCAATACTCGGAAACGCACACTCTCTTAAAGCCCTTTACCAGTTCTTTAAACCGCAATTGACTATGTACCAAAGATACTCCAGTGGTTCAGCGTAACTGAGAGTAACTATCAATTTACAAATTACGACGCTAGTCAAGAAACGCTTCCAGTTAATTCAGCGCCCCTTTTGACTCCTCATGCTTTAAAAAGTACTGATAGGCGCAGTTTAAACATGCATCGTCTTAACAATATATTCAGATTTCATCATCATCATCATCACCGAATATTTGGCTTTTCGAAGGGTTACAAGGCTTAAGCATTGCAGAAATCGCTTACAATAGGATACATACTGTCTCAATAAAAAGTAAAAATTAAAAAAAAATGAGCTGGAAACAAAAAGGTATTGCCTTTATGGTATTATTGAGTCGGGAAACATTATCTTATACAATCGTACTCCTACCGATGATTCTGCGACTCAAGTTAACATCACAGCTGGCCTAAAGTCAAACCAATGATGAAGATGGAAGCAAAAAAAAAGCTTTGATAGCTTAGAGAATACTATTGCGATTTTTTTGGTTGAAACATTTATCAAAACTCAAATGAACACTCAATGAGAAACAAACCTGATACACAGCAAAGTCAATTATACTTCAAGCAGCAATATACTTAAATCGTTCGGCTGTATCGGATAAATTTTCCACATATCCAACGTACATCGAGTTAACATTTTCACTCTCAGCTGTCGATGGCAAACAGTCGATTTACGATTTTTGGAATCTCCAAAATAAAAAGGCTAAATTATTTCTACTAACTGAGGAGATCAATTTTCGGCTAGAGTAATATCCCTTTGGCTCAAATCTTCCCTTGCAAGCTGCTTCGCATTTTGAAACTCGACATCGCCCTAGAGCACGCAATAGAGCAGTTATAGGAGATTTCGTTCGCTTCATCAGCATTTCCCAAAATACTTCTGGCTTGTACATATTGCAGTCACTCAAATATATTTATTAATCCCCTATTTAGACGCGTGTTGCTTTTTCCAACGCGTAGAGTCCACCAGTCTCAATATTGGAAGGACTAGTTTAGATCATAATGCAATATACAAACTTATTTTTGCAACAAAAGCCGGGGTCAACTCAACTCTGAAATCAGGGTTTGACCTATGATCAGTGCATCTCAAAGTAAATCGTAGACTGAGTGGTGTTGCTCAGCTTATATTGGATCATTGAAAGTCAAGGTAGCCCAGATGATTTATTTCGAGCGTCAAATTACCATCCCTGTAACACTTCAAATCTGTCTAACCTAGTATATAGGTTCATCACGCTGGTATGCAGTCAAATTCACTGACCATTTCTACTACTTCAAATCTGTCTAACCTAGTATATAGGTTCATCACGCTGGTATGCAGTTAAATTCACTGACCATTTCTACTAAAGTCAATTATGTCGAATCATAATTTCAATAGGACGAAATTCAATACAATATCTCCAAATACTTATATGTGGCGTTTTCAAAAAGGACTATTTACTCGGCATCTGGATCCTGTAATAACTTTAGTAGGATAGATAAAGGAGACAGCACTTGGCTTACGCAATTATTAATCCAGCTAAAAAATAAGTCACATCCTGGAGGTCCATCTTCGTTCCTTCTACAGGCAAATAGTTCTTTAGCAATCTCACAGTTCAATCCAGACGGATCACTACCATCTGTGGTCATTGCTATGCTGCCTTCCCATTGTCCATGATGCTCTACGTCTACAACGCACCGCGTACACTTGTCGCTGACAGCTTCACTTGTTTCTTTGATTACATCAAACAAAAAGGCGTATGACATCGTATCAGGAGCTACACCACTTACTGGGTATATCTGAAAATGTGATGGTAAGCTCGAGTTTGCATCAGCGAACGCCGTAGCGGCGCGTCCAATAGGTGTATTAGGGATCAAACTAGAAGGTGATGGTAGCAAGGGAAGATACGATAAAGCTATGAAGAGATGTATCGTTAGAGTACTTGCTAGCTCGTATTGTTTGAGCTTGTAACATAGCGTATATATTACCGGTATCAAGCCGGCATGCCATGCTAGATATTTCAATTTCGTATACGATAAGCATTTATCTCCATAGCAGCCTCCTTCGTCATAAAGACATACATCTAAAAAACAGGGTGTTTCGATGCTCGTGCTTCTCAGGAGTTCAAAACCAACAGCGACAATTAACATAATGAGAGCGATAAAGATAATTTTGAGAAAATCAGAAAGCTTAATCATATCGGTATTTATATTAGCACTTAAGTTTCAAATTCAATGTTTGGTATCACCCGGTGATGGTTCCGATGAACGATATTCTTAAGCGAGATTGAGTGCTTTTAATCATTTCCAAGCTGAACATGATTTCTTCGGAGTGCACTTCCTCCAAGTTGAAAGCTCAGCCAAGATTGATAAATTCATCAAGATTCTACCAAACCACTTGGACTGCTTAAGGTGGTCATCTGCCTAGGCTCCTTCAACAAATGAGAATAAATGAACTTATATCAGAAATTGCCAATTACTGGCTACGGAATCCGGTGAATGCCTCAATTTTATACACCCAAGGATGAATTTCGATCTTCCGGAAAGCTACACACTCAAAAATGCGAATTTGCGTGGTTTGAATTGGAAATATGTTGATTTACTCCCTAAAAGTCCACAAAAAGGCACTTTCTTACTTGTGCACGGCTTTCCCGATACATGTGATCATATGATACGAACGCAAGTGGATTCTGACACACTGTCGCAGGGTTCAGCTGGCACACTGTCGCTAAGCAGCTCGTAACGGCTGGATATCGCTGTGTGATTCCATCGCTCGTCGGCTTCTGTGGGACAGTAAGTGATGGTTGTGAATACGGATATACAACACACATCTGACTCGCAATACACCAGGACACTCCTGATGACTTGAAGCGATACACGCGTGTTGAGATGGCTCACGACATGGCAGCCCTACTCGAGCAGCTTGAAATTGAGCAAGTAGTCGCAGTTGGTCATGACTGGGGAAGTATGGCAGTGCAGCGGCTGGCCGCCATATCTCCATCTAAAGTTGAAAAAGTTATACTGTTGAGTGTGCCATACACACCGCCGGCGACAGTTAGATGCACACTGGAGAGCGTTGTGGAAGGAGGATTCCCCGTATTTGGATATCAGCTTCTGTGGAGAGATGACAAAACAATAGCGAGATTAGAAAGCAGCGAGCCTCTCCGTAAGTCCTTCTTCGCCAGTCTTTTCTCTAGGCCTGGCGACAAAAGTGTACGGCCTGTCGGATATAATTGGCAAAAACTCGGGTCGGAAGAGTGGGCTGCCGAAATGCATCCTCACACTACACACGAGTCGTCGCTTCTTGGTGCATTCTATGAATGGCACGTTGCCCAGTTCAGCAGGTTCGGCATGAGGGGTCCTTGCAGTCAGTATAAGGTTTGGGAGTTGAACAGCGAACTAGAAGTGCAGCTCGAGCTGCCACAACGCCTCGAACAACCCATTCTGCAGGTTTTCTTCGGCGGAGAAAGCCTCCTCAGTAATAGACAGAAGAGGATGGCTGTCGAATCTTCTAACGATCAAATCAAGACTGTAATAGTGGAAGATGGGGAGTCTCACTGGTATTTGTTGGAAAAACCAGACACGATCAGCAAGCTTATTTTTGAGTATGTCGATTGCGCAGGGCAGGCTAAGAGTAATTTGTAAATTGTGCGCGCGGAAATGATTCTTTGGAATAAATGAAATACAACAAGGCTTATATGATAATGTAGCTGTAAGTTGAATCAACATTTATAGTGTGAAGTGTAAAATGTAAGGTTATAGGCGAAATACATGACCTAAGACGTCGGAAATAACAAAGAAAGTAAAAGTGCACCGTATATGCAAGGTATGAGTGTGGTTTGTTTTGTCTAAAAGGCATCTCTGGATTTCTTACGTGTATCTTAAAACCTGTATAAATCATTTAATTAATCAATGTATCGTGGCTCATTTAAATTACTATCTGTCAATATCAACAAATTTGGAAAGTCGCTTAAGATAATGCTTCAATACAGCATAGGAAATCAAGGCTATCTCAGGAAGAAGGTTCTAACTCGTGATATCAGATATTGATGAGGCAACCAGATAAGTTAGGCAATAAATATTAAATATACTAAAATCTATACAAAGGTTGATAATGCACCCAGCTTATCACTCAGCAACTTCTCGTTACTGTCTTTCAACATAACCAACCTCCTCTGCACTTCCTGCTCGCTTGCGTTGGCTTCATTTGGTAGTTTGAGTCCTTTTTCACTATTACCGTAACGCAAAACAACTATGGCCACATCTGGATGTGAAGATAGAAGAGAGACCATTAAATCACGCTTCAGAGTTTCGTCCTGTGTGTTCCACAAGGTCAACGCAGAATGATGAAGTGCAATCCAAAACAAAAGCGGCTGCATATCCAACGAAAGCGACCTAGATGAAATAGCCCTTGCATAAGCTTTCACCACATCCTTGTTGTGCTCGATCGGGTAGAGAAGCTTGCCTACAAACCACTTTGGGAAGTCTGTCCATGTCAGCCTAATGCTCTTCAGACAGTTGGCGTGATCGACCCATAAGAGTCTTCTGTAGTCGTCGGCGAGATGCAGCGGAGGAAAGAGCATTGTGGCTGTGTTTGCATCTCCCAACGATATCGACTCGAACAGACCCACGTAATCGGTGAAAAGCTGGTAGAAAGGTACACCAGCCTTGGCTTCCTCCTGCACATCCTCCAACGTTTCCGATTCTTCCTCCAACCCCGACAAAGCTCTGTGCAACACCATTTTTAAGGCTATTTGTACGCGCTGATTTCTAAACACCTCGCCGCCTTCGACTCCCAACTCGAGTAGAAAGATGCGCATAAGTTGGAGCAATAGCGCACTGCTGGACGAAGGCAACACTCTATCCACCATTTCCTGCAGCGTCAAGCCACCCATGACCAAGTCGACCTCGCTATAATTCCAATCTACAGGCAAATTTTTGAGCGCTTCGCTGTCAGCCGATCGTGAAAGCTCATCCAAAGTCATCTTGAGTGCCCATTTGTCGTACAACAGAGTATTCGTATCATGAGGAATAGTAAGAGTTGAGATTTGAGACAGATCCTGACTCTGCACCGACACGCCTGCATATATTCCATCAACAAGCATAAGCTTTGCACTTTCAAGCAGCAGCGGAACTGTTGTCAGCTTTGCAGCTTCAACTTCACGTTCTGGGAAGTACGTTATTGAGGAAATCATTGGTATTGGTGTGTCTTTGAGAACATGTGTGAAAACTGCAATCATGATATTCTCATCACCCTCTCTTAGCACACTAAGTAAGCGCAGTGCTGACCTCAACTTGATGTCGCTGATCTCTGACTGTATTAAATGTCTGCCGACCAGATCCAATCCAGATCTCCAGTAATTATATGTCACTGTGTCAGCCTTCGAAATGTTGACTAGTAGAACATCCTGTAAATCTTCGGATAGTGAATAATTACCGCAATAAGAAATTAACTGAGCAGCTGAATTGACAATGTTAAGTGCCTTTGCGGCTGTTTGGCAATCTTCCTTCATCAGTGTACATGATAAGATCGAATCTGCAGCCACTCGTGATTGGATATCAGCAACATTCCTGACAGATTGGACATCTACATGCTCTTCCAACCAGCCTCTCTTATCCGTGATACCTTTGTTACCTCTCAGCCAGACACTGATATAGGCCCAGATGGTTGACAAAGAGAGCTCATCTTGCACACCACAAAGGCCTGCTAAAGCAAAGTCAATCATACTTTCCACCTGTGTCCATACGATGACATGGTGGGGTGTAGTATGATGAGGATCGATAGCGCAAATGGTCCACATCCTAAGCACGTTGAACAGAGAAGAGACAAAGTTGGTACTATTATTTGAAGAGCTTGTTTCTTTGTTGCTCAACCACTTCGCGCAATCCACACCAATCGTCTCAATTACAGCCACGCCTTGCACAAAGCCATACATGGCCAATGTCTGCATCAGCTTGAGCGTCTCTATGGCCAAAAACCACGAGTCTTTTCGACTGCTGTTGAATGGAAGTATAGTGAGGTAGCGACTGGCGACATCTACGACTTTCTCACTCTTGACTGCGTGAGCATTGGACCGGGATGTTGAGGCAATACATCTCAAAGCAGCAATAGCGAGGGAGTCGGGCTGATCTTCACTTGGCCAAGGCTTTTCGATGAATATACGTACAAACCTTTCTAAAAATAGAGGTGTATTTACGCATTCGCTGGCGGTCTTGATGGAGTGTCTAGACAGTGCATACACGATGCTGGACACTTTTTTCAATTCATTGCTGTCGTCAGATATGACAGCATTGCCCTTGAGTAGATCATTAAGGGTGTCCACCAAGTCTGTCCTGAAAGTGAGGAAGGCGAGGGGCGACGAGAGCAATTCGCGCATTTCTTCAGGCTTAAGGGTGAGTTGTCCAGAGTATACCTTGAGTACGGGTGAAGCGCATTCTGCGTATGTGAAGGTGTCATAAAGCACACGATCTAGTCGCAAATGTTGTAAAAAAATACTTGCTATGCCAGACAAACCAGCAACTACTATGCTTCTGTTGGTGTCATTCATTGCAAATCTAAGTGCAAGAACTGCCTTGCCTAGTTGTACATAGTTCAGCTTCTCAGCAGCGTTTTCTGGATATTCCTGCTTGTACCATTTCAAAAGCACATGAGAGAGCGAACGCAATGCTAGGATGCGTTGTGAGATGTTGATGCTTCCGCATAAAATTAAAAACTCGTCGACAGTGTAACCAGGTGAGCCTTGATCGCGGCCATGATGATGCATTCCTTCTAGATATGCTTGCGTGTCTTGTGGCATTATGTCACCACTAAAGTCAAATCTAAGCGCGTCTTTCTTTGTTTCTGATGATGGTGGTGGGAGGGATGTGAGCCAGGAATGTTGATCTTCATTGTACTCGGCGTCTGGAAAGTACTTTTCGCGAATAAGGCGCTGTGTGGGGTCTTCTTGCCTTTCTTCAGGTGGAGATGTAGTCTGAATCCTGACTGATTTGCGCTGCACTTGCGCTGCACCTTCTTTAAGCTGATTTAGTTTTAGAATGAGATGCTAGTAATAAATGTATCAACCAACCTCATTCTTGTCGTCATGGCCTGGCGTCTGTAATGGCTGCTCGTTGGCGTCGTTATCTTGCACATCTCCAGAGCCGCTCTTCTGCGCTCTCTTGCGCAGAAATTCTACCATCTTTGGTCCCAGCTTCTCTTCGATATCTGCTTGCTCGTGTGAAATCTCCTGTTGTGACATCTTCGATATAACATTTCTGTTCTCGGAGTCTATAGAACTATCTCCCGTCGACGATGCTGCCGTTGTTGCCGTTGCAGTGGCAGAAGTGCTGGGTGCAGCTTCATCGGCTTTCTGCTTGCTCGATTGGAATTTACTCCTGATTTTAGGCGTTGGAAATCCTTTAGTGGGCGCTGTTGGCGGCGCGGGTGCTTTCGCCGTGGACGTGGAGTCCTTTTCAACGATATCGCTAAGCATCGCGGTGATGTCAAGAAACAAAGGAAATTTATAATTTATAATCAAGTACAAATGTATTTTTCCAAGCTGCTATTCACTGTCACTGTCTAACACAACCATCTTCACTTCTTCCTCTTTCTTTTCTTCAGGCGCTGGTCCTTTTGAGACTTGACTTGACGGCGCTTTCTTGAGACTGAGCGACTGTATAAGATTATCCTGCGCATCATCAGCATACTCATCTTGTACACTTAAACACCCACTTTCTGCTTTGAATCGTTATTTGTATCTCTTTGATCACGATGAGCATTTCCAGCTGGATTGAATCCTATCTTGCGAATATGCTGAGAGTTGAACACCACTCTACGCGTATCAGCTGGCTCAGCTTGGCTTGACTTGCTTGTGGCTCTTGATCGCTTTGGTTTTGATACTTACGACATATAAGCAGAAGCCTACAGCTAATGTAAAACTTACGGTCTTTGATAATACCCTCATTCACCTCTCTTTGTCTCTTTCGTTTCAGTCGCTCTTCTTTCTCGCGCCCATAAACACCCGAGGAGTTCTGCTCCGAGTTGTTTGTCGTAATGCCACTAAAGGTATATGTTGGTGTGTAGTTGGTATCATAGGGCTGGTGAAGTCTTAGATTGTGTTCAAAATTATCTAAAATAACTTACATCTTTGAATCCAGCAAATTTTCTATCTGATTCTTCGAAACCTCGCGTAGCTTTGTTCGAGCGAAATCTGTCTTTCTTTGCAGAAGCACCCATACCACCAGTACTAATGAGTAGGTTAGTATATCTTCAACTGAGACACCCTAATCCCACCTTGATGAAAATTCTGGTCTATTGTTTCTCGTCCTTTCTATCCCCGTCTGCATGTGAAATTCACACACCTTTCCTCTTCTCTTGTCTATCCATTTCGGACACCTCTCTCCTCCCTGTTTGAGAGCTTCACAATGACCATAATCCTTACTGTGCCCAATCACACAAATAGAATCAGCATTAACAACAGTCACACCGAGTATATTGCCTCGACCTTGATGTGGTTTCAGTATGTCGGGGTTGAGTAGGGCAATGACTGAGCCCTGCTTCATTTTCCAAAACTTTTCAAATGCACCTCCACTGCCACCACTGTAAAGCATCTCACCATCAGAATCACGTTCGCTCTTCTCTGCAGCGAAAAGGAGTAGTTTCAAATGAGCATTTCCGCTCTGTGAGTGGTTCATATCAATTATACTAAACGAGCAGAAATTCTTGACACTGTGATCCTTCTGAAATTTGTTTTTCTGACGCACTTGATCCTCTACGTTGGTTTCTTGCTTACCTTTGGTCTGCTTGATACCGCTTCCTGTTCCAACTACACCAATAGTCACCCAATCATCTTGTACTGGTACATGGTAGCTTGTTCCACCTGGACTGATCTTGGCAACTGAGTAGACTGCTGAAGGATATATGACGTAGCTCGAAGAAAGAGCTGCTGATAGTTGCGAGTGGGGAATGTATCTCTGGCTGTGTAGAGTTAGGTGACAGTTTGATTGTCACAAACGCACCCACCTCAGACGCGTACTAGAATTTGGTTCCAGTTCCAGACAATCCTCATCAGGTTTTTCTGGATACTTTGAACCATGCTGCAGCTGTTCGATAATCTGAAGCTCCTCATCACGCATATTACTACGATCGGATATTTCCTGTAGGTTCTCTCTCCTGTTCTTGAATGATGTGCTCCTATTAGCACTGTAATCGATATCATCATCACTACTTTGTCCAGATTGACGCGTCTTATTGAGTTTATTGAGATTGTTAAGGAGGCTTGATTGGTGTTTTATTTTCTCTTTCGCCCCCGGTTTGCTATTCTTAGGTGTAGTCGCGGTGTCTGCAACACGCGTCAGTGGAGTGATTCGTAGGGATAATGACTCACAACTCGATCCAAGTGATCTAGAAGTATTTGGTGGCTTATCAATGTTATCTGGCATCTTAGCCTTTGCTTTCTTCTGGGGTGAGTCGGGCACGAGCACATTGGATTTTGAGCTGGGCTGTTCGGGCGACTTATTGCTACTCAATTGAGCTTCCAGCTTGGCAATTTGTGCACGAATTTCGTCATCCTGGTGGTGGCTCATTGGGTTGCTCAAGTCAACGAGGATTGATAAAGAAATCGATGATAAGCTGGCTAATTTTGCTCCTTCTCATTGGATTAGCAGCTTGTAGAGACAGCAAGGACGGCTTTGATGAATTTCTCTCCATAAAACCTCTACAGGATGGAAGAGTAGACACTGCATTCAATTTCACTATCAGCGATCAGGATATTTGTGAGCGTGTAGGCTATGTTATTACAGCGCTTACACATGTTTACAGCACCTCACTCTCACCTTTTCCCGCTTCCACTCGTCAACCTCCTCACTTCACCTGAACTCGATATCGATGAGCTTCATCTGAGTCTGTCAGCGGGTAGATGGGACTATGATAAGTGGCATTATCCTACATTCCCTCAACTGGGCAGCTCCGGTGCAGAAGTCTGGGTGTCACACAAGTCTGACAGGTGCGTCATTGTCTTCTCATTGCGCTGACGCTTTAACACCTCGACAGATCGCAAGAGAAATGGAATCGTGTCGTACACAGGATATCAGGACTATTCTGCGCATCACTTAGCACATCAGATAACACCAATCACTTGCTTCTCGATGATAAGACATGGACATATGCTCAAATATCTTCACAGCTGCCTTGCACAGAGAATCTTACACCTTTTATCGCACTGTTGCCTTGCAAAAGCGCTGCTGGATTGGGTCAATTACTCAACCCTCACAAGATATTCGACGCTGATTATCACAGTCTGGCCTTATCAATGTTCAATCAAGGCAGTGGCGCTCGTTTAGAAATTAAAGTCGAAGCAGTCTTTAATCCTGCTCGAGTTGATCAACAAAGGCGTAAGCATTACGGGTTTGTGACTTGATCATTCTAATCTAATACGCAGAGTACTCAACTAAAGCCATGTTCGATAGAACAGTCAAACAAAAATGTGAGTTGGCGGATAGCAGCATGGTGTACTTTGGTCTTCCACCTCCGCCTGGTGAAGAACTCAATCAAGATGTGTGGGTGGTGCTTCCAGAGGATCATGAAGGAGAGGTCAAAGATGGAACAATAGAGCTGGACTTGATGACAAGTGAGTAGGTAGAAAGTGTTCAAGTACATTCTAACTCCAGTAAAGCATCAAAACAACTCGGATTAGCATTAATTTGGCCATTCCAGGAAACTTTCATATATCGTAAGTCTTAAAAATCTAATCACTTACCACTCAAAATTAACATCCACAAAGCTAGATACACTACCAAACCCCCTATACAGATTCGAAGAGATCAGATAGCAGGTCCAGTAGAGGAGACATTCACGATGAAAATAACTATAGAAAACACTCAGGACGAGGACGCGCAAGTCAGCTACCTGCAATCAATACCCTGGCAAGTCAAACCATGGTTACATACCTTCAGAATATATGGCGATAGTAGTAGTGATTCAACCTCCTTTAAGCACAACCAAGCTAAAGCTGATAAAGAACCGTATTCACTCCAAGTAAACACCACACTTGCACCACATTCAGAAACCATAATCGAGTGTATCTATCAGCGCCAATTTCTCAAGTACACAGATTACGCACCTGACATTCACCGTGGCATCGACATACCACCCGGATTTATACGTTTCGAAGCAGACAACATGACAAAAGTAGCATACACGACACCAATGTTGGTTGATCTAGCAACACCAGACTTTTCAATGCCGTACAACGTGATTATAATAACCAGCACAGTCGTAGCTCTCTTCTTCGGTAGCGTATACAACATACTAGTACGTGACTTCCAATTAATTCCTAAGAAAGAATCAAAATCAGACTGAGGCTTGTATAGTAATAGCAATGAAAATGTATAAAATAGAAATTAAAGATACCTTTTTAATCAACATTGTAATATTGGAAACCAGGTGAATTTGGCTCAGCATTGTCAATAAGCTTCTTAACGTGATCAGGAAGATCCTTGTATTGTTCGCTGGCAGAGCTGTTCTGGCCTTCAACCTCATAAACTTCAAACTTTTCTAGGTTCAAAGTTTTGCGGAAGTAAGCAGCAGCGCTTAAGAGAACCTCACGTTCATTGAATGGCAAAGTTCTGTTGAATGCAGTCTCACCACCGAACTGCAAAGCACGTTTCTTGAGGATTTGAGTAAATGGCATTATCTTCTTATCCTTAATCAAACCCTTTTCAGAAATGATGTTTCTCAGTTTAGCATCATCGAACTTCTTTTCCTTCTCGTCCCAACATGCGCTGGCGTATTCGACACACTCCTCTTGCCAAGCTGGGTAGGACTTTGCGGTGAAGACCTTCAATGCTTTCTTGGCTTTAGCATCGAAAGCTTCTGGTGTTGTTCCCTTGCCGCCCTTCTTACGTCTTGCCAATGCTAACTCCGCATCTCTCATTGTCTTTACTGATGATCTGACGTAGAGGAGACTATCGTAGAGGGTTTGGTCAACTGGTGCAACATCTGGGTAACGCTCGTGCTGAACACTTCCAGGTAATTTGAGGATATTTTGCCAGATGTGTTCCGAAAAGTGAGGAATGATTGGGGTGATGATGAGTGCTTGGAGCTTGATCCATTCAAGAACGAGATCGCCATGCATACCTTCTTCAATGGTGACCTCTCTATACCAGTCTCTAGCTGATTGGAACTCATAGAATCCAGACTTAAGTGCCTCCTTGTAGAAGGTACCTTCGTAGCTCTTGTATGCCTCATGCACGCAGTGGTTCATTTCGTTGACAAATGCACGGTCGTGGAATGAATCAGCTGGACCGCTTCTGTAAGATGACCTGTTTTCAACTACCTCTCTGCACCATTCAGTCAAGGTGTGCAGACGGAGAATAGCGGCATTGGCAGTCTTCTCTTCGAAGTTAGCATCTTCGATACCGTCACCAGCGTCTGCCAATGTGAGTCTTGTAGCATCTGCACCGAACTTTTCAACTGCATCTCTAAGAGTGAGGGTGTTTCCGGTTGACTTTGACATCTTTGCTCCGTTTAACATTAAGTGGCCGTTGGCTCTCATAGATCTTGGCCATTGTTCTTCTGGGAATAAACAAGAGTGGTTGTAGATGGAGAATGAAAGGTGGTTATTGATAAGGCTGTGAATGGTTAAATTTTTCGCGAAGGATGTTAGACAAAAACTCACTCTTTTCCTGAGGAACGAAGGTCCATCGGGTAGAAGTAGCTGAATTCCTTTTGAAGTCTCTTCAGATCTTTCTCTTCAATTGAGGACTTTGGTAATGTCTTACCACCGCCAAAGATGTACTCAAATACTTCATCAGTGAGGTCTTCATGCTTGATTCCCAATTGACCAGGCTTAGTACCCTTTACATCCCCTTGGAGGAGATGAGCGATAGTGTAGTAAGCCATGTAGATGGTTGAGTCAGTGAGAGATTCGACTAGGTACTGCTTATCCCAAGGTAATCTACTACCCAACCCGAATGATCTAGCACAAGCCCATTGGTTCAACCAGCCAAGGGAATACTCGAAGCCTAATCTTGTTTCGTTGAAGTAGGTGTTCATTCTCTTGAGTAACTCCATAGACTGAGCTTTCCATCCATCTTCACCGTAGTCCAAGTACCATTGATCGCAAAGTGCGACGATACATTCATCACCACTTCTACTCATGACCATACCCTCTGGCTCAGAGTAGGCGATAGCGGTACCGTTCTTGATCATCTCATCTCTAACTTTGTTCTTGACTTCTTGGACTGGCTGTCCGGTGAATTCTCCCGTAACCATAACACCTCCGTAGAAACCTTCCTTGTAAGCGATTTCCTTTGCTTCGACGAGGTTTTTAGCATCTTTTGGTGATTGAACCTTAAACTTCTCGCAGAGTGCTTTAGCGGTGAGATCACCGTATGTTGGAGTTTTAAGAACTGGGATGATATCATGAGAAACCCATGCTGGGTCAATACCGTAAAACTCTGCCTTCTTTCTCAACTCCATGTAGTTGGCGTAATCGTCTGGAGAGTCCGATGGAACAGATGTAACAACACCAGTACCCTTAGTTGGCAAAACACTCTCCATAGGAAGCATGAAGATGCGATCGAGAACGGCAAGAGGTGCCTTAAGTGAAGTACCAACAATATCGCTACCTTTGATGGTAGCAATCTTGCGAACTTCACCTTCATAAGCAGTGACACCCTGGAAAGCCATATTACGAATAGCTCTTTCAGTTGTGATAAAGACTTGATCGTCATTCACTGAAAAGACACCGTATTCGATCTTTGGACCGACATAACAGTTGGTCTGACCATACATAGTCTCTGGACGGAGGGTTGCAGCAACAAAGAAAGTCTGCTTGTTAGCGAGAGTGGACTTTATCTCCGGAGAAATCTTTTCCGACCACTCTAAAACTTGCATTTTGATACCGGTGTACTCCTGTGGGCCGACGCCCTCGCCAGAAGATCTGTCGTGGTCCATACATGGTTGACCATCCTTGATAGAGTAGATGGTGTGTCTTTTACCAAACTTGACCTTTTCAAGGGCCTTGAGTTTGTTCATTTGCCATCTAACGAAGGCATCATAGTAAGGGTTGATATCAGTGGTGATGAATGAGCGTCTCCAGTCAATGCGAGTACCAAGAGCAGTACAATCAGCCTGTGCAATTGGAGGGAAGTACTCCAACCAAAATTCTGGATCAGAGAACTTGTAACACTCAGCTCTTGGTACACCGAGAGATTCCATAATTTGGAATTGATATTGGAGACCGGTGTTTTTTGCGGCAACTTTACCCTTTTGAGCCTTATCTTTTCTGTCTGCAGGCTGATCAACGACAGGGCCTGTAGGATCAGTTTCTTCGTCAGTCTGGTCTTTGTAGCCAGAGAGGTCTTTTCCGAAGAGTTGAGTTTCACGAACAATCTTGTCTGCGGCGGCCTGAGGAAGGATAAGTGAGAGAATAGAGGAAATGAAGAGACGGACCTTGATAGGCATACCTGTACAGTGGAAACCTAAGGGAAACAGAGCTCTCTTTCCCTTCATTCTCTCCCAACCGGTCGCAAATTCAACCTTTGAGATGGAAAAAGCGTGTCCCAAGTGGAGACTACCATTCATATATGGATATGGGAAAGTTGAGAGGTACTTTGGGTACTTTGCGTGTAACTCATCGACGCTCATGTCCATCAGCTCATTTGGAGGATCGATTTCAAATACTTTGTTATCATTCCACTGCGATTGGATAGATTTTTCAATTCCTTTGAGATAATCTCTTTTGTCTGTCTGTTTGGGGCAAATAGAGCAAATGAGCCAGAGATTCTGGATTTAGTCGAAAAGCGCACCTTTTCCAATTGAATTGGACCTTGAGTAGTCATTCTACGTAGCCTATTCACTATAAATCGAAGAATTTTACTTTTATTTGTTGGTCGTCAAGTCAATCGCTCGCTGTCTTCTTCACTCCTCGACGATGCCAAAATTATCAAAATTAGAGCGCAAAGCGCAGCCAGAACCTCCAGTGAATCTAGGTTAGTGAGAACTATCATTTCTATAAACATCCCTTCTAACTTGCCTCAGGCGACGTCGACGATGGTTTGGACAACAGGCACGAATTGGAAAAGAAGGTTGCTTCCGTTAAGGCTAGAAATAGCTCAAATGCCTCCCATAAAGGCCTCGGCAGGAAGAAATCTACAAAGCAGCGAACACGCACCTCAAAAGCTGCGGAAAGAGCCGCTGAACACGCCGATAAGCTCAAGAATAAGCGTTCAGACTCCGAAACTCGCAAGCAAAAAAGGGACAACAGCAAAAGTGTCTGGGAATAATTTATTACGTTTAACGTTGTATCATTAGTTGGACTTGATGTTTTGTACATCTTGAATTGCGTCATTTGTATGCACTTGAGTATCACTCGTAGTTACATCGGCTTTCTCCTCCTCTTTTTCATCCGTTTTAGGCTTTTTCGCGATTGGTTCATCACTTTTTTCGCCTTGGATAGGTGCTTTGTCAACGCGATCTGCAGATTGAACCATCCAATCGATACCCCTTCCATACCTCTCTTTGATCCACTCATCAGCTTGCTTGAAGTGTCCAGTGTTAAAGAATCCCCTGGATGCTGACAACGGAGATGGATGCACCGACGACAGTATCAAGTGCTTCTTTTTATCTACCTTGGCACCTTCAAGCATCTTTTTCGCCCAATTACCCCAGCAGAAGAATACGATGCCTTTAGATTTGTGTCTATCGGCTAATACTTGCAGCACTCTGTTGCATATGTCAAGGCGTAATTGTTAATTCACGCTTATACGCACCTAGTGGTGAACTGTTCCCAGCCCTTGTTACCATGTGATCCTGCAGTGTCTTTCCGCACCGTTAGAGTGCTGTTGAGAAGGAGAATACCATTCTCTAGGCAAAGTCTTTCAAGGTTTCCGTGGTTTGGAGGTTGGAAACCCGGATACTCGTTTCTGAGAGAATGTTAGCACGTTCAAGACATAAAAACACGCCTACTTTAATTCTTTGTATATATTCTGAAGCGAAGGCGGCACGCGTCTACATATCGTCAGAAATCAACACGGTCATATCACCAGACTTACACGCCGTGCTTAACTGAGAAAGCCATTCCGTGTGCCTGTCCTGGGCCATGATAAGGGTCCTGGCCACTGTGATGCGTAAGAGAGGATGAGGTGCGGCGAGAGTGAACACACATGATGCAGCATCTAACGTCGTCGATAGGAGAACGTGACCAATTGTAAATAAGTTCTTTTGGTGGATAAATTGTGTACTTTTGCTCCTCTTGCTTCAAAAACTCTTTGAGCTGGATTACGCGTGAACACGGGCGAATCAGAGCAATTACAGACGCACCCTCTTGAATGAAGGGCTATTAAGGTCCTTCTGTAACGCCTGTACCCATCCAGGGCCAAGGAACTTGTACTCCAAAGCCAGTAGATCACTCGGTGGCTTTGTTCTGTCGACCGACTCTTTCTCCTCGGTTTCAAGCTTTCTCTTGATAGGCTGAGGAGCTGGTGGAATATTCTCCGTGTTCTTCTTGAAGAATTGTGAGATACTCGATTGATTTTTATTTGACATTGGCAGTTTCTCTTGAAGGTGTTTGTACCCCACCACCAACACCATGGACAGCAGACTCGACAATAACGACGCTGAGAGCTCAGCACACACGATAGATTCATCTCCACCAGATTCAGAATTCACTGATGAAGAGGCGCAGTTGGGCGATCATCACGACGATTACGGCGAGCAGCAGCGACTCAGTCTCGTCAGCTACCACGACGAAGAGGAGCATCAGGATTTTGTGCAGAATGCCGATAATGTCGATAATGCCGATAACGCCGACGAGACGCTTGCTTCGCCTCTTATTCAGGATTTCAGCTTTAGGAAGAGCTACAAACGGCGCAGAGACCCCTCACGCAGACAAGGCACCCTATCAATACCCTACGCAAGTTTCAATATACTCAATTCTACCCTTGGTCTTGGTTTTCTGGCTCTACCCAGCGCACTTTCAAAGACTGGCCTCCCACTTGGAATAATCCTGATTACCATCATCAGCTTTCTCGCAGCGGGCTCGCATATCGTTCTCGTTAACACTGGCAGATACCTCGGCGTGCGCAAGATCGAGGATGTCGGTGGCGGTGCTCTTAAGCTTGGCACAAGGGGAAAGGGCATAACAAAGTTGATTGTTAGGATCATTGTCGTCATAACGGGTTTTACATTGGTGGTGTCCTATTTGAAGCATATCAGGATACTTCTACACCCACTTGCGCTGGCCTGGTTTTCTAGCTCATCCTTACAATCTTCATTCTCCCTCGCTTTATTACCAGCAGTGATGGCTGCACCGTTTACGCTCACACGATCATTATCTCATGGCACAATCTCGAAAATGTCCATTGTCATCTCACTCACCTATCCTGTTCTACTTGGTTTGGTGGCTAGCAGAACGATGAGGTATTCCGAGCTGAGACTGCTCGATTTCCAGATGTACAAAAAGCTTTTGATTCACCATCTCAATTGGAAAGCACTCAAGAAACATGCTGAACAGCAGGGCATCTGGAGTAGTATTTCCACAATTGCTTTCTCGTTTGCTAGTCAACATCTCACTTTCCCACATCACCGCACAATGCGCAAATCCTCCCAACAAACATTCAACATCACCGTCTTACTAGCCTATTCTTTGATATTCATCTTAGCGTTACCATTTGCGGTCGTGCCTTATGTTGCGTTCGGAGAGTCGACACCAATTAATATTTTCGATGCGCTTCCATCGCCAAACAATGACGGAGGCGTGGATGCTGCTAGAGTGATGGCTGCTTTAGGCATACTGGGTACATTACCATTTGCAGTGTACACCACCAGAGAAGCGATACTAAGATTGTTGCACATTGAAACTGAACAAGAAGAGCCAAACAGACGCACGCAGACTATCACAACTGGTGCCATTTGGATACTTGCTATTGTGTCGGCTAGTATAGGCGATTATACTATCTACCAAACATATATAAATATCGCTAGGCTGACTTGCATAGCTTTGGGATATCTACTTCCTTGTGAGTCGGTTATAACTTGAAAAAAAACCCCTTCTAACGCTTAAAAGCTGTGTTTTTCGTTATACTCTATCACGTCAAACGACCAGCACCAATCGTCGTGAGCTCAAACGATGGATTAGTATCAACAGATGCGTTGCTGGCTAGGAAAGAGCGTCAGCTTCAGAAACGGAGGTCGCTTCTCAGACTTTGGTGGGTGTTATCGTTGATATGCTGTCATAGCTGACAAGTTTTAAAGGCAGGATTTGTTTATTTTCAGTTTATTACCATTCGCGTTCCTTACCACTGCTTATTGCGTATATGCGCTTGTAAATCACATATAATTCTGTACATTTGCTATTCCAGCCTCTTAATCAAACAGCCATGGGCGACTCAGCACAATCAGACGCAGACAGAGTCAGTCGGAGCTTTTTAGGAGAAAGGTTTCTGATGAGCGTGAGCAGATCCGTTTAAGAAGACTGGAAAGGCTGGGAACACCTGCAGGATCACCAGCACCACAGCCAGCGTTAGAGCAGCAGCAGCAACAGTCACAGCCTCAACGCTCACCAGAAAAGAAACCCAAATTCAGTCCAACAATCCCAAATCCCGCACCTTCTCGCGTCTCAGCACAGCAAAGACAGCCACCACAGCCAAAGCCATCGACAAGCTCACCGAAGCCAACTCTCGAGCCAGCGCAGTGTGGAATCGAGGAGTGGGAGAGCAGGGCTATTCAAGCATCTCTCAAAGTCACTATCGATGTAGGCGTCGTTTCACTACCTTTGTCACGCTCACCAGAATCCACAGGTGCAAATAGCAGATGCGACATCCTGGACTGTGAGCTATCTGAAGCCACTGCTGAACGAGTTGCACGACGAGCAGCCGAATCACCCTGCACTTAAATCGAAAAGACTCACTCCAGATCTCATCGACCAGGCTTTGATTGCACGACTCAACCTCGATCCAAACGCTATGATGGATGACGCTGAAATGCTTACTGTTATCGCTAGCTTGCCGGCTAACCAGACAACTTTCGAGTATCTTGTTGGCGCTTGGAGAAGAGCGCGTGGTCAAGCACTCCAATTGTCCAAGATCAATTACAGCCAATCAGACAAAGATAGAGGTATGGCACTCATCAACAAGCTTAAAGACTTACTGCTTAGCTATATCGGCTTGACTATCCAAGATGCAACTATGTTTGTCCAGACTTCAGAAAAACCAAGCGGCGCTGTTGAATTCTTGCAAATTCTCATTCCTGAAGAAACTAGCTCAGATCCATATGGTGATGATCGCGTCGGTAGAGTTGTCTCTCCAGAGCTGCATAAAGTCTCTCCTGTTGATCTACTTTCTGAAATAGTCAGACGCTTCGACGGCGATGGTTTGGAGGATGTCATTGGTCCAGTTATACAACTTACAGCAGCCCAGGCCAAGGGTTTGGATCTTACCGGTATTAAGTGGAGATCAGTTATCACTGCTATCGAAACACTCTTACAGTTCAAACCTATTGCAGCAATCTTCACAACCCTTCCTTCATTTATACCTAGTCCTGCCAATGCTAAGACTATCGAAAGTGAATCATTACTAGGTCCAATGATCAGTTTATCTACTTTCTCAACCTCTGCACCTAATATTGCAAAGCTTTACTTCTCAGATGCTTCATTGGAGCGTGAATATCAATCACCAATCACGCAAAACACCCTCAGATCTACTCTCGAATCACTCCAGAGCAGCTTATTTGGTATTTTCAATGTTTTGGTCAGAGCTTCTCCACAGTCTAGAGAGAAGGTGTTAGATTTCTTCGCCACGGCTGCAAATGTCAACTCCCATCGTGGCGCTATGCGTGTCGATCCAAAGCGCGCTTCTGGTGATGGATTTGTATTCAATTGTCAAGTTATACTTTCTAGATTTGCTGACCCTTTCATGGACGCTACGTTCTCAAAGGTGGGCTCAGTTGTCGATTCATTCAAAATACTAATAATCTTAATCAGATAGACAAGATTGATCCAAAGTACTTCTGTCATTCAAAGCGTCTGGATATCTCAGATGAAACAAAGATAAAAGCTGACAAAAGTGAATCTGATGCCTACTACAACGAAAACTCTAAAGAAGGTGAGACAATCATTTCCGTTTGTGCGAGTTAGCTAACACACTCAAGACAAACCTGTCAACTTTATTAGCGAAATTTTCTACTTGTGTCTTGCATTCCATTACCTCGGCTATCACTGTGCGCAGCGTCAATCAGGCAGTCTTAAAAAGCACATTGATATGGTTGAGCCTCAGCTCAAATCTCAGAGAGAGCAACTTTTGAATGACCCTCGCTTTGCTCCAGGTACACCGGGTAGAATGTTTGCAGAGAAGCAGCTCGAGAAACAAGAAGTTTTACTCAAGGAACGCAAAGCTGCTGTTGCTTCTTCATGGATTCAACTAGATGATCCTTCTTCGATGTACAGAATCTTGGGATTCTACTCGTTCGCGACTACTTGGATTGTGAGATTCGTAGATCCATCCCATCAACATCCTCAAAAGCTCATCAGCTTACCACTACCCGAAGAAATTCCAATCGAGTTCAAGATGTTGCCCGAATACATCTTAGAATCTACAGTCGATTTCTTCATTCAATTGACAAGGCATCAGCCACATCTTCTTGAAAGCTCAGGTAAAGAAGAATTGATGAATTTCTTGGTCACCTTTGTCTGTACTCCAAAGTATATTGGAAATCCATACAGTCGCAACAAGATAGTTGAAATCATGTGGAATGGTACTCACCCATATGGGTACTCAAGAAGCGGTGTATTGAGTGACAGCATCAACTACCATAAACTCTCATTAGAGCATTTGATGCCATCACTCATGTCATTCTATATTGATGTCGAACGCACAGGTGTCTCTAGTCAATTTTACGACAGATTAAATGTTCGCTACAACATCGCCAGACTTCTTAAAGTGATTTGGAACAATCCAACACATCGTGACAAACTCAAACAAGATACAATGAATAGCGAAAAGTTTGTCAGATTTACTAATTTGGTTATGAACGACTCAACGTATTTATTGGATGAAGCTTTGGGTAAGTTGGCATCAGTAAGACACTATGAAGATGAAATTGCGTCACCTGGATTCTCGAACAAGCCTGATAATGAGAGAGAGGAGATGGTACAATCGTTGCAAGAGTCAGGTAGAGCTGCCGGTAGCTATATTGCTTTGGGTGGAGAATCAGTCAGATTACTCAAGTCTTTCACATCAGAAGCCAAAGCTGCCTTCATGGCACCAGAGATTGTTGACAGATTGGCAGCAATGCTTTGCTACAACCTCGATGCATTAGCTGGTCCACGCTGTCAAGAGTTGAAAGTAAATAATCCCGAAAAGTATGGATGGAGACCTAGACAACTTCTCAATGATATTATTGACATATTTATTAATCTACACGATTGCAAGGAGTTCGTTGAGGGTGTTGCAAAGGATGGCAGAAGTTACTCAAAGGCACTGTTTGAACGTGCAGCCGGCATTCTCAGGCGCAAAGCTATTAAGACTGATCAAGAGGTAGACCTAATGGCTCGATTTGTCAGTCACGTTGAGCAAGTCAGAGCTGAGATGATGGAAGAGGATGAGGCTGATATTCCAGAAGAATATCAAGGTAAGTCTGAATTAAATAATCGACTTAAATAACACATATCTTAGACATGATTATGGCGACACTTATGCGCGATCCAGTCATCTTGCCTGGCTCAAACGCTGTACTGGACAGATCAACAATCAAGAGTCATTTACTTTCTGACAGTACAGATCCATTCAACAGATCGCCACTAACAATAGATCAAGTAGAGCCACACACCCAACTCAAAGCAGAAATAGACGACTGGGTGGCCAAACGCAGACAGGCTAAATTAGATGAGATGACAAAAGCTACAAATGCCAATGATGTATTACCACCACAGAATTGAATGATGATAAATGAAATTTCTACATTCCAAGCATTTTAGTTAGTGAAAATTATCACATGCCACCTAGCCATAAGGAAGGTATTCAAATGAAAGAATCTAGTTAGTGTGATCTCATCTTTGACGATGGAGTATTCATACCCTTGTCTTAACTAGTTTTAGCACGCGTTTGAGTTTAGCAGTCTTTAAAGATGTTCAAATAAGCCATCTTCAAACCTCATCTTCATCTTCACGCTCATTCAATCTTTAATCTAAGCCTTCTCTTTAGACTATCATCCAAAGACTTTCTTATAAGTTCATTTGTCAAGTCACTCGTTACAGCAAAGACAAGTAAATAGTGAAGCGATTCGTATCTCTTTATAACGTAAAATAAAAGCGATGTCCAACAAATTAATGAAGAAGCAAGTGAGTTTCAATGTTGAGTGTTGGCTTGATTATGTCTGACTATCATAGGTTGCCGGCACCGCTGGATCAGCAGTCGGCACTACAGCAGGTGGAGGAGGTAGTGGCTCATACAATGATGGATCCTACCACGGTGTTGGTGCACAAAGCGGCCCAGCTGCAGGTGCTGGCACAGGCGCTTCGACGGGCTCAACAACTGGTGCTCAATCTGGAGCAGCTGGCATCGGTCCAGGTCCAGCTGCAGGTGGAACCACAGGCAAGGCTACAGGAGGTACCACAGGATCAACAACTAGCGGATCATCAGGATCATCAAGCGATACTGACACAACTAGCTCTTCCAGTAGCTCAGATACGGATGATCCAGCAGATTCATCAAAGGCCCCTGTTACAGCCGGTAGCACCAACTCTGGCGTCAAGCAGCCAGCTGACGATCCACCTGCCAATGAGGATGAAACACCAGACAATGAGATCACGATACCAGACGATGATAAACCAACTGAAAGTGAAAAAGACGCATCCGAGTCTATCACTAACTCAATCGTCCACTCTATGTCCTCTTCATCACAGTCAGCTTCTCCAACAGCAACACCGTCCATGTCTGCATCGGAGGAGGAAAAAGACGAAGATGACAACAAGGGTTTAAAGATCGCTTTGCCTATCATCCTTGGTCTATTGTTTATTCTGTTCTTGATCTGGGTTGGTAAGCGTGTCGTCAAGAAGAAGTTTGCTGGTAAAAAGAACAAGCCAACAAACATCGACTTCAATGATGCCGCTAAAAGTCAAGAAACACTTGATGAGGTGAGTTTCTATTTTGTTGATAATTGTCTTACTAATCTATGTTTCGCAGAAATCACCATTGCCTCCACCAGGATTTGCAGGCGCTGGTGCACCATTGTTAGACCGTAGGGGAAGCACTCATTCATCATACAATGGTGCTCCTCCATTGATGCATGCCAACTCAACAGGCAGCCACGGCGATTACTTGAGTGCATACAACCCTAACATGTCAACATACAGCTTTAACAACCTTGGTGGACAAAGACGTCAGGCATCGCCAGTTCCTCCATATGGTCAACACCCACACAATGGAATGTCGAGATCAATGTCAACTAACTCATACCAAAACGGTCCACCACCACCACAACCACAAAGACCTGGTCCACCACAGTCTAACCCATCAGCACCACATTTGCCTGCACTAGCTATACCTGATCCGGAATTGATTCCACTCCCAAGTCCACCACCAAGCGTTTACTCAATGAACCAAATACCAAGCTCACCTCCAAGACCTGACCAGCAACAACAGTTCAGAGACCCATTCAGAGATCCACCACATAGACAGCAAACAAACAGATCATCCATTGTACCACCCTTACACATCAGACCACCGGGCGCAGTCAGAGCTAGGGTATCATTCAAGCCTACTGCCGGTGATGAGCTCTCCATACAGAAGGGAGAGGATGTACAGGTCATCAAGAGATTCTCTGATGGATGGGCTGAAGTTAAGGCATTGGCTAGTGGCAGAACGGGAGTAATTCCGTTACAGATTCTGGATGACCAGCCTACTACGCCAATGAGCTACGGACCTCAATCATCCAACAGCTCCCCAAGTAACTATCAAGCGCCTTCTCAGTCCATGTCTCAGCCTCAAGGCTTCCCATCTGCACCGCCATCCAACTTTCAATGAGCTAAATTCTTTTTGACTTGTTATTCTAATAAATTAATTATATTATAAATAATTACATGTTTCACTAGCGCGAGTTTTCTGAGACCGAATGTAGAATTTATCTACTTATACAACAATAAGATAAATGAAAAAGCATTTGAAAAGCTTCCTTGATGTAAATAATTTGAAGTGGATATCTGATATTACTAGTATCTGCGCCTATAATATTTCTGCCTCTTTGTCGGAGAATAAGTAATCAAAGTAGGCTCTATTCTCATCAACGTTGATGTCTGCGTCCTCGAAGTTGGCATCATTAATATCAGGATCTCTATTTAGTTTGTTTACTGGTGAGTCGAATCTTGGCATGATTTTGTTAGATTTGCTAGTGACACCACGTGGTTGTAAAGTAGAGTTCTGTGATTGCCACAAATAGTTGAGTGATTCGACGCCTTAGCTTTCTCACCGACTCCGTTGTCAATGTCGTAGAACTGACCAAAATATCTTCCAGCTTGAGTAGTGACACCAACAATAGATACTGAGACATCTGCATGATCTTCAAGCCATACTCCTAGCTTGTCTCGGAGAAACTCAGACACGTAAGAGCTGAACGTAATTTGAGAGGGGAACTCAACAACGTAAATCGTCGACTGGGTAAGATTTGGACATCCTCTGATCATTATTGATGGCTATTCACCTTCGTTTTCCATAAACATTACTCTAAGAATACCAAAAGAAAGCACAGTAATGTTCTCTCGATTGAAGGGAAACCCCTCACCAAATTATTTTCGCTGTTTAAGTAAGTAAGCTTATTGATGTTTAAGTTCATGATTGATGAAGTGATTTCCTCAATTTGGTCCAGGCGCCGTCGTTCGTGATGTTTTTTACGTAGTCGGTGTAGAGATACTGCTAATTGATTTCATTTCATACAGCTTGTAATTAGTGTTTGCCACATTTTTGAGAAATTCAAAAATTGCAGCCGCATCCTCCTTTTCGATCAAGCACTTTAAGCGTCTCAGTTTGAAGTGGGGTCTGATGACGACATTACTATATCTTTGAGGTACATCGAACCTGACAAGCTCGGAACATAAGCGAGATAAAGCAGACAAGGAGCTCTTATCGAGGAAATCCATGATCATCAGCTTGATTTCATTGGGTAACGCCAAATATTTGAATCCTTCGATGGACCACTTCTGCTTGCGCCTTCCTCTATTTGAATCGCTTTTAGCCTTCGTTGGTTTTGCTTTGCTAGTTGCCTTCTTCTATGGTAGCATGGAGGTGGTGACTGCCTACAAACAAAGAGCGAGGGCTCATCGATTGGGTGGAAGATATGAAAATCAGAGTGTAGGAGCATTTGAGTAAATATTTTTAAAAACCGAATTGCTGCTATCGTAAAATTGCCGAATCTTACTTCTTTGAGTCTTTGCCCACTTATCTAAATGCAACCAGTAAAGAAGAATCCATCTGTACAAAATTCCTATAGCATTGGTTTGAAATGTTGTTGAGTATACGCCTATCTTGTCCACTTGCTCTCCTAAATTTTTCTTTCAGGGTCCGCTCATCGGCTTACCAATTTATTTGGTCCTAGGCCGAGATCGACGATAATTGACAAGAGAGACCATAAGAACTCACACAAATGCTTCGGGGACTACTTGGAGCTGCTTTCAGCGACATATCGACAGCTAATAACATCACAGAGATCCCTTTTGCAAGGAAATATACTTGTCTGACATCTTTGTTCCAAAATCTAAGATTAGACTCCCACCTCCCTTTCGAAAAGCTCAATGTTGAAATATATTTCTATTTTCGCAGGATCGACAATGTGTTTTCCAAACTGCTCAGATTTAAGACATTGAAAGCTAAAATTTCTAACGAAAGGGACTTGGAATAATTGCATGAGCATGTATAGTTCAAATACGTGGTACTAATCATCACTCAGTATTGAATATTCGACTTCATGGGTGAACTGCTTGGTGGATTATTTTCAAACGCGTCAAACATCCTCGTTGTGGTCTTACAACACAAGATATGCCCACTATCATTGAATGTGATATACACAGTAACAACAGCAGCAAAATGCGATTACTCGTTGTTCGGCGTCCATGCCATTGCTTCAAAGTGTGAGATTGCGCATCTAATTTACCACTTAGACACTTAAAAATGTTCTACAATGATGGCACATCCAATAAAAAAAAACTGACAAATACAGACTCCTCAGTTATGAGATCTTCATAATAAGCATTAAACCTTGAACACAATCCTATGTTGAGTCAGATTGTGTATTCCGTTCCAAGGATTTCCGGAAATTAGAAAAGCAACAATGCCGCACCCAATATCACTAATTACGTTTGTACAACTCTTACAATTTGAAAAAATACATAATCTCTATCTTACAATGGCAGCACGTCATTCGCATTGACATGACGAAGCGGATCATCCTCATCGAGTTTGACCAGCCTCTGCGCTTCAATATCTTCAGCTGTGACTTTACCACCGTCGACTTTGGCTGCTTCTTCCTCTAATTCGACTCTGCTTAGTTTGTTCTCCTTTCTTCTTCGCTCACGATCGACTGCTATCTTGAGTTTATCGTTATCCAAATCACCCAGTGCTTGTGGGTCTTTTGTAAATCCGTACTTATTGCCATCTCGCTCTGCCCTGCCCTTCAAATCAGCAGTACCAGCAGCAATCTTGTCTTTGTGCTGATCTGCGAGTGATTTCTGCGGTTTAGATGCTTCCTCAATCTCGTGTCTGGAGAAGGTCGTCTTGGCAGCCTCTTTGCCTGCTTCGCCCTGGCAGTATGATGTGTATATCGTTGAGTGACAGCACTTGTATCCCCAAGATTTACTTTGCACACTAAACCACGAACCGAACACTGAGCTGTGATTTCCAGGGAAGACTATAATTGGTTAGAGAGATATCATAGTAAAACATTTTAACGCACCATCCTCCTCGTATTTAGATTTGGCAACAGCCCTCTCCTTTCCTTTAAGTAGCTGACCAGATCTCGAATACTCAACATACTCATCGGTCTGACCCAAGCGAATCTCTCTCGGTATATTAGACGCACTGAGGTACTCTTCACCTCCGTATCTGTTGAGCATGCTATTTTTGTGCGTATCCTTGATTTCTTCTTTCTTCACCTTGAATGCACCATGAGCCATTTCAGTGGCTGTTGGATTGGCTTGAACGTGCATATCATGTCCACGGCTTGCAGACTGCCATGCAAAGAGTTGTGTGTTTTGTATACCGGCAGCATCACCACTATCTCTGACGTAATTTTCACCAGCGAACGCACTATCTTCAGGCTTAACGTCGGAATGAGGAGCCTCTCTCATAGATCTAGTTTTTGGATCATAATGTGCCGATTCGATATCTAAATTCATCAGGTATTTCGCTGTATCTTCTCTTATACGCAGATTTCTAACCGTGATCCGGTTATTAGCGTCGACGTTCTGACCGACAGCGTCAGCATTATCAGCGTATTTATCCTCATCATCTTCGTCTTCATCTGAGCTACCGAACTCATCCTTGATCTTCTGCTTGCCTGCGTCAACGACTTTTTTGGCCGCGGAAATGCTATTCTGCTTATCAAGCTCATCTTCTTGAATACGTCGCCGTTCATCCTCAACGGCGGCATATTCTTCAACGACTCTTTTATGTGAAGATGGATCATAGCCGTTCCATCTATCTCTTTTAGCGTCGAAATCGGTGGCAATGTCATGTACGACATCATCCGCTTGAGTGACGCTGTTAGTTTTATTAGCACCACGTTTCCGGGGCCTCTCAACGCAATCCTTCTTAGAGTGACCCATTGCACCGCAATTCTCACAAGCGCCTTTCCTAAAACGCTGGGCTTTGTAGCCTTTGGCAGAACGATCGTACCACTTGTTAAGTTTATCGGCAGAGCTGTCGTACTCTCTATTGAGACGCTGGTGACCAAGACCAGGCTTGCCCGTGTCCATGTACCAAGGAGCTTGTGATATGTATTGTGGGATGTGAGGATTGATTGGTTTTCCATCCTCGTCGAGCTCTGCGGGAGCTGTGCCTGCTTTGCGTGCCTCTTCGAGCTCACGCTTCTTTCTAAGCTCCTCACGCGCGGACATTGCAGTTGTTGGTGGTTAAAGGCAAACGATGAAGCTGCTGAAAAAGTACATAGAAAGGGACAAGTCTGTGAGTAATTACTGTATTGTGATTGGTTTATTTAAATAGCTCATCTTATTAGGGCTGGGTAACGCTCCTCCCTGAAGAAGTACGCCTGATATCCAGTCTACGCAGAATTCTGATATGACGCAGGACGAAGACCTTTGGCATTGCTACAATCTTATTGGACCCGGCGACCAAGTCAGGGCTGGTGCGATAAGGTGTGTACTGTTGTGACTCCCACTGCCACCGACTCTCATTCTCACTCAACTTAGACGTGTAGTGAATACATCGTCCACCGGCTCTACGGATTCCCAGCGCGTTAAACTCACGCTGACTATCGAGGTCGAGAAAACGTTCTTTAGTCCTTCTGCAACGTCCACCACGGAATCCACCCCAGGCACATCCAACCAACCACCACAGAATGCTCAGCTTCAGTTGTCTGGACGCGTTACAAGTGAGAATCCACACGTTAAGCTCGGTGCTTTCCATACGCTTGATTTGGAGTCGATGAGGGACTTCAAACTCGGCAAGGGGCCGGATGGTTGGGATAGTATCAATCTACAGCGAGTTGAGGAGGCTAGTGCGGAAGGTGCTGGCGCAGAAGTTGCTGCTGTACTCGTTGGAGAAGGTGGGTGTCTTTTCTCCCACTTTTAGTTGCCAACGCCAAGTGAAACAGGCAACGCTGCCATTTGTTTGCTCACCAATCATATGACGGTGGTTAAGCAGCGTATTGATGCACAGATTCCACGTAAACGAAAAGGCATGTCTTCAGCCCATGAGAAGGTTTGTCCTCTTTTCTTGTCTTTCATCCCATATCTCAACAAATCAAGGCAACGGAAAAATTTCATGAACAGCTCGCAGCTGCATTCAGTAAACATATCCTTCCTCTCAGTACAAACCTTCGCGTTATTTTATTCGCAGGTGCTTCATTTGCCAGAGACTCCTTCGTCAAAACTCTCCTAGACAATGCACAACACAATGGCGACAAGAGCATTCTGACACTTCGACCCAAGTTTTTAAAAGTTAACACTGGCTCAGCGAATGTACATGCTCTAAACGAGGCTCTTAAAAGTCCTGAAGTTGCAAACCAGCTGAAAGATACTAAATTTGCACGTGAGGGTATGATGCTTGATAAGTAGGTCAGTGTTAATTTGATGGGCCACTCCTAATCATAAATTAAGGTTCAATAAGATGCTAATCACTGATGAGAACCGCGCTTGGTATGGCCCTGACCACGTCCAGAAAGCTATAGACAGAGGTGCAGTGGGCACACTTCTAATCTCTGACTCACTCTTCAGGTGGGTGTGCGTTACTGCTCTCATAACTTTTTAACCTCAACAGATCACAAAACGTTGCTGAAAGGAAGCGCTTCGTTAGGATGGTTGAAGATGTTAGGGGTTTAGGTGGTACTGAGGTGTTAATTTTTAGTGCAATGCACGAATCAGGACATAGTGAGTGTTTTTTCCAGTGCTTTTTTTTTGCTAACGGATTGTCAAGAACTTGATCTCTTGTCGGGTATTGCTGCACTGTTGACTTACCCACTCGACATAGAAATGGTGGAATTAGAAGAAGAAAACGAGAAAGCTGAAGATAAGCAACACTAGTTACTATAAAGCGCTTTTCTATATTTTAAGATGTACGATGGACTCTAATTAGTAGTACAAATAAAGTATGCAAACAAAAGTACATTGCATTGAGTTTACGAAGAGCTTTATGTAATACAACCAAATTAAATTTGAGAAAGAGGAAGAGAAGATATTTTACTGCTATTGTGCCAGCTTAAGCTTGTTGAGTTTGTTGGAGTGGAGAAGGAGCAGCTTGGATTTTGTTTTCGTAGGTGTCTTCGACATTCTCATAAGGTCTCATTGGTTGAAGGCCCCACTTTTCAAACAGCTCAGCGTCCTGATCTTTCTCGACACCGTCTGTAGTAAGCATGTAGCCTGAGAAGATGGCATTAGCACCTGACATGAAACACATTGCTTGTTCAGCATCAGTAAACATCTTTCTTCCTGCTGCTATTCTGACAATTGACTTTGGCATGACGATTCTAGCTGTTGCGATCGTTCTGACGACCTCCTCAACTGCAACCGGGGTGTTGTTTTCCAATGGTGTGCCCTTTATTGGAACGAGTGCGTTGACAGGGAAAGACTCTGGATGTTCAGGGAGACGGGAGAGTTCCCAGATCAAACCAACCCTGTCATCTTGCTGCTCACCAAGACCGAGAATACCACCTGAGCAGACGCTGATTCCTGCGTCTCTGACATTTGAGATAGTGCTCAACCTGTCATCGTATGAACGAGATGTGATGACCTGGAATTTTATTAGATAAAGCAACGTAAACGCGCAAGCCACTAACCTCCGGGTAGTATTCTCTTGAAGTGTCTAAGTTATGGTTGTATGCAGTGAGGCCGGCATCTTTCAAAGCTATAGCTTGCTCAGACGAGAGCATACCAAGCGTGGTGCAGACTTCCATACCCATACCCTTGATCTCCCTAACCATGGCCAAGATTCTATCGAAACCACGCTTGCGACCGCCTACATCTCTCCAAGCTGCGCCCATACAGAAACGGGTAGAACCCGCATTTTTAGCGCGCTTAGCTTCTTGAATGACAGGATCTAAAGCGAGTAGCTTTCCAGCCTCAGTGCCAGTACTGTATCTGCTAGACTGAGAGCAATAGCTACAGTCTTCTGAACAACCGCCAGTTTTGATGTTCATAAGAGTGCACAGCTGAACCTTTCCAGGCTCGTGGTACATGCGGTGTACGCTGGCTGCTCTGTAAACCAATTCGAGGAGAGGCTGTTGGTATATAGCCTGGATATCATTCCTATTCCAGTCATTGCGTATATCACCATCCTTGTGCTCCTTCGAGCTATTTACTGGTCCGTTGGGGGTAAATGGATGGGGATTGAGTTGAGTTGCAAGGCTTCTCGACTGAACTAGTATTTTAAATTGCTGGCGTGGCTTGAATAGGTGCTTGTTGATCATTTTCTTTTCTTTCTTTTCTCGGTGATGGCCGTCTAGCGTCAACGATAAGCCATCGCAACTTTCCGGCACACTCAAAATCCGATCGAAGGACTTTTAGGGACAGCGGCTTTTTCGGAATCAACTGGACTATTAAACATTAGATATCGGATATATTCAACATGCCTCACTTATACAGACACTTGCGAGTTAATCAGATATTTGGTGCGTGCCAGTGAGCAGACTGAAAGTGCAGCAACTCACAGCCATCCACGCAGGCGCTAACACCGACGTTGGCAAGACTCTCATCACAACTGCTCTTGTCTTGGCAGAATCGCAGCGAACGAAGAACAACATCTTCTATTTGAAGTAAGTTGCTATTTGCTGGAGTTTGGCACATTCTCATTCTCCCAAACAGACCTGTCAGTACTGGTCCTGCTGCTGATCAAGACGACGCGTGGGTACTTTCCATTTCGGCGGAGTGTTTGTTGACTCCCGCTCAGTTTTCTCCAGCGCTTCTCTAATAACGACAGAATACACAACCACACTCTCTTTCGCTACAGTGATCCCGTCTCTCCTCACTTAGCCGTTAGCAGAGAATCCGCAACCCAAAAACCTCCGTCCGATAAGGATTTTGCAACCTCAATTGGAAACTACATTAGCAGCAAAGCCAGTCTAAACAACTCTCACTCTCTTTACGTCGAAACTGCGGGTGGTGAGTTTCCGGTGATTTTCCGAGGCTGCATGTTGATATTGAGACACAGGCGTACACTCTCCAACTTTAACTGGAACCAGCCAAGCTGATGCTTACAGGTCATTGCTGTGAGGCTTTTTCCCTCTCGTCTTGCTCTATCTAACAACACCGGCAAGTCTCCCTACCATCCTCATAGCCTCGTCGCATTTGGGCGGAATCAGCACTACTTTAGCTGCCTATGAGAGTCTGCATATGCGAGGCTATAGCGTAGAAGCGATCCTTGTATTTAGGGAGGAGTACTACGCCAACTACCAATACCTCAGTGATTGGGGACGGGAGAGAGGCGTGCATGTCGCAGTGATAGATCAACCACCGTCCAAAGACAGCAATGCATTAAATGACCAGGAAGCACTCCAAGCATATTTCAGCAGTCTGTCTAACGGCGACGGTGCAGTGTTGAGCACACTCGACGAACTCGACACACGCCACAAGAAGCGCATTGAGGAAATCAAGACAATGCCACAACGCACACTAGACAGTATTTGGTATCCGTTTGCTCAACACTCCCACATCAAATCCGCTGAGCAGATCGGCGTTATCGACAGCGCACATGCTGACCACTTCGATGTTCACAGACCAGCGTCTGCGTCTCAGGATCTACTACAACAAGATTTCGACGGAAGTGCTTCTTGGTGGACGCAGACACTCGGCCACGGTAACGTTACACTCGCTCTGGCTGCTGCACATGCAGCTGGTCGGTACGGTCATGTGCTTTTACCTGGACACACGCACAAACCTGTACTGGAACTTTGCGAAAAACTCCTCAAAGGCCCGGGTAGCGGGTGGGCTAACAAGGCTTTCGTTACTGATAACGGTAGTACCGCTATGGAGGTAGCCCTTAAAATAGCCCTCCGAGCTTGCTCGAAGAAGTATGGTGCTGCGAATAGAGGCGTGCTCGGATTGAGCGGTAGCTACCACGGTGACACTATCGGTAGTATGGATGCTTCTGAGCCATCTGTATACAATAACGCAGTCGAATGGTATTCCCCAAGAGGCGGTTTCTGGTTTGATTCACCGCTCATCAAGTACAAGAGTGGAGAGATAGTTCTGAAGGGCGCAGTAAGTATGGGCGTACCAAAGGGTGCTGCTGTTGATGGCGATTATTGGGAGATGGCTATCTCTGACTCTATCGCTGGTGCTTATGGCGTAGAGGAGCGTTTAAAAACGACTCTGACTGTTTTTTACAGAGATTCCATTCAAAACACTCTCGAAAGGCTCGTCGAAGAAGGCAGACACTTCGGTGCACTCGTCATGGAACCACTTGTTATGGGCGCAGGAGGTATGCTCTGTGTTGATGTGAGTTGGTTTTACGTCTAATACTTCCATCTTACACAATTTAAGCCGCTGTTTCAGCGTGTACTCGTTGATACAGTGCGTGACAACGAAGAGCTATTCGCCAACCAAGCTGGCGATGCATACGTTCAAGGACAGGACTGGCAGGGATTACCGGTTGTTTTCGACGAGGTGTTTGCGGGTCTATACAGACTCGGCCAGCAAACTCCGTTGTCTATAATCGGCACCCACCCAGATGTATCCGCTTATGCCAAGATATTGTCTGGCGGGATTGTACCGCTTTCTACAACATTGGCAAGACAGAGTCTGTTCGACAACTTTTTAGGGGAGGAGAAGAAAGAAGCGCTGTTACACGGCCACTCATATACCGCCCATCCTATTGGGTGCGCTGTTGCGAATGCGTCGTTGGATGAGATAAACAAGTTAGCAGAGAGTGATGAATGGCATGCATCGAGAGTTGCATGGGGCAGTAATACCGAGAGCGGTGCTTGGAGCTTATGGACCCCTGAGGCTGTGGAAGTGCTATCACACCTCAACAACGTCGATGGCGTCGTCGCTTTGGGTAGCGTGTTGATAATACATCTCAAGTCATCAGGCAAAGGATATGAGAGTTCAGAAGGACAGCGTTTTCTGGCGTCGCTGGCTAGCGAAGGTATCCACTCCAGACCTCTTGGTGATACGGTCTACTTTATGGCCAGCTTGAACACATCCAAGGAGGCGATAGAGGATATCCAAAACAAAGTGATTCATGGGCTTGAAAAATTTGATGTTTAATAAGGATTGATTTGCTTTTATAAATGTACCTGACTGACGTTGAGAATGGTTGGTGGAGAGTAGCAAGCCAGACAAAGCTGAGAGAGTGATAGTGCATTGTAGTTTACGCTGTCAACAGACACTCGAAATACCAGCTGTGGGTGATGCGCTTTGTGCGCTGACTTATGGCTGCTGCTGACTGACCAAGTGCACTGGCTGCGAATAGAGACGAGTGGCTTGAAAGGCCTACACAGCCAGCGAGAGTGCACAACTTCGGTGATGATTCCAAGGAGGAGTGTATATCCGGGATTGATCTGCTAATGCAGGGTACTTGGATTGGAGTGAGCAAGTCGGGCAAAATAGCAGCGCTGTGGGTAAATCTATATCTGAATAGATCTACTAACAGCGAAACAGCACAAATTACTTTGAACCGCTCCCGAAAGACGGAAAATTGCTCAAGTCAAGGGGAGCGATAACGCGAGACTGTCTCCAGAGCGGCAGAAGCATTGAAGACGATCTCGAAGAGGTTTCAAAAATCAAAGACGAAGTGGGGCCGTTTAACCTGTTACTCATTCAGGCCGAAAAGGGGAACGTGCGCTACGGCTACGCCACAAACAGATCGATATCGACAAACTACCACGGAATGTTTAGCGAGGACATTGGAGGCATGTCGAATGGATATGTAGACGCCAACGACGAGATAGCCTCACAGTCAGAGTGGCACAAAGTAAAGCGCGGCAAAGAAGACCTCGACAAGTCAATTGAGCGCGATATGCAAGAGACGGAGCTACTCGATACACTCGAGAATGCTATCTCCAATGAGGTACACCCAATGCAGACAAGACAGCATTTTCAATTCAGCGCGAGAATCCCACCAATTATTATGCGTCCGGGCGCCAATCCGATTCCTGTGGATGAAGCAAACAAAGACGATATCAAGGCGATATACGCGACGAGGCTCATCACATTTATCCTCGTCGATAACGACGGCAATGTTAAATTTATTGAAAAAGATATTTACCAACTACGCGGCTCAGATGTCCTCAAGGCTGATAGCCAGCGCTCTTTGTTCTTCGACAACGACCACGGTCAATCTAAATAATTTGATTGTTTTCGTCTCCATCTGCTTATCGTGATGGGTATGCCAGTAGAGCACATATTGCGCAATGCCAGGCAGAGGCCACTCAACAACGACGAAGTATCTGTGGGTACCGCGGAAATGGCGAGAGATGGGTGGCTTATTCAAGTTCACGCAGCACGTTATCGCACCTATCTCTGAATTCCTATTTGAAAAGGGCAAGGAGAATGGCGAGAAGAAACCTGATTGGTTTAGCGATAAATACAACGGGAATGGTATTCTTACAGAAGCCACGGCATTTGCTACGCGTTAGTTTTGGTTTGGCGCTTGAGTTTTGACTTAAGGAATGCTCAGGTCTATTCGCTTATTTACCACCCAAAGAGGAGCTACTGATTTACCAGGATCATCTCTTTCAACAGCTTTTTAGTAATCCTCACAGGGTACTGGATTGGCAGCTCTGCAAGCTACAGGCTCGATACATGTGAGTATTGTGCATTTACTTGCAGTAAACCGTAACACTAACACTCTCCAGCTACTTCCGCAATATCAGCGACAAGAAGCTGAATAGCTTCTTTTCAAACATCTACCGATGGGAAGCTCAAGCTTATCAACCACTTCTCTCCGAAACAGCTTCTCCACTCATCAGCTTAGACAACATTAACCAATCACTATACCACATGTGCATCTTGCATCCTGAATTTTTCTTCATGGGAGAAGTCATCAGCGTTATGCTCCCGAAACTTCAAGGCGATGTCGGTTTCATGGACCACCTCCCACCCCCACCGACGATCCTCGCATTGACAGCATCTGACAATGAAGACGTCAGCCAATGGGCGAACGATATGATCGATAGACATACTTGGAAACCAATCACCAAGGAAAATGCCAAGGTGTACTTGATCATTTTTCGCAACATCCTCAAGCTTATTGTCGATAGAGAGAATGGGAATCTCGACGCTGATGGAGAGTGGCCTATACAGGATGACCCGGAAGTACTATGGACCGTCCTCGCCAAGACACTAGCCGCTATGGATTCAAGTGCCATTGAGGAAGTCAGCAGATTTTGTCCTGGGTTATTGAAAGACGTACAGAGGCACCTATGTGATGTTAGGGGTAGGACATTTACACCACTTTTGAGGTGTTTTGTCGCTCTCATATCTGTCAAACAAACATACTGGTCTGTGGACTCGTATAATGAACAGCAGAGGCAGAAAAATGACGACGAGCATTCAGTTTTACTTCTGCGACTGATGAATTCAGTTTTGGATAATCCACTTTACAGGCCTCTGGTGACACAGCCTGTCACCTTCCGCCACGATGACGATATGAGTTGGCCTCTCAATTGGTGGTCGAATCTCGTTATGAATGTCGAAGATGTCCATGAGTTACATGATTCAGCCCTAAGGAGTATTGCTAGGAGAGGTTTCGAGTCCACTGGTAACGGCGGCGAGAACACCAAATACAAGTACTACGAAAATATCATTGGCGTTTTAGAGAAATGCCTAAACAAATATGAAGGAAATGAGCGAAAAATGCAACTGGTTTTTGAAATTCTAAGCATATACAAGAATAGCTTGCTCGAGACGGCCTTTTTGTTACAAGAAGGCAACCCAGCACGTGGCAAATCACAAGAAGCCACAAGAGGTTTGTTGCGACTGTGTCTAAGAAAAGATTGTGTTCGCCTAAAGCGCGGTTTAAATGACTTCATGGCAAAATTTACTCCATGGAAAGATTACGAGAGGCAGCGTCAGCGGAAAAAAGTACCCAAAGAACCAAAAGTAGAACTTGACACAAAGAAAACTATCATTGCGACAGAAATTTGGGCTGCAGTATACACAGTTATTGGCCTTACGAACAATATCGATGATCAGTTTGCATGGAATTTAATCCTAACAAATTTGTCGTCGATTAGCCACCTTTCGCAGCTGGAAAATAGTCAATACGACGAAACAGTTGTTCCCGCTCGGATGAAGAACACTCTATTAACATTTAGGTCGGCGTACAACAATGCGATTAATACTATGCAATTCCAATTCAGAAAATTGGTACAGAATTATCTCGACGATTCGACACAACACCTTCAGATATTAGAACATACGCTTAAGGCTCCGAATGTGCAAATGGCAATAATGCGGTTATACCTATCACCCAACGGAGAGATCCACGAGCCTATAATCAGTCTACTCAAGATGATTTCAGATCAAGATGAAAAATCTGAGGCTATACAATGGATGCTATTCAAACACCCCAAGACTTTCTTAGGCGGTGTAGCTGCACAATGCAAGACATTCTTGTCGGTCGCAGATTTGCATCTCGAGGCCTTGAACTTTGCCAATTGTATATCAAATCAGAATGAAGAAATACTGCCGATGATCGCTTCTTCTTCAACCGGCTTCCTCAATCGATATGGTGGAGAACCAGCAATCAAGCAAGCTTTGCTTGAGTATTGGGTGGAGCTTTGTAGATTTACATCGTGTGTACTCAAATCGGCTCCCAAGTGGCACAGATATTGTGGCAAGGAGGAAATGATTTCATGGATGCGTGAATCTATCACACTTGCTGGTGTTCTTCTTGATTCTGAAAAAGAGTTGCAGAGGTATATTACTTCAGTTTCTTCAAAAATGGTACGTTTTTGTGTAAGTTTCTCCTTACCACTTACACCCAATAGCTCGAACCCTTAAATGAGGTACTGGTTCAGTCTGTGGGCTGGCTCAGAGCAACAGATATGACAGTCGTAGAGTTTACCTTCAGATTTATCGACTCTACTCTTTCAGCATTTAAACAGTCGGAATGTTTACCTGCACCGAAAGCTTTGGAGATGCTGAATGTATTTCTTGATTCTCGCGTTCTGTATCTTGGTTTCTGACCTCACAATCACAGGACTACTATCGTCAGGCAAACAAACCTGGAGGCTCTGTGATGAAGCTATCACATCTTTCGCTCAGTAAACTCAAGTACCACCTTTCTACATTCAACGATGAGAGTGATGAGGAGGATGTGCAGATCATCGATAAGAAGCCATCGCTTGGTAAATTGCAGAAAGCACTGGGTGTTGACAAGAAGCCTAGTCCGGCTGATTTTTTGAAGGAAAAGCAGCACGAAAGGGAGCGTCAAGAGAAAGCTAAACAGGCGGAGCAGGTAAAGAATCCATTTATGAGGAAAATTGCTGGTAAGCCACTTCTCACCGGACTCACCACAAAGAAAGGCGAAGCGCGTAAACCTTTTGTTGCTCCACAGAGGCTAACATACGGCGGTAATAAAAAGGAAGAGTCAGAATCATCCGATGATGGCGGTGACCCTGGTGGCTTGAAGGATATGGATTTGAATCCTGAGCAGGCCAAGCAGAAGATGCAAGCTGTGAAAGAGAGAAGAGGCGGTACCAAGGTTATCGATCCTCTAGTCGGAACGTCAACCAAAAAGCAACAATTGAAGAGTGATGCGAAGCGTGATGAATCATTCCAACGCCGTCAGAGACTCGATCCTGATATCAGCGACTTACAGAAACTCCTGCTCAATGTTGACTACAACGATCCTAACATGAAGATCGGTTCGCTTGATCCTACACAACGGATCCCTATCGACTTCAGAAACTACACTCACTATTGGGACATAATGCGACCACTTCTATTCGAAGAGACATCTGAGCAGCTCAAGCAAGCCAGATCGGCAGTACAAGTGGAGGAGACGGTGACTGTCTACGTTTCCGCTAAGACGTTTGTAAATGATTATGCGGAAGTTGTGTTGAATGTCAAATGCAATGCGCCATCCCAGTACTCACTGAGCGAGAATGAGCTGGTGACGCTGAGTAAAGATGATGGCATCCAGCCTGGTGCCCAAAGATCAGGAGCACCGACTGAGAATCATCCATGTCAAAATCTCATCGCTAAGGTGCAAAGTTTCAAGCGCAGACATCAAGATCTCATTGTGACAGTGTGGTTACCGCTGCGCAGATCTGCTGCTTTCCAAGATAAGCACAAGTGGAAAATGCAGAAATTCTATTCGCTCAGCACGCTATACAGAGAATATGGTGCGTTGAAAGGCTTACAGTATTACGGGCCTGTGATGAATAAGATTCTCAATCCCGTAATCAAAGATAAGTTGCAGTTAGATAGTGATACAGTTAAAAAAACGATGAAAATGTTGGAAGTTAACGAATCACAAGCTAATGCTGTGCTTAGCGCCCTCTGTACACCTGCAGATGGCTCTTTCAGTCTCATTCAAGGTCCACCTGGTACTGGTAAATCTAAGACCATTCTGGCATTAGTTGCTCAGTTTTTGAGCATGAGACCTAAGCCTATAGTCAGCAAAGCCAACCCAAATGCGGCTGATGGCTGGGTGCCTCCAAAAATACTCCTTTGCGCACCTTCTAACGCTGCTATTGATGAAGTTGTCAATAGACTAAAAGTGCCTATTAGGGGTGTTAATGGTGACATGAAAGAAGTGAACGTAATCAGAATAGGTGCAGATTCGTCAATGTCAGTTTCTGCTAAAGAGCGCTCGCTAGAGGAGTTGGTAGATCAGCGCGTCAACTTGGATCCGACAAGTGCCAGCATGGACAATGGATCGATGGTCGGTGACTATAGAGACCAGTTGACACAGTGTAAAAACAGCATTAATGAGATCAGAAACACTATCAACCAGAAGCAGCAGAATGAAGGGACAGCCACTCAAGGTGAGAAAGAAGAGTTGAGGAAGTTGAGCGACAAGAGGAATGAGATATCTACCAAGCTGGATAAGGCCAGAGATACGCAGAAGTCATCTGCCAAAGCTAGAGATGCATCGAGACGAACACATCGCAGAGCAGTCATGATGGAAGCTGATGTTGTATGTTCGACATTGTCAGGTGCTGGTAAAGGAGATCTAGCTGAGTTGCCGGTTGACTTTGAGACTGTGATTATTGATGAAGCAGCACAAGCTGTTGAAGTGTCAGCGCTAATTCCATTCAAATATGGATGTAAGAGACCGATACTAATTGGTGATCAGCATCAGTTACCTCCAACTGTAATGTCCACTGAAGCTAGCAAGAAAGGATATTCGAGGTCTTTGTTTGTCAGACTGATGGAGACTAACAAAGGATGCGTGCATTTGTTGAACGAACAATATCGTATGCATCCAGATATATCCAAACTGCCTTCAGCTGTATTCTACCAAGGTCAGTTAAAAGATGGGTTAAGGATGGCCGAGAAGACTAAGGCTCCGTGGCACGATAATGCCTTATTCGGAACTTACAGGTTCTTTGACTTCGCACAAGGTTCTGAAAGGCGCGTAGATAATTCCTACGTGAATGATGGCGAAGCAGATCTTGTCATATCGCTTTATGAGAGATTAAAGAGACAGTTTGGTGAAGAGTTTTCATTGGATTACAGAGTCGCAATTATTGCAACATACAAACAGCAAGTCTTCAATATCAAGAGAAAACTCAGGAACAGGTTTAACAACACAGATAAAGATATCTTAGCCAAAGTTGATGTAAATACCGTCGATGGTTTCCAAGGTCAAGAGAAGAGCGTTATTATATTATCCACAGTTCGATCTTCCCAATTTGATAACGATGGCGTTTTCAAGGATCGCAGTGGAGGTCCTATCGGTTTCTTGAAAGATATGAGACGTATGAACGTTGCTTTGACTCGTGCTCAGTCGTCCTTGTTCATAGTAGGAAATGCTGACAGGCTGTCGTACGATGAAACATGGAAGAAGATTGTTGGCGATGCACAGGGTAGAAATTTACTTGAGAAAGTGAGTACATGAAGACGCTTTAATAACACTGCTAACAGTGAACAGGTAAATGCCAAGTACTTCCAACAGCCAGCGAATCATGTGGCTGCGAAAGCCAAGCAACCTGCCAAACACCCATCAGGATTCGAGAAGGATGTTCGCAACAACGCCAAAAAGAACGATAAGGGTGAGGTTGAGCAGCAATCAATACCAGACAACCTTGTTCCAGCTAGCAATTCTCCCGTAAAGCGCAAAGCGACTGCTGAGAGTGGATCCAGCATGGCGAAAAAGATGAAAGCCGCTGAAATGAATCAAAATGACAGCAACGTAATAGACATTGATGGTGATCAGAATAGTGACATACCAGGTATTAGGTCAGATTCAGCAGATCAGTTGGTCAATGCACCAGTTCTTGAATCAGTAAACATGGACACCGACTCCAGCAATCGTTCCCAGTCTGTATCAGTTGAGCCTGGCAAAGGACCTCGTACAATGATGCACAATGGCACGGCGCAAGATGATGAGCAGAAGAAAGCTATCCAGGCAGCACACAACAGGAAGAAACAAGCAGCCAAGAATAACTCTATGTTTATCAATAAGAAGAAAGTGTGTTCTGCGTTGTTAAAAATATTTTCACTAACGCTCAGTAGCCAAAGAAATGAGATAGCTAAGAAAATTACTATCAAACTTTCCAAAATTCAAAGGCATTTCATTTATGATTGGTATCATCAAGATCAGCATCAATCACATTACTACATAAAATTGGCAGCTTAGCAGAAGATTGGCATAAGTTGAATTAGAGACGGGCCTCAGGTCTCTTCTCACGAACTAAACCTTGCTGAGCTGTTAAAGCTACTAGTCTGCCGTCTTGTGACCAAAACTCTCCTTGCACATTTCCGCGTCCGTGTGCTGAAACTGGGCAAAAAGTCCTGTATATGAGCCACTCGCCCGCGTCGAAATTGTCGTACTTTTGTGAAAAAAATGAGCAGATGAAGCATATGAAAGTGCCACTCACAAACCACATGGAATGATCGAGTGAAGTAATCATGCCGAGATTTGAATACTGACGCAACCCAAGGGAGTGAGCGACCGTGTGCAGAAAGTTCAAGTCCGACATGTACGCTAATACTGCCTTTTAATCTTAAGCGCAGTTACGCGTTAAAAGCTTTACCAACCTTTTGCTTTGAATCCTTATCACCGGGTGAGCTTTTCGCTTTGATCCACCAGCTAAACTCATTTGAAATGTTAAGGTTACCCTTTTCGTCATACTGACTGACTTTCGATGCGTCTTTTAAAGCGACATCTGACGTGCGACGTTCCTGTGTGATTTCAGTTGTGCCTAGCTAAGAGTAAACTTAAAACTGACATCTATTCTTGCTATGATGGTTTCAGACAGCTTACTGTCTAGCTTGGAATGATACTTATCCAAAAAGCGCTGCCATCTGTCTTCACTCAACTCGCATTCCTCTGGTGGAGGTATGTCGGCCGGTGGTTTGATGGAAAATTTAGGCTGAGAAGGTTCTGGCTGAGCAAAAGAAGCAGTGAGAGTGAATATGTTATTGCCATCTTGGCTGGCTCTAACGCAGTACGTCTGATAACTTTTACCTAGACGTAAAGGCTGTACATCTATTAAGTTGATAGCCGGTGAGATTAGGTTAAGTGGGAGAAAGCTCACTCACGATAGACGACTGGCATCGTGGATTGACCAGCTAGTAGAAAATAGCAATGAAAGGAATGGAGGCCGTAACGTTCGCCGGACCTGTCTTCGGTTACGAGGGTGGCGGCTTGAATAGCTTGAGATATAACTGAACCACCGAATACACCAACGGAGGCGGATACGGGCTTCCATAGAGGTTTCTAATTAGTAGTCAGAGGCTGTTTTTTCTAGTCGGCAAACGTACTTTTGACCGGTAGAGATAGAGGTCGATCTTTTCGAGCTGAAGACGGGGTGAATTATGCATGAGTGGGTATTAGATACGCACATCTAAATTACTGCTAATCCAATCGTTGCCCATGTCTTAGAAAGATGTTGAAGCGGTTGAAGCGGTTGAAGCGGTTGAGGGTGATGGCCGTAAATGACTCAAAGGAACATGTGGAGGTTGATAGCCGGTAATAACACTCGCATTGATAACCAATAGGCTGCGGAGTTGCACGATCGTATAAAGTCATAGGTACGTTCCCAAGACGCGTAGACACCCAGAAATGAAGTGACATTCTGTCAAGCGTGACATAATGAGGCATATGAGCAGTAATCAAGACAAATAAGGCAATTGGGCCAGGTGCCATGTCCACATATTGAATCAGCTGACGCCATGCATGGAATTGACGTTGCGCACCCGCTTTGGAGGCAGTCGGCAAACGAAGCGGATGCAGGTACTAAATAAACTGCGCCAGAAAAGCTGCTTCTTCTTAGACCACCAATTTTAAAATAATTTTGTCTGATCGAATTCCGCACTTAGTCAGGATCCCAAGCGCACGCGGCAAAGCCAGACAACACGACTTGAATTTAACGACCACATCGCAAAATATGGAAATAGCAGTTGGGATTGCGGTACATGACTTTGAGCCTTCAGAACGAGATCCATCGATACTTAGCTTCAGTAAGAATGATATCGTGCACATACTCAATAAGGATGCTTCCGGTTGGTGGGATTGCCAAGTCAACGGTATTAGAGGCTGGCTGCCTATGAATTACGTGACAGAGGATATCGTACGTGCTTATATCCCCTCTCCACTTTATACTCACATTGATACCACAGGACGCTTTCTACGGCAACAGCGAAGATGATCTCGAGACTCGTGATGCTGACAAGAAGGATCATCTCAAAATCTCAGACGATAATCTCAACGACGACTTTCCCCACGACGATCTTAATCCGCAGTCACAGCCCAAGGATTCTCCAATTGCAGCCGTGCGGAATGCTTTGACTTTGGTGAAATCTGCTGTTATATCTAGTCACCTGTCACACCTTCAGCCAGCTACAGCTTGTGTTATATCCTCGGTTAGATCCCTTCTCGCATCCGCAGACGCTTTGAACAAGGACTCGCATAGCAACAAGATTAGCGCGTCTATCGCAGAAAACAGACGAAATCTACTGTCTCTGCTATCCAGGTTCGTCGTTCAAAGCAGATTGGTTATGAAAGAAGCTTTGCAAACCTCCAATAAGGTTTTGCTAAGCGAGGATCTCGAGGAGGTTATTCCGATGGCCGATCAAGTTTTCGTCTTGGCTGAGAATTTCGCAAATCTCTGCAAGTCGCATGGTATTAGTCTAGGCGAAGATTTCACCCCTTATTCTTCTCCGCATACATCTCAATTGCCTCATCATGAAACCAAGTGTCAAACTGAAAACGACATCCAAATTTCAGCTATACAAAGACAATCATCTGGAATATCCAGAATGACTTCCTTTGACTCTTTCAAGAGCTCCGCAGCTCAATCCGGCGCCTCTTCAGCCGTATCTCTCGTTTTCAATACCCGTGATGCGGGTGATTATTTGACCGAGGATAATATCAAACATGAATCCTCCGCGGATCAAACTTTTGACAAACTTCTTTACGTTATCAATGAGGCTCTCAAGTCAACTATCGCAGCAACCCTCGGACATTTACACGCCATGCCCAGTCAAAATCATGCGTCATCTAGTATCCATTTGATCGACCTACTCAAGGAGACGATAGCAATAGTAAAGCGTCTTCTGACGGTTTTACAATCAATTCAACAGAATGGTCCGCTGAATACCATCGTTCCTAGGGACGGTTCTATGTTGGATGAAACAATTAGAGACACATACCTTTCCACTGATGATTTGGTAGCAGCAGCGGAGTCTTTACTATTTAATCAACCTCAAACGACATTGATAGATAGTACGCACGAGTCAAAGAGACACCACTTACTCTCGTGTATAATGCAAATTTACAAGATAACAACGGAAGCGTATGAGATATCTTCGAGAATGATTGAGTACGCATCAAGGGCATCTATACCATTAAAATTGAACGTAAACATGCCAAACCGCACATCTAAGACTAGTCTACAAGACATAACAAATAATGATTTCAACAAGACGTTATCACAGCAAGACACGCTGCCACAAACAGTTACAGAAGCTAGTCAAAAAGAGCTTAAGAGACGGCACAGAAGACAACAGACGTTGTCAATGTTTGATAGAAGGACTGCCAGTCTTACGAATCTCCAAGATCAATTCCAATATGACAACAGTGGCAAGGAAGAGGGTAAAGAAATATTAACGACACCCACACTCCAAGATACCTTCGATCATGATAATGAAAATGACCGACCAGAGAGCAGTGCATCACATGATACGACTATCTGCGCACCATATATCACTTTCACAAGTACAGAAAATATTGGCACACCAACACAGGTTGAGAACATGAAGAATATATCTCCAACTTCAGGCACATTCACAGAACAAAGCTCATCACCACAGTGGAATAATTGGGGAAATTCAAATGTGCTGAATTTGCCCACAGGCAGTCCAGAAGCGAGCAAATCATCCACAACGCCCGAATCGCCTGTCGGTATTGCATTACCGTTGAGCACTCCGGACGTTGCAAAGGGACATGCCGTTGGTGGCAAGATGCCTAGTTTATCAAACGCACCTGGTAGTTTTGATTTATCCGCTCTCAGACCTAGACCGCGAGCTAGAGCTGCGACTGTTGGGACAGCCGATATTAGTCAAAATCGCTATGATGAGAAGGAAAATTCTGCAGATTCGCCAGCATTGAAGTTGTCGTTCAGTGGTACGAATCCAAGTATTAGTAATACACAAAGAGATGATCTATCGGCAGCTTCGTTGACATCAGGATCTGAAGCCAACGGATCTATCGCGTCGACGAGAAGCAACACGGACGATGGTTTTGGTAAGGCTGGCACGTCTACACCCGCTACTGTTCACAGCTGGGTTTTGGATGAAAAAGGCTCGATTCGCGACAAGCCCAAGTTTGATATCGGTATTGAGACGGACAGTGACGGTGAAGATGTTGATAACTTGCCTCCATTGCCGCTAAAGCAATACAGCGGGCGTCAACGCCAGAGAGCACTCACGACATCAGCGGCTCAGCCTTCCTCGCATCGTGGTTTGCAATCGACCGTCAACTTTGGGAAATATGATATAGTCAGAGGCGGTATGAATAACAAAATCATGGGCGCAACATTACCATCACTCGTGGCAACACTCACACCACACGATGTGACGCTCGACATCAATATTTTAGAAACATTCATGATGACATTTAGGCTATTTACGACACCGATCCAATTCGCAATTGAGCTTAAAAGTCGATTCGAAAATGCCGATGATATTGAAAATAACAGTATCAGCAATACGATCAGACTGGGAGTGTATAATCTAGCCAAATTGTGGCTTGAAGTACATTGGGTCGATCGAGAAGACTACAATGCACTTGAGACTATAGAGGATTTGGGTGTGAATTCCAACACTATGAACACATATACCGCATCGACTGATGTCTTATTGAATCTCATTGATAGACGTCGCTTCGAGCATGAGCATCCAGAGTCGATGAATCACAACAACAGCTCGTACAATTCAATAAGCAATAAGACAAAGTCTAAAAGACATGATGGACAGCATTCGCTCAAGATGTTTAAGAATCTGCAATTTTCAGAGACTAGCTCGGTTATGATGAACAGATATAGCAGGAGTTCAATAGGTAGTTCGATGGATCAGATACCAGTACCACAAATCGGCAAGACACTTTTAAATCACTTAAAGTCGCCTCAAGGGTTGACGTCAGCTCCACTACCTACGGACTTCGAGCCAATTGAAATGGCGAGGCAGTTGACAATAATGGAGAGCAGGTTGTATCAGTGCGTTACTGTCTCAGAATTACTTAGTGTCAATGAAGGCGGAAGCAATAAAAAAGGCGTAGATGCGAATGACGTCAGACCGGCTCTAAAGGCTATGAGTGAATTCACCACCCGCGTTACAGCTTGGGTGAGCGAATCCATCCTTAGAGAGGGCGAAGCTAGAAAAAGAGTACCTCCGATCAAGTTTTGGATCAAGGTGTGCAAGGTGGGTAGGATAAAATTTGTCGAGCTGTCTGACACGATTACCAGCATTCACTTTCGCTGAACAACTACGGACTACTTATTGCGATTGTTTGTGGCTTGACGACATCGACAATCAGTAGACTCAAGCGGACTTGGGAGGTGTGTGAGAGTGTTACAGAAATAGCACATGCTAATATCATCATTTAGCTCGTACCCGTAAAACATCGCAATCTGCTAAACAACCTCAACACAATGGCTGCATGTGATAGGAACTATGCAGTATACAGAGCCAAATTACGTTCAGCTCAATTACCCGCATTACCATATGTCGGGCTGTTCCTGTCAGATCTTACATTTGTGCACGTTGGTAACAAACCAACGAGACCATCATCGATAGATGGCAGAAGACAGGTGATCAATTTTGACAAGTATGAGAAGCTCAAGAACATTATTCAAGGTGTGTTGAATAATATACCAAGTATCAGTATTAACCAGATTATTAGATTTTATGAGATTTCAAGAGCCTTTCAGGTTGACAGAAGTGCCCGAGTTCCAAACATACCTGCATAGAGCATTGACACATGTGGAAGCCAGCAACGAATCAGCACAAGATTTGTATAATAGAAGCTGTGTGCTTGAACCAAAGAACTCGAGCGTGTCAATGCAGAAAGTGAAGAGCAATACATCGATAGATTCTCTGAGACATTCAGTAGATCGCAGGGAGTTATTTGGATGGACAAAAAGACATTAAAAAAGACATACAGTAACGACACAATTTAGAAAGGAGACATTGGAATACGATATAAATATTCCTGTACAATGACAATGCAAATGTATAATTAAATATTGAATGAAATGATTAAGAATGTGATTGATAATAAAGCTGATAAATTGTTAATAAGCATTTAAAAGTTTGTAGAATATTCGCCATCGCCATGTTTCGCCTGATCATTTTAGGAATAACAAATTGCCACAACTGAACCCATAATTGAGGCGGTTGCTTTGGTTATCCAAGAGCCGCCACGATTTTTAGAAATTTATTTAGAGCGTCTAGAGTAGCTTTATCCTCAATACCAACATTCAATTTTACAGCCACAACGAATATTATGTCAGAGAGAGTACACAACAGAGTAGTGAGTTGTGTAGATGATAGTCACAGCAAATAGCTCATACATGCCATAGGTTATCATTGGATCAGGTCCAGCTGGTCACACAGCAGCAGTTTACCTCGCTAGAGCAGAAATGTCACCTGTCATGTTCGAAGGAATGCTTGCGAACGGTGTGGCTCCAGGTGGTCAACTCACAACGACAACCGATGTCGAGAACTATCCAGGTTTCCCAGACGGTATTAGAGGTCCTGAGATGATGGACAAGTTTAGAGCCCAGTCTGAGAGATTCGGTACTCAGATCCACACTGAGACCATCTCCAAAGTTGATTTATCCAACAGACCTTTCAAATATTGGAGAGAGGGTTATGAGGAAGATGGAGAAGCGTTTGAGTTGGCTGACTCTCTCATTTTAGCCACAGGTGCATCTGCCAAGCGTTTGTTCATACCTGGTGAAGAAACATATTGGCAGTCAGGTATTTCTGCATGTGCAGTTTGCGATGGTGCAGCACCAATTTTCAGAAACAAATCTTTGGCAGTCATTGGTGGTGGTGACTCCGCAGCAGAAGAAGCTACATACCTCACCAAATACGCTTCACATGTTCACGTCTTAGTACGCAAGTCTGAATTAAGAGCTTCAAAGATCATGGCTGCAAGATTACTCAAGCATCCTAAGGTTACGGTTCACTGGAACACAGTCGCAACTGAAGCACTTGGTGATGGCGATTTATTGCAAGGTCTCGGCCTCAAAAACACTCAATCTGGTGAAACTAGCAAGTTGGACGTGAATGGTCTGTTCTACGCTATCGGTCACGAACCTGCCACCGAACTTGTTAGATCTCAAGTAGATACTGATAACGACGGATATGTTAAGACTGTGCCAGGTACCACCCAAACTAACATCAAGGGTATCTTCGCTGCCGGTGACGTTCAAGATAAAAAATACAGACAGGCTGTCACATCAGCTGGTTCAGGTTGTATGGCAGCTTTGGAGTGTGAAAGACTTCTTGCAGAGGAAGAAGTTGAGGAATCATAAAAATCATTATAGAACTCTTCTTCATATATTAATATCTAGTTCATTCATGCTTTATGTAAATGAAAATTGATCAAAATGTTCAAGTAATTTGTTATCAATGTTTATGTATGATCGTGTATACAAGCAAGTGAGGAGTAATGTATCCAAGTGTCCGTTTGGGTATTGCTGTGACACTGAATATACGTATATTGATTGAATGATTGTCAAGAATGACTTTAAATTTGATATTTTTTGGTATGCTCTTCTTTTAAAATGAATGAAATGAGACTGAATCGAGTGAATTTAATTGAATGACCACCTTGTTTGGTATCCGCTATTTGTTTGAAAATGCAATAATTTTGTTATCTCTTAAGCACCGAAGCTTTGACCTACACCGACACTCTCACTCAAGTTGGATTCACCGACGTATGTAAAACCTTGGAATTGTCCTTGTACAGTTTGTGATAAATGGCTGTCCTCAACTACACTATCTTGAGGTGCTTCAGATGTGAATTCTTCATCAAAGTTGCTGGTATCAATTGCAGATGCAACAGCAGGCTTGAATGGTGGCTGAATTTTCTTTGATGACAATCTCTTCCATTCAATATTGTTAACGAAGAATGGATGATCTTTGATTTCTTGGGCACCATTGTATCCTAATCTAGCAGATGGGTTACGATGTAACAATCTCGACAAAATATCTTTCGCATCTGGACTAAACTCGTCACCAAATCTGAGTGGATCTTGAAGAATCTTTCTATACATTTCGTTGGTATTTTCATCGTAAAATGGTGGTAGACCTGACAACATTTCATAAAGCAAAACGCCGAGTGTCCACCAATCAACTGATTTAGTATATCCCTTATTCAAAAGTAATTCCGGAGCGAGGTATTCAGGTGTACCGCAGAAGGTGTTAGTTGTCTCGTTTTCTGTCATGTTCAATTTACACAGACCAAAATCACACAACGCGATGTGTCCTGTGTAATCCAACAAGATATTTTCGGGTTTGAGATCTCTGTAGACGACATTGAAGCCGTGCAAGTGCTCCAGTGCCAACAACAATTCAGCTGTATAGAATCTCGACCTAGCCTCGTTGAATCGGCCTTCACGTTGCAAATGGTGGAACAGTTCGCCACCGTTGACAAATGCAAGAACGAGATAAAGCTTTTCAGTTGATTGGAAACTGAATTTCAAAGGTACGATAAATGGGTTATTGACTTGAGCGAGAACAGTTCTTTCTGCTAGAGTGTGTGTAACTTCGGATCGATTGACAATATGTGCTTTGCGGATCGTTTTCAATGCATATATACGCGAAGTGTCTCTCTTTCTTACTTGCATCACTTTGCCGAATGATCCTTTACCGATAACCTTGAGTAGATCGAAGTCCTCGATTGTCAGTGATGAGGCTCTTGCTTGGAATGAGACTTGAATAAGCATGTGACCAGAGCCACCTGCCACAGGATACCAAGATTCTGTTGCGCGCTTGAGTAGAGTTAGAAAGGTGACTACTGTAATAAATTACCTACGTTTGACTCAAAATCTGGAATGAATTTAACAGCACCCAAAAAGAGATCAGAGTTGCCCATATCATTTAATCCAGTGGCATTTTGACCAGGTAGATTGCTTGATCCGGTTCTTAGGTAGGTAGATATAGCTATCTCGCTAGCTCTCGAAACATCACTTGAGATTTATGTAAACAACGAGCATATCTGCTGATAGGATACTCACAAATGAGCCTTGTACATCCAAACAGGCTGGTCGAGTCTACCACCGAGCGCATCAACAAGAATTTCATTCTTATCGAATTCCATAACGATATAAGGGAGCCACCAGCACTGTTTGCGTTGCATGCTGTCCCTGTTGTTGGAGCTGTAAGAGGACTGACGTGCGTGGTTGACAGATGTGGAGGTGACGCTTGCGGCAGCAGCAGCAGCCTGTGTGGCTAAAGCTTTCTCAATTTGTTGCGGAAGTGACTGACCCGGCAATTCCAAATCGCGGGCTTCGACGACTCTGATGGTAAGGACACCTGAACGATGAATAGGAGCGCCAGAAGCGGTAGAAACGGAGGTACCGTTAGTGGAAGGAGAAGAGGAGATTACAGGGGAAGCTGTGGAAGTCTGTCTAGATTGAGTGGATAGATTTGAGGAAGATGACTTTGAGCTGAGTGGGTTAGCTTCTTTGAGTTCTTTCAAGTGTTAGCTGATTGTATAATAACATATGGTGACGCACTTCTGCCTAATTTCCATGTACTTGACATAGCGTCTTAATGTTTGAATCAAAGGAATATTCATCTCGAGGTTTGTAAAAACTAAAGCTGAAAATTGATTTTATTGTTGCAATATATTGTAGAATGCTTGAAATATAGAAATCGTATTCCATTTAGCGTAAATTTCATTTCCACTCGCTTACACCTTCGATTACGTTGGGTACCTCAGGGACAATATTCTAAATACTTCCTGATATACCCATCTAGCACGCTCGTTTATAATTATGGTCTCGGTTTTCCATTCCTTTAGGCCTTCCTTCCGTGAAGACAAATGCAACACAGCCAATAACCCACCCAGTACAAAGCCTTCATGACATTACCAAATCACAATGAGACCTTAGGTGTATGTTCAAGACTAGCTGATGAGCTTGTGAATTCAATTATCGGTTTTGATTTCAATACCGACGACTTGACAATATCACAGAATCAATTACCCCAGGAACTTGACATTAGACTGTCCAGCGCACCAAATACAACAACCACGCGTAGAATTTTCACTCCATTAAAGAGTACACGTCGGAGGAAGACACCAAGCTCACTCAAACGTTATGATCGCGGGTGGTGTGCGTACTGGAAAGGCAAGTCTGTTTAAATTAAACCTAGACACTTTTTATCTCAATCAAGCTGCTAGTATCACTCAGCGCACCGAGGTCACATCTCATTCACTCTGAAACATCAACCCCAACATCTATTCTATTCGATCAATTTGGACGACGGGGAGAATTCGTTTGAACTTATGATACTAAGTTTGAATGACACAACTGAATTAGATTATGGTGTTGATGGAAATGCTAGTAAGGATGTTGACACAATACTAAAACATGCCGTACATCTCTACACTCAAATACTATATCAAGAGTTGAGAGATTTCAGCTGTAATAGCACGAAATCGCTTGACATGCACATTCATGTTTGTAGCTAGATGATTGAACCAGCCAAGTTGCTTACTGCCAGTAATGGTTTATTGGCGCTACAGCAGCATGTATTACCAATTATGTTACGCCTAGCTACATGTATAAATGTCTTACCTGTCACTGCACGCGCTGACAGTCTCACCGATCGTCAGAGATACTTGGATTCAGCGAGAGAATATCTACACCAGAATCTAATACTCATAGAATGATTTCCATTTAGAGAATTTCAATATAGTCAACCGAGTTGATCAAGATTCGTCAAAGTCACTTCGTCCACTCCATCTGTACCTTACGACGATACTTCGACTTCAGTTCACCTCGATCCAGCTCCATACGTTATTGTTATACCAGAACCATTCGAGAGACCATTGAAAACTAGGAAGTACAGATGGGGAACTGTGAATGTTTTTGATGATGAACAAACAGATTTCAACGCTTTGCATAATGTTTTATTTGGCGCTAATTCGGATGTTAGAGGCTTTAACTTGAATATTACAACTAACAAGAATAACCGCAGTCTCTGAGAGCGCGCATTAGAGAAACACTTTCCGAAAGTTTCAGAAAGGAAACTCTCACAGATATTCAGCAAAAGAAAAGATAAACATTTATCAAATACAACTAATCAATTGGGACAAAATCAATTACTATCATTTCTATGTTGTAAACAGACTTGTTAGCCAAAAATATCGGAAAAGTTTTCGAAGGTATGTATTTCCTACTGTTTTTCTTTTTTTTTTCTTATCGATGCATAATTTTGTTTATCAACATTAAAATACATGTAATGTAATTATAATAAATAAAGTTATTACCACGACAACTTCTTATCAAACCCTTGCAAAATTTGATCTAAACCGTCTAACTCCTCAGTATCAATCTCATTCTGTGCTTTTTTATACAGCAGCCCGCAATCAAGATTGACACAAGGCACGTCTTGAGAGGGAAGCGTATGAGCGCATGATGCGCAAATTGTATGAAAATCTCTCATCTTCGATTGAGTTCTATAGTTCCTACTAAGCAGCTTGTATACAGTATCACTGATATTTGAATCCGCTCTACAACTACTACAAATTGCTTCTTTTGAGGCTTCACCGCATGTTTCACACGTTCCACTTCGAACGTAATTGCCAATCACACCACCTCTCCGTGTATGTGTAAATGGTTTCCTAGCCTCCGCTTTGAATTTTCTAGACATTGTCGCATACCATGAGTGTACATCAGCGCCCATAAGGTTAAATATCCTCTCTAATGGTGGAATGAGCACTCTCTCTATGTAGTACTTCGCATCTATTCGCAAATTGCCATTTCTAAGTATTTCCTCGGGTTTTACTGCTCTGTCTACTTGTCGATCAGAGCTGCCTTCAGTGATTACATAAGGTACTCTTTCACCGTAATGAGCTGCTGCTCGTGGATCATCCGTCAGCGCTTTCGTTGCTACCATTACTCCAGGTATTGGAACGACATTGTTGGAGTATGTCCCTAGTCTTACTTCCTTGGCAAATGTAAAGTCCTGAATAGAGACTCGGCCTTGGATGACCTTGTTGAATTGTCTCACGCAGTATTCCTTTACTTGTGATAGGTCTGATGTTTTATATAATACTCTGAGTGACGAGTGTTAGATATTCTCATGATCAATAATGCCACCCACTTTAAAGCTGCTTCCACCATCTTTGCCTGAGCAGGTACGCCATCTCGACGAACAGTCTCGATACCTTTGGCTTCAAATACGCCCACTGTATCTGACGATCGCTCAAACATGTTCCCAGTGTACCGCTTCTTTGCTAATAGGACTGACGGCAAATACATCTGGAACAGGTTTAGCAAACAACATGTTTAAACAACATGCTCACCTTCTCTAACTTTAACTTTATAGGTCGTGGATTAGACTTTGTGACAGCCTCAGCAATAGCTGCGCCAGTTTCGAATGCCTCTTTCTGAGATTTACCTTTGAGTCTGACAAAGAGTGAATCAGTGTCGCCATAGACGACATCAGCACCCCATTCCTCATTTCTTTCAATAAATTGAATAGCCTAAAACAATAACGTTATTTAAGCAGTAATGAAGCATCAACCGCCTACCCTTTCTAATGTCTCCCTCCCAGTTTGGACAATCGAATCAGCTAGCTCTACACTTGGCATTCGACCACTATAACTGGCCGACGTATATCCGTATGTGACATTTGCCATGAGCTTAAGAGAGAGCTGCCTGGCATGTTGCAATTTCTTGAGATACTTTGGAAATAGTTAGGACTACTGATCATAACAACCGACGACCTACCTTGTCATCTCTGTTCTCTTGCATAGATTCTTTGATCATGATGCGCGTATCCAACAGTTCCGCCAGCATTTTTGATAGAAGTGACTTGCGCACGTGTGGCTTGACATACATCAGCCCATTAGGTGCGACTGCTAGGTTGTTAGATAACAGTATTTCCAATGTTTCACTCACAATTTATATCATTTTTGAGGGCATCGAGTATTTTTGATGACTCAGCATGATCGATGATCCCAAATTTATACTTGCTGTCATAAGGTTTCACACGTCCCAGGCAAGTTGAATAGCAGTAATTGTACGCAAGAATAATGGAAGGATATAAAGACTGAAAGTCAAGCACTATGACAGGATCTTTGTAGAACGCAGACTGGGGTTCCATGACCAAGGGCAAAGCTTCAGCAGCTTGTTGACTGCCCACTTGGTTTCTGGACGGCGAAATCAACACGTAGTTTTCGGGCTTAGCGATCCGGAACATTAATGCTTCGACTTTGAATTGCGAGCCACGCGATATGACACTATAGAAATCTACACCGATCGTGCGAGCAAATTCACTGCTTTTATTAGGTATAGGACTGGTAGAAAGGGAGTCTACTCACGCTGTTTTTGTAATTATCTCCATTGAGTCGAGTATATCACCAATTAATTTGACCCTTGATGTAAAGACATCTAGTACTCTAGCGAAGGAAGATGCATTTCCAGAAACCCACCACTGGCTCAGAGTTACTGGTTCATACTTTGGGACTCTGAATTGTGTAAGCTGGATATTAAAGTAAACCTTTCACCCACCTTCGCTTTAATAGACTATGAGTAACGTGCTCGAATGTCGTCTGTGGCAAACTCAATTCAGAGCGCGCCAGTCTCCAGACGTTAAAAACATGTCTACCTGGTGAGGTGAAGGTACTGGTTTTCATCTCAGCCCATCGTTCACCCCCATTAATATTCCGCATCGTCCTAGATTTGATTCTAGACGTCTCCTCACTCAATTCTAATCCAATTTCTATGCGTGTCCGCTCGACTAGGTATCCCCACGACCCCAGCTCCGTATCCCAGCCTGCGAGGATATCAGGATCAAAATGCTGCACTTTATCTATAAGGGTGAATATTAAATCCGCTTCGTTGATAGCAATTTCCATATCGTATCCGTCTAATTTGTATTTGGTTTCGCCTTCAACGACTATCATACCCCTTTCTACATCCTCATTCATGTCGTGGTAGGAAAAAAAAACAGCCTCGACTGGATTATACTCAGGATTAGACACTTTCGTGTTGTTGCTCCTCGCGAAAACCTCGACAACCATCATCGTAAGTTGGGTTTGAACGTCGTGCTCTCGCGGCTCATACTTTTTTCCTCCACTGGCCGTCGATGCATCTAAACCGTAAACTTGTCCCGAAGGCGGTCCTTCAATCTGCAGCAACGTTAGCTGGCAAAAGCAATGTATTAGTAACCAACCTGAGTATGAAAAACCTTCTGAGAACTGGCTTTCTTGCTTTTGTAATCAGCTACCACGCTGCGCTTTGAGGGAGGCAATGGGGCATACTCAAAATATCTAGCTCCTCTCGTCGAGTAAGTATCGCAGCTCCCATCCCAGCTTGGTATGACGTCGCCTTTCAGTACAAACACCCTTCCTGCGTATTCTCGGGGTCTTTCAGGAACGTCTGATGCATTAGAATAGTAAGGATCGCGATAAATCTTCGTTGGGGCTCTCTGTTCTTTTAGGGACTGCAAAGCTTCTTCGATGGTAGGTGGTGGAATGCTGTATTTGTAAATACTCTTATCCTGGTTTATTCGTGGTGCTTGTGACTTTCGCGGTGTAGTTACACTATTCTGCGATGAGCTTAGCAGCTTTCGCGGTGTTGCCTCTTCGATCTTTGTGTGAATCATACCGATTGTAAGACCTGGTGTAACTTGGCGCTGAGATAGGTTGGCTAGAATCTCCTCATATTCTTGTGAGGCGAGCAAATCGCTGCTGTTTGATCGACTTCTTTTTCTCTGTGGCTGTTCGCTCTCCTGGCTATCTGGAACGACTTCCAGAGTTGGTTCACGTTTCAATGGTGTCTCTGAAGATTTATACATTGAGTCCATTAGTGAAAGCTGCTTCATTGATCCTTTACTATCGCTTAGCATTGTGCTTTCTCGGCCGCTCAAAGCCCTCCCTGGAAATTCATGAAGACCAGTATTTTGAGCAAAGCTATCAAATGGGTTGTTGTCGATATCCATATTCATTACGTTTGACTTTTGAGTAGCCAGCTGTTGACTGACGATCGGCTCTATATCCTTGTTGGGTTGAGATGATGAAATATCTAAGTACTGACTGCTATCCTCATTCCGGAGCTCCTTTCGTCGTTCTGAAGGATGGAAGAGAGCCTCAGTACTCTCGAACACAGTCATCAAGTGGTGCTCCTCAGTAAAAGGTGGCGCAAAATCTGCGCCGTTATTGGTATCTGAAATCCTATCAAAAAATGAGTCTAAGATATCGTCTAGATTGTCCCACAAAGGAAAAGTGGCAGAATCATTGCGACCTCCTTTAACACTCCCCTGAATCTGGATTGATGATGGTAAACCCTTGGCTTCACGTCTTTTCTCTTCGTTTAACCATAATTCTCTAAGAGAAGGTAGAAGCTTTTCGTCAGGAACCAGCTCTTCGTAAGGAGCGTTGTGTATGTAACGTGGTGCTATCCTATACCTATTTTCAATCCAGGAAGCACGAACGTCAAACTCAAGCACGCAATTGGTGTCTCTTGGAATGTTGTGTGTGTCTTTCTCGTCTATTGTTGATGCATTGATAACATTCTCTGCTACAACTTGATCGCTATGCCAGTCATACACGGTAGGCTCTGTGATTATGAGAACAGTGCAAGGAATGTAAAATAAACACACACCTGGTAAAGGGTACCTGTACTTAGCTTGGGATAACTCAAGCCAATCGCATCCGTAGAGGTTGAAATCGGTAAAGAACTGAAGCAGATAAGGAGAATGTGATTCAAAAGGCTGAAAAGTGGAATTCATTAGCTGACCGGACTCCATCAACTGCACCAGTCTGGGAATATGCTTGGGATCATTCATCATTATCTTTAGAAACGGACGTGTTCCGACATTGTAGCCATAAAAAGGGGTACCTTTGCAAATAACAATAGCACGGACGAATTGTGTGGTAGACAGCTTGTCACTCATGTTTCTCCGCAGGCTAAAAGCGAGAGACTGATTGATAGACAAGCCTAATTGGTGAACATAGTCGCGCACTGAGGAGATGATCAGAGATGACGATCATAAAGGGTGATAAGAGCGCGTACCTTTTTCAGGGGTGACGCTATGCTTGTACTCTATGTAGAAATAAGGGTAGATGCCGTGTACGTGAGCGCAGGCCATTTGGCCCGTATCAAGCCTGCCGAAAACGCGTATAACGGGAACGGTGGCCAGTGGGAATGGAGAGAAATTACTGACATTATCATCAAAATAAGAAATTGGTTTAAATAAATTAAAATCTAAGTTGGAAATTCGTATTTTCATTATTTCATCTTCTTGGAAGGGAATTGATCGTCGGCGTTAGATTGAGAAAGGCGTTGGCGCTTGTTGGATTGTGGACTGCAGAAATTTATTAAATTCGTCTAGTTACAAGAAACAGACAATTACTGTTGCTTTGAGAAGTACTCAGACTTGTTGCCTGGGTTGATGGTTGAGCTGTTGGTCTCTGGGTTCCAGTCAGCTGGGCAAACTTCACCGTGGACGTCAGTGAATTGGAATGCCTTGACAAGACGGATCGATTCTTCGACCGAGCGTCCAACTGGGAGGTCGTTGACGGTGATTTGGCGGAGTGTTCCCTTTGGATCGATCAAGAATGAGCCACGGAGGGTTACACCTTCGTCGAGGAGAACGCCGTAGTTCTTTGCTACCTTGTGTGACTTGTCTGAGAGGAGTGGGAGCTTGAGGTCTGGGCCGAGACCACCTTCGTTACGTGGAACATTTGCCCAGGCCAAGTGGGTGAATTCTGAGTCGGTGGATGCACCGAGAACTTCAACGCCAAGCTCCTTGAACTTTGGGAGTGCCTTGTTGAAGGCCAAAATCTCAGTTGGACACACAAATGTGAAATCCATTGGGTAGAAGAAGAGTATGAGCCTTCCCTGTGTCAGTTTTCACTGTAGCGTGCTTACAAACTCACCATTTGCCCTCGTATGTCTTGTTTGTAACTTCCTCGAACAGTCCTTCCTACAAGCTGTAAGCGAAGGTCATCGAAACACTTCTTTTACTCACGCGAACGGCGGTACCGCTGATTTCTGGTGCTGGCTTTCCGATTAATGAGGCCATTTCTGTTGAGCACGTTAGCGGTAAAGATTGTTGATATTTAAACTCACTTGAGTTGCTGATTGTAGGAAAAGAAGGTGTAGGAGCTCAAGTCGATTTTAAATCACAATGCTACATCATTTAACAACGTTTACCCGCTTTGGCTTCAATGTTTAGGCAGCGCTACATCATAATTAGCCTCTATCCTTCCTTTGAAATATTTCCTTCGTCTGCATATCCGAAGCAATCACGTAATCTTGGTGGTTATCCTACAATTTCGGAAACTTCTGGATGTTACTGCAGCCTAATACTATTTATTCTGTATTCTTCTGCTGCGTTCAGTCTTCTCGCTTAAACGTATCTAGACTTATCTTTAAATGTCCGATGAGACCGTTGAGTCAGCTTAAATTAGTTCCTAAAAATAAGATGCGCGACATGCTTAATTTACTGAGCTATTCTTGTTTTTATTACTCTTTTGCCCTCTAGCTGGCCTTTATTACTCGCAATTACATCAGTCCATCAAAATGTCAAGCCAGCATGCTTTGTGATTGCGCTCTGATATGCAGAAGCACCACATTTATTGCGATGTAGAGCATTTTCAACAACCCCTCACGTTCTTCAATGCGATACAGGTAAACGTAAATCGTGCATGAGTAAAAATCTAAATGAAAATAAACAAAACAAAACTATATTACCAAAATGCACACCATCCTACGAAAGCCATACAAAGGACCTCGAGAGAAGTGGCTTGTAATATAAGTTTGTCAACTTGCTCACCCACAGTGAGTGTCTCAGTTGGTTTGAAGTCACGACCTGTTTCAAGTTAGACTGTTTTGGCTGTTTCTTACCAGCAACACTCACCTGATAACTTTGCTTCAACTCTTCTCATGACAGCTAATGCTCTTCTGTTCACAGGCTCCGGTCTTCGGTCGTTACCTATTGTCTCGTCCCTAACACCATTCTCTACCAGATTTCTTTCATCTGCCACACTCCGTCTATTCTTTGCACTCGATGGATCTGTAACTACGTAAGCTAAACAACAGTCGGTAACTGTTCACCTACCAATGTTCTCCGCATCCAAACGCCAATTAATCAATGGATCGTGAACAAATGCAGCCAATACAGCCATGAGAGAATCTCTGTTATTCCTCAACACACTCATGACAATATCACAAGTACGCTTAAATGATCCCTCGACACCACACACCTCCATTGCCAAAACGAGCATTCTAGTCAATCTGAAAGGCATTCTCTCTGGATACTTATCTCTATGCTGAGCAACTTCGAAGCTATCACCGAAATCAATGTGGATAACTCCACCAGTAATTCTATCAATCAGCAGATTCGAAGGATGTCTGTCACCAAGACCTAGGATATAACCAACCATACTCATCACTGCCAAGCTACGTGTGTAATTTGTTCGACGTTCCAACCAAGCTTCACTATTTCTAGATTTCAGCCAAAGAATTCTGTAAAGATCTTGACCAGTGGTATTGTCGAGAGCGTACTCGAAGACTTCCAACTTGTTGAGGTGACACAGGTGGTCGAAATCTGGAGCCATTTGCAGCATCAATCTGTGCTCAATGTTCAATAGAATCTTTCTAGTCTCGCGATAGTCCCTGATCAGCATGTGCATCGTATCAGTGTTTTGCACCCATCCTAAAAGACCAGAGTTTGGAGAGATTGGTATAACGGAAAATCTGTGAATGGACAAATGACGTTTGAATGACTCCGGATTTACGGAAAGGAGAAGATTGATGAGGCCGAACAATTGCATCGCACGCTCATCTTGGCGAAGATCTTCATGTCCTTTCAACAGATACATATACTCCTTTCCATCACTACCCCTGATCTCCATCTTTCTTGGCCTTTGCTTCGTAGTCAACACCGACAATCTGGGAACGACCGCTGCTATTCTGATGACTGGCTTTCCTGATTGGTACGTACCAGGCACAGCCAAGTCGAGATCTTTGGCGTTAAGTAAGCGTGGGGCCACATACTGTAGTTCGATAGCAGTGAGCGCGGTGACCTGCTTCTCAATCTTCCTGAACACTGGGTAATACAGATCCCAAGCCTGGTTGAGGTCTGCCGCATGTTTGGTATGCTTCCACTTCCTGCAGTAGTCTCTAGCTTCTATCAACTCCCTAGAGAACGCCTGAACGAATGAAGTCTCACGCAAAGTCTCTGGACCTCTATCGAGCAAGTCATGCAATGGCTTGAGCGTCTCAATCATAGCAGCTGGGTTATGATGTACGAAGTAATGTCTGGATGCCTCTTCCAATCCTTCGTGCCACATTTCATTCCAAAGTATAGCAACCCTGATCAATTCATTAGAAACTAGTCCAGCTTGTTCAACCAGCTTGGGTGAATGCTCGCGCATCCTGTCCATTATAGCCAATGCAGCAGCTTTACGAGTCTGAGATTGAGATTTCGACGCCACTGTGAGTGGATAGATCAATGCTTGTGGGTGGGCTCTCCCAACAGCACATAAGAGCTGATGGATCAATCTCCGAACGTTCAAGTTTGGTGCGTGGATCCTAGCAATGATCTGCGGTATAACCTCCAGCCAAGTATCGACAGAGATGGTAGTGAATCCTTGAGACAGCGTTGAAGAGACGTCTTCGTGATAGCCGAATTGAAACCACAATGTTAGCAGACGAAGCGTGTCCTGGAGGGAGTTACCGCCAGACAAGGCAATAGACTTGAAGAATGCCTGTACAGCAGGTACAATATGTGTGACTAGAGTCTCTGGCTCAACTTCTTCGCTAGCATTCTCGAGATGAGCGATAACTTCGAAGTTGGCCAGCGCAAAGGTGTGCCAAGCCTTATACCAACTAGGGTCAAGTTGTGTGGCTTGGTAGAATGCACCGAGGATGTCATCAGCATCGTTGATAAACCAGTCCTCCTGAAGAGCAACCTGCCACTGACCTTGCTTGAAGTAACATCTAGCCAGTAAGTTTTTGTATTCTGTGATTTTGCCCTGCTTGTAGTACTCATTAGCAATAGCACGTGAGCTCTCAGTTGGGTTCAGGCCAAGGTCGTTGGATAGAGATGCCGTGAAATCTCTCAACCAATTCAAAGACTCGTCTTGAGCACCCTTTGCCCAAGTGAATTTGAGATGAGCGTAAATGACCTGTGGAGGGGCTTTTTGGGTAGTGCTGTTCGAGTAAACGCTTGGATCCGGCCCGAGGAGGGAGTTAATAACTTTTTCAGCCAGGAACATTCTATCAGACTTTCTGCATAAGTTGGCGAACTTGATCCACATCTGTGTGTCTTCTGCTGGAGACAGAACAAGTGTGCGCACTTGCAATATCCTCTGCCAGACTTCAACATCCGGTTGTGCGCCCTTCAATCTTCCCAAAATGTCAGTAAACACAGAAGTAAAAGATGATATCTCACCTCTTCATCCAAGTCTTGCGTATCGTCGATTGGCGGTCGGGTTGGTCAGCGAAGAGTTTATACTGAATGATTTCTTCCAGTTCAGCCAGCATCTGCACACGAACCACAACATTGTATGCTCGACCGTAAGACTCAGTAACTAGAGAAGTGAGTTCGCTGTCCAGACTCTCGCGCGCTTTCGTGATATGGTGGAGAGCCTTCTGGTAGTGCGAGTCGTGCACCGAGAGGATAGCTCTGTAGAAGAAGCGGTCAGGAGACTCTTGTTTCATTACAGTAATATAATTATCCATCATTTCCCAATTGTTCAGCGACCAAGCAGCAGCAGCAGCCAGCGGCGCCATAGCGCGACGCTCTTCGTGTCCGGCATTAACCCACTTATTTTGCACGAAGTCTGACAGCTGCTCCCACTCTCCAAGTGCATGGAGACACTTCATTCGTCCGAGCGTCACTTCAGGCGAATCACCTTCGATCTCCGCCTTCTCAGCGTAGGCGACCAGAGCCTCGTGCCATCTGCCGAGTTTCTCGTACCATTCTTCGTGGTGCACTATATCTAATTGCTCCCTAGCATATTTGAGCGTACCCCACGCTGCATCCTGTTGCTGCAACTTGGTGTTAACATGCACTAAGCTCTCAATAACAGTTGGCGTAGCCTCAGTGAGGAATTCCAATTCTTGGTAGTGGAGTGCCTTTGCGTATGCGTGAACATTCATTGCGTATTCACCTAGCAATGGAATGTCAATCGGGAGTGGCTTGTCGTCATGCTCCATAAATTCAGCCAAATTGAGCAAAGTGTGCACAACATCTGGTGGTGCTGATGGTGATGTCAGCGCTCTTTCCATTGCTTTTCCAAGTTCGTCTTGATACTGGTCGTATAGATCCGTCCAGCACGAAACAAATGCTGCATTAAACAGTTCTCTCAGTAAAGGTGGATGAGCTTCAGCTAATCCTCTGCAAGCGCGAAGAGCATGCGATGGAGATTCCTTCAAGAACTCAATACCCAATCGCCTCAACCAGTCAGTCCAGTCTTCTCTGTTTTGAATGAGCTCCACATTTTCAATACCGTATGCCTTTTTGAGATGCTGCTGGTTGGCAATCAGCTTGGTATTTTCAACAGGTGGCTGATCGTCTGTCTTCTCTGCCGCAAAGCTGTCAAAGATACTGTAATCCTGTGGAAGTCTTTCGCCGTTCAAAAGCATATTGACAAATTGATTATATGGACCATGTTGAATACGATGTTTGAGCAGCACTTTGGAGATCATCGGTACGAAAACTGCGAAATCAGGACCAAGCTGCAGGACCAAAGCTGCCAGAATATCCATGGCAGCATTGCGCAATTCGGCAGGACCAGACGAAAGCACTCTAGCTAACGGGTGAATTATTCTTGAAGCATGATCACAAAAATTGACCTGTCTCGACAGCTGACCGATGGTGATAATAGCAGCTTTCCTTAACTGCACAGTCGACTCTGGTCGCTCGATAGTCTTGACAATAGCAGGTACGACGAGGTGGAGATACTCTTCAACGTTCGATCCAAAGACTGAGAAAGCTCGAAGAATGCGAATAAGAGTTGGCTGGCGTTTATCTGCTAATTCAAAGTCAAATGTTTGTAACATAGGTGGAAGGAGTACTGGTAAATGGACTCTGAATTCCCCTTCAAGTGCTTTTGCGAGGATTTCAATGAGCGAGATGATTGTTATTTGTAGGGTGGAGTTGGGATTCCAAAACTCTCTGATCAATTCCAATATGTCAGTTAAGAAGTTTCTAATGTGGTGCTTGACAATGCTAACGAGAATAGCAAGTTGCTGGAAGTAAAATTCTTGCAGAGAAGGCGCACACGATCTTATAACACCCATGAAGGCAGGAACGATCTGGATCGAGTCAGTATAAAAAACTTCCACCTTGAGCACATTTCAACCTACCTGAGGTAAATATGAAACACACTTCAAGCCCTGTGTTTTAAATATGTTCATGATAGCCTCGATAACGGCGTGGTGGTGGTTACTAAGAGAGGGATCTTTGAGCATATTGACGAGAGCGTTAAACGCTACCGTTTGATAGAAATCGTCGCTGGTATTCTGATTAGATGGTGTTACAACATCAGCAGGATAGATGGTCACAGATTCGGTAGTGACGTCCGATACAGGCTTCTCAATGTCCTTGTGTTTGTATGGATCGAGGGCACCAAGCAAACCCATCACACGCACCGTTTCAGTGCGCGTTGAAGGTGTCTGGTCAGTCTGCAATATCTTCACCAACGCATCCAACAAGCCAGGGTATCTGAGGTAAGGCTCGATGACGTAACCAGTGTTAGAAACGACCTGACCAAGCGTCCTCAATGCAGCGTCTCGTCTGAGTAATGATGACTGGTCATGAAGGGTTTCTATCAGAAGTGGCATGATAATGTCAACGTGGCTCATTAATTCCTCACCACCAACTTGGGCCAATTCACCAATACAGCAGAGAACGTTTGAAGATACAGTGGAGCTGTTGTCTGAGGCTTTTGGAAGCAGCACTTTCATCATTGGGTTGGCGTATGGCTTGATCAGTCTCTGAGAAGCACTGACGAGCAGGCCCAACAATCTTGCACTCTCCTCCTTATTACGGCGTACTGTGGAATACTCTAACTCCGTCAGCAGCTGGATGAGAGCCTTACGGAGCGAAGGCATGACGTAGGCTGGGTTGTGACAAGAGAGTCGACCGATAATCTTGATAGCAACCTCTCGAACAGCAAATACTTCATCGTTCAACGCTATAAACAAAGACCTTACATTTTCAGCCTGAGCTAGGTGTCTGTCAAACTTTTCATCTAGCGATTGGAGAACGGATAGTCTAATGTCGTACTCAGGATCGGCAATAGCCAGAGTCATGAGTTTGTCCAGCATGTCGCCTATGATCTCTATAGCATGTGTTGAAGTCTGGTATGTGACAGGGTCATGAATAAAGGTAATGGAGCAGGTGAGGGCAGCAGCCTTGCGTATCTCAGCATTATCATCGTCTACGAATGGTAAAGCAGTATCACGGACAAACTCGTTGAGAATGTGACCGCTAAAATCGAAAGAGCCCAAAGTCTGTAAAGCTAGTTGAATCACTTCGGGTTTCTTAGCTTCAGAAGCTTGTACTTTGGATAACTCTCTAGCGGCAGCTGTTTGCGAGCTGGAAGGGTTAGGAGCACCAAGAGCTCGGTAAGACTTGTCGCTCAATATCAACGAAAGCATATTGAGTAACCTATCTTGAATGGTTTTGAGGAGGGGTGGTATGTATTTAGCTATATCCCTCAAAGCGTTGACAAGCGATTCTGATAACTCTGTGCTGAAGATCTCTCCCAACAACTCATGTACGTGTTTAGCCAAGGATGGACCAATTGCGGCTGCAAGTTTTCCCAAACATTGCAGAATGGCATCTTCAGGAATTATGTAACCCTTTTTCGAGCGGTGACGGAGTTGCTCGTCGATGGTAAACATGGCACTGTCCATATAATCCTTCATGGCACTTCCTACAGCACTGGCTACATGGCCTACGGCGTTATATGCAACAGTTCTTTCCCTCTCCTTTCGGATTGCACTCATAAGATGACCCATACTCAACCTAAGCTTCGTCTGTGTAAAAGCTTGAGGATCATAAGTGGCGAGAGTTGGAATGAGAAGTATTACAGTCTTGCGTATGAGAAAATCCCTGTGATCTTTGTAACGCAATATCAAATCACAGACGTCACCGAAACGAGGTTTTAAGAACATGCCAGCATGCAGGAGTAAATCTCTGTACACCAGGAGAGAAGCGTGGATGGTATCAACAGTGTTTATCTTAAGGCCAGCTTCTGCCTTTGCGTAGATGGAGTATTGCATATCATTTCTATTCTGTGCTTTACGACGCTCCAAAATAACCAAACAAGCGGATAAAGCGTCTGAAGCAGCTTCTCTGATGGTGACTTTAGGGTCACGCAGAGCGATCCAAATGCGTTCAATAGCTCTAGTGACAAAGGTATTGAATAACGCAGGACTATTCTGTGCGAGCTCTTTGATGATTAAAACGGCAGCGTATCGACCGCCTTCAGATCTGTCACCGGTGAGTAGTTCAAGTGCACGTGGAGCCTCGAAATCGATGAACTGTTCACCCAAGTAAGCACCACCAACGCGGGCAATGTGGCCTAAGCACTGAGAAGCGGCAATCATGACGTTCATGTCGCTGCAGGGGAGAGCAGGTTTGAGGTAGTTGTAGAAACGATAAAGCCGCTGCTTTTCTACTTGAATATCCAACAGAATATCTGTGAGTTGTTAGTTGAAACCATTGAATTTCGCGCGACTTGCCAATTGCGACGATTCCACCGAGCTTTTCATGGGGATAGTTGCTGTTGATTAATTCGAACAACCTGCGCATGACTTCAGATTGGAGCTTTGTGACGCTCTCAGCGCTGAGCTCAGCATTACAGCCAATGAACTGAGAGATATGTGAGGGAGTGGAGAAGTGGAGATATGGGACGCACGAACTGCTGTAATTCGTGTGCAGCTTCGTTGCGTAGCTTTGGATCTCTGCTGCGTAAGCCCGCAAAGATACGCGCTAAGGCGTCTGTGTACATGATATTATTTTATGGATGATGGTTGTAATGAAGATGGCGAGATGGTAGCGCAAGATGGCTTGCAATTGCACCACGATGATAAGAAATGGATTAGATTTGTTGGCGAGGAGAAGTCCAATACATAAACCAATATTCAAAACATTATTTGGATTGGATATCAAATTGGGTTCGTTCTACTGTGCTTGTCTTATTCGGCGCACTGACTTTAGCATCCAGGCTGTACGATAATAACAGCATTTGCGCTATTTAACAAGGTCGCTGGTGTTTATGGGGTTAATGTTATATTCACTGGTGGTACATTTGCGCAGTGCACCATGTACCTCTATAGCGTTGGTACACTCGCTGGCTTTGTTTGGGGATTGAAGCAGATTACAGAGGAGAATCCAACCAACTCGCTATTATATGCGAACATGTTCGCAATTGATCATATTATTTCATCAATCTACTCAGCTGTTTTCTTCAAGCATTGGTACTTTGACGAGCCTCACGATGGACGGCGGGCGGATGTAGGCGACCTCACGAAAGGCTGGGGTGGCGTCGCACATCAGGATCTTACAGAGATGGATAGAATAACAGCCGCCAAGGAGATATGGGGACGCGAGAAGGTGTTTGCAGGATTAGTCCTTCTCAGCGGCTTTGTTGCGAAGGTCTACTTCATATTGATAATATACTCTTTCTCTTTATCACTTATACAGGGCACTTACGTTAGCAATAACCAAAGCAATAGAGCAAACTACAGGAGTAATAATAGCAATCAAGATGAATAGATTAATGTTTTACATGTTGTTGTGTGCCTTGTGTGCTGTCGATTAAAAACCATCTTGAAATTGCTTTATTTTGTAGGCGTAGTACGCACCGCTGGTGAGACCTAAAGCGGTAAGCATCTTAGGTAAAGCGCTTGCTCTGACTCTGCCAATCGAAGAGGCAGTCAGCAAAGCAGAAGCAGCTAAAGCAGATTCGAAGCCATAGTCCATGTTTTGTTGAATCAAGTAGCCGCTACTAGCTGTGATTGATTAGAGCAGCAGATAGTACCGACAGCTAACCCACCAAATGCAGCCGAAGTTAAAAGACCACCGAAAAGACTTGCCTTTGAGCCTTTCTTAATGAAGCCCATAGCTCCACCTAAGCCAGTTAAGCCAGCAAGAGAGAAGGCGAGGTGATGACTCATGGGTGATGTAGAGAGGGTGTAAACAAAACGTGTCAAACGCGTAAAAGGTGTAAAATATAAATAAGAATCAATTATTTTGGTGTGTTTAATTGAGGGGTTTTGTCTTGCAATGATTCTGTGTGTGTTTGTTAGAGTTTGGAGTGTTTCAACGATGAAAACGAACCAGAATTTGATTTGAATTGCATTTCTAACGTGGAAGGCGATTGGTTGAGAGATTTATATATTGAATCTCTAGTTTGGTGTGTTAATGATGTTTAATACGTTTCAAACATCCCCACCTAACGCTATTAACCAAATCAGGATCTTCCCTTCTAATCCAAACACTTATAATATCCTCTGCTGCCCTTATAGAAACCACAGCTCCGCAGAGATCATTGATATCGTCAACCATATTACAACCAATGATACTAAGTAACAAATCTTCCCAGAGCTGATCAACAATACCTTTCCTAAGCCTAAGAATCCATTTACCGCCTTTTATGTTTTCGGGATCTTCCCAGACAGGTCTTACGCCTGAACGGAATAGCTGGTAATCGGTGACGACGGGGAGAGTGGAAGGTGGTTTAAGATAAGCGTAGGTGTTCCAGAATGCTGGTAACTGTGACTGGTGTTAGAATTGCGCATTCTCCCACCAAGCACACTACTAACACTATCAAATCCAGCAATTTTAATTAAATCTTTCTGGTAATCAATTATCTTTGAAGAAGGTGGCCTATGTATCCCCCAAACTGTCCACGATGTACTCAATTTTAATGTCATTTCTGTATGCTGATTGGTAGTGCGTGTTCAACCAGGATCACCAAATGCATCTAATCACTCTGGCTACGTGAGAATCTACTCCTTTTACTATCATTTCTAATCCATCCTCTAGCTGGTAAATTCGGCTTCATTTTCGTATAAATATTCTCACCAATCTCACTCAGCTCACTTAACCAATGGGCTTTGGATTTTCAGGGAAATTACGAAAGAATCCTTGAGAGCATCAAAGTCGCTAAATCTCGCGGTGCTTCTCTACGCGTTGGCCCTGAGCTTGAGATTACGTGGGTCTACTACGCGTTTGATTTCGTTATCCACTTGCTTATCTTTCTTCTTCTACTTTTTCCTCTTACAGCGGCTATGGCTGCTTGGATCATTACTTGGAGGGTGACACTATCCTTCACTCATGGGAAATTCTCGCCAAATTACTCCAAGATGACCACACACATGGCATCATTTGCGATATTGGCATGCCTCTTAGACATAAGAACGTCACTTACAATGCCAGAGTTATTATCAATGATGGCAAGATTCTTCTTATTCGTCCAAAGATGTGGATGGCCAATGACGGCAATTACCGCGAACTGAGACACTTTTCTCCGTGGTTGAAACACCGCCAAACGGAGGACTTCTTCTTACCGCGCATCATACAATCAACTACCCAGCAGACTACTGTTCCAATTGGTGACATTGTCTTGTCAACGCTCGATACCTGCGTCGGGGTTGAGTTGTGCGAGGAGCTCTTCACTCCAGCAGCTCCACACGTCAATATGGGTTTGGATGGTGTCGAGATATTCACCAACTCCTCCGGAAGCCACCATGAGCTCCGTAAGCTAAATAGACGTATGGAGCCGATCAAGGAGGCTACACTGAAGGTGAGCAGGGGGTGTATCTTGTACCACACCTACAGCTAAATTAACGCATCGCTTAGCTTGGTGGTATTTACCTGTATGCTAACCAACGCGGCTGCGACGGTGACAGGTTGTACTACGATGGTTGTGCCATGATAGTGTTGAACGGCGAGGTAGTTGCTCAGGGTCCTCAATTCGCTCTTACAGACGTAGATGTCGTCACGGCCACTGTGGATATGGAAGACGTGCGCTCGCGCCGCACCTCCATCAGCCGCAATCTGCAAGCAGCACAGAGTGGGGCACTTCCACGCGTACACGTCCCTAAGGCTCTATCCTACGGTGTAGGCGAGAATTTTCTTGCTGCTCAACCTTCCCAGCCCGCTCCTCTCACTATACACCGCCCCGAAGAAGAAATAGCGTGAGTGGGGATGCTAGCCGAGCCCATGCAAATACACACGCAGACAACTGACGTTCCTCATTTGTTAGTCTCGGTCCCGCCTGCTGGCTGTGGGATTATCTGCGCAGGTCGCGCACGCAGGGCTACTTCCTCGCACTGAGCGGAGGCATTGACTCGTGCGCTTCGGCTACCATCGTTAGCTCAATGTGTCGCCTGGTTGTTAAGGCCTGTCAGAACGACGGTGAGTTTGTGCTTGGGCTTCTGCGCGTGGCTTGCTTGGCTGCGAGCTGAGAAGCTGAGACACACCCCAGAACAGCACGTACTCGCTGACGTCAGACGCATCACTGGCGAACCCGATCACTCGACGTATGTCCCCGCAGACCATCGCGAGCTATGCAACAGAATCTTCTATACTTCCTACATGGGCACGGAGAATAGCAGCGACGAGACACGCCAACGCGCCAAGGATCTCGCCCACGATATCGGCAGGTGGGTACTTTGCTTAGCTATTTGATTCAATGGCGCTGTCTCATCCAAATTACTAACTCCCCTCATAGCTACCACGTCGACATCAACATGGACGCTGTGATTGGTGCTATACGAGACCTCTTTGGGTTAGCTACGGGACACAAACCGAAATTCAGAGCACACGGCGGCAGCTATGCGGAGAACATAGCTCTGCAGAATATACAGGCACGTCTGCGTATGCTGCTCTCATATCTCTTCGCACAGCTGTTGCCTTGGGTGCGCGGCCGCGTCGGCGGACTGCTCGTCCTCGCCAGCAGCAATGTGGATGAATGGTGGGTGGTTGCTGTGCTTAGCGCTCTGTGCGCCAAACTAAATGTACTTCAGTCTGCGCGGTTACCTCACCAAATACGACTGCTCGAGCGCGGACCTCAACCCTATTGGCAGCATCAGCAAGACTGACTTGAAGCGCTTCATCGCTTGGGCGCAGTACGAATTCGACCTTCCGATACTTGAAGGGTGAGTTGGAGTTTAGCTGGCGTTTTAGCGTGTCGTGCTGAGTAGACCACCACCTCTAGATTCTTGCACGCCACTCCAACAGCAGAACTCGAGCCTATTACCCATAACTACGTGCAATCGGACGAGGTAGGTGTTGCGCGGGTGTTGCACACACACTAACAACATACTAAGGCCGACATGGGAATGACGTGTGCGTGCGAGTGTACAGCCGAGAGCCGTCCCTGCTAACACTCTTCGCTCAGACGACCAGCTCTCCGCGTTCGGTAGACTGCGCAAGGTAGAGAAATGTGGTCCATTTAGCATGTTCACCAAGCTGCTGTCTGAGTGGAAAGATGTCATGGCGCCAGCCGAGGTGGGTGCTTGCTTGCTATTGTGTGAGTTCAGTGCGCTAATTGGACACGCAAAGATCGCCGAGAAGGTGAAGAAGTTCTGGTTCGAGTATTCGCGCAACAGACACAAGATGACGACATTGACGCCGTCGTACCATGCTGTGAGTTGGTGTGGTTCGACGGCTTCCCAACTGACTCCATTTCTAGGAAAGCTACTCACCAGATGACAACCGCTTCGACTTGCGCCCTTTCCTCTACAACGCTAGATTTCCCTACCAGTTCGAGAGGATTGACGACACAGTGAAGCGCGTTGAGCAGCTTCAAAAAGAGGTAGAGACACAGCAAAAGTAAATTGTGATATTTTGTATGTATGGTTGACAATGTAGAAATAAATTAACGATAGTGATACTTTGGATCAAGTCAAAAGAACCAATCAACGCCTAGTTGAAGTGCGACCTTTTCTACCCACACCTGCACGCGGACTGGAGTAGTAAGCGTAATGTGAGGCAAAGTTGGGAGATGTGAAAGCATCTTGTGGGATAGCCGGCAATTCGTTATCTTTTACTATCGGATATGGACTGCTCTGTTTAGGAGAGCGCTTGTCCTTGATAGGTAAGTGATTAGTCCACGGTTTAACTGGTGGTGCAATAGGAGAGCTACCCGGTGTCCATTGACGCATTGTTGGTGCTTGTCTCTGCGACTCCTTCTGCATGGCCTGGAGTTGTCTCAAATTTGTTATCTTGGTGGGAGCGGTAGTATATTTGTCGAGGACGGCTGGATGGATTGGTTGGATATCTTTCATGTCCTTGGTGTGCTTATTTTCCATCGCTTTAATATCGTCGAAAGAACTACCGGACGACAGCGAGGTCTTTGACGAGCTACCGACTGTTTCGTCCTCCACTTCCATCGCTTCGCTCTTGGCCTTTTGCCTGCGTCTGTAGCACTTGATGAGCGAGACAAAGGCGATGAGCAGCACGGCGAAAACGAATACTGAGATTGTTATTGGCAGCACTTTCATGCCGTCTATGGCCAATTTTTTGTCTTTGTTTGCATCGAAATCTCTGACACGAATGGATGGGGGCATCACATCGTCATCCTCATTGCTACTGCTGCCACTGGCGATTGTCTCATTCAAAACTCCGCGAGGAACCATGTTAACCCCGGCAATAGGCAGAGACGGATTCTCCCAGTGTCTAAACATCGACTCTTGTTTTGGTAGTTGAAACTGCATCTGCATCTGCTCGAACCAGCCGAGATCAGCGAGATGGGGTGTAGGCTGTTGTTGCGCGTGTGGCTTTGTGTAGTCCAAATATATAGCTGGCATTATGTAGCGTGTGTAGTGTGTAATGCGTAGTGTGCTTATTTGCGTCGCAACCAGGCGAATAAGGTGAAACAAGAGGATGATTAGTGAGTAAACTTGTGGGCAGAAGGACTGAGAAACCAGCTCTCAGGGTGTATAGTGTTGGTTGAGAGTTTTGTGTAGGTCCTCACTGAACTTGGTCAACCGCTCTGATTCGCCCGGTTAGGAAAGTTAGCCTAAAATTTTAGCTCGAATGACCGGAAAAGGAAGGTGAGCGCGTAGAGGGCTAATTAAAAAGAGGAAGAATGAAAGAGGTAAGGAATTTACGCGTACGTCTTATCAATCGACGTCATCCATGTTATCGATATCGACATCGTTCTCCTTGTACACGGCTAAAGTGTTGTTTAGCCCAACATTCCTAGCATGCTTCAGGACGTTAATCATAGCCCTATCGATATCATTTGAGTGGACATCGCCATTCTCGAGGACGATGGATGGATAGAAGACGTAAGTCCAATCTGTGTGGGAGCGAGCGAGTGAGTAAGTAGCTGGAATAACCGAAGAACCCCACGTACCTCTGAGAATAAGATCGTCTGCTCCACCGCGAGCAGTAACCATAGACTGCTGTACAACGGAAGTGATACAATTACGAATCCGCTTGCGCAGTCTATTCCTCACTACAGCCTTCTTTGAAGTGAAAGCTATGGGCGTGATTACGACCAGAGGCAACTCCGCCACATTCATCCGCTTCAAGCCGTATCCATCCTGCCGACCAATAGCATCGAGGTACAACCAAAACCTCAGACCAAAGTCGTTGTGTGCGAATGGCAGAGAACTCAGTTTAGTTTGTATGAGTGCGTGTGTTTTGGACGGCGGGAGAATCTTCAACGTGAAGTACGCGTGCGGGAAGGTGAACAAACCGCGATCACCCAATGTACCAAGATTGACGCCGTAGCCAAAAGAAAGAATTTTCACAGATTTATTTGTCTTTTTACTGAGCAATATCTGGCTGCGCTGCATTCAAGAAGATCGAAGACCAAAAAATGTCATTTGAATTGATAATTCCAACAGCAACGAAGGATGTTCCATATGGTGCTATCGGTATAGCCCATTATCTATCCACAAACGCTGATCCTGCGTGCTCCCCATTCGAGTACTCCCATGTAGATGTACACACGGATTTCAGCGACGACGCCAAAGCGGCTACCTTCAAATCCGCAGATGGCGCCCAAGTCACTGATCTCCACACTATTCTTTCAGTCTTGGCCCACGCTGGTAACATCTCAGGCCAGTCGGAGGACAAGGGCTTAGTCGAGGCTTATGTCAGCGACGCAGCGGCTATGTCCAAGCAATCATTCCCTCAGCTGACGCAATCACTCAACAAGCTCGATGATATTCTCTTTCTCCATGCGTTCCTCGTTGGATACGCACCAACTGTTGCTGATTTTGCTATTTGGAGTTCAATCAAGTGTGAGTGCGGTTAGGTAGTCGTGGCACGTCGCTAAATGTGCTTCTAAGCCTCATCACTCGCTCTCGGCATTCTCAAGAAGAATCAGCACCAAAATGTTGTCAGATTCCTTTCCTTCTTCGACACTCTCGCTCAGCCAGCGTTGCAAGCCCACGCAGCAGCCAAGTCTAAGAAGGCGTCTACCAAGACGGCCTCTGGTGGTTTCAGTATGGGTTTGAAGAACGCAGAGCAAGGCAAGGTTGTCACTCGTTTCCCACCAGAACCCTCTGGATACTTGCACATTGGTCACGTAAAGGCAGCTATGCTCAACGACTACTTTGCCAAGATGTACAATGGCACGCTGCGCATCAGACTCGATGACACCAACCCTGTCAAAGAGGACACAGAGTACCAAGACGTGATTTTAGAAGATCTCAAAATGATGGGTATCACATCTAAGCTGGTTACCTTCACTTCCGACTACTTTCAACTCCTCTACGACAAGGCTATCGAGCTTATCAAACTCGGTAAGGCATACGCAGACGACACACCTGCAGAGGAGCTCAAAGCACAGAGATTCAACCGCCAGCCTTCAAAGCACCGCGATATGCCAGTCGATGAGGTACTCAAGCATTTTGAGGAGATGAGCAAGGGTACAGAAGAAGGCAACCGCTGGGTCCTTCGCGCTAAGATCAACTATGCAAGCGATATAGGCACGATGCGTGATCCTAACATCTACAGAGTGGTGCCACACGCTGACCACCACCGCACGGGTAAGCAGTGGAAGGTATACCCACTCTACGACTTCTGCATGCCGATAATAGATTCCGTGGAGGGTGTGACCCATGCACTTCGTTCGAACGAATACCACGAGCGTAATCCACTGTACAACTGGATCGTCGATACGCTCTCCATGCGCAGAGCTGAAATTTGGGACTTTGGAAGAATGAACTTCACCTACACTCTACTTTCTAAGCGCAAACTGGGTAAACTCGTTGAAGCTGGTAGTGTGAAAGGTTGGGATGACCCTCGCTTCGCTACTGTTAGGGGTATTTTGCGCAGAGGTATGACTGTCGATACACTGCGCGAATTCATCCTTCTACAGGGTCCATCACAGAGCGTCGTCAACCTCCAATGGGACCAGATCTGGTCTATGAATAAGCAGCGTATTGATCCCGTCATTCCACGTTTCACAGCTTGCGAGAAAAAGCATCTCGTAAAGGCTGTTGTGAATGGCGCCCCATCGTCTATCGAATACAAGGAGCTTCCTCGCCATGCTAAGAACAATGATCTCGGTACGAAGAAGGTTGCTTTCTCTAACGAGGTTTACATGGACCAGGAAGACGCACAGTCGTTCGCCGATGGCGAAGAAATCACCATGATGGCCTGGGGTAACGCTTTCGTTAAGGCGAAGGAGGTAAATAGTGAGGGAATGGTCACTGGACTCACCCTCGATCTGCACTTGGAGGGTGACTTTAAGAAGACTAAGAAGAAGGTGACGTGGTTGTCCGCTAAGAATGATTTCGTTGGCGTTAAGCTGATGGACTACGATTATCTCATCAACAAACCTCGTTTGGAGGAAAGCGACAACTTAGACGATTTCCTCACTCCTGTCACAGAATTCGTCACGGATGCTGTCACCGATTCTAACATCAAGTCACTCAACAAAGGCGATCGCTTCCAGTTCGAGAGAAAGGGTTACTTTATTGTGGATGCTGTCAAGGAAGATGGCACATACGAACTGATAAAAATCCCAGACGGCAGGGTGGCATCGACTATTAGCAAGGGTGATGAGAAGGCGCAAGCTAAGCAGGCTGCGCAGCCCAAGAGAGATAAGAGGGAGAAGAAGGAGAAGGGTAAAGAGGGTAACGCTGGCAAGGCAGGTAAGGCGCCTTCTGTCACCGACATTGCACCTTCACAGGCAATTGAGTACCTCAGTCTGAGCGACAAGAATGATGGCTTTGAGATACCTGTCAAGAGCAAGATGTACAATGTCGGTAGTGTTTTTGGAGATGAAAAGGTGGACACCAATGTCAAGACGGACATGTACAAGGTGGATCCAATTTACAAGCACTAGACGGGCCATTAGCAGGGGAACTTGTAAGAGACACGATAAAGAGCTATTCAAAAGAACATCATTTATAGGATATGATCATGACATGAAATTGGTGATTGATAATAATCTCAAATTTTAAGACTCGAAAGTGAATGCAGCGCCGATCTTGTGAGCTGAAGGACCAGCCGAAGTGTCGTTGAGGCGTTGGGTGTCGAGAGCGAGACCGAAAGAGGCCTTAACGCCTGGACGGAGAGCTTGAGTGTAGCCGAGGGCGAGGATACCAGCGTTGTTAATCTTGCTCTTGACAAAGGCAGCGTTGTCGAGGTAAGTCTTAGCGCCGACTTCGAGGTTGACGTTGGAAGGACCAATCTTGGTGTCGTAGATGGCCTTGGCGCCAGCTTCGACGTCGCGGCTGACTCTGTGGTAGTAAGAAGCGGCGAAGACGTTGAGGTTGTTGAGACCGTGGAGGGTGACAGCATACTCAGGGGCCGAGTAACCAACAGCAGCAGCGTATTTGCTGATCTTGCCGTCTTGAACCGAGTAAGAAGTCTCGGCACCAGCGAGTAAACCGTCCTTGCCGACGACCGAGTCGAGGGTGAAAGTAGGACCCTTGAAAACATCCAAGAAGGCGCGGCCGTGGAGACCTGGTTGCTTGAAAATGGCGCCTGCGAGTGCAGACTTACCACCGCCTTGAGGAAGGAGAGAAGATTGAATGTCGAGCTTAAGGCCCTTTGCGATGTTGTTCTCTAATTCTAATTGAGATTTGAGGACATTTGAGGTGGTCCACGCTTGAGTGAAGATGACGCCTTTGGAAGCATCAACGTATTTGCCTTCAATGTCGCCGTTGATGTTTGCAGATTTTGAGTCACGGAGACCAGAAACCTTGAAAGAGACATTTGAAGGGGTCTTGGTCTTTACTTCTAATTGAGTGCCGTTGATTGGGAAATCCTTGCTGAGGAGGTCGTTGGCTGATTTGCCGAGATCCTTGGGGAGTGTGAGTGGGGTAGATAAGTATAAAATATATATAATACCTTCCAGGATGGTGGTACTGCTGCTGGTGCTGACATCTTTCTTGTTTTGTTGGTCGTAGTGTTTGAACCAGCGGAATCGATCAAGGCGTGAGATTATTCATTTAAAATTTGATTATTTAATTGTACAAGGTAAAATATTTTAAATATATATTTTAAATATGTATTTTAATTTATCGGCTGCCCAATTCTCGGTCTTCTTGCATGACACGGCAGTACAATCTCGATGAAATAGCATCTTTGGATTACCTACTAACTTATTACGTTGTACAGATTTCAGGTAGTGTTGGACACCTCTTCTTACTCCTCCTCACCATCATTTCCCGCTCCATACATCACAACGGGGTTATTATCAACTTCTACTTGATATTCAGCTTTACGCTGTGGATAGATGCTATTCTATTGTACACCGGTCACCTCACTTCCCAAACCCACCAAATCCCCCCTTCAATACGCATCATTAACTCCAGTATCAGGTGGGTTAGTCCACTCGGGTGATTTCGGTAATCTCGCTAAACATTTCCACACAGAATGACAGGAATGCTAGCCAACACCTGCACAACCCTTACTGTCGTCTTTAGGCTTTTCATAAGCGTTAACACCGCTCTCAGTACTCGCCTCGCTAAAATTTTATCCAAGATCTCAGACACTATCTTGATTTTAGTTCCTTGGGTGTTGAGTATGCCATTCTTCATCGCTTATTTAGCACGCACTATTCCACACCCAGATTTAGTCATCCGAACGCCCTATTTCTGTGACTACAATGGTAGTGTGTTGAATAAAGTCGTTACCAACCTCACTCTGGCACTAATGTGTCTGATACTGGTGCTGGCAATACTCACCGCTATTCTCCTCATCAAACTCCGTTCAAGTCAGCACGGTTTGGTGTACGTGAAAACATCAATCGACGTTGTCCTCGGTTGTCGCATACTTCTCTTCCTCGTCTACTCACTCACTACGGTGGTTGTACTAAGCGGTACGCTTAACGACGCTTGGGGGAGTTTCAGCGATGGCCCCACCCTCGCTTTCGGTTTGACCGGTTTCTGGGCTTTCCTCTTGTTCTTTATTCAACCAGACACCTTCAACGCTATTATGACTTGCTTCGGGCTTAGAAAGTCGCGGAATAGACAGAGACGCCCCTCCTTCCTCTCTGTCAGCGCTAGTCGACCACGGGGAACTGAGCGGCATGAATTCGACGGGAATTTAACTTTCAATGGGAGTCTAAATGTTCGGAGTAGTGGGAGTGATGAATGTGGGGATGTCAATGGCTGGGTTGATAAACGGCGGCTTGACAATGCTGATTCAAGGTGTTTAGGCGGTGGCAGTAGTAGGTGTAGCTCAAGTAGCTCGAGTACGACACACACGACACACACGACACATACAACACATACAACTCACACAACTAATACGGATACCTACCCAAATATTTTCACTGAAATACACACTCACAAAAACACAGACAGCGATACGTCGCATTAAGGTTGACATGTACTTGTACTTCTATATTTACTAACAGCATACATTGTATTAATAGACGCGCTTATAGATATTCTAATAGGCTTTGTCCGCTGCTTCTGGGACCAACTAAAACAAGGTCACTTTGGAGAAAAATTCACCTCTCCCACTATAATAGATAAGCTCATTGATCCTGCTTTCAATGTTAAATTTAAGAATCACCCGCCCCGGAACCCAACTTAGGCTTTCGAAGAATCAAGCTTACGCTTCTTGGTTTATCTTACGTAACAAGATGTTTAGAGAGGGATTTGCAGCAATCTCTGTAATTTCATGGCACACACGCCAAATACGACATATGAACAAATATATTCCACGGACTTTTATTCATTTCTCGCATCCCACGACCCCTAGTTCCCACACAATCATGTCAAATTCTGAATTCTACAATCTCAGCGCAGAGAAACCAAACGGCGAAGAATACAAGTTTGATAGTTTAAAGGATAAGGTCGTGCTTATTGTGAACACAGCGAGTGAGTTAATGTCACCGGTTATATCACACGGTTCTAAGCGTGGTACACACCAGGCAAATGCGGCTTCACGCCACAGTACACGGGACTTGAAGAATTGCACAACGCTTACAAAGACAGGGGATTGGTAGTGTGAGTGGTGTGACGTCGTCGTTGTCAATCCCCGCTAACGACGCACGACGCAAATAGCCTTGGATTCCCTTGCAATCAGTTCGGTGGACAAGAGCCAGGCAGTGACAGCGATATTGACAACTTCTGTAAGATCAATCACGGTGTTTCGTTCCAGCTTTTCAAGAAATCAGACGTCAATGGTGATAATACGAATGAGGTTTTCAGATGGCTTAAAGAAAAGAAGCCACAGCTTATGATGGGCAGAATCAAGTGGAACTTTGAGAAATTCCTCATCGATAAGCAGGGAAATGTCGTCAATAGATACTCATCCATGTCTAAGCCAAGTGAAATAGCTAAAGATGTTGAGAAACTCGTCTAACAATTCATTTTATTCAAATACATTTCTTACTTTAAAGTGAAAATTTTTACAAAGTGAATGACGCGATGAATATCAAATATCTTGGAATACGTCATTCATCATCGCATCATGATCAAAGTACTCGTTACAGGCGCAACAGGTTTGCTAGGCAGAGCAATTATGCACAACCTCCGCGCGGACAGCTCTGTCCAAGTATTAGGATTGGGTTATAGTAGAGTTGGTGAAGGTGTTATCAAATGCGATATCACAAATCACGACGAGTTGAAGGGTGTCGTAGAGCATCACTCACCAGATGTAATCATCCACGCCGCTGCTGAAAGGCGTCCAGATGTCGCAGCGAATGATCCTGCAGCGACGGAGCACCTCAACGTGGCTGTTTCAGCAAACGTGGCTGGTTTAGCGAGGAGTGTAAAGGCAGCACTCATCTATATATCCACTGATTACGTGTAAGTGGGGGTATTTGTCGGTATCCACTCAATTGCTCAATTAAAATCACTCAGCTTCGACGGCACTAAACCGCCATATGAGGTCACTGACACACCAAACCCACTCAATCTCTACGGCAAGACTAAGCTGGCTGGCGAGAAGGCAGTGCATGAGAATAATCAAAGGTCAATCGTCGTCAGAGTCCCTGTTCTTTATGGCAAAGTAGAGAACAACAAGGAGAGCGCTGTGACGGTACTCATTGATGGCGTTAAAGATAGTTTGAACGCTCCAAAGAAGTTTGAGCATTTGTCGAAGCGTTTCCCAACCCACGTTGAGAATGTTGCTCAAGCGTTGAATGCCTTGTCAAAATGGGTTGCTAGTGCCGACAATATCACTCCTATTATCCATTACACTTCAACAGAAGGTTATACGAAATATGAAATGGCATGTATCTTTGCGGATATACTGGGAATTCCAAGAAATGGATTAATCGCTGATACTCAAGAGCCTCAAGGTGCAGCTGCTGTCAGTCGTCCAAAAGACTGCCAGCTTTCGAGAAACAAGTTGGACGATCTCAATTTGGACATGAAAGAGGACGTGCACTTTGTGGAGTTTTTCAAATCTCAATTGTTATAGATTCTCATAAGCTATTATAAGCTACCATAAACTATTTCGCACGATATATTCCATTTTAGGTTTTTATTATTTTCATTTTAATTCAAATTCCAAAACCCTTTTTAGGTGCGCTTACGTTCTGTTTCTGAGCCGTCGACACTAAAAATACGCGATATGAAATTATTGGGAGCAGCAGCAGCAGCAGCAGCAGTGGCACTATTCGCACCAGCATACGCGGCAGAAGAGGATATCTACGGTACCTGGTCGTCTGGTTCTGGCGGTGTACAGACAGGTGAAGGATTCTGTACGCCACAAGAGTACAGCTTCAATATCCCAAACACCACAGGAACGAGCTACTCGTTTACTGAAGATGGCTACTATGAGGAAGCTTCTTACAAGTTCAGATCAAACGCAACTCATCCACAATGCATACAAGCAGTCCTCACTTGGCAGCACGGTAGATATGAGTTTTACGATCATGAGGATATGCAAGGTATTAAGACTACTCCTTTCTCTGCAGATGGTCGCGTTCAAGTTGAGGATCCATGTGCAGCGAGCAGCAACATACTCAGCACAACCAGTTTCAACCACACTTTCGTTAAATACCTCCCATTCGATGATCCCGTTAAGAATATAAAGGCTCTCCAGCTCTACGACTTTGACGGCTCCGAGTTGGCTCCGTTGTACCTCATTAGTCGCCAACCAAACATGCTGCCTACTAGCCCAATCAGCACCCAATACTCTAAGAGAAGCAAGAGAAGCACAGATGAGCCAGTAGAGGGTGATGTGGATGCGGATATGCAGAATATACTCGCAACTCCTTCTTTGGAGAGAAGGAAAGGTGGTGGTGGTAAAGGAGGCGGTGGTGGTAGAGTAAGCAGCGGTGGTGGTAAAGTGAGCAGCGGTGGAGCGGGCCGTGGCGCTAATGTTACCTCTGGCAATCACTCTTCTGCTGTTTCGAATACCCTCCCTATCTCACTCGCTGCCTTGGTCATTGTCGCGGCAAGCATAGCTATCGTATGATAAGTCATGTGCGAGCGTTGTGCGTTGTGTGTCTTACTCAAACACCCAACCTTACCTAAAACATTGTAATATTTTCATTTATTCATCCTGGACATTATCACCTGGTTCGCCTGAAACAGTCGCCACTAAGAAAACAAAATAAGTAGAAGCGCTAGCAGCAGCGGCAGCAGCAGCAGCACGCTGAAAACAGCACCTTCAGTCAACATATATACGTCCTCATCTAGCGCTTTCGATCCGTTCACTGCATACGCTCCTGATATACAAATGAGCGTACACGCCACGCCGATGCTGAGCGATACGATCGATACGATGCGAGTGGATATACTGCAGAACAACGAAGAAATAGCAGTGCTGCACTTGTCTATCACGCGCTTACCTCTATCGTGTAGTAAACGTGATGACCTCGTGGAGCAGGAGCTGGACATCCTCCCAAGCGATGCCAACATTCGCCTGTCTAACAAGAGTCCACTAGAGCTCGCATGTGGGAAAATGCCCCCCGTCAGTTACGTCGGGGGCAGGGTGAGTGGGAGTTAAGTGTGAAATTTTTCTGTCTCATCACATCAAACAGATCAGATCACAAGGCGCGCTGCACCCGTATGCAGTGTTTGAGAGCAGGCGCGGTAGTTTGTTTAGAGGACAACTTGCAGGTAATCGCGTTAAGCATCAGATATCCATCCTCGACGATAGTAGGGTTTCCCCGATTACCTCATTCGTTCTTATCATCGCTAACCAGGCTAAACACTGCTGCGTGTGGAGCAGGAATCTTGATGGTCTGGCTAAGCGGTACGATCTCACTCAATATCATAAGTCTCAGGGTATGATCTTCAACCCTGCCGGAGCAGCTGGTGGATGATCATGGCTGCGGCTAGTCGATTGTCGCTAGTCACACAACACATATCACTGCAATGCAAATGCAACGTAACGTTACCTATACTCTAGCTTTTCATGTAACCTTAATGCTCTTAGAAACTATCTGCTGCACGTCAGTTTGACATCACGCTAAACCCCTCACCTACTTGGTGCCTGCTCATTCACCACCATCCCCAGCCGCTTGTCGTACTGCATGAGATCGTGCCGCTCGGCCAGCCCGTCGAGGCGCTTGCACCAGACGACGCGGGTGAAAATACGCGCGGCAACGAGCAGAATAAAAGCAGGGAGAACGTAGCATTGCTGCGATGTCTGCAAGTAGGTGTGCAAGTGCAATCCCAGCCTAGTTCTGCGTTCGCAGTACAGTGCAACTACGTTATGATCAGGTGTGCGTATCTCGTTTCCAATGCAATGTAGTTTCACTTTTTCGTCTCCGATTCCGTCTGGCTGCAGCTGCAGCGACAACACCTCCCCACTGCCATTGCCTTGGCCACATACAGCACCCACGGCGACAGAGTACGAGTGCACAGTCTGTCTGAGTAGGTGCTGCCGCATGTACAGCTCTCCTTCCTCAGTGATAGTGTGGGCTATTGTCGCCACTATTCTTCCATTCTGCTTTATACGCACCACAAACTCCTCTTGGTCGTATTCACAGTGTATGTTGCACTCAGGTATCGCAGCATTCGCCGCGTCTAGCCCATCGCCTCGCCTCCATCGACTGCTCCCATTGTTGCACTGGGACACTATCGCAAACGACGTCATGGAGGATGAATAAGTTAATTTAAGCGTTTTATCAATTTAGTCGCTTTAGTCACTCTAGTCTACAGTCACGACAATCTTGCCCGTGTTCTCGTTAGCCGCCATGCAGTCATGCGCCAGTGCGATCTGTTTCCAGCTGAACACGCTGTGTATTCTCAACTCGAGGTCCTTGCCGACTTTGTCGAGAGCTGCCTTTCTGAAGTCGTTAAGGAGGTCTCCCTGATACTCTGCGCTCCTAGATCTGAGCGTGCTGCCCTGTATGCAGAGTCTCTTGAAGATAATAGGTCCTACATTAACCTCGCTGGCGACCATACCAGACATAACGCCAAGGAGGACGATGCGTGCATCTTTACCGGCAGCGTTAATGTTGGCGTTCAAGTAAGACTGACCGACCATATCGACGATGACGTCGACGCCTTTGTTATCAGTGTGAGCCAGCACCTCTTTATCGAAGCTCTGCGTGCGGTAGTTGATGCCATGTGTAGCGCCCATTGGGAGACCTTTGACAGCGTCTATCTTAGCGTCTGATCCAGCCGTAGCGAAGACACGCCTAGCGCCGTAATGTCTGGCCAGCTGAATAGCAGCCATGCCCACACCGCTCGCGCCGGCATGTATGAGCACATCGTCGCCCGCCTTGATACGTCCTATGGTCGACAGAGCCTGGTGCGCAGTGAGGTAATTCTCGCAGATAGCCGCACACTGGACGTGCGTGAGGTGGGTTGGTTTGCGCAGGATCATGTGCGCGTCGACGGCTATATACTCGGCATATGCCCCGCCATAAGCTAAGCCAAACACCTCGTCGTCGATTTTCCACTCAGCACTCTGGTTCGCGTCGACTACTACGCCCGAGAACTCCACACCGAGCGTCTTGGGCGCCTGCGGCGGCAGCGGATACATACCCTTTGCTTGGAGCAGATCCATGCGGTTCACGCCGAACGCAACGACTTTGACAAGCACCTGTGTCGCGCTGAGAGCGGGTTGCGGCGTGACCTGGATCTTGAGATCAGAGCTGCTGTTCGCAACGTCGTTCGGCGTGTCTATCACAACTGATTTCATAGTGGCCATGGTGGTTGTGTGATGTGTGGTGTGCAGGGTGAAGTTCTTCCCTGTTTAGTAAGCATTCTTCTCGAAATATCTGCTTCTTCGGAATATCTGCTCCGCTGAGTAAGCACCGGCAGCGGTGCACGTCTGCGCAACAGCACGCATTGCATTGCCATTTCATCACTCCTCCTTATCCGCTTATCGCACCTGCCGAGCGGAATTGGCTATGATGCATATGACGTATGTGATGTTGGACGAATCTTCGCCGCGTGACCACCCAGCAAAGACGCGCAACTCCCACAACGCCGCGGAGATGGGACTCGTACCGCCGCTGAAACTTATCAGTGATGAATTTTGGAGTACCGTAGGAGTATCCCACTCGAAGGTGTAATTGATCGATGACGCAATATTACTCCATGTCTAGCGTATAAAAGGTGGAATATATTAAAGTCTATTTCATACACTCAAAAACTCAACATGTCATCCGACCCAAGCAAGACCAACGCACAATGGAACTCAACCGTCGGCACTGCCAAGGAATCCTTGGGCAACGCCGTTGGTTCTGAAGACTACTCCAAGGCCGGTAAAGAGCAACATGCCAAAGGTGAAGCCGAGAGAAAGGAGGCTGAAGCCAAGCAATACGGCGAAGGCATGGTCGACTCAGCTGCAGGCAAGATGAAGGTGTGTTGGTGTTTCATGCTTTTCGATACCTGCTAACAAATGCTCAGAACGTCGGTGGCGCTGTCACTGGTGACAAGGAGAAGCAGGCTGAAGGTGCTGCTCGTGAAGAAAAGGGCGAAACCAAGAGAGACTTCGCTTAAATTTCCGTGTAGCTCTCCATACCTATTAGTTATGTAATGAACGCACTGAAAACGCTAATATACGCACATAATGATAACTACAATACTTTGTGATGACTGTTCTTGCTCCTGATTTATATCACACGGGCTAATGAATCCAGCTGTGTCGCGGTGTTAACGCTACAGAAAGTGTCGCTTAAATTATTAGATGCGGATGCTTGATTAATGTTATAGTAGAATACTCCCAAGTACTCAAAGGTTAGAGCGACTTGTACGATCGACGCTATCTGCGCATCGACTGATGCAGAGGAAATCGAAATGAATAATTAGAGGCGTTGTAATGTATTGATCGCCGTAGAAGTTACCTCAAGCATGTTTGTGTCTTTGCCATGTCGTCTTCGATTTCCAAGACACAGAAAAGTAACTAGAATGTACTACAAGCTGCATCAAGTCAAAAAGGATTTTAAACAGAGCAAAGCCTTTAATGCCACAGATCAATCCATCTCGTTGAATAGCATCTCAACAAAGTTGGCCACTTTGCACGTGATAATTTTCATTACATCAATATAAAAGCCCGCTTTTCTTTCTCTCGAACAACAACCTCCATAGTAAGTTTGTAATTGATGGAATTGGTGGTGATTAAACATTATAATACATGATTGATCTACACCACCAATTCGTGCAGCTACGCCACTCATCCGATACTTACTTGACACGCAGACATGTCATCAGAACCAAGCAAAATGAACGCAAACTACGACTCAACGATGGGTTCTGTTAAGGAACAAGCGGGTGAGTGGGGGACTGTTGCGTTAGCACACAAAAGGACATACTCACACCACTCCAGGCAACCTCCTCGGTAACGAATCGCTCAAACACAGCGGCACCCAACAACATGCCTCCGGCGAAGCCGAGAAAAAGGCTGCAACTGCCAAGCAGTATGGAGAGGGTGCCGTCGACAATGTTGCTGGCAAGGCACAGAACATCGGCGGTGCCGTCACTGGTGACAAGAGCAAGCAGGCTGAAGGTGCAGCTCGCGAGAACAAGGGTGATACGAAAAGAGAGTTTGCGTAGATTGCTTCTAATTGCTTTGATGCATTAACGCATCCACGCATTCACGCTTTGTACTTACGCTTGTAACGACTTCTTCACCTATGTTTTACTGATTTACTTTATATTTCACTCGACTGCTGTTATTGAGATTTACGGCTTGTGTGTATTAGTACATGGAACGAGACTTGGAAAGAGAAGATAAAACATCTAGAGCAAATCCTCTAAAGCACGCTGGCAACTTCATCCTCTGAGTCGTCAGCCGCGGGTTCATCGTCATTGCTGTCGCTAAAGTCGATAGCTTTACTCTGACTCCTAGATCTGGCAGGCTGGTTGCGAGTGCGTTTTGACGGCGAAGGAGCGTCAACTTTCTTGTGCCCACCTTTATCTCTAGGTTTAGGTTTATATTTAGGTTTAGCAATAGGACTGCCTTTACCCGCGCTCGCCGTATCGTCGCTATCGCTGGCCCTGCTATCCTCCTCACTGATGATGCCTGGCTCGCTCTCGTCGCTACTGCTATAAGATTTCTTCGTGCTTTTCGAGCGACCTTTAACGCTTTGCGATAAGCTATGCTGGCTACCTTTGCGTTTAGGTTGTTGTTTCTCCGTCTTCCTGTAACCGGGTGTATACCTATCACCGTATTTAGAGGCAGCGCGCGGGGTGGGAGCCGTTTTAGTGCGGGGTGCCTTCTTCACCGGTGTTGCGTCCTCGACCTGGAAGATGCCCGCTTGTTTATACACGTCATTGAGGCTCTCCCGATACTCGTGGTACTCAACGTCGGAGGTATCGATATCTCCCAGGGCCTTGAACTGCTTGTGAAGGGTGGTCAGGAAGCGAGCTAGGGCATTACGCGACAATGCATCAGCCAGTGGACGCTGCTCCTGCACTGTCTCGGCCAGCTTACACGTAAGCCAGATATCCTTCAAGGGTGTATGTCCAGGTATGTACAGTTTCATAAGGAATTGCACTAGGGCCTTCCGGTCCTCTTTCACCTCCACTTCGAATAGCTCCTTGAGAGTGTCGAACGCGAGCCTCTGCTGGAGGAGGGAGTGGGGGTGTGCATTTGTAGCTGATTCAGGTGAGTTGGCTTCACCCGTTATCCCAACAAGGTGGCGCGGATCCGTCCATTCCGACAAGAGCGTCGCTACTTGCGCCACAGTCACCACCGCTTGCTCGTCACTATCACGATCCCAGTGGTCGCCTATGGCGATAAGCGCTATCTCGGCGAGCCTTGTCTGGTTGTGTGCTGAGCTGTAGGCGTAGACGGGGAAGAAGTACGACAGACACTGCCGCAGAGCTTGGTTGTCACCGACTTCCGGACTGAAGTATACATACAGCAGTCCGCGCAACAGCTGAAAGGAGGGCGTTAGTGAGGATGGTCACACTTCAACTCCATGTCAAACTCACACTCGCATCCGTTATCATGCCCGACAGCATCAGTTTCGACACACCCTCGCAAGAAACGGCCTGATATTCGGCGGTGTGACCGTCGAGGGTGCGCAGAAGGAAGTGGTTGATGTACTCGAGCTGGGTTTTGTTAGAGGGGGTGGCTTATCTGCACGCACTGTTTTCCACTCACACCAAGACCGCCCTTGTCCGCAAAGAGGGACACGTCGTGCGTCATGAGCAGGTCGATGACGACCTTGAGCGAATGCATATTGAGTGGCTCGGGTGCGGTTTCAGCCTGGTTCATGAACATCTGGAAGCTGCCAATAGCGAGTGTGTCAGCTAGTAGGCAGACAAGCCCGAGTGCGTGCAGGCCGCGCTCGCGGATAGCCGCGTCTTTCGACTTGACCGAGGGGATAACGAGATCGGGAAGTATACCGCCCAGAGCGCTATTTTCGATAAGGGAGCTGTTGACGCGCTCGAGCATGCCTATCACTACTGCCAAACTACGCAGGTCGAGTTCACCGTTATGTGCAAGTTCCGCGTCATTAAGAATGCGCGCAGTGGCAGGACGCGGTTTAGCGGGCGTTGCTATTGTCGAAGCCCCATCGCCCACCTCGTCCTCCTCGTCTTCCTCTGCAATGCGCAAGTCACGCAGCTCCGAGATGAGTTCGACAGAGAGAAGTAGAAAATCGCGCTCTGATGCGGACAGCTTAGCGAGGATGTCGAGCGCAATAGGGACCAGCTGCTCGGGGAGGGTGGGTGAGCTGAGGAGGGCGCGTACGAGCGTAAACACCTTCCGCCGACCCATCTCGTCTGCATAGTCGAGGTTGATGGCTAGTTTGAGTAGCTCACCTAGCACAAAATTCGCATTTACTAGCCGATCTGTGTGCTCGTCGCTGTCGTCGTCGGGCTGCGCTAGCGCTACGACCGCGTTGTACGCACTTTGCATGTGGAACGCCATAGCTGTCACTACGGGAAGCATCTCTAGCTTCGCATAGTCCTCATACGCTACACAGTGGTCTACGTAGACGCGCGCTAGGAGCGCGTGCTCTGGCGTTAGCGCACTCCACGCACCCTCGTCTAGCTGCACCGCGTGGAATATGTCAGGCCGGTGTGTGAAGAGAGCGAGCAGTGCATCTTCTGCAACGCGTGAGTCTATTACGTCGAAATATTCTAGAAACTGAGTAGAAAGTTTATTGTTAGCTGGGAGTGACTCTGCTTATGCACACCACACGACCCACCAGCTGGAGATTGTTGTCGGCTCTGTCTACCCACGTCGATAACAGACCGGCACAGGCCTTTTGGACGATTGGATCACGGTCTCCGAGGCCAGCGCGAATGAGGTTTTCGCGCGGGCTCAGGCGGATACTGCGGACATCTTTCAAAGCATCACTAAGCTGGGAGCCTTCGAAAACAGACTTGCGGGTGACAGGATCGATGTCTCTGGCGCGTGTGAGGAGGGCGGGGATTGTGAGGGGAGTGGGGAAAACGTTTATGAGAGCGACTCTTCTTACGGCGACAGTTGGATCAGATGTGATTGCAGAATTGAGAGATTTGGCTATAGCACCACTGTCATCGTCTGAAGCTTGTAGTTTGCACAGAGCAAGAGTGGCTTGTTGGCGGATGTTTGTCTCCTTATCGTTCATCCTCTCGAGAAGAGAATCCAAGAGAGAATCGAACAAGTCTTCATCCATAGCGCCTAGTAGGCTTATAATCAGGTTGGAGATCTGCACACAGCGAAATCTGACGTATTTGTCTTTGGCAGAGAAGCCTTTTAAGAGATGGCGCAGGATGTCGGAAGAGAGGACGGAGGAGGGAGATTCGAGGAGATGGTCGTCGTCGTCGTTGCTGTCGTCGTTGTCGCCGTTGGGATGTCTCTCCTCGTGATCCTTGGCAGATGCGTACGAGAGATAAGTGGTTGCAAAAGCAATGACCCTGTCAGCGTAAGATTTAGACTTTGGGAATTGCATTATACGGGTGAGTGAGCCAATAAAAGCCTTCACGAAGGCAGTGTAGCCAGATTGATCAGCATCTCTAAGGAGTTGCAGGTGGAATTTACGCAACTTGATTTGATTTGATTTGTGATTTGATAGGGATTTCTGCGAATCGGTGAAGGCGTCGATTAGAGTATCTAACGACATGGTGGTTGTGGGTTAAGACGCGTCTGGGCTTGTTGACGCGTCGACGCGTAGAACCACCAACATGTCCATCAAAACACCGTTAAGGAGAGTTAGCAGTGGAGCGCTCAAGCATTCAAATAATAGCAGCAGCTTGAATATTACTAGCAAAGATCACCATCCACTGGAATTCCTTACACCAGCGCTGACAGACTTATCTGATGAGTTGGATGGAATTATAAGCAGCACACAGCAGCTAGTCGAGTTAGACGATGCCTTATCACAGTTCAATCACGGCTTTGGTAGTTTGCTGTGGTCATTGAAGTTGAATGCTTATTGTATCAACTGGCCTGAAGCGCCTACAGATGAATCATTTGCCCGGGTAAATGAACTCACAGCGCAATTACAACAGTCAATGGCACCCAGAGAACCCAGAGAACCTACACCTGTCGATACACAAGTAGTCCCACAAGAATCTCATTCAAATCATTCAAATCCCGCAGACGAAACACAAGCACATGAACCAGAACCCTCGCCAGAACCACTCAAACCAAAGCCAAAAGTTGTCAGTGTACAGCTACGTAAGAAAAGGGAGGCGTTTGTCGATAGCGTTATAGATTCACTGCCTTTAGAATACAGAGGTTCACAACCAGCCTTAAGAAATGCCATGTCTAGTGTCCTACATGCACTTATGAAGCATCAATGTACTACTCCTCAAGGTAATGGTATTCGTACACCAGATATCGTCAAACATCCAGATCTACCTCAAGCCAAGGTAAACAAATGCCTTATAGCTCTCGTACAGAAGAAGGCTGTGGTGAAGTGGACGGAGAGTGTAAGTAGTGTGTGTCGGGATATATGTCTATCTACTAACTCCTTTTGCTAATCACAGGGTGTCGCTTACTACAGACTACAACTAGAAACCCCTAGGCGGTGATTTGTACGATATATCAGATATGACATCATTCAAAATTGATCCCGAAGACAGTCCTCGTCAGTACTCTTAGTTAGAATCAAAAACGTTGAAAATCCTAAAAGAGCATGTCTTCGCCAAATAAATCAACTGGAATGTACCACAGCGTTAAAGGTAAGTCACTACACTCGCGCCAATCGCATCACCCAGGTTTCACATCAAATACCAGGAAACGTCGTTGAATCTGTTGGGACAGTGACTGGGAGTGAGGAATGGAAGAAGAGTGGACAGAAAGAGCACGTCGATGGTGAAGCTGAGCAGAAGGTTCCTCTATCGATTCATTCAGAATTCTTACTGATATAAAAACACCAGGCAGCTCAAATCAAAGACACAGCAACTGGTATGTATGACCAGGCTGCTGGTAGAGTTCAGGGCGTAAAGGCGGCTATCACAGGCGATAAGCCTGGTCAAGTCAGTGCAGCCGCTCAAGTCAGTCGCACATACGCTTATATATCATTTTATCTAACTTGCTCAACTTTGCAGGAGGAATCAGGCAAAGCAGCGCAGAAGAATGCTTAAATGGATATTATTTGTATTCTCTAGTAACATTACATTATACTCCTCTCTTTCACCCACACCACTCACACCGCCAATATGCACATTGGACTCAAGAGGCCGCTGCTAGCGCAAGTGCCTTACAAAACCAAGAAATTCCAACTAGCCAAGAAGCGTTCGGCACCAATCTCGGCTTCAATTAAGGAGATTAGCGATGATGATGATAACCATAATAACCACGATAGACCAGAGGTTATTGAGATTGACAGTGATAGCGATATTGAGTGTGTTAGCAGTAGTGATGATAATTTCAATTCTTATGGCAACGATACCAACGACACCAACGACACCAACGACACTAGCACTAGCACTCACGACCAAACGTTTGAATCTCCTATCGACATCGATACTCCTATTCTCCCTGAGAATTACCCTCCTCCGCTGCCACCTCTCTGTCGCGACCTATATAACCTCACTTTTACTCACAGAACCTGCGCCGACTTTGTAGCCAATTTCAACGCTGGCACCGATAATCTCAGAAAAAGTTATGGTATGCACACCATCACCAATGGTGTCATGGGCGATAGTAGGCAGGGGAATGTAGCGTCATTTGTACCCGTTTACGACAACGAAGTGAGTGAGTTTGTTGGTGACAGCATCATCGGCATGGTAGTGGCTCTATTGCTGAGAAAATGGTATCCACACCTTCGTCCTGACGGATTAACGTGAGTTTTTGAGCCAGAATGTGGCACTGTCTTACCATCATGCTACCAGAGAAATACGCAGCAAGCTAGTCAACAGAGGCAGACTATCGAGCTGGGCGAAGCTGTACAACTTCGACCAGCATCTCATTCTACCACCTCAGATGCCCCAACTGCCTGTGCGACTCTCACCCATGGTTCTTTGCGATACATTTGAGGCGTACGTAGCCTCTGTCTTTGACCAGCAAGGTGACGAAAGCGCCGGTCTTATCGCCGTCAAGCAGTGGATTGAGCCGCTTTGTAGGCCTTACGCAGATATGTACAGCGCTGCTATCACCAATCGCGAAAAGGAAGTGCGCGAGGCTCCTCGCATGGGCAGCATGGGCTACCTCAACCAGATGATGGAAAAACATCACGTCGTCGCGGCGTGGACTGAGTCGGGCGGTGTGAATGATCTCAATAACTCTCACAACTACTGGTCTGCTTCCCTTAACCTCACCCTCGACGAACGCGCACATAATAGCACTCCCCTCGCTGTGAAATCTAAATTCCCTCTCACTACCACAGGTAAAGCTTCCAAGAAGAAAGTTGCCAAGGAAATGGCAGCTTATAAGGCTTTGAAGACTTTGGGTCTTAACTGTTGTGGGTATTTCGTTTATTCTATTGCTTCACTCACTCACCCACCAATAGAGACAATCTCTCATTTCAACGATACCTTAAACACACACATCTTGCTAAATAATCTCAACGTAAAATGCATAGTTTCTGAAAATCAGCAGTTTCTTGACAATTTCACAAATGCTCTCCCACGAAAGCATAAAGCCTATCCATCGTTTCACCCTCCTCTTTTTCATCCCACCCGTGGTCCTTGTCGGGGACGATATCAAACGCAACATTTGCACCCTTCTTCTGCAGCGCTTCTACCACCTCTACAGCCTGCGCGAAAGGCACTGCTGTGTCCACAGTACCGTGAGTGATGTATATCGGTGGAATATCCTCCAACTTTCTACGTTTAAGGATATCAGTAATAGTGTATTGAGATACTTCTTCCGCGCTATAACTATCACCGAAGAGCAGCTGGTTGAGAGTGCCTGATTGCACCATCCACGCGTACACTTAGTCCTGTCAGCAGGGGTGAGGGTATTTGGAGCACATAGCACCCACTTCTAGATCTGCTCGACTCCGCCGCATTCTCTGCGACAGCTGGTGCATCTCCATTGAGGTACTTTTTCACGCTATCAAATGGCACAGGCTCGTTCTCCCATGCCGCCTTCCCCTGTGGCGTAGTCCACTGTGCAGCAAGTGAGCAGGTGGCGGGCAATATCAAAAACCTACGAATGGCGCTAGAGTGTTGGTGATGGGGTATATAGCTGTGCAGACCTTCCTAAACACGCGATACGTCAGCTGGGAACTCCAATCATGCGCAAACGACATACGGCACATGTTTTCCATTAGCGACGCCCAGTCCCACCAATAAACTCAGCCAACCACCGGCAGACGAGCCACACACACCCCACCGGCTGACGTCGATGGTGTGGCCGACGCGGCTGGGCAGCTGCTCTATTATGAATGCGACTGACTGCCCTACATCAGCCAAGATTTCGTGGAACCCCGTCTGCGGCGCTAGTCGGTAGTCCACACTTATAAACGCAGTGTTGAACTCGCTCGCCAGCCTGTCGAAATGGGGCGCGTAGCGCTGTCTGCTGCCCTGAAATGCGATTGTTAGGTCTTTTCAACCCATTCAGATTTACCCACCTGCAATAAGCCGCCGCCTGCTTTGTTAGCCTGAGACCTTACTCCCACTCTAACCACCCACCATGATACCATACGAGCACAGGGACGGGCTTCGACTGTGTAGCTGAGGCTGGGACATGGATATCCAACTGGATGGGTAAATCATTTATTCTTTTATAAGTAAAAGTTTCCTTCATTGTTTTATATGTCAGAGTGTCTGACTTTCCGAGAGAAGTGGTGATAAGAGGAAAACGAAAGGCGCATGACTAAAAATTTTCAAAGCCCCTTCAACATCCTTCCAGCACCCTCAGTGCGACTGCTGAGTTCCCGACATCCTTCATACACAGCCAAACAATATCGACATTGCGCACTGAGAGCGCTTCATACAGTGAGACAATGTCGTCCTTCAGCAAGGGGTGGTGTAAGAGGGCTGTAAAGTCAGCACTGAGCTGCCAAACCAGCTCGTCCGCAACAGCTATCTCCTGCACCACACTCCTCATTGCGTCCACTAGAGCCTTATGCGCGCGCTTAGCTGGGGTTGTGTTTTGGTAATATTCTATTCCATTATCCGTGCTCTTTGCGTTGCTTACTGTGTTGATATCTCTACCATTACCATTTACATCACCACTCAACCCCCGCCTTAGCCCCTCAAATCCGATGGTGCGTCTAATCAGTGGATACGCTTCTTCCACAATGCGCATACTCATGAACGCACCCGTCTCAACAGCTAGCACGTTTATAAGCTCAAAAGCGGTAGCTATAACATGAGGACTCTCTTCGTACTCTTCCCCTTTCTTGGCAGCTTTTTCGGATAGGAGGCGGTGGAGTATATACGGCCATGCCCTGTGCACCACAGGCAGCACGTCACTATGGTGACCTGAGCGCATCAGCACTCTTACCGCATTTCCCATCAGCATGACAGTCCTAGCGCGTAAGAAAGCTGACTGGTGAGTGAGGAAGTGCAAAGCCTTGGACATAATCTTAAGACAAATGCTCTGCGATCTATTGAGTGGTTCTTTGGGTGTATCTTCTGGCGTTTGCTCCTGATCTACGTTGTGCGGTTCGCGTAGTTCATCCCAAGCTTGGTGTGGCGTCGGTCCGAAGTCTTCCACACCCTCTTCAGGTGGATCAGCGTGGAGATCGCGAAGCCAATCACTCAGCCCCTCCAGCTCAGCTGCAGAATCAGGCCGAGAATCAGCCACTGCTACCTCACGTTCACGTTCACCCACTACCTCATCGTCCGTACTGGGCAGGATGGCAGCATCGTCGGACATCACGCTGACAATCGTGTCCAGAACGGCAAGCAGTCCCTCTCCCAGCAGAGGTATATCATGGTAATCGTCCAAACTCTCGAATATATCCTCCACCACTCCCTGTAACTTGCTTATCAGCGCTGCACCGACCAGTCTCATAGCAGCTATCAACACGCGCGGCGCTGCGACATCTAGCCTGACTGGATTTAGATATGATGTAACGCTATTGAGCAAGTAGTCTGCGTTATCGAGTATCGCGCCACTCGTGCTAGCGTATCCGAAGTAGTAGCTGACACTAGCGAGCGTGCTCCTGCTATGCTCCATGACAGTAAGAGTGGGGCTATCCAAGCGCGACAGAACGTAGTAGAGTGTGTGGTTGAGCTGGGGTCTACCTTCATAGCCCAGAACATAGCTAGTGGTAGCGATCATGCGCAAAGTGATGAGTGTAATCAACGTCACCCGCACTCTTTTCTCCAATTTCGCGTTCGATTGCGGTGTGTACTTGAAATTATCAGCCAGCGTTTCCACCTTATCGAGACCGCGCACGTGTTCAGAAGGGAGATTGGTATCGGAATGGGGTACGACCTCCTCGCTCACTTCATGATCCCCTTCCATTCTATCTAATTGCTCAGCCTCGAGACTGAACTTAACGACGCTCCGGCCGAGCTTCACGGCGAGCTTGTGAGCCATTGCGACAGAGGACCGCGCTCGAGCCATCCCCTGCAAGATGCAACAACACAGCCATAGAGCGCTCGCAGCAGCCCTAGAATGCAGATTACGCTGAGCAAGGCTGAAGAAATATTCCACCGAATGAGACGCCCTATCCCCGAACGCACATCCGAGAGCTACCAGCGCTCTGCGTATACACTCCCCGTCTTTACTATCGACGCTCTCGAACGGCATAGCAGGGAAACCGAACCATGGATCATCAGAGCCGTCGACCCCGATTTCAAAAGCTGCATCAGGGGTGCTACTCCACAGTATACTTCTGCTCGCATTTACTGATACGCTCTCCCCACTGATGGGCGGTGTCGCGAACGGAATGCAGTCGATTAGCCCCCATGCCCACTTCTCTACTCCGCCGCGCGCACCGAGTATATCATCCATAGGAATCCCACTCAGGCTCGTGCGCATTGTGAGAGCGGCTACAGCTTCGATCTGCGCCGTTGTTGCTTGTATGCCGCTACTGTCGCGCGATCTGATCGCTGAAGGGATTGCAATGAGCGCATCGCGCGCGTGCTGCTTCAGAAGTGATTCTAGTATCTTGCGGTGCGGCTCTAACGACAGAAGTCGACTGAGTGCTTCTTTGGCGATCAACGACACTTCACTCGATGCCTGGCTGTCTACAGAAAGCATCAAAAGGTTTGATAGAAGCAGTCTGTGACAGTTGTCGAGAGTACCGATACACGATTCGAGCAGATCTGCTGACAGTTTTGCAACAGCTCGCCTCACCCTGCTGGACTGGTGCTTCACCACTTTCGAAGTGGAGATGAGAACGAGACATATCTGGTGCACGGTGCCCTGCAGCCAAGAAGGTGTGCGTATCCCTTCCTCTTTCTTCGTAGTGCTAGGTGGAGCGAAAAGAGATGACGCTACTGGTATACTCCCTTCATCCCTCCTATGTCTTTCATCCACCTTACCTCTCACCTCCAAACTCTCCAAATCAATCCGATTTGCCAGTTCAGTCAAGTCGGCAATCTGCACCGGCTGAAGTGCTGCACATAGATCATCGTTGAGAGTCGACATGACAATCAGCCGTAGTGTTTCCAAGGCTGCTACTGCCAACTCGCTATTGATATGGTTTTCGCCTTTTAGGATCTTGGTTATCGAGCTCGCTGTGCCCGGCAACAAAACAGCGTTGATGTCAGGCTTATCGAAAGCGTATTCGCCTACATACACACCTACTAGCTGCAAGGAGCGTGTGCGTAGAGTGATAAATGTGTGCAATGTAGCCAAATCGAGTAATTGAGCAATAAGTGATCCTAATATCGACATGCGCTTCGTTGTGAGGAGAGAGGCGTGATCGAGGGAAGGATTTAAACTAAGAGTGTGAATCAACTCAACGCATGAAAGCAGTTGCACCTCTGACTTGCCTCCTTTTATGCTGTTGATTAGTGTCATCGCAGACAGCATCCACAACTGCTCCCATTCAGCAGTGGGCACGCCTTCCAGGGCCCAAACTTTGGATATAGAATTGAGAGCATTGATAACAGCCACAGATCCCTTCTCAGGGAGCTCTGTGGGCGATATATGGCGGAGAAGGCCAGCTATTGGGAAGAAGACGTAGCGTATGAGCTGGAGAGAGCTATTTGTGGTGCTTAAATTAAGGCTGAGTGAATCTGAGAGTTCTTCAAGTGCTGAGAGCAGTCCTGGCTCGTTTGGTGTTAGATTCGGCTTCGTTACGAGGAAGTTGAGTCTGACGCAGGCAGGTTTGAGCTGAGCGTGGGTGTGAGCGCGGCGAAAGTACGTATATAGCCTCGCTCACAGCCTGGAAAGCGGTATTTCGCGCATCGTCGACCATCTCTGCAATCCTCGATGATGAAAGCTAAGACTAGAGATAAGAAATTGAGATTATTTTACAAATTGTTTATCGCATTATACCGAGACTTGAGGCTTAAAATTATGTCTAAACAGTATGACTGGCTGATTTGCTTTTTATACGCCAAGCAGACAAAGGCAAACCTAGAATGAATGTTAGTAGAAGCCATAGGCGTATCCTTCAACTCACGCTGCAGTTTACGCGCTGTAGGATAAATATAAGCGGCTAGAATTACAGCCCCGAGCACAACACAGATGGTGCTGGTGACAAAGTAGCCATCGCGTTCAACAACACACTTTCCACCGATATCCGAACACACAGATTTGGCATGCTCAGAACTGCAGTCCTCTGCCTTGACGATGACGTCCTCATTCTCTTCATGGACGTGACAAGTAGCGATACTGAGTCCATCGACAGCCTTGAGAACGAAATAGCGCGGCCACGTTCCACCAAGATTCGACACTGTGTTGAGGAGGGTCATGTACGTTCCTCCAATCAGCGGATCCGCTATCTGGGTGTGGAAGGCGCATATGCCGACGAATTGGACAGTAGACATGAATCCACCGACGAGTGTCATTGCAATCACCGATGTGAATATCGTCGCAGTCACTGGTGGTTCTATAAACTTGATGGCTAGCATCGCAACAACGGCGTAGACTAGTCTGCCGATGAATGCACTTAGCCATGGTTTGAGTGGGTTGCGACCTTGTGACCACTGCGCAGCTAGCCAGCCACCAATGATCTGCACAGGAAAATCTATAAGCACTGCTAAAGCGAGGTCCTCCTTGCTCAACCCTTTCTCTAACAACTTGAGCGAAGTGACGGCTTCATTTGCTTGGAAACCAATTTTAGCGACGAGGTGAATCATGACAAACGATTGGACGTGTTTGAGCTTTAAAATAGAAAGCATTTGGCTGTACACCTTCTTGATGTCCATCTCATCCTCGTCGGTGATGACATTCTCTTCTTTCTTGAAAAACGTAAGCCAGACTGTGAACAGGACGAATACTGCACCAAAGAATTGGAGGTATCCCCCAAGAGTAACTAGAGGGACTTCTAAAGGAGTTGATCTAAAGTATTTGTTGCTGAATTCAATCGAATTCAACGCCAAGAAGACGGTGAAAGAGAGAAAGTAGCCCGTATTCAAGCCAATAGTCTGAGCTGTAGATGCAAAGGAGAGATTTTCGTTGCTGAGCAAGGTTAATGCCCATCCGTCTACTGCAATGTCTTGAGTTGCAGCCAAGAAAATGAGCATGAAGAAGGTGAAAGTGAGTAAATTGACGTCCGGTACCTCCTAAAGGGCAATTGAGTTTTGATTACGCGTAAAATTACCGCACTCACCTGCGCTAAACTGTCTTGGATCCAGAAGGACATCCAGTACATCATTGCACCGACTAGAAACTGGATGGGTACGATCCAGCTCTTGCGTCTGCCCAATTTGGGATTAAAGCAAGCATCCACGATGGGTGACCAGAATAGCTTGAGTGAATAAGGGTATGTAGATAGCGAGAAGAAGCCAATTTGCGAGTAGCTGAGTTTCGCTTTGAGAAGAAAAGGGATACTGCCAAAAGCTAATCCTGTGGGTACGCCCTGTAGGAGATCTTAATATCTCGATGAGCTGTGTGGTGATGAAATCGAGCGTAAGAAACTCACACAAGATGACCAAGATTATCATTGCAGATCTATCCTTGTGGTACCAAATGTCAAAGAAGCCGCGATCGGAAGATTGTTGCGCTGTCTTCTTTGCGTCGTCATTGGCTTCCAAATGGATATCGAGCTCGTTGATGACGGGCTTAGGAGATGGAGATATACGCGGAGATCTACCGCTCTTGAGGTTGTTCCTCGATGGTTTCTTCCTCGCTGGCATCTGAAGATGGGCGTTTGGTGACAAAGACATTCCTGCGAGTGAACAGCCATCATCAATTATCATGGAAACAGAACGCAGCCAAACAGGCCAAGGGAGTGAGACGGTGGAAGGAACAGAGAGCAGAACACAGCTGCAACGACACCAAAGCCAGGTGCTGAAATTGAGAGGAGATGAGCCAAAACAGCGGGAACAGCGGGAACGAGGCGGAGGAGTGAGGTGGGAACAAGGCACAGTAGATAATGAGCATATGGGGAAGAAAAAGTCAAAGAGTGCGTGTTATCTCCTGCTATTCCAACGCATCTGACGCATCTCCAGTCTGCTGCATCTACCACAAGCCAAAGAGATTTGATGAGTCGTCGGACGAGTCAGATTGCAGTGACAACGAGCACCGTCACGCTAGCAACTGCAATCTCAACAAATACGATAATCCTAGCCATACAAGCCATCGACACGGAGCATCTAAGGACAAGGATACCGCCTGAGATGGCTGCCAGATCTACCGCCTATTCATACAGGTTAATTATGTCTTGTATTTTTATCTATTCGCTGCAATCTCTTCTTTATCTTTCACCACCACGCGATGGACGAATTCGCCAATGAACTATTCAGCGACGGCGGCGACGGTGCCGACGAAGCATACGAAGATGCCACATACCAAGAAGATATGATGGAAGATCACGATATTATCTCAGTAAATCTCCGCGGTGCAGATAAAGAGCAAGTGAGCCCGCACTCAGCCTCACAGATGATACGGCGGGCGATCATCCACGAAGCCCAACACGCAGGCTTCGAGCGAGCCACCGAAGATGCCATGATCGAGATTGAGCGACACGCCGTCTTCTGTGCGTCTCGCCATCCTATCTTCTCTAAAACACCCCCTAACCTGCAACAGGCATAGAGAGTCTTGCCAAAATGACCATGCAATACACAGAAAATGCCTACAGGACTGAAGCGACGCTGCATGAAGTCAGTGAAGCTTTCAGCGACGTCGGTATGACTGCCTCAGAAATGAACCCGATAGCAGAGCGCAACCGCGGTATTAAATCGACTAAACTGCTCCCGACGCCTATATCGACAATGCATCAATTCAAGGACCCAACCGAGGATTTCTTGCCAAGTGACGATGAGCAGGATCCTGAGTATCGCATGGTGCAGCAGGAAGCTATGGATAAAATGCTCGAGCTCGCACCGTATGGTATAGGTCCGCGTTTGCCTCCAAGACATGCTTACCATCGTACTGCCGTCTATCCCACTCCACATAGGACTCAGACGCCTTTGGCGCACTTGGATAGGAAGCAGAATACAAGCAGGCTGGTTGAAAGGGCTCTTAAGTCGCTGATTGAAAGGACTCAGGTGGCTACAGAGTCCTCCCTGATGGCGAAGAATCAGCAGGCGCTGGGCGAAAGCCTTGATGACGATGACGCGGGTATAGTGCCAGTCCAAGAGAAGAAGGACGACGTTAGTGCTGGAGCAGAGCAGGAAGGACAGAAAGGGCAGCTGCCAGCATCAACAGCAGCGCCTCTTCAGCCTAGCACGAGTGAGCCAACTGAGGCTCAAGCAATGGAAGGTGTCCAGGTGGAGAAAAAGTATGGTGAAGCTGCACCAATAGTACCTGAGGTAGTGCAACCGCAAGTCGAGGAGACGCCTGCTGAGCCAAAGCAGAGCGATCGTCAGCGGCCGGAAGAGGCAGGAGCGGGAGAAGCAAACGAAGAGCAGCAGCAGCAGCAACCAGAATCAATTGCTGTAATTTCTGCAGGGTCCGCACAACCAGAGCAACCAGAGCAACCAACACAGCCGTCTGAACAAACATCAAGATTACCACCTACACAAGAACCAACAGAAGTGGCAGAACCATCCACACCTACGATCACTCAAAGTGAACCGTCTCATACAACTCTCGAAAAAGAAAAAGAACCTTCAACCAAAACAAATGGGGCGGACTCGCCAATGAAAGAGCACACGAAGCAAGCCAATAAACCACCCTGGCTGCAGAATATACAGATCGACGCGAATATTCTTAAAGAGCTGCCACTCGAATTTGGGATAGTTAATTTTGGCGATGCTGGTGAAGCACTTAACACTTCTTCGAGCATGAACATGCCATCGAATGGGCGGGGTGGAGGCCACGCGCAGCTGGTACCAACCGATAGTGATGCATCGGGGTATGAGTCGCGCGTAAAGAGGAGACGCTGGAAGGTGTAATATGTGTGTATATGTGCATTCAATGTGATTCCATTATCTCTAAAGACTCAGGCTTAATTTTGGCCGTTGCACTCGCTAAAATCCTTTGCAACTCTTCCACTCGGCGTCTTGCTGCTGTACATTGAGTCTATTGGCCAACTCAACCAGTCCAATATTACGAGTCGAGGGATGAACGTCAGAGAAAGGCACACGACCGTCGAGAAAGATGTCAAATTCCTCCGGATGCACCGTCTCAGGCTCGTCCTCCTCCTGTTCGCGAGCAATGTACACGGTGCGCATGCCTACAGCTCTAGCGCCTCTGCAATCATTTGCATGTGCGGCAACCATAGCGCACTGCTCCGGGCGTAAGCCGAGCCATCTAGCGATGCTCAAGTAAGTTTCCGGGTGAGGTTTATAAACACGGGGGATATCAGCCCCGCAGATGAAATCCCAACGGAGGTTGGCATGTTTAGCCATATCCACCAGCAGCCTGCAGTGACCGTTGCTCAGCGTGGCGACGACGTACTTCTGTTTCAGAAGGTCGATCCCATGCGCGGCGTCAGGCCAAGCGTCCAGATCGTGCCAAATGAGAGAGAGGTCGTCGAGCTGTGCCGGGGTGTAGACATGATCGATGGCGTACTTGTGCGTGAGCGCGTCGAGTGCGTTTCGATGGAACGTATCGACCGTGGGGAAGTGGGAGTGTGTGGGTGCGACACCGCGTGAGTGCTCAGCTACACCCCTCTTGAACGCCTCGCGCCAGTCAGCGAGGAATGCCGCCCAGTTCACCCTTTCCAGTCGCTCAGCGTCTGCGTGCGCACTAGCGCGCCGACAAAGCTCAGCGTGCACCGTGTGGTGCCAGTTGACAGTGGTGCCGAAAGCATCGACAATAAGCGCCTGGATTCGGTGTGAGCGTGGACTTGCACTGGTGGACTTGCACGCTTGTACTCACTTTCACTCCTTGCTGACGTGCTGGCTCAGCCACTGCACCTCCGTCGCTGATCAACCCCCACTCACCATTTTCGCGTGTGTTGTAGTGGCTGTGGCTCAGAAGTTTCAAACAATACGTCATTCGATAGTAACGATAAAAATTGCATACTCCCCAACGCCCGACGGACTCTCACGCCGAATGTCACCCCCGCGCTCTATCTGTTTCCCTTCTGCACGAGCCTCCTGGATGCGATGCAACGCCAATGATTGCTGCTTCTGCCCGGCACGAACCAGGCACGGCGTACTCACTGGTGGTATACTTGGTGAGCCGAGTAGAAAATACGTAAGCAGCTAAACACATATTTTCTCCACCACTTGCTTCGCTCCACCAATGTATTTATCATATCGTCCAGACTATCCATATCTTCTGCTTGCTATTTGATAGCTCCACTGCGGTATCATCAGGGACAACTAAATGAAGCCCTTTACGAGTTCTTCAAAACGCAATTGACTACGTACCAGAGATACTCCGGTGGTTCAGCGTAGTTGAGAAACACTAGTAATTTACAAATCACGACGCTGGTCAAGAAACGCTTTCGGTGAATTCAACACCTCCTTTGACTCCTCATACTTTAAGGAGTATTGATGGACGCAGTTTATAACATTTATCGTCTTAACAACATAATCAGATTTCATCATCAGGAAAAACTAATACAAAGCACCATATATACTATCGTTTTATGCACGCACTAAGCAGAGAGAATTGAAAAAAGTGTATCATTGAAATAAAGTGAGAGTGAGAATTTTATTATCATAGTGGTACATATTACGCAGCTGCTGGTGGAGGAATAGAAGCACCTCTGTTATCAGGAATAGCAATGTTTGGGTTATGGTCTTTGAGCAGCTTACCACCGTACATAACGACGCCATTCTCGCGCTGGAATTCTTTGATTCTCTGCTCCATCTGTGGTCTGAAGTGTCTAACGAGACCTTGGATTGGCCACGCTGCGGCGTCACCGAGTGCGCAGATGGTGTGACCTTCAATCTGCTTGGATAATTCAACCAACATGTCAATCTCCCTATTGGCAGCTTGGCCGTTCTCGAATCTGTTCATCATGTTGTACATCCACGAAGTACCCTCTCTGCATGGTGTGCATTGTCCACATGACTCGTGTTTGTAGAACTTTGCGAATCTCGAAATAGCTTTGACCATATCGGTGGACTGATCCATGACGATGATTGCTCCAGTACCGAGGGATGTTTGAGCATCCTTGAGAGAGTCGAAATCCATGAGAACGTCGGTACAAACATCTCTTGGGATGACAGGCACAGATGCACCACCAGGTACTATGCCCTGGAGGTTCTGCCAACCGCCCTTGACACCACCGCAGTGTCTCTCGATGAGTTCCTTCAGGGGCACCGACATCTCTTCTTCGACGACACATGGGTTGTTGACGTGTCCAGAAATGGCAAACAATTTTGTACCTGAATTCCTGTCTCTGCCGAACGAGTCAAACCAAGAAGGACCTCTTCTAACAATGGTTGGAACAACTGCCACTGTTTCTACATTTGCGACAGTGGTTGGACAACCGAAAACACCGACATCGGCAGGGAATGGAGGCTTAAGCCTTGGCTTACCCTGCTTGCCCTCGATAGATTCAATAAGCGCAGTCTCTTCACCGCAAATGTATGCACCGGCACCACGGTGGATGAAGACGTCGAACTTGTAGCCAGAGCCGCAGGCGTTTTCACCTATCAAACCAGCTTTGTAAGCTTCGTCGATGGCTTGCTGGAGTCTGACGGCCTCGTGGTAAAATTCACCACGGATGTATATGTAAGAAGCAGAGGCATTCATAGCTCTGCCGGCAACCAAACAGCCTTCAATGAGTTTGTGTGGGTCACCACGCATGATTTCTCTGTCCTTGCAGGTGCCTGGTTCACCTTCATCAGCGTTGACGACCAAGTAGCGAGGTCTGGAATCTTTATCCCAGCCAGGCTTGTTCATGAAGGACCATTTCAAGCCTGAAGGGAAACCAGCGCCACCTCTGCCTCGAAGTCCTGAGTCTTTAACGGCTTGGATAAGGTACTGGTCACCCTTCAAGACAATTTCCTTCGTCTTGTGCCAGTCACCACGACTCATTGCGCCTTTGAGGCTGAAGTCGTGGCGGTCGTACAAGTTAGTGAAGATTCTTGCGGGGAGTTAGAATGAGAGTGGGCAGCGTACAAGTACACATACCTATCTTGATCTATTGGAAAGCACGCGTCAGCCACCTACACATAATCCTCACGCCATTCTCACCTTTCAAACCGCCGTATCCTCTGCAACGCCACAGTGTAAGCGGGATAGAGATGCGGATAAAAGCGCACTAACCTAACTGGTGGCTCTGAAACCGATGCAAACGATCTCGCAGACCTTAGAACACTTTTTTGAACGCGGTTCAACATGGTGGTTTTGGTAGAAATAACGCACACAAAACAGCGTACACAACGCACGCACAAAGAAAAGTTTAAATAAATAAATAAATACATAGCTGTGCATCCTCTGTGGCTTTCGCATCTCCAACTCTGCATATATCTCAAATCAGTTTCAGCCAGTCACAATTGAGATATTTGAAATGAGGCCATGCAGGCTACTCCATCTCCTCAACCATCTTGGGTGCCTCTGCTTGGCCTACTTGTAGCTCGACATTGTCCAAAAAGTCATTGGCCACGAGGAAGCGTATCGTTTGTGAGAGGTAGCTTACACTCTGCCTAATCTCATCGTTGAACAGCTTCGCCATGAGATTTGGCTGCTCGAATTGATTTTTGTGCTTTGGTTTGCTGTCTGTGTGGTTTTTATGAAGGCGTGGCTGTGAGAGGAGATGGGAAGGCTTTGGTGGATGGGATGGAGGGATCTTTGAGGAGACACTTTCTGGTGCATCGTCAGCATCGTCAGCATCATTGGTAGCACCGTCGTTGTCGTCAGCCTCCTCTATGACACGTTTCTTTGGTATTTGAGACGGTTGAAATGCTTGAGATGCTTTGTGATTAGAGCTCCCCTTCAAGCTACCACCGAACTTTGGATGTAGTGGTAGCTCTCCGCGCGCCTTTTTATCCTCCCGGACGCGTTCCTTCTCAGCGAGATTTGCTGCAGAAGGAAACCTACTCTTACGCTCAGCAATCCAGTCATTTATAGCCTCTGGAGTATCGAGCATGATATTTGTACCTTCGACGGGCACGATAGGCTTCGCAGGCTTCGAAGCTCTCTTACGCTCCTCGTTCTCGAGGAAGCCGGGTGGATAAATGAGGTGTCTGTCCATCATGTGTAACTCTACTTGTTTCTTTGTACCCGAATGGGTACATTGGGTGCAGTGGTGTTGTTGCGGCTGTTGTGCTTGTGGCTGCTGCCGCTGCTTCTTTGGCTTGGACTGTCTACTTTGTCTACTTGGGCCAGCGTTTGCACCGGAAGCAGAAGGATAGAACTGCTGATTGTTCATGTAGCTGTAGTATCCAGCGTTGTATCCGCCGACGCTGGCTGTGTGTTGTGCGTGCTGTGCGTTTGCCTGCGCCTGAGCCTGCGCTTGCTGCTGCAAAAACCACCACTGATAATATGCGTTATAATATTCCTCGGAATTGGTGTCCATTTGATTTACTTAAACTTGTTCAAGGATACCGCCATCATCTCAAGCACAAATATTTAAATTCAAAGATGAGATCTCTAACGCAGTTCTCGGAATATTCAAACCACTCAAATCACCACAATCCACTGCGCCAGATTTCTTACTGCCCAGATTTGGATGTTACATTCGGGTGCTGTGAGAAGAAGGCGGAATTCACGCTGATTGGTTGGAGCGATTTGGGTGTTTGCAAGGTGTGTATCCGTTGTCCCATCTTTTCCCCCGCTCAGCCATCTCCCAGCATCTCGCAACCATCTCCCATAGTCCATCTCCGACTCCGACCACCACCGACTCCCAGCTTATCTCGCTCGCTTATCTCCCGGATGCCCAATCCGTCTGCATTCTATCTCGGTCTGGTGATATCTCGCTGATCCGATTGGCTGATTTCGATTTGCACCAAGACTTGGAATATCCCGTCGAACACATTGGCACTGTCGAGCCAGGCATCACAGCAGCAAGCTATAGCCCTGACGAAGAGCTTCTCGTCATCGTCACTCTCAACGACGACCTCCTCCTCCTCACCGCGAATGGCTACTTTGATGTCCTCGCAGAGTTGCCGCTCAGATCCAGCGACTTTGGCCAAGATAAGAATGTGAACGTTGGGTGGGGTTCCAAATCCACGCAATTCCACGGCCGCGCTGGTAAACAAGCCGCGACTCTGCCAGGTGGTCCATCACTTGTAACATCAGAGCAGACAGAGCACACCGAGCACACCCTCGACTCTCAGCCTAGAGTGTCTTGGAGAGGCGACTCAGCCTTTTTTGCTGTATCTACCCTCGACCTCCTCGACAAAGAAAGCGGTGATGGGCAGGTAGAAGCGCGCGTGATACGGACCTATAGCCGCGCATCAGCCGAGTTGCAATCTACCTCTGAATTCGCTCCTGGGCTACTGCATCCTCTAGCCTGGCGCAAGGGGCCTGGCGCTCCGACGATGGCGTCCGTGATGCGATATGGACAGTCTCCAGGCTGTGCCGAGGGCTATGAGCATCTTGATATTGTTTTCTTCGAGCGCAACGGCCTCAGACATGGCGAGTTTACCTTAAAGGGTATCGTGCAGGGTGCGTTGGAGGGAAAGAAAGATGTGCGCGTCAAGGAACTCGAGTGGTCCTGCGACGGAGTCGTCCTGGCGGTGTGGCTGTCCATCGATAACGAGGATGTCGTCCAGCTGTATAGCTCTGCCAACTGGTACTGGTATCTCAAGAGCGAGGTGCCTCTCCGCAGCGCTGGAAATACAAACAGTGTACAGGCGCTCTCCTTCTCCGACGAATCCCCTCTCAACCTTTCCATAATCCTCGCCGATTCCTACAGGAATTTGGAATGGTCATGGACAGTGTACAGCTCGCCCAACGATAGGCACGACCTCGGTTTGGTGGGAGTGGTTGATGGACATCACACCAAATTCACTCCACTCGGAATCGCCAATGTCCCACCACCTATGTCACTCTATCAGGTGCAAACAAACGGCACACCCGTCCACGTGGCATTCGCACACTCGTCACTGGCCTTCCTCCTCCCAGGCGGCAGGGTAGAGGTGTGGCGGTACGAGCCTGCAAATGGCCACGCTAGACCTACACACCAGAGCACTCACCAGACAGACGCACATGCGCGCCAGATCGCGTGGGTGGACGAGCACACGCTCGCTGTCGCCGGCGGTGAGCTGGGCGTGGTGGATGTGAGTGTGGATTCGAAGGAGGGTGTTTACACACGCACTAGTGTGCACAGCGAGGCAGTACCATTGCATCGGTCCCTACTCGTGCCTGGCCTGTCTGACACTGCTCTTTTGCAGGATGCAAATGCGCGTCTGCACACCCTTACCCTCACCCCCACCCCTACTCTCGCGGAACTAGATGTGGAGCTCGGAGTGTTCTGCCCGCACGTCAGCTACCACGGCGGCACAGAGCGCGTCGTCGCGCTATCCCCCACGGGCAAACTGTCTATGGGAAGTGTAGACGGTGTGCGAATGACCCCACTCGCCACTAACGCCCTCTCGTACACACTCACGCCCGATTTCCTTATAGGCACCACGAGTGCGCACAAGGCCATATTCGTCGACTTGCACAGCGCGAGTGAGGCAGGCGGTGGTGTTGAGGAGAGGAGAGTAGAGAGAGGGTCGCGCGTAGTGTTAGCGTGTCCACGTGCAATGCGGCTCGTGTTGCAGATGCCTCGTGGCAATCTCGAGACTATCGCTCCGCGTCCGCTAGTCCTTCAGAACGTGCGGCGCGATGTTGAGGCGGGCCGGTATGGCGATGCGTTTGTGGCATGTCGGAAACATCGTGTGGATATGAACATCCTCTTCGATTTGCAGCCTTCCCTCTTCTTCGACAGGCTTGCGGCGTTTGTGGACCAGATCAAGCACCAGGATCACCTCAATCTCTTCCTGACGGCGTTGCGGGATGAGGACCTCACTCTGACGCAGTATGCGAAGCAGGAGCAGGAGCAGGAAAAGGGAGAAGTGGATGTGGGCGATAAGAGGTGGGTGGTATATCTTTCTTACATCTTGAAATAGATAGACTGACACAATATTATACAGCACACACGCACCCCACCGCCCTAACAAAGTGAACGAAATCTGCACGGCAGTGCGAGGAGAGCTGCTCAAGCGGGATTTAGTGGCGTACACGCAGACGATTATGACATCCTACGTCCGCATGACACCGCCAAATGTCGAAGCTGCGCTCAATCTGCTGCACGAGCTGCAGAAGCAGAAGGTGAGGCGGGAGGTGGAGATGGAAGTGGAGCTGGGAGATAACTCTGGTGACAGCGTCCACGATAACTCAGACCTAACCGATCTGGTTGAGGAGGGAGTCAAGTATATAATCTTCCTCGTCGATTCGCGCACCTTATTCGACTGTGCACTTGGCATGTATGACTTCGAACTAGTGTTGATGGTGGCGCAGCATTCTCAGCGCGATCCTAAGGAGTATCTTCCCTTCTTGCGCCATCTGCAGGGTATGGGTGAGGCTGAGCAGCGGTTCCACATCGATGACCACCTCGGCCGGCACGTGCGTGCAATGGGGCATGTGTACGCGCTATACAGGAGTATGAGCGATACAGACAACGAGAAAGAGAAAGAAGCGGCATTGTCGACATTCATCACGTACGCACAAGACCACTCGCTTTACAAAGAGGCGCTTTCGCTTAGCAAGGAGGATAGCACAGCGCATAGGGTGGTGCTGGAGGTATATGGGGACCATCTAACGACGCAAAACGAGTATCGGGATGCAGCCCTCGCGTATCGACTTGCTGACCTGCGCGAGAAGGCCTTGGGAGCTTATGACCGGGCACACGCGTGGCAGGAGTTGTTTGCGATGATGATGGAGTATGGTAGCACCTCAGACGAGCTCGCCGACGTTGCTTACCGTATTGCCGAAGATCTCAACCAGCGTCGTCGGTTTAGCGAAGCGGGTCGTGTGCTGTGCGATTATACAGACGATACACGTGCTGCCGCCGATCAGTATATCAAGGGTGGGGAGTATGCGGAGGCGGTGCGCGTGTGTGTGTTGAAGAAGCACTTGAACCTCATCAACACTTTCATCAAGCCATCTCTCATTAATGCGCACGAAACGGCCATGGACGAGGCGGAGGAGATGGACGGTCAACTCACCAAACAGATGGAGAGACTGGGCGAGTTGCGTATGGCGAAGAAAGCCCAGCCTGAGGCTTTCTACATGGAGGAACAGCTCGAGAACAACCCCGCATTGGATAATGTGGATGTGGCTTCGGATGCTACGACGGCAGTGACGCAATTCACGCGTTACACTCAACGAGCTTCGACATTTGCAAGCAGCGCGATGACGGGAGCTTCCAAGAAGAACAGCAAGAAGAGCAAGAGAAAGGCTGCGATGAAGGAAGCGAGTGGGAAGAGAGGGACAGTTAACGAGGAGGTGTACATCATGGCAAGTCTAAAGAGATTAGTTGAGCGTGTGGAGGGAGTGCTCAAAGAGGCAGGTGGATTGCTGGGATATCTGTTGATTTACGGGTACGTAGAGGAGCACAGAACGCTAAAAGAAAGACTGGGGGATTTGGAGGAGAGGATAGAGGGAGCAGTGGGGGAGACTTGGAGGGAGAGTGCGGATGACACGGCTATTCCTAACAACATACCAGACACAGAGAGGATGGTGTGGGAGAGAGTGTCTAGCGAGTTGAGTAGAAAGTACACGCAGCCTAGTAAACCAGAGAATAAGAGAATAAATTGGAGAAGATTGTAAATAATTTTTAGATAGAAATTCACTGGGAATGCACACACTGAGGAAGGGTTAAGAAGACACCTCACAATGAGCCTGAAAATACCAAAATCACAGGGAATAGACTTGTTTAAGCCAGGTGGCAAGCAGCTTTCTGGAATAGAAGATGCGGTAATTAGAAATATTCAGGCAGTCAATGAGCTATCAGAGATCGTTAGGACTTCATTTGGACCAAATGGTGGGGAGGTATGGGATATAATATACATAGGCTAATGCTATACAGGAAAGAACAAGCTGATAATCAACCACCTCGACAGGCTATTCGTTACAAACGACGCAGCTACGATTGTCGAGGAATTGGAAGTTGTTCACCCAGCAGCGAAATTAATCGTGATGGCATCTCACCAGCAGGAGCAGGAGGTAATTGTACTGGTACATGACCTATATCACCCTAACACTCCTCAGGTCGGCGATGGATCAAACCTGGTACTCATCTTAGCAGGTGAATTACTCAAGAAAGCTGAGAATTTATTGATAATGGGATTGCATCCTTCTGAGATTGTTCAGGGATACGAGTTGGCTAGAAATAAAGCACTTGAATCCCTCTCAGATCTCTCAAATGGAAACCTGGCTCTCCCACCCACAAAGCAATCCTTAGCAACCTCCATAAAGACTTCCCTTGGCTCGAAACAATTCGGTAACGAAGACTTCCTCGCTGATTTGGTCTCAGATGCTGTCTCAACCGTCATGCCCAAAGATTTCTCCCAATTCAATATCGATAACGTTAGAGTCGTTAAGATTATGGGCGGTAACCTCTACGAATCACGCGTTCTTAGAGGTATGGTCTTTGGTAGACAGCCAGAAGGCGTTGCACGCAACGCAACCAAAGCAAAGGTCGCCGTTTTCACGTCAGGCATTGACATATCTCAAACCGAGACTAAGGGCACCGTTCTCCTCAAGAACGCTGATGAAATGATGAACTTTACAAGAGGCGAAGAGCAACAAATTGAAAAGGTCTTGAAGGAAATCGCTGACTCTGGCGTCAAAGTTGTCGTTGCTGGCTCTCAAGTTGGTGATCTCGCCTTACACTACTTGAACAGACTTGATATCGTCGTTATCAAGGTTCTCTCCAAATTTGAGCTCAGAAGACTATGTAGAGTCGTCGGTGCTACCCCATTAGCTAGACTTGGCGCTCCTACCGCTGAAGAAGCTGGTTATGTTGATGTTTTGGAAACTACTGAAATCGGTGGGGATAGAGTTACCGTCTTTAGACAGGACAATGATCAACTCACTCGCACTTCAACTATCGTCTTGCGTGGTGCTACTGCTAATCACCTCGACGATATTGAGAGGGCTATTGACGATGGTGTCAACATTATCAAAACCTTACTCACTAAGGATAACAGATTCATTGCTGGTGCTGGTGGCTCTGAGATGGAATTATCCAAGATCATCGAAGATTTTGGTGATAAAACTCCCGGCCTCAACCAACACGCTATCAAGAAATTCGCTGAAGCACTCCAGATTGTTCCAATCACCTTGTCTGACAACGCAGGTCTCAACTCAACTGAAATTTTAGCCAAGCTTCTCTCGGCTCACTCAACAGATAAAGGTAGAGATTTTGGTATTGACATTGATGCTGTATCTGATGAAGGTATAATAAACACACTCCAACACGGTATAAAGGACAGTTTGGCTTCCAAGTGGTGGTCAATCAAGTATGCCGTTGAATCTGCTATCGCTGTACTTAGAGTGGACAGTATCATCATGTCGAAAGCTGCTGGTTTGGCTCCACCTCAACAACAAGGACACTGGGATGATGATTAGATTATCAAAAAGTTTTATTGTGAATTCTTTAATAAATATTGTTTCTTTTAGTCTAAAAAGTACAATAAACCAAAGCGAATGTGAGTGTGGCCATAAGTGTGAAAGGTGATGAAACGTGGAGAGATAACCCGCCGCTGCTTGCCTTGTATGGCTCAGAAGTTGGATGGAATGATGCTTGTCCGAGTGATGTTGCATTGCCTTCACTCATTGTGTACTTCCAGCTCACATCGTCTGGTCCTACATTGGTTGGAGAGTCAGCGCACTTGATTGATACCGATTGAATCGTAGCCTTGAATGGACCTGATAGACATTTCATTAGCGAAGCAATCAGTTTGGAGAGTTACCTACCTTCATCCCAGTGAATAGCTCCACCGCCCCACTCATAGCTTCCCGGTGACACATCCTCAATCCCAGATGGCCAGACTGAAAATTGTAATCTCGAAGGTGAAGCTGGGTAGTGTGGCACCTTATCCCATCCCATAGTGTCAGCTTTATTGAGTGTTCGCACTACAACACCATCAATCTTCCACTCGAGTTTTTCTTCCGTCCAATTTAAACCAAAGTCATGGAACCGCTCATCAGGATGAGGGAAGTCGTGAGTATCGCCCTTGGTGTAATCTGTTTCACCTTGGAAATAGTAATTGGACTGGCCTTCTCCAGTTTTTGCACCAACAAACTCCCAATCGATCTCATCATGAATGTCAGACATTAAGATCATAGTAGAAATAACGCCCTGGTTTCCTGTAACTTTCATTCTAGCGTTAAACTCTCCGTAAAGCATGTATCTTGTTGAGCTCAATTTCGTACCCTTATTATCCTCTGTCATTATCATTGTCAACATGTTATCTTCTCTAGCTATATCTCCTTTGTCGAGAGTGAAATCGTATTCATCTGCTTCTCCATGGTATTCATCTGGATTCTGCATAATACCCTTCCAAGCAAGTCTATCAAATGCGTTGATATTGAGATTCTTACACATGGGTACGTTCTCGCAAGCGTCTTGAGCAGATACGCGTGGATCACACCCAAAGCGACAGTGTGCATTAGTGTCACCGCAATGACCAAATTCTGTAGTGCGTTGCAATCAGCTAAAATACGCACAATCACAACACCCCCACTCACCTGAGCAACACGGTATATCAGTTGGACAGGTCAGACCTGTAGCTGCACTGCAACTACCACCATTGGCTGCTGCCGTCGTTGCTGCGAGTGCAAATAGAGCTCCTAATGAAAATGCGCGTTTAGCGTTGTACATATTCCGCTTATGTCTGGTTGAGTTGATTTAATGAGCGTGGATTGTTTTGTTTGTGCAAGTAAACCCTTGATATATAGATATTATTCAAAAGCCTTTAGTCTGCCGCGTATGAGCCTATATTCATACCGAAGCTAATATTCGTGCACGGGCGTGCCGAGGTCATAGATGAACTGACTGCATTGGGTTGGTCATTATTGCATCTCATTCAACTCTTTACTCCTCCTGCTTATGCCCACGGGAGTGATGGTCAATGTCAGGTCAAAGTCGCACAATCTCCACGCAAAGTGTCAAGTACAAAGTTCTTTATTAGAATCACAAAATAACATATATTATAATTATAAAGTTTGTTTGTATATTGGGCTACAGAAGTCAACCCTACCGCACAGATTGCAGACTGTTACATCTCACAATCCATAAGCAGCGGGTCCGGCTTTTCTCAGCTCATCTTTTATCTCTGACTGGACACATACCGATGCTCAATCAATTTGAGCTCAGTCGCAATTCTTTTCCTCAAGGGTGGATTTGCCGGTCTAAGTCATTTTTGTTTGAGAAGTAAATGTTGCGAATTTGTAGTACAAGTACACCGAAAAAATTTAATCCAAGTTCATTATTCCTTGCTTGGAGATCCAGTTCATGATTTCTTACTAAGAAGATCTTTGCCAACTCCCAGCGATCGCTTGCCTATGTTCGAAGCTAATGAGAGTACGCCCACAGAATCGTGAATCTCGCCATCTGATATATTCTCAGATGTCAGCGTCCAATCGTCATCGTTGTCATCAGTATCGTGATTTTCCATGTTACTGTCGTCTTGTATGTCGTCGTGTTCTTTCGCTCTTGCTGTAACCACTGTCTGAGCGTAGTCCATATATCTGTATAAACATTTGATAGCTGTACCCTGAAGATTTATTAGCTAAAAAAATATACACCCAGGCGATATACCTACTACGCCATCTTCCTTTCTTATCTTCTCACCCACAGTCTTAGCATTCGCGATTTGCTTCTTGTCCGTGGTTGCATCCTTGAGAGCTTTAGACAGTGTGTCTACTGTAAGCTTGCGAACACTCGCGCCCAGATTCGCAGCCTCGACTCTATCAGCATTGAAGAACTGGTCACCAAAGAACGGCTTAATGACCGTTGGAAGTCCTGCTCTTAAACTGGCGCCTGTCGTACCACTACCGCCATGGTGTACAGCTGCATCTATCAGCGGGAAAAGCTTGGCATGGTCGACTGTATTAATTGAGAAGATACATTTTGGTAGCTGAGGTTCTTCTTTCTTCTTGTCAGTGTGCATTCGATCCGACCATCCTTTCGAAAGAATGGCATAGACGCCAGCGTTTTCAATAGCCTCCACTACAATTCTTGTCATCTCGTCCGGATCACTAACAACAATCGAGCCAAAACCAATATAGACTACCTTCTTACACAGTCTTCGACCTTCATCTACGAACTCGAGCATATCTTGGTGATCCTCCGATTCCAATCCCTTCCTGTTTTCTTCATTGTTTGTATTGAATGAGTCCATAAACCAGTAACCAGTGACATGGATCCACTCATTCCAATCAAGCGGCTTGGGTACTAGTGTTGGAGAGAAGCAGTACAAGAATGGAACCTTATGCTGTGCCAATCTTTGCAAATTCGTACCTTTCAGCCCCAGTGTCGATCTTCTCCATCTATTAATTTGTCCGGAGATAGCTCGCCAAAAGACCTGATCAAATATCGTGTAAGTCATCCAATTGTATGATCCACCCATTCGATGCTCGGGTACAGCGAACGCATGTGGATAAGCTCTTGTTCTTGTCCATGTCATAGTGAATGCTCTAAAGTATGGTATCTTGAGAGCTTCAGCTATGTGTATTCCAGCCATAGCTGACGGTGACTCAATCAGTACGTCTGTCTCCTGACAAGCCTCCCATGATCGTCTCAGTAGCTCGTCAAGCCAGTTTCTGAACTTGGATAGACCTTCCTTTAAAAATGCCAGCGTAAATGTACCATTCTCAACACAGATTTGCATAAGCTCGGCAGGATCTCCACCCACTTCCCTATGCTCAATACCAGATCCTTCGACCCATTCTTTGTATTCTCCATGCGTCGCTATTCTGCATTCGTGTCCCTCTTTGATTAGTCCCTTGCACAACGCTATGTACGGTTGCACGTCACCTCTACTACCGATCGTGAGACATGTAATACGGAGCCGCTTAGTTGGCTGAAACGAGACTACAGATGTTGATGCTGATAAGCCATCTTCATCGGGCACAGGCGCCGTCTGTGATGGGCGTCTGTATGACAGCGAGAGATCCTCGATGATTTGAGCTTCTTTAAGACCTTTTGAAGATTGAGTGTGTCGAAGAGCTGGATTCTTTACAAGCCTATCGAGCTGCGTGGAGAGTAGCTTCTCGCATGCGTCACGACGGTTAGCGGTGGTGAATTCAATGAAGAGTTCCTCGTGACCTGGACGTGATTAAGTATTCTGCTAACAAACGACAAAAGATTACTCACGATGTATAATCATGATGAGACCATGGAACGAGAAACGAAGAGGTTTGTGAGGTTGAACAGCTTGTAAATCACTTAATGGTAATATCATCTAAAATATCTCAGTTTGTCAATTTTACTCCGTATCTGACCCACCTTTGTCTTGCCTAGCATCTGTAATGATCTAAAGCAGAGATAATTGTCCGTGATGTAAACTTTACCAGGCACAGGATACATTCTAAACAAGGCACAATTGAAATGACCAAGTATCCTTTCCTCGGATAAAGCAAAGAAAGCGTTGAATTTTTGCTGGATATCTTCCTCGGCTCGAAGCACATCCTCCGTGCCTTCGCTGTGCTCCAAAACAGAGAAATCGCTACCAACATCTTCAAACTCATCATCAGACTCAGCAGAATTACTTCTAGATCTCGACCTTTGAGCGCTCCTATTCGAAGGTTCTTCATATGTTTCGCATACTCTACTATTGGTTCTCATTAAAGTACCGCTGATAGCTGGATTAGGCAAAGGTCGCTGAGGTTGTTGGAGCTGTTGGGGCTGTTGAGGTTGTTGACGTTGCTTATTACTATTGCTATTAGCGTCATTGTTATTATTGTTATTTAGAAATGGTAAATTCGGTAATTTAGGTAAGATGGTCGATAAGTGTGGGTGTGGAATCATGCGTGGAGCACTGTATACCGCTTTACCAACTTTCAAGCTACCAGATTTGATCCATGAAGGAATTTCAGAGGTTAATGACCGACTTCTATCGCGGTTGCGGTTATGTGGCGGATAAGTATGATCGCTCTGTGCGCTAGACGCCGGTCTCGCTGTCATTTCAGATCCTTCAAGGACCTCTCCTTTCATCTTGGATGGAGATTCTGTCAAAGTCTCATTAGACAATATGCGATGGACATTCTGTCTATACGAATCTAATATCTGACGCAATGTGTTACTGGCAAATTGACTGTCTTTAAAGTGATCAAAGTAGTAGCAATCTGCACCATCCTCGTTATTTATGTAGCTGACCGCTACGCTATCAGCGAATTCCAGATTAGACGATCTTTCAACGTTGATTATGTGGTCATATGGAACGACAAGCTTGGACTTTGTTAGTGTTGAAGAGTGGAACCGCTATACCCACCTTGAATGATCCAGACTCGTTCTGTGATCTAAAGATACCCTTTCTAATCATCTTGACCCACTCATTTCTACCAACCTTGGAATCAGCCACGAAGTTAAATTTGCGTTCAGAAGTGACGACAACGAATTCCCTATCACTATTCTTGACAGTGACGCTGCTGATAGCGTACCTGAGCGCTATGTTGCCGACTGGGAAATAAGGGTCCGTTTCGCTGCCGAACCAGCTCAATACGTCATTTTTCAGGGTAAGCCAGTATCTGATAACACGTCTCGTCCTGAGGGTGCGTTTACTGATTGGGCCATTTTTAACGAGACTATCCCTCGCAGGTGAGGGGACGTGTGCAAAGAAACACAAGAAGGAGTCTGTTGAATATAAGAAACCTTCTAGCAGTGGTCTGTAGCTTGATCCGAGGAGAGAGGATCTAAACTCTGCGTGAATTTCCTCTTCACCCTCCAAATTGAAGATCTCTGCCAGCTTCTTTGACAATGTTCTGCGTCTCTGTGTGGACTTTTTCTTCAATGACTGTGATTTGCTCTTAAGTGCAGTGTCGTCGGAGCTATCAGAGCTATCAGAATCCTCTTTTTCAGATTCGTGAGGGGTACCTGTCACAGGTGTGGAAGTAGACGATTCAGCTTCTTGATGTTGTGTGTCGTTATGTACTGTGTTCAGTGAGGAGTAATGGTCTATTTGACGGAGTTAGACTGATTTTCATTTACAACGCCCGACTTACTTAGCACGCTATTGTTTTGTGCTTTATCCTCGAGTACCTCCTCATCATCATCGTCATTGCTATCATCATCAGCATGGCGGGCGAATGCCTGTATGACCTGTATGAGGGACTGTGTGCCCAAACGCATCTTTTTGCCATTAGAGATTGCCATAGTGCCAGTCGCCGTTAACTTACATTAGTATCACCACGCCAGCTTTTAGACGGCGTCAAAAAAGCCGAAGACGTTCCTTGCTGTGCTGAAAGTTCATTTGGGGAGGCTGTGGTATGTAATTAGCCCAACTTAATTATTCGCAGTATCCACACACTCGTTTGGAAGTATCCCTCGTTCTTGTCCTGCTCGTGGGGAACCTGGCGATCCTGACATTCCTGGTGATTGTGGCGTTCCTGATCCGTGCTAATGGACTGCGAATTGCTGGTTTCGGCCGTAGGCTGACTCATTTCTGCCGCCCCCTGCTTTTGCTCAGTTTCAGTCATAGTATTGGGGAAACAAGGAAATGGATGGAAAACAAGTAGTTACAAATATGCTATAGACCCCCGAATATTTCGCGAAGCTTTCCCATTAGTGCGCTGGCTTTTCCATGCGGTCTCCTCGGCGACTGTTCTGGCGGAGTGTGATGATGATGATGGTGCGGTGATGGCGTCACAGCAGCTTCTCTCGCGCGCTGAAGCTCACTATCAAGCAGCAGCAAGCCTCTGCGAGTAGATGGTGGTGCTATTGCGTTATATGATTTGATCGCACCGTTCACGCGATCCAACAAAATCATGTGATACGATTGCTGACGCTGTTCCCAATCTCTATCGCGGGGTACGTACGTGGGTGTATGCGTAGGAGCATGGTCGCTTTTGCAGTCATTTGCTGTTATGCGCCCAGTATACCTCCATCTCTTTGTGTACTCCTCACGCAGATAATTTCTCAATGACGTCACCTCGCCCTCCATCAACATCTGTAACTCGACGAACGCAGGCACAGCGCCCTGTCTACTGATAAGTCTATTCATGAGGAACTCCTCGCGATCAATGAAGGGGTTTCCTTCCGACACGCTCCCGAGCGGTTCACCTTTTCCTGGAAGATTGTTAAACTGACCTTGCCGCTGAGCGCGTTGAATCTGCACCTCCACAAGCGACTGCCATCCCTCTAGAGACTGAGGGCGAGGGCGGAACTGCGATTGTTGGTGCTCGTTGTTCTGTATGTCGTCGAGACTGCCCGTCAACGAGTAATCAATTGCGCCATCCCGCGCATTGACCAGACGACGCTGTCTGTCTTTGGATTTCTTTGTATCACGAATCAACGCCTTTGTCTTGGAGTCGGGGTTAAGGGATTGTAATTTCTGGCGCGCCTGCGACTGGAGATTGCGGGCTCTGTAGATAGACGGCTGTTTACTGCGTGAAGCATGGGAGGGTTGCACGAACTCAGCATCCCACGGCATGAAGTTGGGGTCTGAAGGGATCAGGTTGTCTGTGGGGGATAGTGGCTGCTGTACGGTTTTGAGCTTTGAATCACCATAATGATCCTTTCTGCCGTCTCTGAGAGGTTTACGGGAGTCGATTAGCATACGGAGTGTTGTGTGGTGTGGATGCTCGTCGCCATCCCAAGCATCTTCGGAGTGATTCGTGGGCGATAGATGTTTAGGCTGATCATTAACCTCCTTTAAAGCATCCCTGAACAACCGCCGTTTAGATTTATCGAGAAGGCTGAGCGAGTTTCGCATCTGAGTGAGTAATATAGCTGTTAGTGCGCTGCTATTCAAATATTTTATAAAATAATCAAATTTATCCAAAGTATCCAGATTTCTGGAATTTATCTTTATCGGCTTCCTCAAATGCCGTCATCACCTTTGCAAGTCGTCGGTGGACACAAAGATACAATCGAACTAGACGAGGATGATATGCTGATAAAAACTACAAACCCAACTGAACTCGATTTCTACCAGTCTGTTAACATCGCTCACTCGATCTACCACCACATTCCACACTTCTACGGCGCGTTGAAGCTCCACAGCGCACCCAACCCTCCCAGCGCTGAAGACGCGCCTAAAGAGGTGCGTCTGTTCCACCTAAACACACACTCTCACTCCAATTCCAGGCTATTGTCCTCGAAAACCTCACAGATTACTTCAGCATACCCAACATATGCGATATCAAACTAGGCAAGGTGCTCTATGATGACCACGCCACCCCTGAGAAGCAGCAGCGCATGGAGCAGTCCTCCATCAACACCACCAGTCATGCCACTGGCATCCGCTTCACTGGCTTCAAGGTGCGTGTCTTCTCCCTGTCTTACCTCTCTAAAATCAAGACACTAGGTTTGGAATACTGCTAAGGAGGATTATGACGTCACCGATAAGGCGTACGGCAAATCTCTCACCCCTCAACAGCTCCCTGATGCTTTGAGGAGGTTCATACCCATACCACACTCCCTCACCATCAAACAACTCAAATTCGTCGTCTCCTCTATCCATTCTCAGCTCCTTTCTGTACGTGACGCCGTCTCTCTCATGCCCTTCCGCTCTATCAGCTCCTCTATCCTCATCGTTCATGAGGCCGACTCAGACGACTTCCTCGAAGAACAGGCTGCCATGGTCAAACTCATTGACTTTGCTCATACCAGACTGACAGACGCTGACACGCCCGATATGAATATATTGGCTGGTATCGACACATTGATTGACCTAGTGTACAATTATAAAGAATACATTAATCAGTTGTAGACTATCTTGGTATTTGGTATATTATTGTCTCGCTCTTGCTCTCGGCGCCTTGTTTTCATCGTTAGTTTCTCTCGTCTCACTAGTTTCGGTTATGTGCAGCTTCTCAGCCAGGCCTCTGATTTTGATTGATGCGCTTCTCTTGCGCTCTCTGTGATTTTTGGAGATACTGCCATACCTCTCCAATCCCCACAGCATCACTTCACTCTTCCCCACCTTGACTTTATCGAGATTGAGGCCCTGTTTTTCCATCTCATTGAGAAAAATTTTGAAGTGATTCTGTGAAGCAATGTGTGTTAATTTGGTTTATTTAAGCACTCGCCCACTCGCAACTCACTATGGAAGATCTGTAATGTCCACTCAGCGGACTAAGCGCTGAAATTTGACCATTTCGCACCCTAATCAACCCCGCACTTGAGACAAGGCCGCCAGAGAGGAAGGACGAGTGCTGAAAAGTCCCTGTCGATTTGATCCCAACAAACATATTATCTGGGAGGTTGCCGGCTGGTTAGATGGTCCATGGCGCATTCTAACACCCACACTGCATATCAGACACCTGCGCAGTTCACGTCAGACATGATCCACTCTCAAACACACTCATCTTCACTTACATATATCCACGTATTCTTTCCGACAGTTTTACGCAGAAGCCTATCCATGATACCACGCGCTGTGTATTTATGGTGAGTTTTGTCATCCTTCTTGTCATCTAAATCAATCATGTCATGGGCGTGTTCATATGCATCGTCGCGCTCTCTCTGCGCAATCTCATCATCATCATCAGAGCTGGAGGGGGAGTCAAACGATGTCCACACGGAGCTATCTTCGCTGATAGACGACCTGTTATCTTGTGCATGCTGCTGATACTGTTCACACTGCCCACCCTCGAAGCCTTCCTGAAGTGGTATTATCCCAGACCCATCTCCAGAATCCTGCCATCTGTCCGGAGCTGTATCCACCGCTTCACCATTTTTTGCCCAGTGCAGCAGACCTGTCAAAGGATTAGGCACTACGAGGTAGCTGTTATGTGTTAAATCGCGTTCAAAACCACTCTAAACCCACTTCAGGCGCTGTTCAGCAGAGCAGTAAAAGATCTGCTCTTTGTCCAATCGCTCACGCGGGCATTCATCGAGATCGAGGTGGGTGCCCTCACCGTAATCGAGCCTGAGACCAGGTGAAAACGTTAGCATCAAGCACCGTCCGCCAAAAGGCACGCAACTCACCACCGGAAAAAGTTATCAGATGTACCTGAAACCGACCATAATTTATGGTAGCATTTTAAATTAACACCATAACGATGTTTTGTGTCAATCATTTCGAGCCAGTGCTGCTCTTCTAGTCGCTTTGATTGTTTTTCCTGTAATGCCTGCGTGGGTTTCTGGTCAGGACCTACGCGTCCCTGCAGGCGTCTTTCCACATCCCTCTTCTTGGATTTGGCTTTAGAAATGAATTTAAGATTTAGGACCTTCTCAGCCGCTCCTTCTTTACCGCCGTTCTCTTCTTTCTTCGTAAGCATCTCTTGCACTTTCGCAGAGACTTGTTTTGGGTCTTGATCTTGGTCTTGGTATTGGTCTCTCGAGGACAGGCCATCGTGCAGGCGCGACGCGAAGAATCCAGCTCTTTGGAAACGTTCTGTCGCGCTGTTGCGCCGTGCACTCGTCTGGCTCAGCACTGCCTCCTTCATTTTGAGATCTGCAACGGGCGATAAGCTGTGCTGATACAGAGAGCAACATGCAATGTGCTTACCGGTTAAAATTTCTAAGAATGCGTCAGATACACCACACACAAAATTCCTCACCTACCTGACCATCTCGTTGCTGCTGCCAATCGCTGCTGCTGCACTTGGATCCTATCAAGGCGACCCCTGAAAACAGCCTATAGTTGCGCTTAGAGTATCTCGAGACCCTGCTTGTGACCCCACCTGTATCTTAATCGCCGCTTGTTCTGCTTTCTCGTCGTTCATTTCTCCTACCTCGCTGCGGCTGCGTGAGAGTTTAATTATAGATACATGCTTTTATGTACAAAAATCCTAGATAAAATCTATAAAAGTACGCGTGGGATCACTCTCGTCGTGTGGTATGTACTTGGGGAACTGCACTTGCTTTGTCAGACACTCAGTTTTCTTGGCATCCACCACACTTACCCAGTGATTAGCAGCCACGTTCGGCGACACTAGCTGCTGGGGAATCTTGAGACCACCGGGCTGTGATATAGCGGCTGTCAGAGACGTGGGCGACAGCTGCCCGTTGTTCTCGCTTTTCGCCGGCTTAGAGCAGCAGCTGGGAGGAGCGTCAACCTTTGGTATGTCCAATTTGAGACTATTTGATTGAGTTGGTAGCGTGAGTGTATTCGTACTTGCACTTGCACTTGCACTCGAGCTCGGATTACCATTCGCCTCTGCTTCGCAATTGCACGACGTGCAGCAACCGCAGCAGCTCTCCTCACACCTGCATTCCACGCCCAAAGCCTGGCACTGGCAGCTCCCGCCACAGCATTCAGTCTCTAAGGGAGGTAGTCTCGTTATGCCCCTGTTGCGTGGATCGTAGAGCTGCTGCCAGCTCTGCAGCCCAAGTGTTCCGCCATCTACATAGCTATCGATATTGCTGCTAATACCTTGCGGCGGAAAAGGAACTAAAGAGCTAGCCTTCTGTAGAAACTCCTCCAAATTGCCGCACTCTGACTTCTTGAGCAGCTCGTGCACGTTGATCTCGTCACACCCACACGTAGCGCTCTCTTCCGGAGTATAGTTTGGTGCTTCTGCTTGGGTTTCGGTCTGTGCAGGCAGAGGAGGGTTTCTGTGAGTGAGACAGCCGGGACATGCACACGAAGGCCCACACGAGCAATGCCCAATGACGTCGGCGATAGACGGCAGCATATTAGTTACGAATGCGCGCTTCTTTTCGGAGCAGTTGCAGCGGCCGCCTACTTTGCATCTGCAGGGATTCATCAGGCGCTCGAGTGAAATCATGCTTGGCTCGCCCTCTTTCTGTGCTTGTGGGGGGAGAAGGCTGGAGTAAGCGTCTTTCAAGCCATTAGGGTAGTGTGCTTGAGGGGGCAAGGGAGCTCTCTCGCCTTTTTTTAGTTTGCGCGGTGGTGGGCCATCCTTGCCATTACCGTTACAATTGCTCTTAGGCGCAGGTTCTTGCCGGTCCTGGCAAACGCATTTGGAGCTGCTCTGGGGAGTGTAAGGATGGTAATATCTTAGTATCCTTATCACCACGACTCACATTGCCATCCTTGCGCTGATCCTTGCATTTGGTACACTGCGCCGGCGGTCTGCCCTTTCTCTTCACTTCAAAAAGCGGGCGATCGTCATGGGCGCACGAGGAGGATCTGTGGCCTGGTGAACGTTAGTATGGCTGCGCTGGGCCGCTCAACTAACCCTTTATACAAGTCGCGCTGCGAAGTGTTAGCAGATAAAGACGAGGAATTTACAGACAAACCACGCCAATTTAACGCCATTTATGAAAGGCTTTGGGAAGTTAGTGAGGATACGTCGCTTGCTGATATCACTCACCATCCCTGCCTATCTCAGTTTGATGTGATGATGTGAGCGAAGAAAGAGTCAAGGCTGGATAGTATTTTGTTTATTCGCACGGCTAGCAAAGGGAATTCGAATAGCAGCTACAACAGTCTAGCGGATGTTGAAATCCATTACCCGATTACAGCCGCGAGATGGCTTTGGTATTTGAAGTGTATGCGTAGTAATAAGGGTTTTAGTCTTAATTAGACATATCTGCACTCTCTTAATCCGAACAGTCTAAAGCTCTCAAGAATTGATCATCCATCACGACGAAAATCTTCATTCCACCTCAAAAAATAAAGAAATTAAGTTATTGTTCATTGTTTCACTAATTAGATCCCCAAAAGGGAGAATACAAGGGTTAATAAGTAGTGATCGCCTTAGATGACAGAGATTGGAGTACAGCCCTTGAGAGTGTGTTAGACAGTATGTTAGATCGAAGAAGCGAGTACACACCAAGTTGGCAAGTCCATTTTGGGTTTGACCGCTGCAGCAAGCAGAGGTGGTCTTACATTGGTTAGAGATTGGTACACCAACGACGGCCGCGACTTGGTCACATTGCAATCCAACTTGGCCAGCCAATTCGTCGATACCGAGCAACTCGAGGGTAGCGGTGTCGATGGATGAGGCATCCTTGACTTGGTTACAGCACTTGACGTTGCTGGTTGAGCAGTCGCCTGCTCTCATTTGAAGGTTCGATGCAAGGGATGCTGAGAAGAAAGCAGTGGCAGTGAGGGCGATGGTTGAGAATTGCATTGTTGAAGACTTGAGTGTTATGAGTTGAAGAACTGGGATGATAATGGCACGGTATTTATACTCTCGCAGGTAAATTGAATTAATTTGTGACAATGTTTCGGCGAACTCGAACATTAGAACCTCGACTCGAATAGGAAAGTGAGACAGGAAGTATATTAAATTTGGTTCCATACGCGGTTAGCTACACTTAAGTAGTTAAATTGGGTCACAAACACGCCTAATGATGCTTACTTGATTCGCCGCTTTAAAATTGCATAAACACGTAAATCGCAACAATGAGGAGGAGATGGCGTATGTATTGGGGTGCTACCGAACCATACAAAGTACAGACAGTGCTTCGATACTCAAAGTTAGATCAAATCGATTGCGTCAGAGGTGCTCGCACACAAGCCAACTCCCAGCGCTCACAAAGCCTCAAAACACTGTGACTTGCCAGTCTATTCACACCAAACACTTCGAGGCCCCTGTAATATAGCGACGTTGACCAAACCACATCCCAATTTAGCGACGTGAAATGAGACACAGACCTGTAGAAATGCATATGTGGACAATTTTACAAACCACTCCACACCAACTGCACACGTGATGACAACGCCTGCTCGCTCTTAACTACCGTTAAGCGATGATGCTCGCTAAAGTGCCCTTGTCGAGCAGGCGACTATACACTCCGTTGAGCATTACGACGAGACTAATACACACTTCAAAAATGACAAGTGCTCCTGTGAGTTGACTGTGCGCTACAGTCTCCGCCGCGCTGACGCCATCACAGCAACTCAGCAACGCATCACTCTGGCAAACCAAGGGATTCATAAATAACCAATGGGTCGACAGCGAAAATGGCGCTACGTTCCAAGTCACTGATCCTGGCAACGGCAACAACCTCGGCTCTGTTCCAGAGATGGGTGTCGCCGAGACACGTAGAGCCATCGATGCCGCCGGCGAGGCGTACAAGACCTTCTCCAAGACTACGGCCAAATCCAGACAAGATCTTCTCAACAGAATCTTCGCACTTATCAGTCAGAATGCCGACGATTTGGCCAAGATTGTCACCGTTGAGAACGGTAAACCACTAGCAGATGCCAAGGTGAGTTTGGAGTGTGTGTATGTGTGCATATCGATTTAAACTCACACGCAATCCAGGGCGAAGTCGGATATGGTAACAGCTTCTTTGAGTGGTTCGCAGGCGAAGCAGTGAGGACATACGGCGATGTAGTCCCAGCAGCCAATCCAGACCTTCGCAATATCGTTATAAAGCAACCTATCGGTGTTTGTGGCATCCTCACTCCCTGGAACTTCCCAGTCGCGATGATAACGCGCAAATTAGCACCAGCAATCGCTGCAGGTTGCACAGCTGTGATTAAAACACCAGCAGAGACTCCATACTCTGCCCTGGCTATCGCACACCTCTGTAAAGAAGCAGGTGTGCCAGCCGGTGTAGTTAACGTCATTACGACCGACAAGAATGTCGCTCAAGTCGGCAAGGAGATTTGCGAGAACGGAATCGTCAAGAAAGTGTCCTTCACAGGCTCTACACGTGTCGGTAAAATTCTCATGCAACAATCGAGCAACACGCTGAAGAAGCTGTCATTCGAACTCGGCGGAAATGCGCCTTTCATCGTTTTCGATGATGCTGATATAGATGCCGCTGTTGCTGGTGCACTTGCATGTAAATTCAGATCATCTGGTCAGACATGCGTCTGTGCGAACAGAATCTACGTACAGTCAGCTGTTTACGCCGAATTCGCCTCTCGTCTCGCTGAGAAAGTTGATCAGTTCAAACTCGGTTATGGACTCGACGAGGGTACGACACATGGTCCACTCATCGCTGAGAGAGCCCTTGACAAGGTGCAGGAGCATGTTGATGACGCCGTCAAGCGCGGTGCAGAGGTGCTCAGCGGTGGTAAGAAACTCGGTGGCAATTATTTCGCCCCTACCGTCCTCGCTAATGTCCCATCTGACGCTCTGGTCAACTGCGACGAGACTTTCGGCCCCCTTGCTGCACTTACCAAATTCGACACAGAAGAACAAGTCGTCAAGCTGGCTAATGATGTAAACGTCGGTTTGGCTGGATACATGTATTCGCGCGATATCGGTCGCGTATGGCGCGTGTCGGAGGCACTCGAAGTGGGCATGATCGGTGCTAACGCTCCTATTCTCTCACAAGCATGCATTCCATTCGGTGGCCAGAAGGAGAGTGGTTTCGGTAGAGAAGGTGGTAAGCAGGGCATAGAGGAGTATCAAACTACCAAGTTGATTGCTATGGGCGGTGTCACTGTGTAATTTGGACTGTATAGTATATTCAACGAATGAATGTCTTTTGATAGCATAATGAAGCATGTTATTCCGTTTTATTCTGGTGGATATGCGTCTGCATTGGTACAGACTGACCTGCTGAGTGTCTGATCGAAGTACGGCCTGCACAAGTGCATCAGAGTGTGTAAAGCAGCATATGTGCATACTTACCCCACGTGCGCTTCTTTGGAGCGTTGGAAGATGTTAAACTTATCAGTGCATCTGTCGTCCTCGCGCCCGATGCAGTGTGCAGCAGGTGTAGGTATATCATTTTCGTCTTGCTTGGGTATGTAGACCTCCCCTGCGTAATGCTTGTATGGCCAACCAGGGAGGTGAGGTACTTTATCATTCTGGTTTGTAACACGTGCCCTCTTATCCAGTGGTATAGTCTTTTCCAACAATCCAGCAAACTGCTCATTGCCCACGCGAGGACTACCGAAAGTGGTCAGACGCAGATCATACCCTCGATCTTTGACGATGCTGCTAAGGGCGACAGCTTCAATAGCCGCGCTAGCAGCACCCATGGAATGGCCTTCGAACCGCACCACACTAATCTTATCACCAAGCCTATCCATCGCTGCTATCAGTCTCTTCTTCAATTCCTCGTATGTCTTATTAACTGAGCGCAGAAACCCAGAGTGCACAGAAATTCCAGCAGAGCTGTTTACGCCCATATCATCTAAAAGGACAGCGTCTATTGCCGTCAGGAAGAAATTAGCGTCGATAAGCACGCTAAGGAAGCTTGAGAAATTGGTGGGGGAGTGTGCTACAACCAAAGCGTTTTCTGAGTGGACATGCATCAGATATATCCACGGGTCGCGCTCGCCGTCTCCATCCGAGTAGAGAATCTCCGCACCGGCGTCACTGAGCTTGTCGCATGCAGGGCCACAGTCAAAGGCAGTCACAGCACGACTTCCACAGGACACAGCACCCGATACGACCGCTGAGGAGATGTAGCGGGCAGCTTGCTCGTCTGTTACGGGAGAGAGCTCTTGCTGACGGGCGATGAGCGCGGGAACAGCAGCAGCCCAAGCGCAGAGAGCGAGTAATAGAAGTACCAGCCTCATACAGGAAGTTTAGGTTTTGATTAAAGAGCTTTGATTTAGTCTAGATAAGCCGGTCTGCATGCCTAAGTGCATTCTTCGCAGCATAGGACACTAGCGGAAGAGGAAGCGGGATATGTACAGAATGGCTACAAGTACAACACACACAAAAAGATACAGCGATTTATGAAATCACGTTATGTCATTTGCTCAATTTTAACTTTGGTCTGAGGAGCAACTAAAATTTCTTCCCACTCGAACGTCAACGTCCAGTCAAACGATAACTAAAATGGCTCCACTGTCAGCATCAAAGGCTAAGAGACAGCAAGATAAGGAGGCTAAGGCTGCCGCCAAAGGACAATCCACCACCAAGTCCTCAAAGTCTGGCACTGATTCTACTGGGATTACTGATGGTAGCGATGTAAAGAAGCTCTCCGTAGCTGCTGATAGGTCGGTCTGGAATGCTTAGCCACTCTCCGTCTAACACCTTCCACAGATCCACTGCTGGTGTTCTCGTTTCTGATCCAAAGGGACGTGACGTTAAGCTTGATGGTTTCACTCTCTCTTTCCACGGACGTCTTCTCATTGAATCCGCTGAAGTTTCCCTCAACTACGGTCAACGTTATGGTCTTCTTGGTGAAAACGGCTCCGGTAAAACTACCTTCCTGGAAGCATTGGCAGAGCGTGATATCGAAATCCCTGAGCACATTGATATTCACTTGGTAGCAGGTGAGGCTGACCCTAGTGATGTTAACGCTATGGACTTCATTATCGCATCCGCAAAGGAGAAGGTCGCACGTCTTGAGCAACAGATCGAAGATATGTCCACTGAGGACAATGTCGATGAATTGGCTTTGGAGTCAAAGATGGAGGAACTTGATGAACTTGACCCATCAACTTTCGAAGCTAGAGCTGGTCTCATTCTTACCGGTCTTGGTTTCTCTCTTCAAATGATGAACAAACCAACCAAGGATATGTCTGGTGGTTGGAGAATGCGTGTTACTCTCGCCCGTGCTCTTTTCATCAAACCTCACTTACTCTTGCTCGATGAGCCAACTAACCACTTGGATTTGGAAGCCGTCGTTTGGCTTGAAGCTTATCTCTCTACTTACAACCACATTCTTGTCATCACTTCTCACTCTGCTGATTTCATGGACAGTGTCTGTACCAACATCATGGATCTCACCAACAAGCGTAAACTCCAATACTACGGTGGTAACTACTCCATCTACTGCCGTACCAAGGCTGAAAATGAAACAAACCAAATGAAAGCATACGCTAAGCAGCAAGAAGAAATTCAGCACATTAAGAAGTTCATTGCTTCTGCTGGTACTTATGCTAACTTGGTTAGACAAGCTAAGTCTAAGCAAAAGATTATCGATAAGATGGAGGCTGCTGGTTTAATTGAACCTGTCTCTCAAGCAAGACCATTGAGATTCAACTTTGAAGACATTAGAAAATTACCACCACCAATTATTGCATTCAATGATGTCGCATTCTCTTACTCTGGTAAACCTGAAGACTACCTCTACAAAGATCTCTCATTCGGTATTGATATGGACTCACGTATCGCTATCGTTGGTCAGAATGGTACTGGTAAATCTACTCTTTTAAACCTCATCACTGGTCACCTCCAATCTGTCGATGGTACCGTGTCAAGACACGCAGGTTTGAAGCTTGGTAAATACTCTCAACACTCTGCTGATCAACTTCCATACGACAAGACTCCTGTTGAACACTTGGAGGCATCTTACAAGGAGAAATTCCCTAACAAAGATTATCAATTCTGGCGTTCTCAGCTTGGTAGATTCGGTATTTCAGGTGCACACCAAACAGCTCCAATTGCTCACTTGTCTGATGGTTTGAGAAACCGTGTCGTTTTCTCCATGTTGGCTATGGATCAACCTCACATTCTTCTCCTCGATGAGCCTACTAACCACTTGGATATGGAATCTATCGATGCTCTTGCACTTGCAGTCAAGGAATTTGAAGGTGGTGTAGTTATTGTCTCTCACGACTTCAGATTGATTTCTCAAGTCGCTGAAGAATTATGGGAAGTTAAGGATCGCAAGATCTACAACCTTTCTAAGTCCGAAATTGACATTCAACAATACAAGTCTATGCTTCAAAAGAAATCTGAAGTTTCACTTGAGAAGGCTAAGCTTGGTGGTGCAGGTAAAACCAAGGCTTAGATTTGCATTACATTATAAAACTTCTAGCAGCTATTTTTATATTAATTTCTTTCTCATTCATATTATGTACATCTTACAACAACTGGACTGTTTTGATCATGGGCTCAGGGTAATACAAACTGCTCGATAATGATGCGAATGGTTTTGACAAGCAAAGAGGTACGTTTCAATCCTTCTCGACTTTTTCGGCGGGGGCGATCTTCCACATTGTCCCTCATTTCAGTCTGTCTCTTTGATTGACGCTTAATTATAATGGCTTATGGCTTGTTTGCCACTGTAGGAGCTACGCTGGCCTTTTTTTTCTTCTGGCGACTTTTCAGCAAGTTCCGCCGGCTCGCTGAGAAATGACAATACAGTTTCTTGAGAAGGTACAGCAGGCAGACTCGTGGCTCCTTTGACATATACAGTACCTATATCAGCAAAGTCGCTTTCGAATAGATCGTCTCAGATGAAAGGCCTCTATATTGATTCAGGTAGCTCCTTTTGGTTGAGATTCTCGAGTTTGAGCAACTTCCTCATGCTGTGGAGTTTGCTTGACTCGAAATAGCTGTTTCGATATGCGGATGTTGGATTCCATGGCGGAGACTGTCGCATTTGAGAATTCTCTCTTGCTTAAATTGGCTCCTATTTTGCAGTGTCTATGTCGATATATGAACAGTTAAGTCATCCATACTAGAAGCCAATGGCACAGCACTTCTATTCATCAATGAGGGTGATAGTTTGCTGTAGTATTCTTCGCATTGCTAAATGAAGACCGTCTTTCACTGACCTCGCTAGATTTATCTCGACATAAGGAGACTGTCTCAGTTTTATTTATACCATTCCTTTGTAGCAATGAACCTGTATGTTCATTTTGCCTATGCGTCGCTGCTGTTGATACGATAAGATCCCAGAAAACGTAACAACTTTACTACTAGAGTGATCATCTGGCCCAACAGGAGTGGATTGGTTCATAAATTCACTGATAGATGCGAAAGTTCGATTGACATTTGGTGGAGTAGAGGGCAATCCACTTTCTTATTACCTATCAGAAAACCTTCTTGAGGCACGTTTCACGGTTGTTGGTGCTTCATCGCTTTTAGAATTGCTGGCTTGGCTTGTCTCAGGTCTCTTTGATGGTGGCGAATATTTAGTTTTCGTGTATCAAAGTGAGTCGGCAGGATATTTTGCGTTTTATAAATTGCTCATGTCGCTTTTGTCGGCTATCTACGTTAGTGATCTAGTATGTCTTGAAGGCGATCGTTCAGCTCCTTTCTTTTTACGAGTCAATTGAATTCCTACAATTTTCGGTCAACTTTATTTCTTCTCTAGGTATCGATGTTTCAGCTTCGTTGTTATTAGAGTTGACTGATTTATTTTGGATTGCGCGATGGGCCGATGGTCCTATTTCGATGTTTGAGATGTTGCTATTTCTTACACAGCTCGACGGTGGAGTTATTTAGCCCCTGCGCTGTGGTGTATCATTTCTGTTCTTCGACGATGAACATTCGTCGTTCCTTGTCAATGATGTGTCGCATTTTCGTCAGTCGTTGAGAGGCTATACCGAAATGTAAACTCGTTTGTATTGATAGCTATATTCTGGATAGACGAAATCACGCCACTGACATCCGAAAAAGCGACATCTTGCTCGTCCTTGTCAAGCGTAAGATTTTCGACCTTAATTGTCTGTGGTTGAAACATGATTTTCGTCCTCGACGGGTGAGTGATTATTAATTTTGTTCTGGGCGCTATCAACATTGAGATTGATCAGCTAAATGCACTATCAGGCGCCCTTTCATCTTTCCCAGGACTAGCCTAGCGTTTTAATTCCGTGGAGAAAGCGAGCAATCCTTGATAAAAAGTACAATGTGAATCTCACGGGAATAATTACAAGATAGAGTTTGTTTAGCTTATTATTTGATTTAATGCTTGCCTTGTTTGTGTTTTCACCTTTTTTTGTTTCATTTCTAATTGAAGAGGTGACACGACAAGCCTTATGGCTTGCGGTAATCAAGAAGTGTAGCATAGATATTGTTGAATGCTGTGTAGATCTCTTCACGAACCTTCATGACTTATTAGTATGAGAGCGATGCAAAGATTAGTACACTCACTTTTGCACCTGTTAGGACAATCTTTCCTGAAACGAAAATCAAGAGGACTACTTTTGGTTTGACCATTCTGTAGATTAGACCAGGGAACAATTCAGGCTCGTATGAACTGAAATGACCGTGTGTATATGCAAGTCCTTCCAAACGAATTGGGAACTTGACATCACAAGAACCGACTATGTTCTTTAATTCATTTAGTATAATACTTCCAAATGACCCAATAAACTCACCTGAATCTTAAACTCAGAAAACTTTGCATCAAATCCGAGCTTCTGGATGATACGAGCGTACTTTCTTGACGCAAGCTTGGAATCGTCTTCGGACTTTGCACCGGTAACTACCATTTTACCAGATGCGAAAATCAGCGCTGTTGTCTTTGGATCTCTTATTCTCATTATGACAGCAGCGAAACGCTACACAAAGTGTCAATTATTGTGTCAATGGTAACGTAATCACCATCAACGGACCTTTGGATTGTACTCTGCGTTACGAGCATGCAGAGCGATAGTCTTCAAATCGAGCCTACAATCCAAGTTGACGGTTGCAACAATGTTCCTACCAAGTGTTAACTTTGATACAGTAAAAAGTAAACCGCACTCACTGAAGCGTAGGGACAATGTTCTGAGCGTGTGCTGCGAGGAGCGTTAAACAGTGGCCGCTGTGCACTAAGCAGCCGACGCACTCATACCAGTGTCAGCATGGCTAGGTGTTTGTACTGCTTGTGGTGTTGGTGGAACACCGTATGCTTGAGGAGTTATCGCTGGCTGTGGACGTTGAACTGGAGCTGATGGTGGCGGCATCGAGTCAGAGGCCTTTGAGGCTTGGTCTGGCAATTTCAATGTAGTGTTCATATTGTAATTCGAAATTAGCTTTGAGTTCCTTTATACCAACAGCAGCAGCGTCCTCTAACACTTGCTCACCAGATGGACGTAAGGAATCAAAAAGCTGTGCCAGCACATTGCTTATATACCAAATTTGAAAATCTCCATAAGAGGCCCGGAGTACTAATCAATTAGGCCTGCATATTTCTAGGCACTGTTCGTAGCTCACATATGGACTTTCAGAGCTCTAGCTTTCTTATCCGGCGTGCTGGAGGTGGTGTGCTGATGGTTGAAGAGAGCCATACAGTCGAAGAATGAGCAAACCAGTCCAATAAGATGCGGTGAGCCTTATACAAGGTCACTGGTAATCCTGTGGCAAATTCATCACTATTCGGACGAGTCATCAACGTTGCTTGACCAGGTTGGAGCGGGAGGATTCTGAAATTGCTTTAGGTCTATTGCATCCTATTATTATCTCTTGCTGTGCTCACTTCCACAACTCTCTTCAATTGGCATACTCGCCATTACAGATGCTTCAACCCACTCTCTTTTAGAAGATATCGCTTTTAAAGGGCACTATATCTTTAAACAAACCAAGAAGCTAATATTACATCTGAAATGGTTATACAAAATGTTGTGTCAATGCAAGGTTATGTTGCGAAATCGCATGCGTCTAGCGTATAAGTTTGGTGAGGTTGAAAGCTGAGTCCCGTTTGAGTTTCTTGCTCCTGTCAGCCTGCTGTTCTGGGAACAGCTTCCATATCCTTATAGTCTCGTCAGCACTGCCAGTGGCGACAGTAGTCCTATCAGCCGAAACACCCATGTGGATAGGCCGGCAGATATGTCCGCCAATAGCAGTCACTTGAGACATGGACGGGTATTTCCATATGCATAGCTGATTCATTGGTGCAATCGAGCTGTATCCAGACGTCGACAAGAGTTCTTGGGTGTTCTGCGAAAACCATAGGTTGCAGACTTGGCTGCCGGTATCCCAGTCTCCCACTGGTTTCCTATCGCTTTTTAAGATATCCCTAAACACGATTCGGCGGTCGTTTGTACCTCCTCCTGAAGCCAGAATGCCGCGGTGGTGGGGATTGAATGCTAGCGCGGTGACTGCAGCTTCGTGGTCATAGTAGCGATTCAAAAACCTGTCCTGGCTCCGCGTATCCCACAAGTACAGCTTGTTGTCGTTCCCACCACTAGCGAGCATATTGGTAGCAGGGTCGTATGTCAAGCTCGTTATTTCTCCATTGTGTCGCTTGATGCAGGATTGGGTGGGTGTGCGCAGATCTCTGACCAACATTGATCGATCGCGCGAGCCAGATGCAAGAGTCATATGTGAAGCCCATGCCAGAGTTCCCACCCGCATGTCGTGGCCTCGTAACGTGCGCACCAGCCTGGTTGTCGTTGATGCATCCCATATCTGTACAAGGCCATCGTAACGCCCTACAGCGAGCAGTGTACCGCCCTCGATCCATTGAAGACTCGTGACAACTACATCATGGGTGTAGCTTGATGGGTCGCTCAAAGTGAAAACCTGGCTGCTGTGTGCAATCCATATAAATACGCGCGCTCCTAGTGCCACAGCGAGCATATTATGTGAGGACCAGCTCAGCAGATTCGTGTATTGGTCATCGACCATGCCTGGGGCGTCGAGTACTTTCCAAGGCACTTTAGGAATTCTACGAGAGAGGCTTCTGTTGCGCTTCAAAATCCTTTCTGTGTTGCCTTTGATGGGTAGTTGATTGTAGCAGTCGTGAGCCACGCTGTCGAGGGTAACTATGTTTGAAGGTCTACTGGAGTTCAACGCAGCTACAGCGGACGAGCTGGATGGCATAAACTGGAGCACTTTTGACCGTGGAGTCATTAATATAGGGGAATCATGAGAACCTGTCAGGGAGGATCTCCTTGTGGATGGTATCGTGTTTTCGTCATTGAGCAGCTCGTTGCTAAGTAGGCTGGAAAAGCTTTTGTCGGCCTCCACCTTTGCGGCATCGATGTCGCCACCAGCAAATCCAATCAATTTAGGCTGCGGAGACGGATATTGCAGCAGAGAAGACGAAAAGGGTTTGAGCAAGGAATTGTAAGATGATTTTGAGTTGCTGTCATCAAGGTTATATGACATCTTACTCAGTGGGGACCTCGAGGGTATGAATCTAGTGGAAATTAGCGTGGTGATGGCTGTAATAGCGAAGCTCACCGATCTGATTTCCTAGATCTTTTAGGCGTCGTCATTGGGTGTTGTAATGTCTTGATGCTGAGGTACGGATCGAAGGAATGGAGCGAATGATCCACAGCAGGTTATTCGCGGAAAGTGGGGAATGAAGGGCATTCTTAGTGAGCGGCATTTATAAATCATGTGCTTATAAGAAACCTTTTCCGGATCACACAAAGTTGTTCCACGGAGCGGATGTAATCATAAACATTGTATGTCTGTCCCTGTTACACGAGCGGGAAAGAAGACCCTATTGCACAAATTGTGCTATAAAGTCAATATAAAATCAATTTTGTAAGTTTTTTAAGCTCCAAATTACGTTCAGATCTGGAAATCTATCGCTCGTCGTCGAAGGTATTGCATCATAGTGGTTTTGGAGTACCCAGAGAAGGTTTTTTTAAGACGAGGAACGACACCCTCCTTCTTTACAAACTACCAAGACTAAACAATATGACTGGAGGTATGAGCAAAGTAAGCATGAGCATCACCAGCTTTGTTCGTCGCCTAACATATTCGTTTAGGTAGACCAACAATGGGGCAAGACCGACAACCAATTGCCAGACCACTCCCACAGACAACCAGGTGCTCCATACGAGACCGGTCAAACCCACTCCCACAAGACTGGTGACTCCCACGACCAACAATCTATTGCCAACAAGCTCGCCGGTACTTCCCACTTAGAGAAGGAAGAGCGCAAGGCTGAGAAGGAGGGCGGTAAGCCACCAACCGCTCCAGCCGTTTGGCACGGCAACGAGCCATCAAAGGGTGCTAAGGTCGACGAGGACCTCGGCAAGGAAGACGAGAAGGTCTTGCACAAGAAGGGTCTTGCCTAAACGACTTCACGATGTTAATGTTTGCATGTATACGATAATTTGCTAAATTTGATTGCATAGTTGATTTAATCTGGAGTTCTGTGTACTGAGTGAGCGCTATGATTGCACTATGGATAAATCGTTTGGACAGATTATAGAATTCTCCTGATTTTCATAAACTCGTAAAGGTCTACCACCTCAAGACCAGGGACGTAGGTCACAACACTGTGATGAGGTCAAACTTGAGCGATGGTGATATTTCTGTAAAGCAACTGGTTTACGAAAAAGTCTTTGGTTTGTTTGCAATTATCAGTCTTTAGTTGCGCTGTACAGTTGTTCAACTTGATTTGATATGTTGCAAGGGGAGCAATTTAGCGTCTTGAAAATCGAAGTTTTTACCGTACTTCCTTCTAAGATTCCAACGCCGCCTCAAACGCTTTCACATCCTCATTATTTGAAATCTCGAAATCCACTGACCGGAAGCCAACCCCGCGATTTGTGTTTTAACGCCCTCCGCTTTTCTATACCTAAATCTCTTCCTCCGATTGTAAAGTGAGGCGGAACGGCAATAATGTTCCCCTGGAGCCAGGTTTGACAGCTGTAAACGCCATGAGACGTAAAATGTTTTCTGCGATTATAGAGCTGAATAATGAAGATTTTTGGTGCTTGTCGTTTCTAGAAGACAAAATAAAATGTTTTTGTCCACGAAGAGCGCGAAATTATCCGTATCTAACCTGTAGCGTGCTCCAGAGCGATTTTAGACCATTGCTTCCGATCAGCGTGCAAGGCGCTTTTTGGAGCGCCAGGATAACTATAGCAAAATCATGTTCTTTCTAGTCAAAGACTAATCAAACTATTTTATTTAGAGATCATCAAAAGTCGTAAATCACCATCTGAGACGAGATAGGTGATGATCGAGAAATCCAACTCGGTGGGTATTGAGCGTGGGGTTGATATGGGGATGTATTTGGAATGCTGCAAATGGTATGGAACTGATGTATTTGGCAAATGGTTCAAAAGCACAGAATATCTTATCTCTGCATTCGACTTCTCACTTTCTAGGTCATTTGCAGGGTAGCTTGAGCATATTCAATTCAATAAACTGAATTCTACTATTTTAAGCATATGAAAGTACTAAAGGAACTATTCAAAGCGCCCTGTGATTCCACAAACACAACTGGAAGTTATCTGATATAAATCCGAGTCACTGTATTCATCTAATGTGCAAAAGAATATCGAATTGGGTGATTTCGGGATTCAGCGAGGATTACATGTGTATCAAATCTACATGCTGACCACCTTTGTTTATCATGCGCGGCTGAGCGGAAGAGAGAAGACTAGTGCTTAAAAGACACCGGTGTATCTGGCAACTTGCAGTACGAAACCAAAGTAATTTCCATGGTTTCGGCTGAGATTCTCGTGGTATTGATGTCTTTGAGGCTGCAATGTGCGCTAGTTTTAGTGATAGTATCTACGCTCGGGAGTATTGACGATATCGGGGTAGAGATGATAACAGGACAGGGTCAAGAGCTCAATTACCCATAAGCATTTTAAATTCATGTTAAATCACAACTCGAATACTTTGAAAAACTGTTATCGCTTCGTAGATCAAAACATCCATCTCCATATACCAAGTAGGTCTGAGAAGACCAGCAGAAACAACCTTTAACGTATATTAGTGGATGACGGATTACTCCTCAACTTTACCAGCGGCGGTTCTCGTCAAGATCGTAGCAAAAAAGGTGGTAGATGGACAGATAGGTGAGCCTCATCTGCAATGCTTGGACACAGGCGCTTAACTTAAACCGCAGAGCATCGGCTAAGCAGACAATGAAGCGCAATCAGCGCTACAGTGCAAAGCAGCAGAAAGCTAGCCAGCCAACCCAACCACAGCAACAGCTAGAACCACAGGCAGCCCAGTCTGATCCACCGGCTAAAAAGCAGAAAGGCATTAACAATGATGCCCACGGTGAACAATCCAATCAACCAAGCCAAAACAACCAAAAGAAGCACGTTGTTTCATCTCTTTTCACTTTCAATCCAAAGGTAGAGGAAGAGCAGCAACAAATAAACTCAAAATCACTTGAACACCCCCAGCAGCAGCCTTCCAATGCGCCACTTGCATCGACGAGTACTTTTGAAGGTGCCAAACTGCACCCGCTTCTCATTCAACATCTTCGCGATAAACTCGAGATCAAAGCACCCACTCCAATACAGAAACTGGCATTGCCGACACTTCTGCAACCTTCTGTTGATGAGAACAATGTACTGGCATCCAGAGATGTCTTTATACAATCTCAAACTGGATCTGGTAAAACGCTCGCTTATCTGTTACCAATCATACAAGATTTGCTGCCAATGGGTGAGCTATCATTCATTGATAGAAGCATCGGTACACTGGCTATCATATTGGCACCTACTCGTGAACTGGCTAGACAAATCTTCGATGTTCTTGAAAATCTCCTTCAATTGAGTTTGACATTAAGAGGTGTCCCAGAAGAAGAGCAGCAGAGATTGACTAGGTGGCTTGTAGGTGGTCTGCTGACTGGTGGTTCTACTCGTACGCACGAAAAAGCTAGACTGAGGAAGGGATGCCCTATTATTGTCTCTACGCCGGGTAGGCTTCTCGACCACTTGCAGAACACAACCTCATTCAACGCATCCAAATGTCGTTGGTTGGTTCTTGATGAAGCTGATAGATTGATGGATCTGGGCTTCGAGGAAACCATTACTGGTATTATTAAGGGACTCGAGGGTCGTCGCAAGCTTACAAAGAAAGCCGTCGAGGAAGGCAATCTCTCTGAGGTTGGTGGTTGGAATTTTGATTACAGACGGCGAAACATACTCTGTTCAGCGACGATCAGAGAGGATATACAATCATTTGCTAGTCAACAGCTGCTCAATCCAGTAGTGCTTAAGGAGAGCGACATCAAGAAGGAAGCTGACGGTGAAACAGCCACGACGAATGATGAGGCAACCAAGTTCACTCCACCAGCGCAATTAACTCAAAAGTACGTGCAAGTACCACTCAAACTCCGTTTAGTTGCTTTGCTGGCGTTGTTGCGATCACTTCTTACGTCGAAAGACAACGAGCAAGGTAACAGGATCATAACGTTCTTCAGTTGTACAGACTCAGTCGACCTCCACTTCCAGTTGTTCGGTGGGGTATCTATGGACGATGCGGGTAGGAGAAATGTAGATGATAGATTGAGCGTGACGTGTCCAATCCTGCCAAACACAAAAATTTACAGACTCCATGGTTCGATGTCATTGCAGAATCGTTTGAACACAGTCAAGGAATTCACCGACAAGAAATCCCAGCAACCAGCTATCATGTTCTGTACATCGGTCGCATCTAGAGGTTTGGATATGCCCTTAGTCCGAGCAGTTGTGCAGGTAGATCTTCCAACGGAGGGCGGAGCAAACGAGTACGTCCACAGAGTCGGTAGAACAGCCAGAGCAGGTAAAGGTGGTGAGGCGTGGTCATTTGTAGCTCCATCGGAGATAGGTTGGGTAGAGTGGTTGACAAACCAATTGGACCCTGACCACAAGTCCATCAAACTGAACAGCGTATCTGTTGATAATGTACTCAAGCGTGGTTACGGTGGACAAGGAAATGAGTTTGAAAGTAGAGCTACAGATGTACAGACGTCTCTTGAAAGATGGGTGATTGCGTCACCAGAGAACTCTCAACTGGCTAGAAAAGCTTATCTGTCACATATAAGAGCATATGCTACACATCCACTCGATGAGCGCAAGTTCTTCCATGTCAAGCTTCTTCATCTTGGTCACTTAGCTAAGGCTTTCGCTTTGCGTGAAACACCAACGACTGCGAGCACAACTAAAGGTGATGTGGCTCAGACCAAGGACAACCAGAAACAACAGACCATCGAACAGAGAATGCAAGATTCTGTTAGGAGGATTGGTAAAAACACAAAGCGAGATGGCGAATTCGCAAACAATGACACGAGTGAATTCCAAACTTCGATATCAGGATATGACATGAAGCCAAGCAAAAGGAAGCGTTAATTGTAATTGATTAATTTATTATTCATATAGAAATACTCATCTAAAAAAAAAAAGAAAGTAAATGTTGAATTACAATGCTGCGAAATGATATATTTATTATGCAATGCTAAGTTGGTGCTGAATATTTGGAGTGATGTTTTCGGCTTTTGTAGCGTTTACGTGGTGTACATGGTTTACATCTTGAAGAGGAAGCCCATATCTTCCGGTGACAATCTACCCATCGCAGCATCGTCACGACCGATAGCAGCATCAACCATGGCAGATTTCTTTTCTTGTAGTTGAACAATACGGCTTTCGATGGAGTCTTCAATAACGAGCTTGATGCATTGGACGGGTCTCCGCGCACCTAGTCTGTGTACTCTGTCCATGGCTTGGTACTCGACAGCTGGGTTCCACCACGAGTCCATCATGTACACTCTCGAGGCTTCAGTCAAGTTAAGTGCAACACCACCTGCTTTGAGCGATACTAGGAAGACGGTGCAGTGTACATTCTTCATAAAATGCTGTACAACTGCGTTCCTAGTCTGCGGTGTCATGTTGCCTTCAAGTCTACAGATCTGAGTGTGAATTAGCAATGAGTGGGGTATTGTACCTCAGGCATCACCCACATTAAATCCAGCCCTCTTGAGTCTCCATGCAACCAGATCAAGGAAGTTGACAAACTGGCTGAAGACAAGCGACTTGATAGTACAGTCCTCTCTTTGCAACTCAGTCAGCTCCTCAACCAGTGCCTCGATTTTTGTCGATGATTTCCAGTGAGCCATGTCGAGTCTGCCCGTGATGCCATTCGGCTTGCTCGTCTTCAGGCCCTCATCTTCGGCACGCTCTATTGAAGGTTGGTTAATATCGATCGAGATCGGGACGTGGCAAGATGGACATTCTGGCTGCTCGACCAGACTGCCAGTCAAATACTCAGTGATGCAAAGACGACAGAAGGCGTGGTGACAGCGTGCGTCAATCGCGTCTTCTGCTATGTCGTTACAGATCCTGCATACATGCTCATCTGATAAGTCTTTGCCATACTCTGTAGTACGACTCTTGAGAACAAGATCTGGATGACATGCCATCTGGCGCATACGCGTAATGAGTGAGAAGATGTTCGAGTAGTTGTTCAAAATGGTACCTTGGTCAATATACGAAGAGAAAGCGCGTCGAACGTCACTGTATAGAGACAAGTAGATGTCACGCTCTTCTTCGGAGAAGAAGTCTCTGCGGCACTTGACGATACGCGGTGGCAAGCCGAGATCATCAGCTCGCTCGACTTTGGTGCGGCGGAGCATCATTCTGTCGAGCAGAATTTTGAGCTTCTTAAAAGCGGTCAAACCTTCACCAACCATACCATACCTTTGGATGGGTGTAAGAATCTCGTTGTTCCAAAAACAGACGTGATTCATTGGTGATTCACCGCAGTAGTCGCAGTGGCGTCTGTCGGAGAAACTCCAATTCAACGACTTACACTTGGACTTTTTACCGTAGTAATAAGCGAATGGATCAGCGCCAATAAAACGAACGAGCGAGTAGAGTTCTCCAACTCTATTTTGCAGTGGTGTACCAGAAAGGCACCACTTGAAGTTACTTTTCAATCCAAAGGCTGCTTTGGAAGTGTTGGATGATCTTTCTTTAATGTTATGAGCTTCATCGAGAATAATCCTGTGCCAGTTTATTGCGTGCAACGGACTAGGCTCTTTGATTTTCGAGCCTTTCCTCTGTCTGCCATACTGCTGTATACGAAATGCTGACTCCATCACGGAATAGGATGTCATTACGACATCGTATTTTTTCAAATCTGCTATGTTTTTGGTACGAGAAGCGCCGTGCCACAGCAATACGTTCATTCCGTCAGTGTAAGATTCTATCTCATTTTTCCATTGGACAACGGCGATGGTGGGAGCGACAATAAGGTTTGGTTTCTTACGGTCGCTCAGCAACAACGCGATTGTCTGAATAGTCTTACCCATACCCATCTCATCAGCAAGCATACCGCCTTTCCATGGACCCTTCTCTTGTTCCTTCATCCAATACAATGACTCTTGCTGGAAGGGGAGCAGCTTGAGCTTGAGACCAGGGGGAGAAGGGAGCGTCTGGGGCTTCTGTGGTACGATATCTCTTGACAAATCACCCCAAACATCCTTAAGTTCGGGATGCCAACAACCGAGAGCGACTTGGTTCCTGAAAACAATGAGCGAAACAAGATATGCCAAGTTGGCACTCACATTTCACCACGCGTAAGCGTTTTGCGACCAAGTTCTTTTTTCAGTTTTGTCCTCTCTTGTATCTCAAACTTGTCACGCTGTCTTTTCAAGGCTGCGATGCGCTTCCTCTCGTCTGCCATAGCTTGTTTCTCTTCTTGCGTGAGTTCATCGTTATCCTTGAGGATCTTTGGCAATGGCTTGATCTCTTGGACATCGTCGTCGGAAATGTCATGGGGATTATCAGCCTCGTTCGAGGCAACAATGGTAACGTCGTTGTCGCTGGCTTGTTCAAATTGATCGGCATATTTAATGCTTTCATCATCGGAACTAATCTATTACGTGCGTCAGAGCGCGTCTTATCACTTCTTTATAAGCACTTACGTCAACCTTATCGTTAAACGTGGGCTTTCCGTTGGCTGTTTCAGTTCTCTTCCTCTTTGGCTTTGCGTCGACTTGAGTGTATAATGCTTCCATGTGCTCATCCTCATCTACATCCACCTTGTAATCTTCTTCCTCGTCGTCGTCGCCAATGTCATCTTGCTGCTCGTATTTGTCGTCGTATTCCAATTCATCGTCATCGCTGGGCTCTTGTTCTAACTCCTCCTGAAAGGTAATCTATATCAGCTTCAACTGTCTTCATTCCTCATGGAGCACCCACATTGACGTCGTCCTCAGCTTTGGCAATGTTGAGTGATTCCACTGCCATTTTGGTATCTTGATCATCTGATGTATTGGTGCTATTCACAGTACTAGACCGCGTACTGGCTCTAGTGCTACGCCTTGCCATTGCGATGGGAGTATTAAACAAAGAAATGAATAAAAATTACAAGTCTATTGAAATCACAGCAGGTCAAAGTCATCAAGCTGTTTCTAGTGTAAGAAATCCACCAAGACCGCTTAACGCCACTCACCTCATCGTTGTAGTTCATTACAGTTCTCTTGATCTTGGACGTGTCTACCCATGTAACGAAGTCTTCCATATTCCTGTGCATGTCAGTGTGTTCTATCCCTCCACTCACCCACTCACCTCGTTACCAAGAAGGCTGGATCTGTAATTGTATCTGGACCAACACGCAAATGACCTTGCTCGATATATTGAGTAGCCTAGACGCTTTAGAGTTATTCCAGCGAGTGTATCCCACCCACAGTCTTCACGCTCTCACAGAGCTTATTCCTCACGCAAACAACGGCCAATCTTCTCCTGCAGAAACTAGCCACGCTGATCTTCTCCACGTCGCTAAGCTTCGAACCGATATTGAGCAGTCCCATCTCATAACCCTTGGCCAATAACTGAGTCTCCATTTGGTGTCGGTATGGGTCTTGCGCTGATAGCAGACTCAATCTGTGTGCCATCTGCCTCATCGATCCGCAAAGTCTGTTGTATTTGGCATAGTCGTCTCTTCCTTGCAAATGATACCTCCTCATAACCTTTATTTCACGCAGACTTGCATCCTGCTTCCACTGCAAGTTTGTTAGCTAACTTTCAGTGGTGCAGCATACACTAACATTGACAAAGTCGACCTTCTTAAGAAGTCTGCATGTTTTTAGACGCGTCCTTTTTACTATACACCCCTTACTTACTTCTGCTCGTGGTGTTTGAGATTACGCATATGATCACAGCTAAGAAAGAAGGTAGAATATATTATGACATTTTCAATTACAAGGGACAAACGCATTACTTTATATGTGGAATCACTATAATAAATCATTGATTGTTGGAGCGTGTTTTCAGGCCTCCAAATTTTACTTTTTTGACTTCTTGCCAGATTCCTAAAGTTGAATTAGTCGTTGTTCCTTTTATTCCCGCTTACTTACTTTCTTAGCAGCCTTTTTTGGTGGCTCTGGTTGTGGCTCTGGCTCTGATTCAGATTCTGAAGAGTCAGACTCGGATGAACCTGATCCCGATGAGTCAGATTCTGAAGAGCCTGAGCCTGATTCAGATTCTGAAGACTCCTCCGACTCTTGTGCTGGCTCTGGTTGCTTTTCTTCTTTCTTTGGCTTGGATGTCTTGGATGCTGGAGCCGTCTCCTTCTTCTCATCCATCTTGCTAGCAGTAGCTTTTGAGGACTTTGGCTCATCCTTTGCAATCTTCTTCTCCTCCTTCGTATCTTGCTTTGGTTTTTTCTCAGCTGGCTTCTTTGGAGCTGGCGTTGTTGAAAATCCTTCGTTCTCTCCTTTTTTGCGCCAGAGTGCCTCCCTACCAGACTTAACGTACTCATCTCTTTGCTGCTCAAACACATCAATTGACTTTTGGTACTTTTTGTTATATTTTTCTTTTTCAGCAGGATCAATTGAGTTCCACTCCTTGCCAACTTGACTCATGAATTGAGGTTGAGTTTGGGATGGATCTTTCTTGAGGCGCATGTCATTTTGGAAGAGGAGGTAAGCTGAAGCAGGTCTCTTTGGAGCTTCTGGGTCCTTTAAAGGCTTCAAACTCTTCTTTGTGAGTTGAAGATCCCTGTCGTTGTCGTAGAAGATTTTCTTGATTACCCGTAATTGTGAGTCCATAGTTCTGGCTGTATTTGCGAGTGTCTCAAAGAGCGCATTTTCAAGTGGCGTATGCTCAATTGGTGGTTTCTCCTCCTTTGGTGAACCATCAGCAGAGCGCTTGTTTGAGGTTTGCGGTGATTGCTTTTTGTCACTTTCATCTTGCTTAACCTCTTTAACATCCTTCTTGGAGCCCTTTGGAGTTTTTGTAGGCGATTTGGTTGAGTTTGCTGCGACGGCCATAGTAAAAATTTGATTTCCCTATTAAATTTGTAGATGGAAGTTTGTTTGAAGGGGGGATGCGCGCGCGATTGAAATGTAATAGAACGGGGCGCTTCAAATTTAATAGGGAACCCCCATATTGAATGTGTAAAAATCATGAAGATGAATGATTTTTTTGAGCTTAATGAGATTTTTGGTGTTTGTGTGTGTGTGTGTGGTACTAGTGCTAGAGAATAGCAAAGCTAGAGAACTTGTTGGGCTGGCTGCAGACGTTGGTTACATCAACCCAACTAAGACAAGAAGAAATATGGAATTTAAAAGTGAAAAGAGTTTTGTGGCTTTTTATATGCCTCTACCGCTCCTTACCTCGCCTTACTTCGCCTTTGCAAGTTAAAGTAGCGAACAATGGATTCAGCGAATGGGTTAAGAAAAGTGCTGATATTAGGTTATAAGATCAAATGAGCAGCTCAAAAGCAGATCAAGCCTTGAAATAGCAGCCTCAGATTGAGTAGCAAATTCTCGGGGTGTGTATAAAGGTTTTACCCTCTTGGACCTCAACACCCACCAACACTCATCAACACTCATCACAAGCAGAGAGATTGCAAGGTGCTCAATATGATGAGCGATGATAAAACTGAGTTTAATCAAATATTAGAAACGAACCCAGAATTCATAAATTGGGCAAAGGTTAGTGATGCTTTGTGGCACGTGACCAATGGCTCAGGCGAGTTAAAGAAGGAAGCTATGTATCATCCACCAGATCAATCAGAATCTGTGTCGAAATACATTGAGAGACGCCTGGTTGAGAGGGGCTGGCCGAATGAGATTGAGCAGATACTTGTTCTAATTAGAGATGAATCTAATGGTCAGTTGATTTTACTATGGCGTTGTTTGATAAATGAATGTTTTCTTTGTGTATTAGTTCAACCAATCAGCGTACGCCATTTGATTCAAAGAGCAATTTACTGACGAATTCTACAGCAACAGTAACAGCAACAGTACATGATAATAATGAAAATTCAAGTAATCCGTAAGTACCAATTTCTACTCATAATTGAATGCCTGACTCACATCGCTTACTCATCAAGTAGCAAATCAAATACACCTAATCACACAGGATTAACAGAGGAACAGGAGGAATATAATATTATTACTGCCAAAGTCTATGACTCTATAAAGCAATTACCCCACAATCCCGTGCAAATTGCAAACACGATAATTAACTGCATCTTTAACGCAGTCTTTGAAGCTGATTCTAAAATCAGAATTCTGGCTTTGGAGGCTGCAAATAATGATCAGCTTGATATTCGCACTGAAAGTGAATACATAGATGTCTGGTCCGGCAATAAGAAAGCCATTAAATTATTGTCTGGCTGGTTTAAAGATGCTTGCTCGACACACAAATCTGATATTGAAGAATGGAAGCCAACTCAGCTCCCTTTATTGTTGGTGAGTTTCTCTTCAAATTCCACTCTAAACCACCCAACTAACGTGAACCAGTTCCTGACTAAAATTAACTTTGAAACCGAGAAAATTAAACAAGAAGATTTCTTAAGTCTCGTTAAAGTGTTGTGTGCTTCACCTGACCCAAGTATGCTATCGTCTTTTTGTGAGAAATGTCTTTGACAAGCCACAGATGTTGCAGAAGCAGCCAGGAACTTGGAGCACAAGTGGACCCAGCAGGTGTCACCGCCGCTACCACAGGGAAGAAGCTCAAGGTCGAGTTCCAAGCGCTCGATCGAGACAGCCAACGATGGTGGGTGAAGGGTGGATGAAAATTTTCTCAACTAACTCGAGCCTCGTAGAATCATCCAAGAAGGTGAAAGTGGAAGGAAAGCCACCGGCCACTCTCTTTCCCAGTGCCAAGTCTACAATATCGAAGCTGCCGTCCTTCAAAAAGGCACCCAAGGTGCAGGAGATACCAGGAGTACATACGCAAGCGCCAGCGCAAGAAGGGAAGAGTAGTACACGTGCATCTCCTCAACAAGCGCCGCCATCTGCAGCAGCCAGCAGAGCGACACCAGTGAACAAACAAAACCCATTCGCCGATTCGCTGGCCATGATGAGTCAAGAGCACCAGAAGAAGCGCCCAACATTCAACGACCACCCGGCCAGGCCACCGCCAGGACAGCGGGAACAGCGAGAGCAAGAGAAGCGCGCGGCGGAGTCGGCAGCGGATAGTGCGAAGAAGGCCAACAGTAAATCCGTACGATGGATGCCTGAGCGTGAGCTAGTCAGTGTGAGGTGGATCGAGAGCCGTGCGGAGCAAGATGACGTGAGTAGTTTGTGGAATGTGCTATTATCGGGTATGCTGACGCAGCGCAGCACCACGAACACCTCGGCGACGCTAAGCAACTCGAAGTAGACGAGGGAGCTATGCTTAAGAAACATATCACGTCTGTCGACGAAGATCAACCAGAGGAGTATGACATTCAGGGACAAGCGGGTAATCAAGCGCAGACGTACGCACAATCACAATCACTACCACACCAAACACCCCCTTCTACACCTCAAAAGCGCACCAAAGATATCAGACAGTGGTTCGAGCCGTATATCTGCGAGAGAAATCTGGATGACCAGGCAGAATTAACGTCATCCGAGAAAGAAGTACAGGAGCAGAGAGAAGCGACGACGATAATGGCTACATATCTCACAGAAGATCAAATACCATTCACACCAGCAGAGCCCAAGAGGGTGCTTGATTCGAGGAATGACGATGGAAAAACAACAGTGATGATAAAGTCAGACACAGCAGATGAAGCTCCGCCAGTAGCTGGTGGAATTAGTGCACCTTTAAATAGTATACCACCCACACAATTTGGTTCTTCATTCGGCTCAATACCTCCAACGAACAGCATCCAGCCTGAGCAGCAGATGATGCTCCATAATATACTAACAGGTAATACGAATGCGGGTGGATTGCCTAATTTCTCCGCTTATGACCTCCCGCCTAAGTCCAAGGCGTTTTATCAGCATGGGGAGAGGGAGAGGAAGGGCAGTGGAAGTTATGGAGGTGGCTATGGAGGTGGATATAGCGGCGGCTATGGCGGTGGCTACGGTACCAACTACAGCGCTAATCACAGCCCCGACAGCAGTCTCAACATTGGCTCAAATGGCTCAAACAACTACTACCAAAAACCAAAATACGAATGTAAATTCTACAGACAGGGAAACTGTACCAAGGGGAGTAGGTGTACGTTCAAGCATTCAGCATAGCATTTTCACTCTTTTTTGTAACACCTTGTGTATTTTTACAGTTATTATCCTATTAGGGATGAAAATTGATATAAAGACCCTACTTAGACGCCAGCTTGCTGCCGATAAAGGCGACGAGGACGGCTGAGCCAGCAAAGGCGATGGCGGCGGGGAGGAGAAGGTCTCTGGGTATTCCAAGTACATCAGCGTCTGTGTGACCCTTTGAAGAAGCGGGTGATTTGTTTGTGTGCTCCTCTACAGGCACGCTCGTATGAGCCTCGTGAGGAAGCTTTTCCTCCACCTCCCTCTCACCATTCTTCTCAATCTCCTCGACGTCCCTGACGCACTGTGACTGGTGGATGTTCTCGTCCCTCACGACCACCGCCGGCGTCTCGTCCGTTGGCTTGACTACCTCGACCGCCTCCCAACCCCTGCCACCGTTGACAATGAGGAGGACGCGCGACTGGCGTTTCTTTTGCGCGACAACGACGGCGTCTTTAACATCGGAATCAGCGTCGAGCACGACGTGATCGCCGTCATCATCCTCGTAGAGCAGGGCGAAGTCGTACGGATCGGGCATGTCGAGGTCGTGTACAGGTGTTGATTCCACGTGTTGCGAGAAAAACGGATCAGTGGATAGCTTGGAAGGGGGTTTTGTGTCAGTGTGAAATGTTTTTCCGTAATCCTCCACTCACCTTGCCTGCTACTATATCGCGCAGATGCTCCAGCGATAGTGTAGGCGACTCGAAGCGATGGATGCGCTGGGATGGGCTGACGAACTTGAACACTGCGACTTGAGCATGTTCATCGGTGGCTTGAGCGTTGCTACCCGTAACAGCCTCTGACTCCATAAGGGACGTATTGAGTCCGACCTGGGATGTCTCCTCATGGTCGACGACCGACGCTGAGTCGTTAGGGTGGAGTTCGCTATCATTGCGCCCGTTGGGTGAACCCACATCGCGGGAGCCAGAAACAGCTGACTCTGCATCATCGGGAGCTGCGGCGAGCGTGCCGAAAAACTTGCCCCACATAGGACCACCCTCCTCTTGCTCCGCGCCGCCATCCTCTGCCGACATGGCGTTGATCTGCTCAAGAATTGCGTAGGTGAGTTTGAGGACGTCGACAATAGCCACCAGTCTGCCCTCGTCGACGACAGGCATATTGAGATAGTGGCCTGCGTACATCTTGCGCAGAGCCTCTTGAATTGTCATGCTAGGTGGAGCTCTGTCGGGATGAGGAGTCATGACGCGCACGACGCTGCAGCGATCAGGCTGCAAACCCGCAGCAATCACCCTAAGCACGACGTCTTTCGAGGTGAATATACCAGCTATTTTGGCCTGCTCGCCTCCAACACCCGTGTCCATTACGCAGACGGCCGTCGTGCGGTGCTGCTTCATGATGCGCGCCGCCTCGCGCACGCTCGTACGCACGGAAACGGTGGCAGGGTGGGTGCGAGCGTCGAGCACAGAGTGCAGCTCAGGAAGGGCCATACGGTCGCGCAAGGCGTCTACGTAGTTCATCATAGCGGACGCCTGGCGCGTGTGCGTGTTGCCCCCGAGCTCGTTCTGCACGCCTTCCAGCGCCGTGTATAGCTTCTGCGACGCGCCGTAACCTCGCTCGATCTTGTCGAGGGCCTCGTTGAACACACGCGTAATGTCGAGCAGCCCCACTACATCCCCGTCATCGTTGCATACGGGTAGGTGACGGAAGGCGCGCGACACCATCAACTGGAGAGCATCAGTGGCGCTGGAGGAGTCACGCGTGACGAGCGGGTTGGGCGTCATGATTTGCGAGACGGGTGTGTGGCGCGTGTCCATGTTCTCGGCTACCACCCTGAATGCTAGATCCTTGGCGGTGAAGATGCCGCAAAGCGACTCGTCATCGTCTACGACTAGGACACAGTCGGTACGCTTGGCAGCACAGAGCTGGGAGGCGTCGGCGACTGAGATGGAGTCGGGGACAGTGAGAGCAGGGGAAGGCTTGAGGGCGGCGACAGAGCCTGGCTGCTTCTGGTTGCGCTTGGGCTGTCTACTGGAATGCTTTCTGTTGGAGTGGGTGGACTGGGTGGAGCCAGGGCGCTTCTTGCCCAACTCAGTCTCGATCTTGCGCCTGAGAGCCTCGTCTTTCTGCGTGTTGCGCTTTCTGCGGTTGTCTGGAAGTGGAGATGGGGAATCAGACATGGCTGGAGATGGTGAGAGTGGTCTGGAGGAGAGGGATGAAGGGTTGCGCTGGGGGATGCGTGACATGTTAAAATTTAGATGATGGTGGTTTGAACGGAGGAATATCACTGGCCATCTCGAGCATCTCCCAGCACACACGACTCTCACCGCGACGACGACGACGACGACGATGCTCGGATTGAAATCGACGATGAATGTGGGGCGTGCGTGCTAGAATATAAACAGGGCTAACGACACACACAAGATAATAGACAACTCAGGCGCTCTGGTTGCAGAAGTCATCAACGTCCTCAAAGTCAAGTCTGGCAGTGGCATTGGCAGCGTCGGGGATGAGTGCGTGGTGGTCATCCAATCAGCCAAACCGATCCCCGCGAATCTCAACATATCTGCAAATTCACCTGCAGCAGCCAACAAGATCAGGAAGGGCGATATACGCAGAGCTGTGATTGTACGCACAAAGCAGCAGATTAGAAGACCAGATGGCCGCTTTGTCAGGTTCGACGACAACGCAGGTGTTCTCATAAACCCTAAGAAGGAGCTTCTCGGCTCTAGGATCTCAGGCGTAATTGCTAACGAGGTGAGGCAGAAGGGCTGGGGGAAGATTGCGTCTGTTGCGCCCAAGGTGAGTGTGGTGTAGATTACATGATGATTAGACTAACACTCGGAACCACAGCTACTCTAGTAAGGCATTGCAATATGTATTTATAGATAATCATTCATTATTCCTCATATCTGGCCACTCGATACACACGCATAGTCTCTTTGGCTCCTTTTGAGTGTTTGTTAACCAGTCCATCGAAAGCCCGCGTTGAATCCTTGATGCGCTTACCCGTCGCGCTGATACTCCACTCCGTCAGTATCCCCCGTCCACCAGGATGTGAGTCAGCGTAAGGCGTAGCGTCAACGATGAATCCATCGATCAGCAGCAGTAGCTGTTTTCCACCTTGTCCAGCATGTTCTCCGCTAGCCCTCGCCCTTTCTCTCACCTCACCAGCACCCCACACGGGCAACTCGCTCTCGCTTCTCGCAACATTCTCCTTAGGTATCCTCTCATGCAGCCTGCTCGCCTCGAGCGACAGCATACCCGCCTTAGCTTTGAGGTAGTCTGTGTCAGTGATGCGATGCAGATACGGGATCTGGTTGGTGAGTGCGTGGAGCAAGTGCAGCACCCAAGCGCTCGGATCCCAATCGCCACGCGCCGGTCCGTTCCTATAATCGTGCGGGAATGCGTGGTGGAAATTGTGGTTGCCCTCGCCCGACGTGCACAGCGCGATGAAAAGCGTCCCCCGACTGCTATTTTCCTCGCTATAGGGCTGATCGCCGATGTAGTGCGCGAGCGAGTTGATCATCTGGAGTGCGAGTGTGAGTGTGAGTATGAGTATCGTGGCTACTATCTACTCACAAAAGTGCAGTGCCAAATAAGCAGTCGTGCGACCAGACCACCCCACACGAATCCGCCGAGCGCATCGCCCCACTGCCGAGCCGCCACGGCGGGCAGGAGGAGACCGGCGGTGAGAGCGATGGGTATGTAATGGCGATGCTGGAATCGGACTACGGGATCGCTCTCCAAGTCACCCTTGTCGATCATCTTCATACGCGGATACGCGCGTTTGTAGTAAATCCACCCGCAGTGACTCCAGAACAACCCCAGCTGCGCAGAGTACGGATCGTGGACGGGATCGTCGGTGAAGCGGTGGTGTAGCCGATGACGCACCACCCACCTTATGTAATGTAATTAGAAGGCGCGTTGGTTTATACACAGCGCACAGCTTACTCACCACTTTATACTCCCTTGGAAACCAAGTGAGCCCATGAAAGCCAGCGCTGTCCGTAGCGGTAGACGCGCTGTATACGCCTTGTGACTCCATAACCGGTGGTAACCCAGTGTGATGCTGGGGATAGCGTGAGTGAGATATTTGACACCACTAATACACCCCAACCCACCCAAACGAAGCCAGCTGCCAGGATGCTACACACAGCGCAAGCGTGTAAGTGTGCAGATCGCGCCAGGGTGATAGAACCACTGCGCCATACACAGCAGCCACGTGCATCCCCGTAAAGAATATGGCGTTCGACCTGCGATATGGTTATTCATCTGTTGCCACTATCACAGACCAACTGACCACCATATTTCATCTTTGGGGACTCTTTGGGGTGTTGTGGCTGTTGATGACATTTGCCTTGCTTTATTTTGCTGCTTGTTCTCTTTGCCGTCCCTCTGAGTGAGATTACTGCCGTGGCCGTGTTTTTTCAAGTGGGCTGGTTATCTGATGCGCGATGAGGAGATGGTTATGGATTTAACCGGTGGATATGTGCCGTGAGTTATCTTAGCCGTCTCAGCATACAACCAACACTAATGCGCTCTCATGCATCTCACTGCCGCCCACGATTCGAGACACTCGGTCGCTATTGACGTCGTTTGGGTGGCCGATAACGGAGTGTATATCGGAGTAGTACATACGCATGTCATATAGTTATATTTTAAAATGACACAGGCCATCGATTAGGTTCGACTGCACTTGGCCGACAGCTGGCGTGAAGCGGGGGAGCAGGAGTAGTGGGCAGTGAGTCTGTTGGCGTAATTGTTATTTTAGCTGTAGCTGTGTGTAGCGCACCTGTATCGCACCTATTCCATATATATCCAAACGCACAGTGCCTGCGTCATGTAACTTGCCAGGGCTCGTGCGAGATACGGCGGAGAAGGGGAGCGTAAATGGGGGCGTGACCAGTGAGCTACCAAAGCGAATCACAACTCCTAAACCACCCGAAGTAAAACCAATCCGGCGAAACACAATCTGGATGAAATTGCAACCGAGACTGTATGATGTGTTTGTTTTACAAGTACATGAGGTGGAAGCAATTACTGGGTTGTATTAATGTCGTATATGCTATATGGCAGCTAGCAGCACTTGCCCACACGGCCACTGGGCATTACTAGGCCAATTGGTACACGCTCAGTTGGCCGACGGCGAAGACATTTGCGTGCCATGGTGGAGACATAGCTATCTTGTAGACATCCAACACACTGGGTGATCACACCGTTCACAACACTAATTATACTGATATCACAATGTCCACTACTACACAACCCAGTCTACTGTCTGTGCACCTTCGCAGGGCGGGTGTGGGTACAAACAATAGGCCGGATAGAGACAGCAAGGCAGTCCAAGACAAGGTCGATGCAAGCAACGCAGATACAGCGTTTATATCACTCCCAGCTGTTTTTGAGGACGAACCAGAGTTTCCAGCGCAGGCTGACGGAGAGCACAGGGATTATACTCCACTCAGCTCACCTCCTACCACGCCGCATCTCAGTTTCATTATTTCAAAGCCACGCTCTGCACCCAGCGATCAGTCTGGTAGGCTGGCCAGCCAACAGTCATCCACCACACCGCCGGAACATATTCATCATAGTAAACCACCCACTGTCTGGTGTCACAGACTCAACAGCCAGAAGGACCACGCAAGCGACCATCACCCCAAGTCTGAGTCTAATAAGTTGTACAATCTGTTGAGATCCTTCTCAGTATCGTCTATGCCAGCGCTGTCGACGTCAGCGACGACAGCCAACACAGCCACCACGCTGATAGAGCCATCGACGCCACCATGTGCGCAGACTTGGCAGAGGAGGAAGGTAAGTGATGTTTGAGTTTAATGCGATGACGTCAAATTAACACACACGCAGTCATCAAACAGCTCCCTGCCCTCCCTGCCCTCACTGTCCTCCTTCTCAACAACAACTGCGCCGCCCACGGCCACGCCCAAAGCGGCCCAGTCCACGCTCGTTGACACGACGAGCGCCACCGCGCAGATGATCAAGTACGATGCGCAAGTCGAGCGAAAGCGGATGAGTTTGAGTGACGACGCGGAGGAGATGCGCCGGAGAAACACGCTATGGCGACGCATAGGCGGATACGTGGTAGACACGCATAGTCAAACGCACACGGACAGCGCCGCACTCCTCAACAGTCAGATACGGCAAGAGGAACGTTTTCCCGATAGCCTGACGGAGCGACTGCGTAACGTCAAGGCACGCTGGTCACTCTCTATCTCGGAAGCACGCTCCGAGGGTCGCGCGCAGGCCGTTGCGCTGCTCAGAGATGCTCGCATTCTCTACCGCGAAATGAAGATTGAGGGTAGTGGTGGGGTGCTGGACGGTGATGTATTTCACTCTTACTCTCCCTCACCCTCTCAATCTACAGCTACTAAATCTCCCCGCTGCGATCACTGCTGCGCCCTCCATAGCGGAGGTCCTTACGAATGCGACCTTAATCGTCAGATCCGCGCTGGGCGCGCACACGAACGCGAGAAGAGACGCATTAAGTCGTGGATCGAATTGCACCTCACCGCTCTTAAACTCAACGTTGGCAACTGGGATAAGATCAATTGCCCTCATCCTCTCTCCCACATCAAGAAATTCGAATACGGCGCTGACCTCTGCACATCCTCGGGTCTCTCTTCCAAGTCATGGCTAGAAATACAGGGCGACACGGACAGAGAGAGGAACGAAGCCCTGTTAGAGTCGCGCGAATTCGACTTTTGCCTCGAGTATCTTGCCCATTTCCACAGACACCAGATGAAAAAGAAGAAAAACACGTCTAGCTATAGACCACGTTCTTCTATTTAGCACTTTTTAACTATTTATTTTTACTCAATCACTCTTTCTCTCTCTCCAGCTGCTCAATCTACATTACGATCTTCACGACCACCGAAAGCCATCTAATTCAGCCCGATTGGCTCTCGCTGCTTGTTCTACTAAACATGTTCTCTACTAATTATGCGTGTAATCTGCTATTTATTATCTTCATGATTTATGCTTACAATGATGCTATATATGCCGCTGGTATACTGTGCTTAGACTACTTACTCACCCATACCCCACCACATCAACTCCTCAAGTGAAAGAATAGATACGTATATCGCGGTCATCTCCCGCGGTGACGATCTTATCTCCGCTGAGCTGCACAGCGGTGACAGCGCCCGCGTGGCCGACCAACGTTGCCAAGCATCTCCCAGTATCTGTATCCCACACCTTGACAGTACGATCGTGAGACGTGGAGACGATACGCAATCGATCAGCGTCGATGGACCAGATCCCTTTGATGAGTGTGAGTGAAAGTATAAGAAAGCGCCTTAGAATATCCCCACGCACCCTCTATATGACCGAATAGCGTGCGTGCACACCGCCCAGTATTCACATCCCATACTTTGACCGTGTTATCGAGTGCGCCGCTTACCAGCATCGGCACTGTTTCGTGAGATGCAGAAGTATCGCCGAGTATCTTGTCTACACTGCTCTGGCTCGACTCGACGAGGTTGTTGGTATTGTGAGAAGCAGACGGACCTTGTGCACCGCGATTAATATTCCCACCACTACCACCAACACCATTACTACTGTCGAGCACGCGCTGCAGTTTCGGCGCTCCACCTTCCTCATGCTCCGTCTGCGCCACCTCGAGCGTCTTGGAATCAACAAGTATCATCTTGATGTCTTGTACCTGCCCAACATGGCTGTCGAAGCTTCTGATGCACTCGCGGCTGCCAAGGCTCCACATTTTGATGGATCCGTCATCCGATGCGCTGAAGAGGATTTTCTGCGCCTCGCGGAGCTGTTCCGAGCCTGAAATTGAGCTGGAACTGGACACCATCCCATCCCAGATCTGCACGCTATTAACCCAATCGCGGTGCCCGCGCAGTGTGAAGCACTCAGCAGTCTTGAATCGCCAAACTTTCACAGTAGCATCCGCGGACCCCGAAGCAAGAACAGTTTTATCGAAATCGAGACAAACTACTCCCTCTCTATGACCTTCTAAAGTACGTATACACTCTCCATTCCTCCAATTCCATATTTTGAGCGTCCTGTCCATACTCCCCGTTATCAACTTAGCTTCGTCGAATTTGAGTGTGCGTATACCGCGCGTATGTCCGCGCAGCACGCCTACCTGTGCACCTGTATCGAGATTCCACACGCGCGCTGTGCGGTCGTATGAGCCTGTGATAAGTGTCGGGGCGGGGTGAGCATGTTCGTCAAACTGCAGACACATCACTCCCTCAGTGTGACCGGAAAGTGTTTGCACCGTGTGTGTGCCCCGACGCCAATTGCGCTCAATCAGTAGTCGCTCCGTGTAAACCGCTTTCCAAGGTCGCGTCAGTGGCTTGCATGTGCCACCGACCCCGCTGCTGCTGCTCGGACTAACTGTCATATTCGACGCTTTCTGCCGGATGGTATTCATCGGCGATGCTGAGCGCGATGGTGAGAGTGTGGGTGAGATTGAAGTGGAGTGCGTCGGCGATGTACGCGCTGATCTGTGTCGCTTTACGGGTCGGTCATCGACGTCCATGGTGTTGATTGTGTCTATTGTGTCAAATGGGTTTGGGGTGGCTGATGTGGCTGATGCACCCGGTGCACCCCCTGTACCATCATGCATCGCCAAATGGGCCGTGTGGCTCGCTAGTAAAGCTCTCTTGGCACTACCCACCTTGGTACTTGGCTCCTTCTGCAATTTGCGTCTCTTCTCGAGGAGAGGTAACCCCCAACCGCACTTCTCGCACTTGCGCTCGATATGCTGCTCACACATGTTACGCCAGAGGAGATCGTCATCTGCGAGGTTCTTCCAGCTGCGACTGACTTGTGCAGCTCTAGCGAGGGAAATAGCGTCTAGATAGCCCATAATTTTGAGATTGAGTTCTCGTGGAAGGAGCATGAAAGGGTCAATTCTAATAAGATTGCCTAGCTCCTCGTAGAGATAGCTGAGTTGAGAGAAACAGCATGTTTGGAGGATACCTTTGAGGATGAGCACGCGGAGAGGACTGCTGGCTGCAGAAAACGAGGACCATATGGAAGTGACGGCTGAGCGCTGGTTTAGGGGTAGCTCATCGAGTGCTTGCTGTAGCTCAGCCGATGCGCCCTCATCAGCCATATTCTTGTGGCGCAAACAGAGAGTCCTGCTGTCCTCCTCGCCAACAACGTTATCCTCTTCAGATCTCAGCCTGCCTTTGCCCTTATCCTGGGTATAAGAGTGGGAGTATTCGCTGTAGTCGTCATCGCACGCTTTCCTAGAAGACGAGAGAGATCTGGAGAGATCAGAGTGGGAGATGGCAATATCAGAATTTGATTTCTTAATTTCTTCAGTGCCCATTAAACGGGTTTTGAGAGATGATGACTGTGAGGAACAGAGATGCGTGATGCGAGTGGCGCAACAGACGAGATAAGCCCAAGAAAATATTCATTTATTCTAAGCAAGTACAACAGCCAATCCAACCAACGCTAATAATCCGGTTGACAAAACAGCTCTGGTTGAAGATGAGTCAGGGTCGGTGTTTTGTGCGCTGGTGTTGTCATCGTTGTCGTCGTTGTCGTCGTTGTCGTTTTCGTTGTCGTTGTCGCTGTTACCGCCACTGCCTGCAACGACTGAGCTTGGTGTGGCAGAGACAGACGCGGTGTTGACAGTTGAAGTAGGCTTAGCAGACACAGTGCTATCGCCAACCTCACAGATAAAGTAAGTCGCAGCGACAATCTTTGAGTTAGTGGAATCAATGTAGTCGGCAATGTTCATTTTACCGAGTGGAGTCTGGCTATCTAAGCCGTCTGGGGCCTGGAAGTCTTGTGGCTGCTTCAATAACAAAAATTGGTATCTGTGTGGACCACTGCCTCTTGCTGGGCCTGGACCTGTGTAGCTGGTGATAACCTTACCAGAGTCACCGTCGTGGATTGCAACTCCATTGTCCGAGTCTGAGTCGTCGCTGTCGTCGCCATCACCGCCAACTGAAATGTTGTTCTCAAGGAAATGGCGTGTTTGGCCTGTAAATAGAATAAGCGTGGATCATCAAAGTGCTCAAATACACACCTTCTGATTGGTCTGCACCGTTGTAGTCTGCATCGATCAGTGCTAAAGTGTATTGTCCGTCAAGTGTAGCGTTTTCAGATGGGAGGTATCTAAACTCTGGCTTCTCTTGAACGGCTGTGGAGCGCGTGAGTATTTTAACTCCAAACTACCCCAAACGCACCGTCCTTTGACAGACGCTGGCCCAAGCTCAGTGGCTCATCTTGGTTATCAAACTTGACCCAGAGAAGTCCTTGGAGATTGTTGAAATCCTCTGACTGGAACTCATCCCCAATCAGTCCTGCTGCATTGAAGTCTGCCTGTATGTGTGTTAGTTGTGCCCATCAATAGCTAACTCGACCCACCTTTACTACTGCGAGTCTGCCTTCATCAACAGCGGCAACGGAAACACCTGCCAAAGCAGCGAGTAATAAAGATTTAATCAACATTTTTAGATGATAGTTGTTCTGGTTTAAGAGGGTTCCTCAGCCTTCTGGGCCTTCTCCGCCTTCTTCAAACATCTTCAAATGTCCGAATTCAAAGAGCTTGTGGAATTTCTTAGGAATGATAATCCAACTATCAGGCAGATTGCCATACAGCACCTCGCGGGTTTCACGACCAATCAGAAGCAGCTATTCGACAACGACGCCATCTCCCAGGTAAAGCTGTCGTGCAGAGATAAGCCTGTAAGTGGGCTGTAGATGCTTAGTCATTGCTCACCAGGCCTATCACGCTCAAGGCTATTGCTCACGACGCTTTCTCCATCCTCGTGAACCTCTCCGACTCTGTTCTCAGCTCAAATGCCATCGCTACCAAAGAATTCCTCCTTTTCCTTACCAGCTACATCTCCAATCCATCAGCTCTATTAGCTGATCTAGCCTGTATGCTTCTCTCTAACCTCAGCAAGCTCCCAAATCTCATGCATGCGCTATGCTCTCAGCAAATCCCAATTAGTCTCCACGACGGAAATGTTTCTTATATTGCGTCTAAGAGCGATTCTTCAAGCGTACAGATGGATGGTCTTCAAACCACCGTAAAAGCTCTTCCCTGTCTCGTTGAGGCTTTTGTCCAGGGCGCTAACAAACCCGAGACGGCTGTTGAGAGTGCTGAGGCTGATGCACAGCGTAAATCTAATTGCCACTTCTTAGGCTCCGTATTCGCCAACATCACCACTACTCAACCTGGCAGAGACTTTTTCACATCTCCTTCACTTTCATTCGACTCCCTTGCCAACCAAAAGTCTGCCAAGGAGTATCCACTTGCCAAGCTCACTGCTTTCACAGAGCACCCAAGCAATATCAGAAGACACGGTGTAGCTGCTGCTCTCAAGTGAGTTGCTTTGGCTTGATATCATCACCTCACCTCACCCACTTAGGAACTCGACTTTCGTTAAGGACGCACACAGGGCACTACTTGCACAAGACTCAGAAATTGTTGGCGAGTGCAACGGCGTTAATATGCTTCCATATGTCCTCTTGCCCTTGTGTGGTCCTGAAGAATTCGATATCGAGGTGCGTTGTTTCTTGGCATTTCATCTTATTCTCACATTCCACCGCACATAGGAACAAGAGGCTCTGCCGGAAGTTTGCCAATTACTCCCTCCAACAAAACAGCGCGAAGTGGATCCTAGCATCCGCAAGACACACATTGAGACACTCTTGCTACTCTGCACCACACTCCACGGAAGGGAGTACCTCAGGAGCAGGAACACTTACGTTGTCATCAAGGCTGCCCATGCCGATGAAAAGGACCAGCAGGTATGCTCGACTTTTTTTTTAAAAAAAATACTTGGTGCCTAATCAACTATCTACAGGTCACCGATGAAATGATCAAGGTGGGAACGTAGCGTTAATATAGAGCAATCTAACTCGCTGCACAGCTCGTCAACCTCATCATGAGAGAAGAGGGCCAAGAGTGAGTATGTTCCTCGCTGCGTCATCACCCGCTGACAATTGCGATTGCACAGAACAAAGATACAGGAGCTCTCAAAAAAAGAATCTGAGCTGATAGACGAGGACATGACAATCGAGGAGGTTTAAACTATTTAAATTCACATGCATATTTATATTTAGAACGCAAACGTTGGCTTAGTCAAGTACAATCAACTCATATGTCCAAAACGCCACCGAACATAGCTGTAATACCTAACGAGACGCCGAAAGCGAAAAAGAAGAACCCCATCAAGGCTATACGCTCTTTTGTGAGCAGGAACAACGCCGTGAAGCCAGAGAGCTTCAGACCACACGCCGACGAGATACCGTTTGCTTCTCTGCGAGTGCAAGTGCTTAATGCCAAAGATCTCGCAAGCAGAGACCGCAATGGACTGAGTGATCCGTTCATTGATATCAACTACGGCCTACTGCGCTTATCTACACCCTGCGTCAAGAAAACTGTAAATCCTTCATGGGATTCGAATGACGCGACGTTCGACATTAGTCTTTATAGATCTACAGTAGCAGATATTCTCCAGCTCGAATTCGTCTTGTGGGATAAGGATACTTTCGGCAAGGACTACCTTGGAGAATGCTGTGTCTATCTCGATGACTGGTTCCCAAAATTATATCCAAATCTCTCTACTAGAGCTGTTGAGTGGTCTGACCATCAGAATAATGTGCGTCGTCGGCTCTTTTCGGCGAACATTCATCCGTCGCTCCGGGTTTTGCTCTTTTACTAACTAATGGCGTAGGTGCGCACCCTCAGTATCGAGTCGGCGAGGAAACACAACAGCGTCAGTGGCGTCCTCAATGTCAGATTCGGTCTCATTCAACACGTCGCATCCCCCGTTGTCGATTTGGCGAGTGAATTTGAGGATATTCTCGCGAAAGTTCGCAAATCTGTTGATTGCGGTTTATTGTCCGCTCCTCCTGTGGGTATTTTGGTGGTGTATGTACATGATGATGCTCACCTAAATGCAACACACAGGTCGCTTCAATAGGCACTCGTCTCATCAGCTCCAATTCCCTCTCGCAGCAAGTGAGCAACGACTCAACGCGCACCGTTGTCGCCTCAGGTTCAGGTAGCGAAGATATCCCATCTTATGCCCTCACCAGATCTACAACTGGAGGGAACGATAGCATCGGTGACGAGTCGGACACTTTCGACGATTCTGATGTAGATATAACTATATCAGACGTCGAAGGCGATGAAGTGGAAAATGATGCCGAAGAGGTTAGGCACGCTGACGAGTCAAACGTACCCACACCGACAGTCGGGAAAAGTGAAACAGAATCATTCATAAAGGGGATCGAGTCGAGAAGAAGTGAATCACAACCAGAGCACAGAACATCTTCAACCCTCTCCCCGAGAGATATACCACCATTTAGAAAAAAGTCATCCAAGCTTAAACGCATGATAACACCGTTATCATCGAGACAAAATAGCAGAGAAAGTATACCACTCGCCATCACACCACAGGGTGATATATCTGAACCTAATCTTTCTTCGCATTCGCCTATGTCTCTCAAATCTAAAAGAAGAAGGCCGAAGAAAGCGAGATCGAGTAGACCAAAAACTGGCGGGTTCAACTTGTACTCGGAAGATGCTTCCAATGTACTTGGTGTTGTGCTGTTAGAAGTCCGTCACGGTGAGGATTTGCCGAGAATGAAAAACTTGACTAGAACTGGATGGGATATGGACCCATTCGTCGTCATCAGTTTTGGCAAGAAGATATTTAGGACTAGGGTTATTCGGCACTCTCTAAACCCTACTTGGGACGAGCAGCTCTATTTCCATGTGCGTAACGGTGAAAGCAAATTTAATGTTGACTTCTCCGTCTTGGATTGGGATAAACTCAGTGCGAACGATCATGTCGGAGAAGCTTCACTACCGCTCCAGGAACTAATATACAAAGCACCAAAAGCAGACGCCAGTACTGGATTGTTCAATACAGATGACTATGACGCGCATGGAATGGAGGATTACAAGCTAGATCTCAAGATAGATGAGAATTGGGAAGAAAAGCACCGACCAAATATACTCATCAAAGCCAAATACCTGCCATACGCAGCGCTCAGACAAAGATTTTGGAGATCATACCTCGACCAATACGATACCGATGATACAGGAGCAATTGCACGTGTGGAGCTGACGATGATGCTTGACTCGCTTGGCTCGACACTCACATCACTCACTATCGACTCTTTCTTCACCAGATGGGACAAGGACCCGCGCAGTGACGAGCTTAGCTACGACCAGATCATACAGGTACTGGAGAATGAAACAAACAAACCAATTAACGAGAGGAGGTCACTTGATGCAGATGCTGACGAGACTGATGCTTCGGTGTCACCTGGCCCAACCACTCCAGCAGCATTGACGGCGTGCACTAACAGCAATGAAGCTCCTCTCGAATATACCGGACCTCTCGCGCGCCCGCCAAATAACTCTCCTGATACCGTCGAAGAAAATAAGCGGGCATCTAAAGTAAAGAATGAAGGCGCGGGTAATGAGACTGATCCCTTGATTAGTGAAGAAACATCAAAGCTTAAAATTTCGACTGAATTTATCGACAGTTCAAAACTCTCCCCTCAAGGTGATTTCATGTCTTCGTCGTCGAGTATTTCTGGATACGATGCTAGCGATTTGGAAGATTCCACCGAGATTGAAAGAGATACTGCGAGCGACTACAGCAAGATGAAGTTAAGGATGGATGAGAGCCAGCACGAGAAAATTATTAACATCAAAGTCTGCCCGCTCTGTCATAAGGGTAGATTGAACAGTAAAGCTGAAGTAGATATCGTTACACATCTGGCTATATGCGCGTCGACTGATTGGGGTAGATTGAATAGAATAGCTGTGTCAAATTATGTCACGGCTTCTCAAGCTCAAAGGAAGTGGATTAGCAAGATCGCTTCAAAAATATCAACGGGATCTTACAAGCTAGGAGCTAATTCAGCAAATATACTTGTCCAAGATAGATTGTCAGGCAAGGTTCAAGAAGAGAAAATGCAGATATATGTGAGAATTGGTATTCGAATGCTTTACAAAGGAGCAAGATCAAAGATGGAAGGTAGTAGAGCTAGAAAATTACTCAAATCCATGTCAATAAAACAAGGTAAAAAGTATGATGACCCAGAATCAATTCGAGAGATACCCAACTTTATCCAATTCCATAATCTGCGAATGGACGAAGTGCTTGAGCCAGTCACAGCATTCAAAACATTTAACCAATTCTTTTATAGAAAGTTGAAGGCTGATGCGAGGCCAGTAGAGAAACCAGAAGATGGATCGAGGTTGGTTAGTGCAGCTGACTGTAGAATGGTTGTGTTTGATGACTTTGATGTTGCAACCAAGGTCTGGATAAAGGGTAGAGGATTTACAGTCGCCAAATTGCTCGGCGAGAAGGTATCTAAGGAGGATTGGTGTGCAGCACTGATTGACAAGGAGCAATTGCCAAGTCTGTGTGTGTTCAGACTTGCTCCTCAAGACTATCACCGCTTTCACTCACCTGTTGATGGAGTTATGGGAGAGATTACGACGATTGAGGGAGAATACTACACTGTCAACCCACAAGCTGTGAGATCGTCGATTTCTGTCTTTTCTGATAATGTGAGTGATGAAATTGAGTGGTTTAAAGCGGCTAATCACATACACAGGTACGCGTAATTGTGCCAATTCATACGGAACGCTACGGGACTGTAGTGGCAGTCTGTATCGGAGCCATGATGGTAGGTTCAACGATACTGACGAAAAAGGAGGGCGAGAGAGTGAACAGAGGTGAAGAATTTGGATACTTTGCTTTCGGAGGATCGACAATTGTGTGCCTCTTTCCGTCAGGAGTTGTTTCATGGGATGATGACGTCAAGGAGAACAGCAGCGCAGCTATCGAAACGCTGGTGCGAGTTGGTATGGGTATTGGTTCGTTGAATGAACATTAGTTGTACAATCATTCACAGAGATATTTGAGTGGATTTGAGTGAATGAAAAATGGCACGCAAAATTACAGCGGATGATTGAGTAAAAGGGATGTAAGAAAGTAATCGGAGTAATTGAATGTGATTAAATAAACAAAGACTCGTTGACGGAATTTATAAATTTACTTCTTCGTGTCCACTGTAAGCTTCTTGAAACGCAACGTCAGTGTCTGCAGACGATCTCGATGGCTTTAAATTACCAACAGCTGGGGGAACGTCCGCAGGATATTCAGCAGTTGCAACAAGCCCAAGCTAGACGTTCTCCTCGTATGGCTGCTGCATTGCTTCAACAGAGGCGAAGTGCCGCTATGGGTCAGCCGACGCCGACTCCGAGTTTGGGGATAAATGCGTTTGAAGGGGGCAATAATTCACCTGGCAGCTTCGATTGGAATCCTCAAATTCAATTTGGTACGTCTATTCACTCTTGTTTACTTGAAATTCCGGTGCTGATCTGATAATTTACAAGACCCAAATCGCGAGCAGCAAATGCAGCAGCAGCGTCTAGCACAGTATCAACTTCAGCAGCATTTCTTGCAACAGCAGCAAATGCAGCAGCTTCAGAAGCAGCAGATGGCTCTCCACCAGCACCAGCAACAGCAACAGCATCATTATCAGCAGCAACAACAGCAACAACAGCAACAACAACAGCAGCAGATGCACTTTAATAGCATGCAGCAGCAGCGTCCGTCACCTATAATAGGTCACTACCCACAGAGGCCATCGACCAGTGACGGCATGGGCCAATTAAATGACACTCAAGCAAACGCTGCTATGAATGGTATTGGCGGTATTAATAGCATGAGCGCTGCATCGGATGCACTTAATTTACAGTTGAACGGCAGTCAGCATCCTTCCCCGGCTCATCCGCCTAAAGCTATTCCTACGCCACAGCCAATGTCTACACCACAGCCCGTCCCAACGCCTCCTCATTCTATAGGCACTCCTCAACCACAGACGCGTCCACACTCACTACCTCACCCTCAACTACATCATCCAAACGCTCAGGTACATCCCTACTCAGCTCAGATTCAGGCTTTGCAAGCTGCGCAGGCTGCACAGGTATCTCAGCATGCCCAGGCTCAACAACAGCAACTCCAGCAACAGCAAATACATCCACAACATCCACATCAACATTCAATACGGCCACCAATGGGAAACATGCCTGAGGGTATACCGCCGCAATTAGCGTGAGTTCAGAAGTCTGGTGAGCTCAATGGACTGACGTATTCAATCGCAGTAGAATGCCAAACCATTCAGCAGCAGTAGCAGCAGCAGCAGCAGCCCCACGTGCACACGCTGGTACACTCAGATTGTTACAGTATATCGAACACTTCAGGCGACACATAAGCCTAGTGCATGGAGGGAATAACCAGCACAAGGGAATGGGGGAGCAGCTGAGTGCAACGCAATGGCAAAACTTTGTACAGGAGTTCTTTATGCCATCCGCGATGCTCAGACTTAACTTCAAGAAGCTTGACGGAGGATATATGAATCAGAACCCACAAGATATGAGACAGACACGACATTTCGACCTACCATTTACGACACTACCGAGATATCATGCAGCATGGTCGCACAGCCAAGTAGCGGGGATAACAATGTCAACACCGGGTGCGCATGAGAGTGTTTATCACACATCGGGACCGACAGCTCAAGGGTTAAGAGGACCAAACGGAGAAATTTTGCCCTCTTCAATGACGACAATAGCTACACACCTCGTACAAGCACCACGAGCGATGGTGTTGTACACATTCTCTAATGGAACATCAATTAGAATGATAGGACACTTGCGAGCTGCGCTGACGGCATCATTACCACCACAAAACGGAGGCGGTCAACACGCACTAAAGTTTGAAACGCTAGAATTTGACGTAGAAGCGTGCATAGAATCATTAGACAGATCGGCAATACAGTACAGAGCTGGAGATGATATACCGAAGCTGCCGGAGTGCGTGGTGAACGACTACGGGCTTCCAGTGAGCGTGATGAAGTGCTTGGAAATCGTAGAATCTGTGGTGCAGATGCAAGATGTAATGAATTTCAGTCTGAGGAATAACTGTGGACCAGCGGAGGCGTTGAAGGAAATAAACAAAATCAAAGATACCAATTTGAAGAAAAGAAAGCTTGAAGCTGGACAAAGCCCTTTATGAGATTATAAATTTTGTAGTTATAAATTTATATGTTGTATTCCTGCGATACACGCAAACGCTGACGCCGACGATCAACAGCACAATAGACTAAGATGGCGAGCGAGCTTAACCAGGAGATTGAATACGTTCCACCACCCTACTATAATGAACAAAACTACGGTATGTTGATAGTACCGCCGTTTCACGCGTTTCCCGTCTCACTCCAACAAAGCATACGAATACGATCCGAACGATATAAATATTGGACATTTATCGGTAAATGAGAATGTACAGCGAGCTCATTCACCAGCCTTGAACGGTTATACCAATCCAGACGCTGCGTCCATGTACTCGCAGAGCTCAGATCCACGTCTATCCCAGGGCGCTTTTCCCGCTTCGTTTAACCCCATGTTCGTAGCTAGGCCACCGGAGCCTGAGTCTGCTGCCGATGACGGCAGGTCTATAAGGTCTTTCGATACAGCTTCAGTGAATAACCAGTTGCCCGTCGCGAACGCACCAATGGTGCCAAACTTTTATGCAGGTGCTGCGCCTCAAATGATGCCTTACAGCGGCTATCCTCCCTTTTATTCAAATCCTGATAATGTTTATACCTCCCCTCATCCGCAGATGTACTCGTCGATACCACCTGGATACAACATTCCTCCCCCGCCACCAATGCAGACTAGCCAGAACAGGTCAAAGACGTCGTTGAGCAGTCTAAGGACTCCTACGCTACCTACGAGGCAGCCAAAAACTCAAGTTAAGAATGAAATGCCTTACAATCGGGCCTTTGTCGATGATTACAGGACTAGAGTTAAGGGCGATCCTGATCCAGAGGCTCAGTTTGCTTATGCGAGATATTTAATTACTGCTGCTAAAAAGATTTACACGGACGAATCTCCAGCAAACCCCAAATCTGCTCATAAATACAGAGACTCGTTACTCGCAGAGTCCATCAAGGTTACAAAAAAACTAGCGACTCAACTAAAGCCAGGTTATGTCGAGGCTCAGTTCTTTCTTGCAAATTGCTTGGGTTCGGGGTCTTTAGGTTTGCAGACAGATCAGCAGAAGGCATATGATCTATATATAACTGCCGCCAAGAGGAACCACGGACCATCGACATACAGAGCTGCTGTGTGTAATGAACTAGGTGTTGGTACTAAGAAGGATGTAGCAAGGAGCTGTGAACTATACAGAAAAGCTGCGACTCTGGGTGAGACTGCCGCAATGTACAAAATCGGTGTTATACTACTTAATGGGTTGTTGGGAGTGAATAGGAATGCAAAGGATGCTATTATTTGGTTCAACAGGGCTGCTCAGCAGGCTGACGAGGAAAACCCACACGCCTTGCATGAATTAGCTTTGTTATATGAACATCCAGTTGCTGGTGCTTTGGTGCAAGATGATAATGTGGCATTTGATCTGTTCAGTCAAGCTGCACAGTATGGCTATGCACCAAGTCAGTTCAAGCTGGGTACTGCGTATGAGTACGGTAACTTGACATGCCCCGTTGATCCAAGAAGGTCGATTGCGTGGTACACACGCGCTGCTGAAAAGGGCCATTCTGAAGCGGAGCTCGCGCTATCTGGTTGGTATTTGACGGGCTCTGAGGGTGTTCTCAAACAATCGGATGCTGAAGCTTTCCTTTGGGCCAGAAGAGCAGCCAATCAAGGACAAGCTAAGGCTGAGTATGCTGTTGGATACTACTCTGAAGTTGGCATTGGAGTGAAGCAGGACTTAGAGTTGGCTAAGAAGTGGTACTTGAGAGCTTCACAGAAAGGCAATCAAAGAGCGTCACAAAGAATAGCTGAACTGAAGAGATTAGGAAATCAACGCAAAAATGGTAATAGACCTACACGCCAGCAAGCTAGAGATGAAGGATGCATAATAACGTAATACAAGTTTCTTTACAATCATCGCAATACAAGTACAAGTACATTCAACATTAATACTCACATAGTCACTACATGACTTCATCACAATCATCATAGTCATTATTAAGCTAAGCTCAGCTCAGCTGCTCGTCATTCGTTTTTGCTTCTTGGATAACATTTCTCATAGAGTGTTTGTACAACTATAAGTCATTCATAAAAGATGTTCAAACCTTCTCAGCAGCCCAGACGCCAAACTTGCAAGCAGAACCTATAGCAGCGCTGAGGAGGGCGTGTGCTGGAGCCTGCTGTGCGCCGTGGTCAACGGCGGTGTCTAGGTGTTCGAGCTCATCATCTCTGAACTGCTCACACGTCTCCCTAAGCTTGACAAGATCTGGATGGAGATGCTCGAACTTTTTGAGCTGAATAATTTGACTGTGCGAGTGATTATGAGTTGTGATATCATCGACTGGCAGGCACACTCACTCATCATAGTGCTCACCGATAACAGTCTCAACAGCCTCCGTGCAAGCCATAGCAGACTCCTTTCCCATGGCCGTTGTAGACGCGCCCATAAACCAACCAGCAGCAACCCAAACAGGTGACAACATGGTCGGCCGCACCTGGAAATTCTCGAGAAGCTGGTTGAATGTTTTCAAGTGATGTTTCTCCTGATCCCACATGTTTTGTACTAGCTCAATTTCGCCTGCTCGCTCTACGCCGCCCTTCTTGGTGGCGTACATCTGCCCTGCATAGATCCAATTCGCACCGAGCTCGCCAGCGTGGTCGACGCGTATCAATCTGTCTATAACGTCTCTTTGAGAGGCAGATAAATTAATATTTTTGTACGTATTCAATAGCCTCAGCGAGCTTCTTAGCATTGTGCAGTGAGGATGGTACGGAAGAGAGACTCGATAAAGAATAAAGTGAAGGAAGTTTTTAGCCCGTCTCCAACGCAAGAGCCAGTGGAGCACGCTGTAGACGACTCGCTCGAAGATGACTTATTTGCACAGCTCGATGCGAAGGAAGCTGAGCAGACATCGAATACGCCTTCTAAGACGCCTTCTCAGACGCACTCGATGAGGGAAGTTGAGGCTGAGGCTGAGGCTGAGCAGAAGAAGTCCCGCAAAGCCAGACGTGAAGTGGGTTTTTATGGCGTAACGAGCCATACAAACTGACTCTAGTTAAGGAGAAGCGTCTACTTGAAGAGGAATCTATTAGGCAGGCTGCTTTCGCAGAAGCTAACCTCCCTGAGAATGAGAAATTGGCTAAGGAAGCTACCGAGGAGGAGAAAATTATCATCGATATCTGCAACAAACACGCTCGGAAGATGCACGAAATCTCACCAGATGGTCACTGTCTCTATGCCGCTATCGCTGATCAGGTCACCTGCGATAGTTTGCTCGAGTATTCTCCGCAGTTTCAGGTGGGCGTGGTGTTGATGTTGTTGGAACACTGTCTGACATACACATACAGGCTACTTACCAGGATATGAGGAGTACAGCCGCAAATTACCTCAGAGAACACGCAGATGACTTTATGCCTTTCCTTACAACTGCTAATCTTACACCCGCTGATGGAGCTGACTCAGATGGTCATGAGGCTGAAGGTACACCGATGGATATTGCGCAGTTTAACAAGTATTGCGAGATTGTAGAGAATACCGGTGAATGGGGTGGTCATATTGAGGTTCGTTGCCTTGTCTTCTCACCAGTATATTCGCAACTTACAAAATTTGCAAAGCTACTCGCTATCAGTAGAGCTATCAACAAACCTATACACGTCGTACAGCGGTCACATCACAATGTCATCCTCATCGGTGGTCGTGAGGGTGAATTCGAGCACAATCCAGAAGGCGTAGATGGTATTTGGCTGAGTTTCCACACGCGTATGTATGGATTAGGAGAGGTGGGTAAAGCCTGTTTGATATGTGCCTGCTAACGTCAATGTGCCCGTCATGCAGCATTACAACTCGTTGAGAAGGAAAGAAGACACAACGTCTTAGCTCGCAGCAGTATTGCTGTAAGATGCGGCTAATTGGCAATCGCTAATCGCCAACATTAGCGGAATGAGAATGATACTTGTAAATAGCCTCGATAAACGACATCGTGTACTCAAGCTGTCCTGGATTTACCACAATTCAGGCATACGGATCGTAAGCACTGTGTGTTTTGCTAGCAGATATTTCGCTCGCCCGCTATCTCCTCCCATCTCCCTTGCACCAGTTCTGCCACCATCATCGGCAACGAATAGCGATGAAGAGAAATATCCCGAACGAGCAGTACGGATATCAGCGCAAGTGGGTTACCTGTGTTGCAGACGTCGTGTGCACTGGCTGATAAACTACATTCGCAGACATCCGCGCTACGCTTCCCAGGATCAGCATGGAAGGCGAGTAGATATGGTGACGACAGCAGATAGAACTGACGTAGACCGTGCAGTGGCTTCACAGAAGGCTACTCGCACCAATCACCGCCAGCTGCAAGGCCACAAGAAGGCTACCGTAGTCCTGATCATACCATGTATAAAAGACATAAAGCCAGTCAGAATCACAAGGACAATTATAGATGGCAGAAAGACTACGAGGATTACCATCGTAGCGGCAGAAACATTGACTATGGCAAAAGCTATGGCAAGAACCACAGCAGCTATAGCAACAGGTATAACGGAAACAACATGAATGATCAGAAGAATCTTAACGACTATGCTAACGCCATGAATCCTAACAATAAGTACAACCCGAGTAGCCCGAGGAAAAACCAATCTAAGAATAAGACTAAAAAGAAGAAGCCCAATAATAACAACAGCAACAACATACCACCGCAGAGTCGAAACTTAACGCCCAGCAGTCACATTGATAGACCAGACTTTGAGCACAGGAGCATGCAGCCATTTGATGGCGATCCAATCGATAGGCACATCGATAATGTGATGCGAGGGGCTGGTGGAGGTGATAGAAGGTCCTCCTACGGCTCTTTTTCTCATTCAAAGTACTCTCACAATGGACCCCAGCCTTCGACAAGCAGGGAAATTTTACACCCTCCAACCAAGGGGACAGTGATAGAAGGAGGTAAGCATAATGACATCTTTGAATTCCGCTCTGATCGCTTCTGCAGCTAGAAATCGTTGGGTAGAGAATCAGCTCAAAGCCCAAGCTCAAACGCAGTCAGAAACACACCAGCAACCTCCCTCATCAAAGCCTCTATATCCAATACCGCCACCGCCATTGCCAAGTAAGCCACCTCCACCGCCAAAAGCTAGAAATCTGTCTCCGAAGAATCTTCCCTCTCCCAAGGAAGAAGACGTAGGCCCTATAGTACTTGGCTGGCATAATTTACCACGCTTCGACTTAAAGGAAGTCGATGAAAGCGCGTTCCAAGTGCCTGATAACATCACTGACTTCTACGACCGTCTGTGCCAAGTCGGTGAAGGCACGTACGGCAAGGTGTACAAAGCGAGGAACAAGGTGTCGAAGCTACACGTAGCTCTTAAAAGAATCAGGATGGAACAGGAGAGGGACGGTTTCCCAGTCACTGCTTTGAGAGAAATCAAGCTGCTGCAGCAGTCACATCATGACAACATTGTTAGGTTGCACGAGATGCTAGTGTCAAATGGTATGTACTGGTTTGACTCTTCTGTCCCGGTTGACGCTCTGCACAGGCTCAGTCTATATGGTGTTTGAGTACATGGAGAATGACCTCACAGGCTTGCTGCAGCATGGCCCACATCTCTTCCAATTGCAGCACAAAAAGTCGCTCTGCCAGCAAATGCTGGCTGGCTTGTCTTATCTCCATTACCGGGGAATCTTGCACAGGGACATGAAAGGCTCGAATATCCTGATATCGAACAAAGGTGTACTCAAGTTGGCCGACTTTGGTCTCGCTAGATTCTTTCACAAGCACCGCAAGGCGGACTACACCAACAGAGTGATAACTATCTGGTACAGGCCGCCTGAATTACTGCTTGGTGCTACGAGCTATGGTCCGGAAGTCGATATGTGGAGTGCTGGGTGCATAATGCTCGAGATCTACACCACGAAACCCGTCTTCCAAGGTGATAACGAGCTACACCAGCTAGAGATTGTATTCAAAATGCTGGGCGCACCATCTCATCAGGACTGGCCAGGGTTTTCCAGCCTCCCGTGGTACGAATTGGTGCGACCAACAGGCAAGCACTCGTCTGAGCGGTTCAGGGAGACCTTCAAGAGATGGCTGACACCAGCAGGCTTAGAGCTCGCCCAAGCACTGCTGACATTTAATCCGCAGAAGAGGCTGTCGGCGAAAGATGCTCTGCAGCTGCCATTCTTCAAGTCGGAGGAACCGCTTCCAGAGCTCCCCAGCCATCTCGGCGAACTTCAAGGCGAGTGGCATGAGTTTGAGGCCAAGAGAGAGAAAGCACAGGCTAGACTGAAAGCTAAAGAGATGGAGAGCAAGGAGGGAACTGAAGGAGAGACAGCTAGAGAAAATAGTGCATAGTGTTTAAATTATGATGTAAATTACATGAAACGTTTATGATACTGTCTTCTTTACTTTGTCGAGCATGGTTTCCATCCTTGCGCCCATTTTTGGCTGATTGTTGTGGTTTTTCGAGTGCTGGTCTCTCCTTCTCTGGCGATGTGACGGTGCTTCTTTCTTTTGAGGCTGAGTTTGTGGCTGTGGTTGCTTTTGCTGAGGGTTATCGCTTCGCTTTATCGATCCTTCCGGCTTATCCCTTTCGCTCCTTCTCGCCTTCTTGGGTATCTCAGGCAGCTGTTGGGCTGGTTGGCCCTCCTTTTTCAGCATGTTGGCATACTCCTTCTTCACTTTGGCTTTCTGAATCAGCTGCTCTTTGATCTTGGAAGCTGTAGGTGGTGTTAGAGTGTCTGGATCGTAGAGCTCAATCGCTCTCAACCCACCTTTGCCTGTATACGCTCCCTTGCCTGCCCTTCTGGCTACCGAGAATCCCTTTCTGTCCTGCATTGGTTGGCCTTTGCTCTTCGTTTCCACCATGGCCGCTGCGATAAGAGAAGGCATTTGTCGAATAGTTGCTAGATGTAGCACTGTTGCATTATGTGCTGCCATTATCATCGATTTATTCAGCCATTCCCCATCTTTGTTGTTGCCTCTCAGTTGTAAATTGCTGTGTAGTGGATTATTCAAAGACATTCATACACAATTTAAGTCCATTAATGAGTGCTTTCATATATTAATTGAGCTATTCCTCCCGTTGCACTCAGAAAAAGGTCAAACTGTGACTTGTCTCTACATATCTGATGACTTCAAATATGTTTATGGGATTACAGGGCAGTTTGAAAAGTTGATTAAGTATTATCGGATACTTAAAACTGTGTAAACCATTCGAAAGAATTGGTTTTGCTCGAGTCACCCCGCAAATGACCAAGTTATTGAGAAGATGAACGTAGAGATACCATATGCTGACAATTTGAACAAACTAGCAACACTTGCATTTTAACATCATTTTCAGCATTCCGAATACATCCCCATATCAACCACCCGCTCAATATCAATCGAGTTGAATGTTATTGCTACCACCTATCTCATCTCCCATAGTGATTTACAAGTTTTGGTGATCTCCAAATAAAAAAGCTTGTCATATAGTTTTGAATGAGCCCTCTATGACATACCAGAATTGCTTCACCAAGCCTCCATTTGCACCCTGTAGGCTGTTCAGAAGTTGTGATCCGACATCGCTCTGTAGCACGGTCTAGGATAGAAATTTCGGATTTGACGCGCTTCATCAACAAAAAGTGACAATTCTAGCTGATTGAGACTGTAAGCACCCGAAATTCCAAGTATTCGGCCCTGTATACGTGAAAAACAGTTTAAGCTTAATGGCGTCTACAGGACTCAGAACTATGTCGAGAAAAAAGATATTGCTATTCCGCATCACTTCACTTTTGGAAGAGGAGATTTAGGTTAAGAAAAGGGGTGTATCAGCCCAGCTCTGAAATCGCGACTTTGGCTTCAGCTGGTGCATTTCGAGATTTCACTTAATGGGGGTGAAGGGGTGATTTAGACCGCATGTGAATCTTAGAATGCAGGATAATAGAAATTTCAAATTCAAAACGCTTAGTTGTTACTCAATCACTACGCAAGGAGGCCATCATTGCCAGATTTGACATCGTCACGCTAATATGACGTACTTGAGGTGATCATGATCTATACGCAATTTGGTGTGAATAAATAGGAAATCCAGCTGAGTTACTTTATAATGTGGGGTTCTGTCGCTTGTTAACGGGGGCTCTTGGAAATTGTGTGAGATTTTCTTATGGGTGTGAGATGCTGAGCTGAACCCTCTCTGATGCTGCAAAGAAAAGGGGACATAGCATGCGAAGAGGTATAGCTTATGTGGCAATGTTGCAAACAGTCGACAAATTCATATATGGACTTGGCTTCGATGGAATGCTACATCACGTGAAGATTTGCAGAGCGCGGCGAGCGGCGAAGAAGTGGAAAAGTACAGCAGCACAAGACGGTAACGAGAATCGATTCTCTACAGCAATTTTAGTTTCTGTTTAGAATTTTTATCTGCTTCCCCGATTTTAAGTTTTTTGGTGCGTGTCTCCTCACACACGCAATTATAAAAGACTGCGCAGATGCATCATGGTTCGTTATCCTCTCTGGCCTTTTGGCTTAGATCAAGTGTAGTATCTGTTCTTCCAAGTTCGAACAACTTGGATCGCATAACTTATGCGACAAACGTTCGATCTAATTTTTATCCGCGTCCAGTCGCCCTCACTGCTTGCATAGGATGGCTGGAAGATGGCCTTGCGTTGCACTACCGCATGTGCCGTCAGCGCTCTCTTGCTATCTCTATAATCTTCACATATTTTGCCATGTCTCTGTTGCTTTTAGCAGTGTTGACTTGATGAACTGTGTGGCGATGTAGAAGATTTGCCGCTATGTATTATACCCGATATACACGTTTTGTTTATTTCTTTAATGCTTACAGTGATCAAGCACACTTGCTTAAGTGGTCGGCGCTACTCGACTCTGGTGAAGCCACAGTCAACAGTACGTTCATACCGCTTCTTTTAACCGCCTCACACTCCCGCAGCAGACTGAAGCTCTGGCTTATGTCTCGCATTCTACAGATCCGTGGTTTAATCTCGCATTTGAAGACTGGTAAGAAGCCATCGGAGACGAAGGCTAGCACACTGACGGACAAGACAGGTTATTCAGAACATCCAGCAAACCTTCACATGTGCTCTATTTGTATAAAAACTCACCGTCTGTCATTATTGGGCGTAATCAGGTGCGTGTGAAGACCGTGAAGACTGTTAGTTGCACTTTTTGACACAAACAGAATCAATGGAAAGAAATTGATCTCAAGACGTTGAATAGACTCAATATCCCATTCGTCAGACGGCGAAGTGGCGGCGGTACAGTCTTCCATGTACGTAGGTCTTTGAAGGGTGATTTAGTGCTTACGCAAGTCGCAGGATTTGGGAAACACCAACTACAGTGTAATGATGCCTCAATCGGTATTCAATCGGAGAGATAACGCTCAGTTGGTGGCTAGTGCTCTCAATGAGCTCAGCGTACCAGCAGTCGTCAACGAGCGCAATGATATCGTTGTAGACGGCTACAAGGTATCTGGATCTGCATTCAAATTGACCAGTTCGCGCGCTTACCATCATGGAACAATGTTGCTGGATTCCAACATCAAAACACTTTCACAAGCGCTCAAGAACACAAACGTGAGTCTCATTCAATGCTATAATGTACGTGCTAAATTAACTCAGCAATCAATGGTCACCAAAGGTGTATCATCTGTTAGATCGCCGGTGAAGAACATAATCGAATGGCAGCCACACATTACGCACGACACATTCGTCGCAGCGGTTATAAAAAAGTTCGAAGAGCATCACAAGGTTGACAAGAAGATTATTGTAGGTAGACCGCCCTCCAAGTCACGACTATTGACAATGTTTTAGGTGTCGGACATTGACGAGAACATTTTGAAAGAAGATGGCGGTAACCAGATACAGAAGCTGAAAGATGAGCTTCAGGTGGGTTCAGTGTATGTAAGTTATGCAAAAGCGTTAACCTCTTGACAGGAGTGGGATTGGCACTACGGACAGACACCGGAGTTCACCAACACGCTCTCAACGATAATTGAAGGAACTGAAATTGTCGGTACTGTTTTTTGAAAGCTTTTCATTCTAATAAGTCTCAAAGACAGCGGAAATTACGGCAAAGCAAGGCAAAATCATTAAGATGAATGTGAGCGGTTTCTCAGAGGACGTTGGAAAGCAATTCATCGGGAAGAAGTACGCATTTATACAAGTAGAGGATATAGCAGCTTCCAGTGAGATGGATAGAAGTGTTGTAGAATGGCTGATTGAATGCATGTAAAGAGGAGAATAAATGTCAGAATCAGAGAAAGAAACAGATTAGAGATAACCATTTACTGCAAATCTCCAATTCTAATTATTATAGCCTTGCTAAAGCACTCACAACGACGTGGATAGGCGTCAGAGGTGAGGAATAATGAAGGCATGTAAAGAAACACACGCAGCTTTAAACAGAAACAAAGAAATACATCAAATGCATCAGATACTTACAAAAGATGTTTCCTGCGTGTGAAGCTACCGATCAACCAAGACGACCACTAGACAAATGCACGGGAATTGCTATAGCACAAAAGCATAGCGAATATTGCAAACTTTTATGCTTATTATCCGCAATATATTGTGCTGGTTTTCAAGGAAGAAAATAACATAAATCTTGCGCGTGATGAATTTTTAAAAAATGGCGTGCCCAGCTCAGAGCTCAGAGGAGAAGAGTTTTCTAGCGGACCGCCATTAGCCTCAAAAATGAAATTCAGCAGAGATGTTTCTTCAAGTCGCAGGGTAAACCGCAAGGCTCACTTTGCCGCTCCATCTTCAGAGCGTCGCAAATTGATGGCTTCTTCTCTCAACAAGGAACTTCGTAAGGAGCACAACATCCGCTCATTGCCTATCCGTAGAGACGACGAGGTTCTCATCGTCAGAGGCTCTAACAAGGGTAAGGAAGGCAAGGTTGTCCAAGTTCAAAGAAACAAGTTCGCCATCTTCGTTGACAGAGTTCACCGCGAGAAGGCAAACGGTCAAACCTCTCCAACTCCAATTCACCCATCAAGCGTCGTCATTACCAACTTGAAGCTCGACAAGGGACGTATGGCTACTATTGAGAGAAAGTCCGTTGCAAAGAAGGCTGCTCTTGAGGCTCGTAACCAAACCAAGGATGTTAACATGTCTAACGCCGTACGTTTCTTTCCTCCCCTTTGACTTTAAATTCTTACTCACTTTCCTCAGTAAATTTTATAAGTTACGCTGCAAATTTACTTTGTCATGTATTGAAGGAACATGCACGAATACTAGGGCTTAATTTTTGGATTGGTTTTGGTGACTCGTTTTATGGGTTTTTAAGCCATTAGACGTATTCACCGTTGAGTAGATTTTATGGCTATCACGTCGATTGGGGTGGGGTGACTTAAGGGCATTTGATGAAAAGCGGAAGCTTAGCAGATACTGGAATCAGACAGGTTTTCTCTAGCTTAAGTGCATCAGCTACATAGGTCAGACTGCATCGCCCGTCTCCCACTGACAACAGTAAATTCTTAAGCCATCTTGAGTGCCTTTGTGATTCGACTGTTGTTCTATGAACAATCTGAGATATTGGAAATGCAGTACTTTAAACGAAATATTAGCTTGTCAAATGTTTAGCACCCTTATCACCTCATTCAATGATTTAAATGGCAATGCATATCCCGGCTTAACACTTGCTGCCTTGTTGGATAGTCGCAATACCACTTTATCACTTGTTGAACCATATCAATCATCGAAAAATGTCCGAAAACAACCAGAGAGAGGCTGTGGTACGTCTTAATGGAGTATCACTACCTATACATCTGACAAGCGTACAAGTTCCCAACCAGAATGGTACTAAACGTCATGAATCACGTTGTTGATTAGCTGACGAGAAACGCAGGCTTTAACCAATACCAAGAACAGACTAAAGGGAGCACAAACTGGTCACTCACTTCTCGCTAAAAAGAGAGACGCTCTCATGATTCGATTTAGAGCGATTCTCAAGAAAGTCGAAGAGGTTGGCATTATATTGTACACGAGCAGAGCTAGGTTGACAAAATCCAGGCTAAACTTAAGATGGGTAAAGTTATGCAAGTTGCAGCATTTTCATTAGCAGAAGTTAACTATGTCGCTGGAGATATATCTTATCAAGTACAAGAGAGTGCCAAGAGACCGCAATTGACAGTGAAAGCTAAGCAGGAGAATGTTTCTGGTGTAACATTACCAGGTTTTGAAATAGAGCGTGAACAATCAAACGAATTCTCACTTACTGGACTGGGAAGAGGTGGTCAGAAGATACAGAAGTGCAAAGAGACGTACGCTAAAGCTATTGAAACGCTTGTGGAATTGGCATCGCTGCAGGTATTTCATAAATACTCAAGCAGGTACTCTATTGACATTAATTCAGACTGCTTTCATGATACTTGATGATGTTATCAGAGTCACAAATAGGCGTGTCAATGCGATAGAACACGTTGTACTTCCAAAACTTGAGAATACAATCAAATATATCAACTCAGAGCTTGATGAAATGGACAGAGAGGAATTCTTTAGGCTCAAGAAGATTCAATCCAAGAAGAAGAAGGGTGGAGACTCAGAGCAAGATACCATCGACCAAGGAGAATACACGCAAGACCAGGCAGGCGGTGCAGACATATTAGATCAAGGAAAAGATGAGGATGTCATTTTCTAGTATTGTATCTTCTGTTTGATAGCACTCATGGACATTTTCTTGAACATTTCCAGAATCTGTCCAAACGATACAGCAAAGGTTACAGAGGCTTCCAGGAATCTAGCCGATAGTCTTCGTACTTGTTGGTCTCAGCTATTCAGCCCGAGCTAGCTGACTGATATGACCCAGCTGAGCGGAGAGATCAGTTAAGCTGTGTGGAAGATATACTTGAAGCACTCAATCTACAATTCAAGCAGACGACTGCTATCGACGACGATATCTCCCAGCTCGAGAGACTGACACAGCTGTACAGGGTAACAGCTAACATCTGTCTCGATAGCAGTGAGTTGCTAGCGAAATGCGTCATATTTAGAATACTGATAGTGTTTTTGTTCCCAGACACCAACAGACAAAAGTTAATCGATGCCGATGTTGATATCTCCGCTTTGGGGGTACTCAAATCACTCACACCCCAACAAATCTCGAGTCAGCCATACGCATTCATGCTTAGGGCTGCTTTTGGCACTCTAATAAATCTCAGCCAAGACTACTGTAAGGGCGTAATCGCTTTACATGTTCTCATCTGATAGGTACACAGCTCCTTCCCAAGAACGCCTTAACAACCACGACACTCTGCCGATAGTGGTCAAATTTCTCAACAGACGCAATATTCAAGCGAATGACTCTGCTACAGCTGTTACCCATTCTTATATTTATGAGTGGGGATGGCGAATCGTTAACAATCTACTATCGACTGGTGAGTTTGGGATGCGCATTCAAACATAAGCTCATCTTTAAGAAGAAAATGCTAAAATTGAGCCTGGAAGCACTGAGGTAGATGCTCTATGTTCTTGGGTGGAAGCATTTTACAGCCAATCAATTGAAGAGTGAGTATCTAGTTGGGTGAGAGCTTTTTTGACACTTAGCAGTGAATATGCTGGATTAGAAGATGAAGATGAGTTGCAAGCAGTATATGAGGAAGACTTATCTTCTTTGGAGAGTGCAACGCTGCTATTAGAAACATTCGCGTTCGATTCTGAGGCCGCACGTCTTTTACTTGCTCAAGAAGAGAAACTTGATGTTCTGTTGTCTTTTGCAGAGACTCGTGAGCTTCCAAGAGCATTAGCAGCTAGTGCAGATCAGAGCTCAGTGGAGGAGTGGTCTAAAATTTATGAGGAGTGCAAGGCTGCTGTTGGGAAATGTGTTGTCGGTATTGCTAGTTAGTTCGCATTTCTAGCTACTGCCTCTTTCGTCGTCTAACGCACATCGCAGGTGAAGATCAGCTGATGAGCTTCTTCTTTGACAACGGCAGAGCACCGTTTGTGCAAAGGATGCTGAGATGGTTGGAAAGCGATTTGCAGAGACTCAACATTAGTGGTAGTGAGTTTTTATCAAGTACTAAATGCTTTGCTGACAATAGTAGCTTTGGCTATTGGAAACTTGGCAAGATCTGGTAAGTGCGTGGACAAATTCAGTGTCCAAACTAACAGCCGACCAGAGGAGAATTCTATCATAGCTGTGAAACAATTCAAGATTATACCACGCCTCGTACAATTGCTCCGAGACGATGATGTGAAGGTATCTCATGCTTCCATGTGTCTACTGAAGAATCTATCGCTGCCTGCGTCTAACAAGGACGAAATTGGTGATAGTGGGGCAATGGAAGCAGCTCAAAAGTTTCTATCGCTCAGCTTTTCGCACGTACAGCCTCTTCAATTTGCGACCGTTGGCTTTTATAAGCACTTGTGTACGCAACAGTGTGAGTTATCGTTACTGAATGCGTATAGGCTGTCTAATGTGATTCAGTTTGTAACACACTCACAATTGTGAATCACGAACCGTCTATACTCGACTCAGTGCTTGTTCTGATCAGCAAAAGTGATGACGCAGGTGTAAAGAGTGAAGGAACACGTATATTGGTGCATGGAATCAAATCTTGTTGGATTTCTGCAGGCGAAAAGGCTCAATATGCCAGATCAAAGTTCACGAGCCATCCTGTTGCAAAAGCTTTAGTGGAGTTGTTGTGCAATTACCGTAGATACCAGATCTGTAAGTGTCGTGTGTGTCTAGTTCACATCAGCTAACTCTCAATAGTGATCAACGAGGCCGTCATGGGTCTCACTCTGCTTGCATCAGAACGTAAAGGTGCTGACTACATACTCGCAGAGACTTCCAAGCTAGCACCAGCTATCAAACAAGTATTGGAGGATGAGAAAGAGATCAATAAGAAGGTCAAGCTCAACGTCTGTATTCTCTACTCTAATCTAGTCCTGAAACAGACTCAGGAAAATTCAAACGCTAAGCAGCGTGAGTGCGGTGATACATTTCTAAATAATATGACTCACTGTAATACAGTCAAAGGCCTTCTCGAACAAGACATAAAGAGTTTGTGTGACGATAGCGATAACGAGTTATCCAAGACTGCTTCAACGGTATTGTCAGCTACGACTTGGAGCTGATGTGGCTAAAATAATTAATTTACTTTAAGAGTATTATTGTTTATCTAAATGCATTTGCTGACTGCCTTCACAAATACAATCATGTTCTCACTGTTAAAAAGATCAGCAGGATTATCTAATAACATTAGAACATTCTCATCAACTAGATTCAATAAGGAAACAGCTGGTGCACTAACTTCTGTTCTATCAGATACTGATGCCTTGCAAATACAATCAATTGGAAAATCAGGCTTAACGTTTAGTGATGGCAAAGTATGCAAAGGACCTGTGATAGTCGTTGATAATAAGATATTTTTGTGGAAAGTGCCTACGCCTACCATGCCATTCAACTGGGGTGACGCTATACCCAAGGAAGCGTTCAAGATGTTTGAAACGTTGACACCTAGACCAGGTGGGTTTAGAGCTTGTAAAAAGACCATTCTAACTCAATCATTCAGAAATATTGCTTCTTGGTACTGGAAAGAGCATGCTCCCACCACCACCAGCTTACACCAAATATCTCAATAGTTTGGGTATACAGGTGGATATTATAGATACTGTGGGTTATATTTGGCACTAGAATGTGATTTTGCTGACGTGCAACACAAGAAAAACGCTTGCTCTACATACAACGTTCTCGTGGAGGAGGATAGAAGTGTGGCAGCAGCATTGTTCCCGATAGATGGCTATGAGTGGACGAAGAAATAGCTGGAAAGTATTAAAGCAATTACTAGCATCCCCTTAACAAATATTTAGTGACTACAATATGATCAGATAGTGTTTAGATGACGTCTACGCTATATTAATTACTTGCATTGCGGTTAATTGAGTGCATCCAGGAAATTTCCATTGAAAGTCTTATCAGAAAGCCTCTCCATAACAGACTCACGCGCTCTTTGTCTCACTTGTATTGCATCATGCTCACTTAGATTGAAAATATCGTTCATTCGCTCAGAGAACTCCTTCACTTCACGCGCATGATAACCTTTTGGGTGTGAGAGATTATATCAGCGGTAGGAGAATTACCCACCAGTCTTTGATCCCTTGTAGTCTACGATAATGTCGAGCAATGGGCCGGCCGAGGCATGAGCAAGTGGTATCAGTCCAGCAGCCTGGAGAGGATTGTTAGTATATGCTCAGTATGAATTATTGCTATAGTTACCATATATTCTACTACATTTATACCGAAATGCTCGTCAACCATTGTATTGATACCGATGCTTGCAGTTGATAGACTATGCAGCAGCACTTTAAAGGAAGCATTCACGATGAATTCAGTGCTAGACTGTTTGGTATTAGAAAAGTAAAGCATCGCTGGTTGTGATAGTGGACCTACATCTACACCCAAAGACTTAGCTAGCGACTTTAGATGTTCTACTCTATTCAAGTCATCCTGATTACGTGCACTTCCAAGTAAAATCAGTTTAGAGTCTTTGTGGTTTGTATGTGAGTCTCGCAATTCTTTGAATGCCTTTATTTGAGTACTGTGAGCTTTCTCAGGCCTATATGTGGTTAGTGGTGGGACTTCCAATGTTTATACATGACGTACCTGAATTGCGCAACGCATAAAATACTTTTCCGCCTTCCCTCTAACGAAAAATCCCTCAAAGCGACCGTATCACAAGGCGGATAGACGACTTTGACCTCACGGTTGATTAGATTGCGAATGTGATTACCAGTCCAGCTTGAATTGGCCATATTGACATCACAAGTTTTAAGGCAGAATGAGTAAGCACTAATGAGAGCGTGATAGTATCTGCTTGTGTTAGTCTGAGCTGATGCAAAGTAGCGCATCTCACATAAGCTTCCCCCGACTTAAAATATTTGAGGAGGTGATAGTTGACGAGTTTGTGATATCATTATGGCGCTTTTCTACTCTGGAGACCATGTCTGAGCTGGTGGAACTGGTCAATGCCATGCAGGAGACATACAAAGAACTCACGATATCGTTGGATAATGAGTATAGGCAACGATACGTGCCCTTGATTTAACTAGCCTAACAATTGGGTATGTGAAAGCGTAACCCATAGTATCTAATGCAAATTTTGAGCTTGAAATTAATGTGAAGGGGTATACCAACCTATGAAGACAGAGAAATCATTTTTACGATATAGAGCCTCGATAATCAATATAGTACTGCCTATCGCTTGGCCCAGTAAGGTGAAATAAGGCCAGGACTTATCATCTACGAGGAAACGACAGCGAAGTCTGACGAAATGAATCGTCTGTGGGTTTAAATCTATTGACATTTTGGTCTGATTGAATAATTGAATACAAGTTTTATGCTCAACGGTGCCCAACTCACTTTGGCATTGTTTATAAGCGTTTGCTTCGAATCAGAGTCACCGGTGTAAACGAGTACATGAATGTTGGGAGTGAGTGATTGTATACCTTGTATAGCAGTCCAAAGAACTCGCTCACCGCCACCGCCTGCGTTGCTGAGGTATGGGTTCAGCTATCGGATCCACCGCCAATGCACACGACAAACCAATAAGGATGGAAGAATGCAATATTGCTGCCGATGTTTCGGCTTCTTTTAAAGATGAAAATTGAGAGAATAATTACTGAAATTGAAGCCGTTATCAGCAGCATAATGTTGATTGATTACTATCAACATGTCAAATCGCAGGGATGTTGGCAAAATAGCAGTTGATCGTTAGTGCGCTTATAATATCAAGTGAAATATTTAATTTTAATCCAGTTATGGCTTTCGCTGCTGGACAAGTAAGCCTTCAATCCCAACGCCTTTAAATGGCTTACGTTTATAGGCTGTAATATTCTATACGCTTAGAGTGGGTGGCGTGCATCCGTATGATCAGTTTTCTGAACAATACCAGTACCTTCTTAACTCAAACGATCCACTCAAATCTAAGCGTCAAGGCACCAAGAGTAAATCAACTCAGATTCTTGAAAGATTAGGCAGAAATAACGTTACTCTGAATGAATATGAAGGTGTGTATCGATTCACCTGTAAAGAATCATTCTCACCTCCCTCTAGAGGTCATCGCATGCGAGATCGTACTCCCAGAAGAGATCAGCACCACATTCGACGATATTGGTGGATTACAGCATATCGTTTCAAACCTCAAAGAAAACGTCATCTACCCACTCAAATTACCTGGCTTATTCACCGGTGGCTCTAAGAATCTATTAAGTCCTCCAAGAGGCGTTCTTCTTTATGGTCCTCCTGGTTGCGGTAAGACTATGCTGGCAAAAGCTCTTGCTAGAGAGTCGAACGCTACCTTTATCAATATGCACGTTTCCACTCTGACTGATAAATGGTTCGGAGAATCTAACAAACTTGTCGCTGCTTTGTTCTCTCTCGCAAAGAAATGTCAACCTTCAATCATTTTCATCGATGAGATAGACAGTTTCCTCCGTGAACGCGGTAAAGGCGATCATGAGGTTACAAACATGATGAAAGCTGAGTTCATGACGTGAGTTTGGTGTACCACTGCATAACTAATCTAATTCACCAACCTCAGCTTCTGGGATGGGCTTTCTAGTGAAGCAAATGATAGAATACTCGTTCTTGGCGCTACCAACCGCCCAAATGACATTGATCAAGCGATTCTCAGGCGTATGCCTAAACGCTACCCTGTCAAAGTTCCAAATAATGATCAGAGAAAGAACATATTAAGTTTGGTGTGTTTGATTTTGACTTTGAAACTCACTCACATTCTTCAGATCCTCAAAGACTGCGCAATCAGCTCAAACTTTGACATCAATCAGCTAGTAGATATTACTACTGGACTGACAGGCTCAGATTTACATGAGCTATGCAGAAACGCAGCCATGATACCAATGAGAGAGTTGATGAGAAAGCATGATCCTAGCACACTAGAACAGGACATTGAAGTGGGTCTAAAAATTTTCTTTCTAGACCATTAGCTAATCTTGACCAACAGAACATTAAACCAAGACAATTAAATATTGCAGATTTCACTACAGCATCAATGGAGAACGAAGACGACATGCCAGTGTACGATCCAAGTATAGACGGCAGGATAAGACAGATTAGTGATTCTTTAGGAGGCTTAGATTAATACACAGATTAGACTAATTTATACACCCAGCACTCTTCAAACAAGAATTTTGTAGTAATATCTGCATGAATGTACACCCAAATAATAAAATATCCCGCTTAACGGTTGGACTTGGCAACACGCTCAAGTTCATCCTTCTTCTTGATGGCGTATGAGTTAGATGAACCCTTTGAAGCGTTGATGAGCTCGTCAGCAAGACATTCAGAGACACTCTTGACGTTACGGAAAGCAGATTCACGGACACCGATGGTGAGCAAAGCAATAGCTTGGTTGACACGACGGAGTGGTGAAACATCAACAGCTTGGCGACGAACGGTACCTTGGGAACCAATTCTGGTTGAGTCTTCACGTGGACCAGTGTTGACAACAGCGTCAACGATGGTTTGTAATGGGTTTTGGTCGGTGAGCAAGTGAATGATCTCGCAAGCGTGTTGAACAATACGGACGGCCAATTGCTTCTTACCGTTGTTACGGCCGTTCATCATCAAAGAGTTGACGAGACGCTCAACGATTGGCATTTGAGCCTTCTTGAATTGCTTGTTGGCGTAACGACCAGCCGTGTGTGGGAGGTAGACTGGGTGACGGACTTGAATGTAGTCGGTAAGTGAGATGTCCTTGACTTCGACGCTATTGCACGGTTAGATAAATTTGACTAAAGAGTAAAGACCGACTCTTGGGCGTCCCACTTGCCGAAGAGCTTGACACCGGCAAGACCACCTTCTGGTGGAGCAGTAGCAGTGATCTAAGCTTTGTAAGAAACGTCTTCTCCAGCTACTAAACCACTTACTTCACTTGGGAGAGTCTTGACTGGGGCCATTTCTACAATCTAGAGGGGCGCAAGGCATTCGTTAGAATAGTATGCGGACTCCCGTACAATAGACATACTCAGGTGTACGCTATGCTTTATTAGCAGATATTTTGGTGTAGCCGCAAAACTCACAGTCCTCGCTAGGAGCAAGAAGGGTTGATAAAATTTCAAGGTGAAAAAGGCCTGGAAAAATTTATAAAAGTACAAAATGAATCTTAAATGGCTCTTTAGATTTGTTGAAGCAGTCATCACCCTCGTCTTGCTGCTTCATATCGCAAAACTGTGCCTACCTAATCCAACACAAGGTGATTTAGATCCTAGTACGGTGGCCGATACTGGGGCTGGTATGGTGGATGAAAGGGCATTGGCGCCGGTATTGGAGTGAAAGAATTCCTGTCTGCTTGCCAACCTGGATTGCGTTAAAGATGCGTAGTAACGCAGGCTGAGAGACTCACTGCAGATGTTACAGAACCAAATATGATCTGATCCAAATGGGATTATCGGTAGGAAGCAGAATTCAAACCATCTCCTTGACTGCAAGATGATTAAGCGATATTTTCAATGAAGTCAGCACTCAGCGCACCTTGAATGGAACGAGTGCACCGTTGTTGCAGTGTGGGCATAGCAGAGGCTGTGTAGGTTGTTGTCCATCTGGCTTTAACTTTACAGGACAGCTAACTGAACAGCCAATGAGCTAGAGCTAGCGACGCAGTGAGATCAAACCCACAACTGAAGCAGAGTGGAATAAAATCCATTGCTAAAGCCCCTCAAAGAATGTATAACTTCTCAAGCTAATGGAAGTTGAATTAAAGCCAAGATACATTCATCACGCTAGCATTTTACTGAATAATTTGTATAGAAATATACACAACCGTCTAATCAGTTTAAGCTGAAGTCAAACGACGTTGAGCAGCCACTTGACGCTTGTTACCGTGGATCTTCTTTGGTTGGTTCACATCGACATCCTTGTTACGGGCAACTTGCTCGTCTGGAACAGCCAAGGTGATTTCAATGTGGCATGGGTTACCTTGGTAAGGGTTGATACGACCGTGAGCACGGTAAGTACGACGACGGGTTTTCTAAGCGTCTTGTAAGAATCTTCAAATTTTTTGCGCATAGCGCACAACTCACTGGAGCAGCTTGAACGACAATGTGCTTAATCAAAAGTTCGTCAGTGTCAAGCGACTTAGCGTCAGCGTTGGCTTCAGCGTTCTTGAGTAATCTGAGAACGTAGCCAATTGACTTGACTGGCCAACGACCTTGAGTGGTACCGTGGTTCTTAGCTTGAGCGGCTCTACCAACACCACCGTTGAAGCGACGGAATGGAATGATATCCCTGTGCTCTTGGACATCACCGAGGTACTTGTAAGCCTTTGAAAGCTTCAAGCCGGTGAGAGCAGCAGCAACTTCACGGGTGTTCTTGAAGTGCGTACGCAAGTGCTGGCCACGAGCTTTGGCTGTCTTCTCTGGATTCTCAGCATTGTGTGCGTAGCGTACCATCTTGACTTCTTCGGTGTAGCTCGTCGAGAAAGGTGGCTTGAAGTTTTACCAGCTCAACTTAAAATGAAAATTATGAGAATAGAGCATCAAGAGGTTGTTTATCAGGCGTACTATTCATTATATAACCTGCTTTGTAAAATTCTAAAGCCTTTTTCTCTCATATTTCTGTTTGACTAGTCTTCCTGGTCAGCTATATGAATATTATTATTGTAGCTCATCAGCAGGGAAATGCTGACTGGAATCTAATCAATTTGCTGCCCCATAACTTCCAGCCTAAACACTTCCGGTGAAGTATACGCAGCTTTGGTGCGGCTAATTGTATGAACGAGTTAGGATGATCGCATTGATATAAGTGTTTAGTACATTGTTTAGTGTTATAATGCATTGTAGCAACCATTTCTCTCGTTGCATCCCACAAGCGCTCAATATGGAACTCGTCTCTACATATCTGATGGATTCAAGATGCGTTTATGCAATGACAGGGCGATTTGAATTGTTCTTTTAGTACTACTAGACGCTTGTAGTAGTGCTAACCATACGATAGAGTCAATTCTGCTCAAGGCACCCTCCAACTGACCAATTTAGCGAGAAGATAGGCGTAAAGATACCATATACTGACAATTTGAACATTTTAGCAATATCATCGTTTTCATGGCATCTTCAGCATTCCGATACATCCCCATAACAACTATCCGCTCAATAGTCATCGAGTCGAATTTTCCTAATACCATCTATCTCATCTCAGATGGTGATTTACGAGTTTTAATGATCCCCAAATAAAAAAGCTTGTTTTATAGCTTTAAATGAGCTCTACAAGATCTTACAAGAACTATTTCCCTGAACCTTCATTTGCGCCCTGTAGGTTGTTCGGTAGTTGCATTTCGAGATCGTACGCTATTAGAGAGATATAGGGATTTAACGCGCTTAGTCGACAGAACAGATTATAATAACTGATGGAGACTTCAAGAACCCAGAAATCTCAAGCGCTCACCCTTGTAGACGTGATTTACGTTTTCCGACAAGTAGCGTCCACAGGACTAAATGCTGGCTCCAGGGAAGAAGCCAGGACATTCCGGATCATTACACGCCTATTGCATACAAATTATGCAACAAAAAAACAAGCGTCATCCCAACTCTGTAAATCGGGACTCTAGCTTCACCTGGTGCATTTCGAGATGTCACATAATGGGGGCGGAGGAGTGATTAAGCATGCATTAGAATTGCATAGGTCGGCTTAGTAGGTATATATGTTTTTTGATACCAAGTCACACCCTTTGCAGCATGCCATATCTAGCTGCTAGCTGGACGAGTGCAGAGCACTTCGCTGCGCTATCGGCAACAAACATATCTGCAAACGTCTCATAGAGCTAATTACTACTAACAGGAGCTAATGTTACTTTAATTAGCAGTCGTCAAGGTGTTATGGCGAACTAAATCACGTCATCCTCTGAGATTGCAACGTCATTCCAACTCTCAAAGTTCAATCATAGGCGGAAGAGTACAATGAAGTCGAATCAGTTTACATGAGTGATGACAATGAAATATTGAGTTAATGTGAGCAAGTTTGCTGCTGAATGATCACCTTTGATACCTGCCAATTAGCGAGAGAGAGGGGGATGAACGGCAGTAATTCATCATATCGATAAAAGTAGTCGTACTACAACTAGATTTACGTGCAACGCCTATGTCCTCCTTCCACTTGATAACCTTGGTGGGGACGACGATCTGAATATGCGTGTGTTTTCAATGTTCAAGGATGATCTTTGCACTTTGCATTTAGAGATATCAAAGCCATCTTTGGTAGCATAAGTCAGGCACTGGTCCAAAACGCATAATGTGCACATTGTGAAGATAAACTTAAATATATAAAACTGTACAAAACTTTGATTAGTTTGCTGCGATCGATGGAGGTTGCACTGTGCTAGGCGCTACCGGAGCCGCTGAAGCAGATTCGTTGGAGAGGTTACTGCTCACTTTACCACCAGCTGTTTTTCTTCCAGCTGATCGTAAACCAAAACAAACTCACGCTTTATCTTCTCCCAGCTCTTTGGATCGAAGAAGATATAGCTACCACGTTCAAGCATTGGTGTCTTCTGCACTGGCTCAGATCCGGATTCTTTAGTCAACCAAAGTCCTAAATCCTTGTGATATCTCCAGTTTCTGTTGAATCTGAGAAGGTATTAGCTTGTTTTCGGTGAAAATAGAAAAGCCACGCTCACAATTCAATTGCTGCTACTTGCTGCATTACATCCTTTGCGTGAGTGTAGAATATGTAGAAGAGGGTTTCGTCGTGGAATTCTGCGACCTTGGTGAATGCTGGTGGTGGTGGTTGGACGTTGTAACAAGCAGGTAGTGTGAACTCTGGTTCTAGTGTAGCTGCATCTCTGGCATTGTTGTCGGAAAATGGTGACACGAACGTCGAGTTAAGCATTCTTCAGCTGTGTCAGAGGTAATGATCGAGTTGAGTATTCGTACATACGTCGGAGAGCTCAAATCCAGTCCAAGATTTGTCAAATCAGATCCCAAAGCCAGCATTCCCATATCAGACGACGACATTCTTATTATGTTCAACAATCCTAACAATCCAAACCTGTCAGCAGGCGATACTAGCACTTGCTGAGCCGGGGTCTGAGCCATAGGTAGATTGGGTTGTTGGGCGTTTGGATTTTGTGCAGCGGTCATTTCGAACATGAAATTCTAAGCCACGTGATCAGCAGATAGGAGCTAGGTATAAAGTCAAACATACTCTTTTGTCCCTCTGTGAAGCTGCGTTTGAAGCAGATGCAGGTGCGGGTGTCCTCGAAGTGTTGGAAGGGAAGTATGGCTGTCGTATAGATTCACTGGATTTAGGCTGTACACCGTTTAGACTACTCTGATCAGAAGAAAGAGCAGGAAATTCATCCTGATTTAGAGCCGAGGGAGCTGTAGGCTGGGAATAATGATTTTGCTGCTGCTGACTTTGTTGAGTAGGAGCACCTAAAGCGGGGAAATCATTTGGATCGAGCCTAGGTTCTGACTGGCTAGGTATCACGCCGACATTGAGCAACTGCGATTGATTACTGCTGTTGTTATTGATTGGATGAGCTTGTGCAGCTGTCACGGGAGAAGGACCTGCGTAGGGGAACGAATTTTGCCTCGGATTAGAATTAGGCGTCAAGCTTGGCTGATTAAAGCTTTGCCTCTGTTGTTGCTGCTGCTGGATAGGCGCGAAACCTCGCAATACGTGTGGCGCTGCTAAATACGGCGCATAAGGAGGTCTAAAAGGAAGATTTGGAGGGTTCATAGATTGCGGCCTTTGGGGAGTTTGCCCTGTATCTGATTTAATTAGTTTAAAAAATTAGGCTGAGTAGACTAACTCATAGTTCTTGTCCAAGAGAGACGGCCAACGACAACGACGACGATATGAGCGATAGCTACACGAAAGACGAATTGATCTCAATATTCAAGCAATTCAAATCTGATAAATCGAACAGAGTGTGCTTCGATTGTCCAGCTAAGAATCCAACTTGGGCATCTGCGACGTATGGCATTTACATTTGCTTGGACTGCAGCTCAATACATAGGAATATGGGCGTACATCTGTCATTCGTTAGATCTACAACGCTTGATAGCTGGAATTCCCTGCAACTGCGTACGATGAGATGCGGTGGTAATCAATCTGCAGTGGATTTCTTCAATACCCACGCAGGAGGTCACTTGTTGAACGATTCAGACGTAAAAGCAAAATATAACTCAGGAATTGCAAGATTATACAAGCAAGAACTCGCAAAGAGGGTTGAGAAAGACCACATTGAGTGAGTTTACTCGTTTCCGGTGTGCAAACACTCATTCCTTATCTTTTATAAAGTTTTCCTGGGAAAGTCCTTGTCCCTGGCACTCAATCTGTTGCTAAACCTGAAAGTAGAGTTGAAGACGACTTCTTCAACAACTGGGATAAGCCTTCCTCACCTGCCCCAGCTGCGGATCCGGCAAGCAAGCCAGCTGGACCTCCAACTATTGGCAGAACTGTCTCTCAAACTAGCGCGACTTCGATACCTTCAGACAGCACCGGGACTTCACCCCAAACTCAAGTTTCTCGACCTTCCTCAACTCCTAGAACAATCTCTTCAGCATCTCTTAGACAACCGTCCAGCTCAGCTCGCCCTGCAAAATCAACTTCAAAGCTCGGCGCATCCAAGTTTGGCGCAAAGAAAGCCTCAACTCCGTTCAACTACGATGAAGCTGAGAAGAAGGCTCAGTTGGAAAGTGAGAGATTGAAAGCAGCAGAATTGGAGGCTCATAAGCGTGCTGAAGAAGAAATGACCAAGCAAGCAGCTCAAGCTGAAGCAGATGCTGCGGCTACTGCTATTTCTGCACAAAATGCTGAAAAGGCTCGTAAAGAGGCTAAGACCGCTAGTCCATCAGTAGAGAAGCTTGAACCACGAATGGCTAGACTTGGATTTGGTCAGACAACCGGTGCAAAGAGTACTCCTTCAGCCTCGACGTGAGTGCGTCGATTGTCTATCGACTTAGCTCACAAATACAGACCAAGCTTCAAATCAACTAAGGATGATGCACCAACTACGGCCAGAGACAAGTTTGGTGGTCAAAAAGGTGATTGAACCCTTACCATACCCACTGATTACTAACTTATTCACAGCGATTTCATCTGATATGTACTTTGAACGCGGTAATTACGACGCAGACGAAAGTGCCGCTGCACAAGGCAGGCTCAGAGAGTTTAATGGACAAACGGCCATCTCATCTGATGCCTATTTTGGAAGAGAACGGAACTCGTTTGACGAAGATGACCAAGCAAATGAAGGAATGCTCGGCAGTGGTGATACCTATCAGCAACTTGAAGACACAGCGAGAGACTGGGCTCAAAGAGTTGCTGCAAACCCAGATGTTCAACAACTTGGAGAGGGAATACGTGCTGGTGCACTTAAAGTGAGTAGATATCGAAGCATTAGTTACATAACAAATACTAATGTAAATTCAGCTTTCAGACTACCTTGCATACTGGTCAACTGAACAACGCTAAGGGGTAAATTTTTTGTCTTATTCTTCATTTGTACCGCTTCATACCAACACATTCCAAAAAGATTGATTTTATTTAGGGCTGGATTCAAACGTCTATGAAAGACGGAAAAGAATCGAAAGAGAGTACAATAAGGAATGGGAGATTTGCAAAGCTACGACCTATTCACGTCGAAAACGTTGGTGCGTTTGGAACTGAGAGTGATAAAATAACAGGTTGAATATTGTATCGATAGGTACCGTCGCAAGAGATCACCTGGCATCCGAAAGAACATGGCTAAGCTATGTGCAAACGTCGTTGGCTATTGCGTCAATAGGAGTCGGTAGGTTTGTTGAATAACGCTTTAAAAATAATTGATCAAAAGAAAAACAGCAATTACACAACTGTTTGCTATTAAGCCAATAGATAATGGCATTGCAGACGATTCAGTATCTCTAGGCAGTCAACAAAATCAAACGCGTGACAATTCGACGAAATACAACAATCCGCGTAATTTTTCGAGACCGCTGGGAACTATACTAATAGTATTTGGTATAATAGTGTTATTACATGGTGAATCTATCTGCTACACACTCTACGCTGCTTACAACGAATAAGGAATGCTAAGATTCATTTTAATACAAACGGCTTTATTAGACGGAAAATTTCCAGTCTTATCTAGAATCGCACTCTTTACATTTACTTTATTACTCGCGCTTTTTTTTATTACATGTTTTGTACTTATAATTATATCCCAGTAGCTAGCTTAAGTCGATGAATCTTATTACACCAAAAACAGCGTTTAGACCAAATGACAAGATATCTTTAGCTATCTTAACACACGCATACAAGCCTTTAGGTGGTTCGAGTAAAGATTATCCACTTGCAATCATGGCAAGATGGCTCAAAGATGCTGGCTATTTCGTCATCCTCTATGACAGACAGTCGACTACCTGGACAGGTGATGCAGAGGTCAACGAGCTTGAGCATATTCTCAGAGATACTATCTTTACTCGTCTCTCAATTTTCACATTATCGAAAGTAATCATTGGTGTACGTTTGTGATAGCAGTGAGAGCTATCTAATTTAGTGCAGGGATACAGTGCAGGCTCTCTGATTGCATCTAGATTGGCCAAACCGGACTGGATGGAATGTGAAGTCCAATATCTGCTCATATCACATCCCCTGTCAGTTTCTTGGGCGTTGAACTTATTCAGAGGAGCTCAGGCACAGCAGTGCTTGCATAGAAATCTCAAACACTGCAAGATGCTTGCAATTTGGGGCACAAATGATCAATTCACTGGTGTTAATCAATACAGACAGTGGAATGACGACTTACGCAGTAAATTCCCAAACACTTGGAGCTCAATAGAGGTTGGAGGTGCGGATCATTTCTGGAAGTCGCTTGATACTGTCTACAATAGATTTGTTGATTGGATTACATGATTTAAAGATAACGATAAGCAAGAGATAATTGGATTAAGCACCGTGCATTTTGATAGTTGCTTTTGGTACTCCCTGTTGTTGAGAAATGAGCAATTGATTGCGCTTGAAAGTCCCACTCACCTCCGATATCAGGAATTCTTGGATCTTGAAACGCTGATCACCTTGCAACTGGATAACTTGACCAAGTTCCTCATCGTCAACTATAGTACCGTTACAAGCGAACTCCTTTTTAAAAGCTTTCAAGATCTTTTTCAGATCGTATTCTGGTTATAAGGTATCTGATTAAACCAGGATTCAAATGAATATCCAAGACGTACCTTTAGGAATACCTTGAAGGGTTGTAAGTGTCTTACGACCATTTCTTTGTTGAATTCTAATGTGAATGTAGTTTTGTTGGTTACCGACGTTGTTGGCTGACTCGCTGCCACCACCAAAGTCTTCGTCTACTGCGAATGGGTCTGTAATAAATATGAGTATTACCTATCATGTCATTTAGTGTATTGTTACCATCTTTTGAGAAATTTTGGATTGTTGCCATCGTCAGAGTCTGTTGTCAGGATTCAAACTTGACGACTAAAGGGAAATTGTGCGGTGAAAATGTGTATGAAATATATTCCAAACGATAGCAATGGTGCAGTGTGTGTTTTTCACGCTTTGTATTTCAGTATTGAGTGTCTTCTGTGATTGGTTGGAGGTTAGATATACTCAGAGATACGCAAAAGAACCGGTAGCAAGTGAGGGATGTACGATTACCGGAATTATTGATGTGTTTTCCTCAAGTTTATTTCTTAAATTCAAACGACCATCTCGTCTATGCACGACTTCACCAAATCTTTGAACAACAGAGAGAAGCTGCTGCTTTGCCAGTATATCAATGAGCACAACTTTAATTGGAACCTAATACCACGCTCCCTGTCAAGTCATCCACTCCTTCTATCCAGGTCACCGGGATTTTTCACTTCAGATGTTGGTACAGAGGACGCAATAGAAGCCCAGCTGACTGTTCGTAGAGTTGTAAAGTCGCTTATAACGATCTTTTACTGGAATTGGAACTCGAAGCGTAAGTTACGAAAAGACGCAAAGCATTTCTCACGAAATAGCAGTGATAACACAAAATACTCAAAGGATTTGCAATGTTGGTGGTTTTTTTTACGGAGAAACAAACAATCTGATCGTTTTACAGCTCGACCGCAACTGAAGTTAGCGAAAAAGTACTTCAAATTGCATGTTGACGAGATCAAGCAATCCATATGGCAGCAAGAGCGCGACTTTAGAGCTGTGCTGCAAGATCTGCATAACATGAAGAATAATCAAGCTGAGACATCACAAGAATCCAGTACACGCAAAGAAGCTTCACCTCGACCACCTATTCATAGCGAACGAGATAACCAAGAACCAGAAGTTCTACAGGAGAGACTCACATCAAAGGAATCAGCTTCGCGAGAACCAAATCCGAAAGAACAAACACCTGAGGAAGCAGTTGTTCAGGAACTTGAATCAGAACCACCATTACAGATTAAAGAGTCACAAGACGGTGATGCTGCGATGAACCAATTACCAGAAGAGCATGCGACAAACGATTCCAATACAAATGATCCCGAAGAAGCAACGCCGAGAGAGCCTGATTCACCTGCTAAAGAAGTTATCGCCGATACACCAAAGAGCTCTGAGGATATGCAGGTGGATATGAAGCCAGAGGAAGTCAGAGAGACACGTAGAACATCAAAGAGGAAGAGTGCAGCGGTTGAGAACACCAACAAGAGGTCTCCAGCCACACCGAATGAAACACCAGAAGATACGGCGAATGCGAATAGCAAGCGTAGAAAGTCTACGCTGGATGACACACAAAGAAAAACACAGAAGGTGCTTCTGCTGTGTCTACAGGATATTACAACCCACAAAGCAGGTATAGTTTTTGAACAACCAATAAGGGCAAATGAAGCGCCAGGATACCACGATGTTGTTTATTCACCAACAGATCTCACAACTATAAAGAGAAAAATACGTGATGGACAGATAACATCAGCACAGCAATTCAAAGCCAACGTGCTTTTGATGTTCGCGAATAGCATAATGTACAATCCACCATCGAGTGATGTACATGAGATGGCGCAAGAGGTGAGTGATTAAAGATGGCATGAAGGACTAATTAAATGGTTGAATACAGATGATGAAATCAAGCGAGAACCTAATAACAGAATTTCTATCAAACTACGAATGATGAATGTAAAGTAAATGTATGTTGTAAATTAGTGTGTCAGCTGGACTCAGGGAGTGATGTCACTCGGTATGTAAACTCTACAAAGAGACGGTAAGTTGGTGTATAAATGAGTTTACATGTAAATTTAAAGTAAAATTCAAATATTGCAGATTGTCCATTTTCGTTTAACGCGTTGCGGTGCCCGAATCCACGCGCGTCCACGGCTCTTGCTTTAAATCATTGCAACGATAAAATATTAAATGGGGGATTTCTCACCCAGCAGGTATGATACAAAGACATCGAGGTCGTCTCCATTCGCATATCAGCAGAGAATATTAGAAAGGACTTCGTCTTCACAGCGCAAGCCATCAAACTCTTCTTTACAGCAGTCGACGCCGCTAGCATCTCCAAAGCCAACGTTCCTAGATGGCATCTCCCATAGAACTCCATCGGGTAGTCTCTCTAGGCACAAATCATCGCACAGCGTAGGCGATGTAGCCAGCAAATGGGAAGCCAGATCTCAATCGGACAAGTCCACAGTTCCATTTCCAAACTACCCGAGTCGCTCTCCATCTCCAACCAAATCCTCTCCAAACAAGTCTTCTCTCCCTTCTTCTGTATTCACTCCTTTCTCTCATGGCAATCATCCTCCGTCACCTACTCCTGAGAAGACGCCTTCTATTCGCAGGTCAAGGCCTTTATCTCTACAAAGCACTCCTGATCTTGCCAAGAGCTCCGTTGGTGCCCTCAAAGAACTCGGTTCTTCTCAATCTGTTTACCGCACCAATTCTCTTTCCAGAGCTAGATCTATTGACTTGGAGGCTGAGAAACAAAAGGCCTCTGAGCAACCTTCCCCCACTAAGTCTGAAAGCGGTCACAGTATACTTGGTCGTGGCACTGCTCCAAGCTATAGAGCAAAATCCGGTGCTCACCTTGGCCGTATCACAAGTGGTGATGCTGAGAATGATTGGGACGAGAATGACAAACCTGGTGGCTGGGACAAGGATCAGAGAAGCTCTCTCAAAGATGATTCTTTTCATTTACCTGGTATTACAGACATGAGTGAGCAGGTGGTCGGTTTACCAGGCAGAGTACGTCTATCAAGAACTGGATCACTCACCGAGGGCTCAAGGAACGCTGCGGGCCTCAGGCGCACGAATGCCGTTAAGAATTCGAGCCTCTCTCCTACCAGAGCATCACAAAACTCTTCAGTCATGTCTCGCACGCAGTACATGACTTTAGACAAACAGCGTCACCTTCTCGCAGCTTACGAGTATCTTTGCCACATCTCTGAGGCTATTAGATGGATCGAGGATTGCCTTGAAGGATCACTTGAAATGGATGAAGTTCAGGCAGAAGACGGACTCCGAGACGGTATAGTTCTCTTCAGATTAGCAAGTGTTTGGGGCTTTGGTGAAGGGATGGAGGATGGGCATATTGGCTGGAACGGCATAAGAAAGAACTACACAGGAAACAGACGTCTTTTCATGGTAAGTTGAGTACGTCTTAGTAATCAATTCTTGCTAACCCTAAAGTAGCATCCAAACATTCGACACTTTAAATACGTCGATAACATTAACTACTTCTTCGAGTTTATCAGGCGCATCAGTTTACCTGAAGTGAGTGTTGCTTTTTCGTCATTCAAACATTTTAATTCTTCCAGCTGTTCACGTTCGAAACAACTGATCTCTATGAAAAGAAAAACATCCCGAAAGTAATCTACTGTCTCCATGCATTGAGTTATCTTCTTGCTGGACGAGGTGTTGCTCCACGCATTGGCGCTCTGAAGGGTCAACTTGAGTTTACTGGTGAGCGCATTGTTTTATAATGGATACAGTTTATTTACGGTCTCATAGACGATCAGCTTCGCCAGACTCAGAAGAATCTTGATGCTTCCAACGTCCCAATGCCAAATTTCGGTGGATTGGCTTCAACATTTGGGGATCCTGAACCAATACAAGAACCAGAGCCCGTCGAATCAGAAGAAGACCGCATAGCTAGAGAGCTCTTTGACGTCGAAGGAACAATCGTTACATTGCAGGCTCAAGCAAGAGGCTACCTCACGAGACTGCAAGTTTCGAGCCTCAAAATAAAAATGAAGCTGAACAAGAAGATTATCACTGTCGTTCAAGCAAGATGCAGAGGTAAAATTACGAGATCTCGCTTGTCTAGCCTACGTGAGAGGCGCTCAGGATCTGCTATGAAGTGGGTCGTGCCTCTTCAAGCAATTGCAAGACAGAAGCTTGTTCGTGATGAACAAAAAGATATAAAGAAGTACTTGATGATTTGCAAACCCGCTGTTACTGCCCTACAGGCACAAGCTCGTGGTCTACTTTCCCGAAAAAAGTATGTAAACAAGCTGCATATTATATATCGCCAGAATCGCACTGGTGTTTATCAGGGCTTACAAGCTCAATGTCGCGGTTTGCTTGCAATTAGCTCATTCAGAAAGTGTAAAAGCGCTCTGAACAACCGTGCTGAGCTTCAGCGGGCTCTTCTTATACAATCTAGCTGTCGTGGGTATTTGGTTAAATCAAAGTATACCGAGTATTTGGATAGTATTACAGAGCAAGTTCCTGTCTACACAGCTGTTCAAGCTGCTTGTCGTTCGAAAGCCAGCAGAAGCAAGTATCAATCAAAGTTGAAAGACGTGATGAAGTCATCACAAAATTTTGTTCATTTACAGGCACACTCGCGTGGGATTATTTTTAGAAGAAAGCACAGAAAGCTTAATAACGCTCTCAAAAGCGCATCGACTACCCAATCGGTTGTATCAATACAGTCACATGCCAGAGCGTTAATCGCGAGACAGGAAAATGAATCATTCCGAGCACAACTGGAATCGCTATTTGGTGCACATGTTAAAATACAGGCATGTTCTAGAGGAGCTAATGTTAGAGATCAATGTGAAAGTATATTAGCATACTTGGATGATAACTACAAAAGTATTATATCAGTACAGTCCCTCTCTCGCACGAAGCTCATTCATGATAGATACAATTACTTGAACTCGTTACTTGAGCAGTCTTCAATTTCCACATTACAGTTGCAAAGTCAATGCAGGGGTTTCCTTGTCAGAAAGTCCAATGAACAGCTGAAAGCTGAACTTTCGGACGATTCTAAATTGAGTTCTATCTGTCAAATTCAATCCCTTGGACGTGCGACTCTGGTAAGACGATCTATCTGGAACATCTTCCAAGAGCTGGAATCAATGGAGGGTGAAATAGTCAAATGCCAAGCACAGTCTAGGGGCTGCTTGATACGCAAAGATCAGACTATGTGGAAACGCCATCTTCAAGTATCACAACCTCAAGCTGTCAATCTTCAGTCAGTCTTGCGTGCTTACGTTCAAAGGCAGAAATTCGGTGAGAAGAAGACTCATTATCGTGCAAACAAGGAGAAGATAGTGAAGGTTCAGGCCTTATATCGTGGTAAGGAGAAGAGGGAGCAGTTCAAAGAACTCACTATGGGTAATAATGTTCCTTTGAACACGGTCAAAGAGTTTGTCCACTTACTTGACGACTCTGATTATGACTTTGATGAAGAAATTGAATTGGTAGATGTGCGTAAGAAGGTCCTTGAATCAATAAGAGAAACGCAAGCACTGGAATCACACGTAGATGAACTAGACGTCAAAATTGCTTTGGTTGTTAAGAACGCACTCTCGTTTGATGAACTGGTCCGTGCCGCTAAAGGCCGCACAGTCGCTTCAAGTACTCTCAATCGAAATGGAAGCGTGTTGACAGCAGCTGGTGATCCATTTAGTCCTGGAAAAATGGATAAGCAAACAATAAGAAGACTTGAGCTATATCAACAGCTGTTTTGGAGGCTGCAAAACCAACCAGAGTATCTCGCACGTCTCTTCTATAATATGAGCAGAACGGAGGTGTCTGATAAGAACCGTCGTTTGATCGAAAATGTTATCATGACCTTATTTGGTTACACTCAATCAGCTCGCGAGGAGTACTTATTTTTGAAAGTTATGCAAAGATCGATGCATGAGGAAATTGCATCAGCTAGGCAATTGTCAGACGTTGTTAGGGGTTCATTCACTTGGGTTAAGATGTTTTTGCTTTATCTACGTGGTCCTGAAAGAAAAACCTATCTAAAGCAAGCACTTGGACCTAGAATCTCAGAGATCACGTCATTAGAATCATTTGATCTTGAAACAGATCCAGTTATTATTTGGAAACAAATAATAAACTATCAAGAGTTAGAGAGTGGTAAACCGAGCGACAAGAAGAAAGACGTGACTTATGAAGAAGCTATATCTGATTCTGACACAAGAGTAACCTTCATCCATCACCTTCAGCAGCTTAGACACGCTACAGAGCATTTCCGCGGAGATATTCAGAAGTCAACAAAGAAGATGCCTTATGGATTGAGATTTATTGCTCGTGAATTGTACTTGGCTCTCCGCATCAAATTCAAGAACGAGAGTGAGGAAGCATGTAATAGAATCATAGGGCAACTTATCTATTACAGATATATTCAGCCAGCAATTGTCACTCCAGAGACATTCGATGTTGTTCCAAAAGTGCTTGACCCACTACAGAGGAAAAATCTCAATGAGATTGCAAAGATGCTTACTCAATTGGCTATGGGTGAAGTATTTAGTGATGAAAATACATACCTTACTCCTCTAAATGACTACATTATGGATGCTTCATCTAAATTCATCCCTTGGTTTGGTCAAGGTACGTTCTAATCGCTACAAAGACTATTTCTAACATTCATAGTCGCTGATGCTGTTGATGCCGAGACATACTTTAATGCAGGCGAGTTCTTGGAGTACAACACCACAAGAAAACCTTCAATTCATATATCACCAAGCGAAATCTATGATGTTCACTCCCTTCTCAACCAGAATTTGGATCGCATTGCCCCCACAAGAGAGGATCCACTACGTGCAATTTTATTGGAACTTGGTGGCCCACCATTACCAGCTCAAGGAGAGCTGTATGAGGCACGCAAGAGAGCAATTTCATTGACACTCACCAACCGCAATACTCAAGTTGACAATCCAAATGACCCACAAACGCATAAGAAACAACTCTGGCTTCAAACTAAGCGTCTAGTCTTAGCCGTTTTAAGAATACAACCTGAGCGAACCTTGACCCAATCTTTCATCTCTGAAGTTACTAAAGAGCACGAAGCGCAATGGCAATTGTTCGTACAAAAGGAAGCTTTAATAGAGAGATCTAGAATAACTGGAGCAGGAGATACAGTGTCACCATTCTTAGGATCGGGTTATAAGATAAACGACATCAGACAAATGAACTATACGGAAGTCAAAGCTAGAGCTATAGAATACTGTTTACAATTAGAGAAGATTGGCGAAATTTCGAGGAAAGACAACTACCAGAGTGTGCTAAATGCAATTGCAGTTGATGTCAGAAGTCGTAATAGAAAGAGAATTCAAAGGCAAAAGGAGTTGAGCAGCATGGAGAACACATTGAAGATACTGGAAGAAAAGAAAGAGTATCTTCTAACACAGCAAGATGCTTTCAACTCATATATAGAGACCTCCATGCAGTAAGTTGATATCTCACGTGATGTAACTGGACTGACTGTATGTAGAACTATGCAAAAGAAGGGCAAAAAACGGTTTGTCTTACCATTCACTAAACAGTGGTCTCATTTGAGAGACTTGAAACACACCGGTAAAAAATTTAAATTCGGTTCATATAAGTATGCTGCACAAGAGTAAGTTTTTTATTGTCTTTGTTATATCACTGACACACATTAGGCTTTACAATCGCGGACTTTTATTATCAATCAGTCAAGTATCTCCAAGACAATACGACGGCATTTTCCTTACTTTCAGCTCGGATGAAATAGGTGTATTTAAGATAGACCTGAATATCGCTGGAGAGCAGAATGCTATGGCTAGTGAAGACGTAAGACTGGAAGATATGCTGCAGATGCAGTTTGAGAATAAGAGTTCAATTGCAATTTGCCAAGGAAACGTCAAGTGTAACTTGAATGTTCTATTATTCCAGTTGTATAAGAAGTGAGAAGAGTTTTATTTCTACGATGCTAAATACTAACGAAGCAAAGGTTTTATCAATAGAACGCATATACAATTGTCAATATATTTCTTTTAATCTTGTACTGTTGTAATTCCATCTAAATTTGCATTCAATGTTATGCATCCAACCAATTAAATAGTCAGTATATCTCAAAACACACGCTCTGCACCATAAAATCAGGATTAGACCTATTTAGGACACTGCATAACAATCATCATGTATATACACCGCTGAAATTTCATTTCGTAAGCCATATATTCTAAGAAGTAAATTTATTGAGGATTGGGTGTTACATTCCAAGGACCAGGATCCTAAAGGTTAGGTTAGACTGGATAGCGAGATGGATGTTGCACTTACTGAAAATATGTTGTCTTCGCTCTTACCTCCAAAGTCTTTAGGTAAGTTCTCTGCTGGGATTTGCTTGAGCAATTCATCCTTGTAGGATTTGCCAAGAATCACAATCTTGGAGACGGTCACTGGGTCTAACCATCCCTTAACTACGCTCCAGACAGTAGTGAAGAGAAATGGAGCATTGATAATGTAGAATTTACCCATGGTTTCAGGGCTATTTTGCGGTTTGTGAGACCATTGCCAAATCTCTATGTCTTCACTCACTAGTAATTTTGGCCGATGTTGCTAGCTTGTGCGACATAGTCTTTAACATCGTAGAAGCTCTTTATTCCGACGTTGTGCATGTCAAGGATAGTGCAAGAAGTTTCAATGTGCTTGCCTGATGCTTTAGAGCAAGCTGGGAATCTAGAGTCAAAGCACTTCTCGTACTCGTAAACGAGATGCTTGAGCATGCGCTCAGCTGTGGTAGCCTTATAAAGTTCTGGGACGTTGAGGTATCCGAGTCTTTCAATATAAACGGGTCTGCCATCCTGTGGAATGTTAAAATGTCACTTAAAAAGGAAATAACGAACTTTATCAGTTTTGTAGTAGAACTTTGGGTAGTACTTGTTGATAATTTCTAATTCTTTTTGATCAAATTCCGATCTGCTTAAATGTTAACGGGTGTGCAACATGACCAACTGTCACACCAACTCTTTGATAGCGTCGACGTTGAACTCTTTTCTCCACTTCTCAGCAGCGTCAAGCATTTCTTCAGCCTTTGCAACATCGAATTTCCTAGCTCTAAGGAATCTAAGGAGACATCTATCGTCATGTCTCTTTTCGTTGAAATATTCCTTCGACTTGATAGTCTCCCTGAATTGGTTTAATCCCTGCTTTTGCTCTGCGCTCAAGTCTTCCAAAGTACCCGACATGATGGTTGATTGTAAATATCAGAACATCGCGCAGTAATATCGATATAAAGACAAAAATTTACAATTAACTAAACAATTAGATTTAAACGCTTATCTACACTTAATAGCTCTATGATCAATAATATTGGGTATTCCACTGCTGCGAGAAGTCAAGTGATGACGGATCTTCTGGCGTCGACATATGATAAAATTCATTGGCTTCATTTTCATGTGCTACTTGTGTAGGTATTTCCGTTGGATATTCAGTGTACTCGAAGCTTCCCGCTAAAGGCCTGAACATCGATGATTGCGCTATATTGGTTGGGATCGTAAACATCCTGTTAGGTGTATAAGCTGAGTGGGCAGATGCCGCATCACTATTCAAATCTATGCTCAAAGATGGCAAAGTTGTTGAATGATTGAGATAACTGTCCTGAGAGCGTGAGCTAGGGGTTGGATTGTATTCAGTCGTTGAGCTCGCAGTCATATCCGCAGATCTGTACATCGGTGGCACAATCGGCAATGGTGTCGCCGACTGCGGATCTGAATTAACTTTCGGGTCCAAACTAACGTGATAAGAGCTAAGACTGTCCTTTGGCTCCATTTGATAGCTATGCATAAGCGAGCTTCTTGACTGCTGCATTGGCGACGTTGCCGGTGATATTGTTTCAGGTGAAGGTGATATCAAATGTGATACTGGGTTTAGTGTCGAGTAACTATCTGACATAGAAAACGATGGACTTGATCTTGAGTTGAGGTGCACTGGCTGTATTTGAGTGCCAAGACTAGCCCGCCTATTTGTGGTCGCTGGTAAAGAATGTGCTGATGTCGATGGTATCGGCAGTTGTGGGCTTGGTAAGTACCCAGGTTTGAATGGTATCGAAGGCATGGAATGAGTGTCTGCATCCTGATTGAGTATGCTTTCTTCTCTCTTGTAATCCGCCTTAGCTGATACCCTCCTTTGACTGGAAGATCCTCTTGTTCTACCTCCCTTTGAGAGCAGTTCCTTGGGTACATCCATAACGGACTTAATCCCCGCTCGCATCGCTTTTGCAGACGATAAATCAGCCTTGCGAGACCTAGGCGAAAGATGCGTTCTATAGCTGCTTCTATATTAGCTCAAAAGGCTATCAAGGGACAATCAACGTACTGTTGCTGAAGATTGTCCTGACGGCTACATCGCGTGGAACAGCCTGTAGTAGGTATAAATAGAGCTCAAATACTCTAGAACTGCTTACCAGGCCAGGGACAGCCATATGCTCGTTCTCCAGTGTGTGTCCTTTGGTGCCTTGATAGGTGTCCTGAAGTCGTAAAGGACTTGTGGCAGGTCTTGCAAGTGTATAACTTCCTTATCGGTGACTTGGCTTGCGCTGTTTGCTGATTATCTTCTACTGAGCCATGTGACGACCGCCTTTCATTGTTTGCGTGTGCACTTGACGGGTGGTATGCAGACTCAGGAGACGACATTTTTATGTTTTCCTTGGGCAATTTTGTTCATGCTCGTCTTTTCGTCAAAGAAGAATCGCTCTTAGCTCCGTGCTGCGGGATGAAAATTTGATTTGACGGGCACGCGAAATACATCAGCGGTAGCCATCATCGCCCTCGGTTCCTCAATGAAACATTTTACCGATCGGCATTAAGACAACTTTAACCTCGTGGGATCAGCATAAATTATCACTATACGTAAAATCATTTAAGAAATTTCCTAAAATCGTCCTGTGTCTTCGGGTTTTTTGCAGTTGTGCTAGACGCAGTCAATTTGGGGTCGGGATTGTTTCCGCGATCGCCAATTTTTGATCTTCGGGTGTTTCTAGGAACAAACTGTCCGCCAGAAACCGCAGCGTCGGATTTTTCCGCTACATTTTTATTTTCCGACAAGCTCAGTGGTTTTTTGTGACTAGCTTCGTCGGATAAACTAAGTTGCTGTCCATTAATTGATGGTGCCTGCATCAGCATGACTTTCGACATTTCCTGTCGATCAGTCTTTAGATGTTGATTGAAATGCATTTACGCTAGCGCACCTTATCATTCTCAAATTCCACTACAGCAGCACCTTCATTACCATTCTCATTGTACCAGACCTTCTTCACTGGTGCAAACACCTCAAATGTTTGCTGTATGAAGGATTCTTTGGTTCCGTCTGGTATGCCATCTACCCTGATTGATCTGCCAAAGCGTGGTTTAGCTGGTGCATTTGCTTGTCTAGTTCGTGTGAATTGAAGACTGATTCTGATTCTAATAAGTGCTTACCTAGGCTTCCTGTTTGACATTGTTACGCTTATGTGTTTGCCTTTGACTTCAACGTTGTTCATTCGCAGCGCATTTTGAGCTGATGACTGGCAAGAATCAGCACAAACTTTTTCACACAAATAAAGACTTACAGAATCTTCAAATTCAATGTGAGCAAAACCTTTGCAGCTTCCGTCATCCCTCAATCCTAACTTTGCTTGCTTAATTGCGCCAAACTGTTGTGATATCAGCTATTTTCCCACCTAAGACTACAACTCACAGGTTCAAAAAGTTGACGCAAATCTGCCTCTGTTATCTTTTTGCCTAGCTCTCTAACAAATATCTCCTGCCCATTTACGAAATCATCTGAACGTGACTTACGCTTGGATGGGTCTGAGATAGCAACGCTGAGAGAATGATTATCTTCCTGAACTTTTCCATTAAGTTCTAGTGAGGCTTGAGCTGATGCCTAATTGGAGTAAGTAAAGCATTTCAAATGTAATTACATACCGGGTCTAAGAAGGTGACATAAGCAAAGCGGCGTGTTGTCTTGATCGAACGGCTAGGCCATCTCGTATCGAAAATTGTGCCATACTATTAACGATTAGCATGAAGATTCATGTGTATTGACGATACTCACTGGTTCAAAAAGAGCCCTCAAGCTATCATCCTTAGTGCCTTCAGGAAAATTTGTCACATAGAGCGTGGAGGACCATCCCATAACAACTTTGATTTCGACTTCCTCGATGCGCTTCTTATCTTTCGTAAGAGCCGCAGGAACATCATCCTGAAAAATCTTAGTACGGCATAACATAATGTTGATTACGTACCCGACTCAAAAACTCAACAGTTGCCGCTGATTGATCTTTAAGATCTTTGACAGTGACTTCGCGCATATCACCACACTTTGAAATAAGAATTAAGAGGGATTCTTCCACTAGGCTTGGAATACTCACATCTTTGAATAGCAAATTGACATCTGTGTTGTTGCATCCTAATGGAAGACCGCTGACTATTACAGTTGTGTTTTCGCGATCTCTGCTATCTCGTCAGTTATCATTGGGGTTGGACTTGGTTCTCACCTCTTCAACTTATCTACAGTTTGTTGAACCTTCTGCTTCTTCGCGCTCTCATTGTTATTGGATTCATCACCAGCTTTTCTCTTGTTGTTTGTGCTACCTGAGAAATCAAGTGAAGGGTCTACAGCAGTCTCCTCAGTTGCTGGAGCAGCTACTGCTACTTGAGGTTGCTGTTGTGTGTAATTTTCGTAAGCTTGTGCTGCTTCCTGTATTTTGATTAGGTAACTCTTAAAAATACAAACCACTTACATTCAGACGACGATCAGCTAATAATTGGCTGGCTTTTGTGATGCTGATTTGTGCTTGCATTTGAGTATCGAGGCTTCCATATTGGTCCTCAAATTCTTTGTAAGCTTGATGAACGGCTTCAGGATAATCGATGAATTGTCGTGGTGTTGCTGTTTTGTAGACAGACCTGGCTTTGTCGTAATTTTCATTTCGCGTCTCGAAAGCAGCCCAATCTAACCAAACAGAATAACTACGCTTCTGTGTATTGTTCTTAGACATGCGTTCAAAAATTTGAGAAGCTGCACTGGTCGCGCTCTCCTCTTTAACACGTTCGTGCCATGATATTGCATACTTTTCTATTCTATTAAATGGATCTCGACTTTTGACCCTGTCGAGACCATCTTCAAGGATTGCTGCCACTTCTGCATATGCAACAGCTACATCAACATTCTCCAACGTGTGCCTCAAGTAAGAAGCTCTCGCTGAAATCAGCGCTACTAAATCATCGACTCTTGATTCAATAAGACCTGTTGAGATTGCCCTTGCATATGTTTCTTCAGCCTTCTCTGCAGGGTGTTTGAATTGCTCGTGGGCTCTGATCAAAGAGCTCCAAAGTTCTCCTGACCAGGGACATACTTTAACGGAGCGCTCGATAACATTCATTACCTTATCAGGCCTCTCTTTGTTATTAATCATCCAGTTGACGTATGTCACCCAAATCTTAGCAACGCTGGTAGCAATAGAATCATCGGTAGAGCCAGAAGGACCTGAGCCATCTTCACCTAACAGACTGTTGAATGGGTAGCAATCTCTTACTGCTCTTTCAAATAAGCCAACAATGAGATTTCGATTAGCAAGCTTCGGTTTTCCATTTGGTGATTGTGCAAAGTTAATGTATGCGAGATATGCTTCGACGGTATAGTTGGAGCCCTGACATGACATTTTAGCCAGCAAATTACCATTCAAAGCGTTACTTACAAGAGCAATCTCGTATTGATCATAATCCTCATATAAAGTCTGACCCTTTTTATAGTCCTTATTAGCGGCAACCATATGAGATTCGTATTGAGAATTGTCGTAAGCTGTTATAAAACTTGAATAGGAACTGAAAGTATCTGCATGATCTGGAGCAACGAATGAGTGCAATTCAATTGTATGACAATAGCTTACTAGCATGGGGTATCTTGAGCCTAGCCAAGTAGAATTGTTGCATTCTTTGTATCGCTTCAGGTCTATCCTCACGTTAATGATCATCAAACGCAATGGAACGAGCTCACTTAGGTGATTTCTAATGGAATAAGCTAGGAGTTGAATGATAAAAAGCCTTACCTCAATTAAAGATTGCTCCCAATCTCTCCATTTGTCCCATATTTCGCAGCTCTGAACACGATAAGCATATGTAACCTACTAGAAAGAAAACGTACACCGGTGAGATCCCATTCTATGCCTTCATAAGCTGTACCAAATGCTTGTCTAATGCTCTGTTCGCTAAAGACTTGCTCTGTTTTTCCTTGAGCTGAACCGTGTATTAGGTTATCGATGTAAAATAACGCAATCTTTACGGAAGAAGGAACATCTTGAATGGCAGAGATGAAGGCATTGTGTTTATCGTTATGTGCATCAATAGGGATACTTTTGATATTATCAAGGTGGAAAACTGCATCAAGTCAGAGGAATATATATAGAGAGGGGATAGAAACCTTCACCGACAACCCAAGTCTGCCTCCAATGAGCCCAAGTCTGATGGAATTGATCTGCCATACCAAGTTGGCGTGTAGCATTCGTTGCTCTAACAAAGGCGTGGAAAGAGAGATAAGGATATTCAAGTGATCCTAAAGCCATTTCTAACGATTGTAGGGAATTGAATTGGGTGATTTCATCTGGAATATCATCTTTCATTTCAACGTTGACTGTAAACGACGAAGATGGTTGAAGAAAGTGGGTAAATGTAATATCGATTTGGTTTAAATTTAATTCAATTTAAAGATTCATCAGATAAGCCTCAGAGCCTTAATCTTCCAAAGCCAGATCACATCGTGTGCGTTGTCTTGTGTTTAATTGCATGTAATTCTCACTCGCATCGAATACAGCGAAGAACACGCAAGGCTACAATCCGGCAGCAGATCTCCTCACAGTCTAATGGCTGATCAATTTGAGAAAATGGAATTTGGTGCGCCCGAAGGACTCAAGTGAGTGACAGAGAAACCAATTTGCTGTTCTAACAGGACAAGACCAACAAATCAAATGCAATCATCCACTCCTTCGACCACTCCAAGTCTTTCTCACTCTCAACTATCCCCAGAACCTTCCAATAATGTCGATAATGATTCTGCTCAAGTTATAACTCCTTGGGATGTTCAGGGCGCTGTCGTTGACGGTAAAACGGTAGCTGTCGACTATGACAAGCTTATTCTCCAGTTTGGTACAAAGCCTGTCGATAAAAGTCTATTGGAAAGATTTGAAAGGCTGACACAGCGTAAAGCTCACGTCTATCTCAGAAGAGGCATGTTCTTCTCTCATAGGTGTGTCATAACCTGGACTATGATCGATTCGTTAATCCCTTTCAAGAGAGCTTGATCGTATTCTTGATAGATATGAACAAGGAAAGCCTTTCTACTTATATACAGGTAGAGGTCCAAGTAGCGACAGCATGCACTTGGGTCATATGATTCCTTTCATGTTTACAAAGTGGTTACAAGATGTCTTTAATTGCCCATTGGTCATCCAGTTGACCGGTAAGTGACGTAAGATCGAAGCAATCTATAATTCAATTTTATCAGATGACGAAAAGTTTCTTTTCAAAAGCAATCTCAAGATTGAGCAGACACAAAAGTTTGCCAGCGAAAACGCCAAGGACATTGTGGCGCTTGGATTCAACCCAGACAAAACACTCATCTTCTCTGACTTTGATTTCGTCGGGTGAGTCTACGATTTCTCAATTATTTGCTTCTAATTATAATCAGAGGTCCATTCTATCACAACGTCGTTAGAATATCAAAGTTGATCACCTACAATCAAGCCAAAGCAGCATTCGGCTTTAATGAATCTGACTCAATTGGAAAGATACACTTTTGTTCAATTCAAGCTGCGCCATCATTTAGCAATAGTTTCCCAAACATATTTGGCTCCAAACACGATATACCGTGTTTGATTCCTTGCGCAATCGATCAGGATCCTTACTTTAGAATAACGCGCGATGTTGCAGCCAAATTAAAATATCCAAAACCTGCTTTGTTACATAGCAAGTTTTTCCCCGCATTACAAGGATCTCAAACAAAGATGAGCGCTTCTGATACTAATTCTTCTATATACATGACGGACAAACCGAACGAAATCAAAAACAAAATGAATAAGCACGCATTCTCTGGAGGTCAAGCATTGGCCGAAGATCACAGAAAGTACGGCGGTAACCCTGATGTTGACGTTTCGTATCAGTATCTTGGATTCCTGATGGATGATGATGATGAATACAAGAAAATTGCTGAAGTAAGTATTGAAAGTGATCGTGTTTATTCTACTCACCTCGTAATTAGGAATATCGTGCCGGTAACATACTCTCAGGTGAAATGAAGAAACTTTGCATCGGAGAATTGCAAAAGTTTGTTGCAAATTTCCAAGAAGCCAAGTCCAAAGTTACTAATGAAATGTTGCAATCCTTTATGGATCCTCAAAAGATCATCAATGGCTTTGATGGTGGGTGTCCTCTCAGATGCTGATGAAACTTTTCTTACTTGAAGAACTAGTCTTAAACACGCAAACCAAATAATAAGGTTGAAAGCATAACAATATTATAACTGTGTTACGTATTCGTATAAAGGTATATATTTACTAATTACAATTGTTTCTTGCCTTCAACGTTTTGGTGACTTGAAGGATTAAAGTTGTTAGATTCACCGTTTGTGTTAAAGTTTAACAACTCTGAAGGCTCGCTTTCATTGTCAGATGTTGAGGCCTCGCTGTCAACTTCTGATTTGTTAAAGTCGTTAATTGGATTGAGTCGTTCAATGTTGCCCTGAGCCGTCGCATCAACCTGCTTAGACTCAAAATCGGAGTTTGTAGCGACACTAGCTGCATCGAGTTGCTCGACGCTTTTTGTGTTCATTCTATTCATTTTCAAAGTGTCGCGTACCATATGTCTACCTTTCAAGATCTCCCGTTCTATCTTAAAGCGGTTTTCGACAATATGTAGTTTCGGCCACGTTGCCAACTGCCCCATTTTCATCATGCGTCTGTTGAAAGTGAGCAACGTTATTTAGTAATTGCAACAACTCACTTTAGTTCAGGCCTATCAGGATCCGACAATATATGGATCCAATCTAAAAACCTTGTCCGTGGCCAAATAGTTATGCTACCTTCAAACTGAGAGCTATAAGTTAGAGTTTTGAAATTCAGTAAACAAACAAACCTTTTGAAGAAATACAGATGAAAAATCCGTTGCTAATATCTCTGGCATTAATTCCAAGTCTCTAATAACCTATTATTCGTAAGATTTTTGTTCTGTGGAATACCTCATCAACAACTAACTTTTAAATTTTTGCTTAATTCCAGTTTGAGGTAGGATTCAGCTGCCTAGTGAATTGTGAGATTGATTGAAATACGCGGTAAATGCCCTTACAGCTAAAAAGAATCCACCACGCCATCCTTGACCTCTACGGTGAGCAACAGGTTTACCAGCAGATCCTAAAAGATATTAGTCAATTGAAATGATGCGAAACACATTTAACACCTCTTGGAGCGTAGAAAAACAAGTGAACATGAGGGTTTACTTGGGACACAATAGCGTGGTTGACTAAAGAGTATTAGAAATGCGAGTAGCGGAATAGTTATACTAAAGTACCATTATAAACTAACAGCTCAAATTAGAGAAAATAAAACCAATTGAAAGCTGAACTTACGAAGGTTTAACGACTGTAATGGTATATCAACTCTAATAGAACCATCCTTAAATCTAGCACCAAGACTAAAAGGCTCAATTGATCCATCTTTACATTTGCGCATCAGGACAACTGGTGGAAGGATCTAGAGTTTGTCAAATTTTGCATCTACGCGCAAAGATAGACATACACCTGGAACTGCTGCAGATCTATTCAAATAAATAAGTGAAAAGACTGAACAATAAGTAAAAAAGACTGAAAACGAACTTACGCGATAATGGCTGACCAAATTACGCAGTCGGGCGCTGTTAGATGATTTAAAATCTTTGTGGGACTGTGTCTATCAGATGGGGTAACAGATATATTCAAAGATCTCCCTGTTCGCTCGTAGGCGTCTTGAAATGTCATTGTACCTCTAGTGAAAAACATGGACTGTTTTTAAATTAGTCAAATCAAAAGATATGGGATCATCTAACCAACCTTCTCCGCCCAAGCTATTGTGTCAAAACGAGCACCCGTGCGCCACCATCTCGGGAACCAAACAGAGAAGGAATCTTCGCAAGCTTTAATCTTATCTGCTAGTTCTGGTCTGGTATATGGTCAGAACAGGACGCGCTGTGAACATGAACATGCTTTAATAATCGAGAAAGTTCCTTATCAGTGCGTGTTGCACAAAACGCTGCCACTAATCCACCTGCAGATGTACCAGTTATCACTCTAGGTAACAAGCCAGCTTCCAGAAATGCCTTAAGAACACCAAAGTGATAGCTTTTCAGACATGTAAGCAGAATTAAAGTTTGATCGTGCAGCTTACTATCCAAAGGAACCTCCTCCAGACAGACAAAGTGCTGACTGACCAAAATTGCGGTTAAAGGATTTAAAAAGGATACGCTTCTGTTCGATAGAGACAGAGGGATGATCGCGAAGAGTAGAAAGGGACCTGCTGACTAGAAGACCTAAGCTTTTGTTGTAAAGAGAGTTGATAGCTCACCCTCATTGATGTAGTCTTCAATCAGGACTTTGCTGCCGTAGAATGTCTAAAATGGCATGAGTTTTTTTTTTATAGAGCTAAAAAGTAAAATCACACACTTCACTATAAAGACGCGAGCTCTCAGTACCAGCAAAGTTGTTTTTGATGCAAATTTCAAGAACACCTATCAGGCCCTGAATGTCATCATTTTGACGCTTGTCTTTTAAGGAGGACAAGACCTAGAAATATAAGTAGAGGATAGTAGGAATGAAGAAGCTTACTTTCTGAACGAGTAAGGAATCATAGTAAATGCCGCTGTGATTATCGCTTTTCCATTTCTCGAGATCCAGATAGTGATCCATTTCAACGGCAGCTTTCTTCCAATCATGGAAATTGGTAGCATTTCTCATCTTTTGCCTTATAACAGCAGACTTGCCACGATCTGGAGGAGCTAATGAGTAGGTAAACAGGGGAATGAGGAATAACTGACGTTGAATAGCCCATTCCCAGAGATTTACGATTTGACGAACAGAGACGTAGAATATGAATTCGATAGTGATAGTGAAGAAAAGGATGATGAGGAGGGGATATCTGATTGTAGTGTATCCCCAGCTAAAGCCAGAAGAAACTTTGGGTTTACGTCTCCTGAGTTAGAGAGAGAGGATGAGAAAGAAGGAAGGGAAGGGGAAGAGACGTACCTCTTGACACGTTCATGTACAGGTGCAAAGTCGCTTAAAGCGGAAATGCGAGTGTCCTCATCGATGGAGTCAATTTGACTAAGGGCGAGTCTAAATGCTTGAATATGACTTTGAATGAGTTAGAATATGTATAAATATATGATATTCTTATACCTTTGATCAATATAATCATTATTGAGCTCATCATCAAGCTTATCAATCGATTTTAGTGATGGCATCGAGTTTTAAACAGATAAATTATCAATAAAATATTTTAGAAAGCTATTTTAGTATCCAAATCTTTGACTTCGCTTTCAACTTCCTCGTAGATCACTTTCCATTCTTCAAGCTTTTCCTTTGAATCTTCTTCACCTTTCTTTGATTTCGCTGACTTTGGTACGACCATCATACAGCTCGTTGGTCTCTTTGTACCAGAAGCTTCACCTAATTCTTCTTTGCTTGCGACGAATACGTATGGAATGGCAGATTCCTCACAAAGTACGGGGATGTGTGTTAGAATATCAATTGGTGATATGTTAGCAGCCATGATGACCACGCTTTGATATGCTTAATGTCTTGTAACTCATGAACAACATAACTCACCCCTTCTCACCCTTCTTTACACCTTTAACAACTTCCTTCACACCACGACGAAGATTACGAGTTTTTGCACCTTTTTTTTATTAAATTTTGTGTAACGCTGCTTAAATGATAATCAAACCTTTCTTTACACACTTGTGCACTTTCTTTGCCAATTTTTTACCTGCTAGTGGATGTGCTATCGGCGATAAACTTTCCATTGGAATTTCATCTTCCTCAGTCTTTGATTTTTTAGATTCCTTCTTAGGGCTGTCCACTGTAGCAGCTTCAGCATCATCCGCAGTAACCGATTTCCTCTTCTTCTTGGTCTCGTCTTTAGCCATTTGTGATTGTTTGAGTGGAAGGAGTGTAAGCTTAATTCAGCGAAACCCTAAGATGGGTTCCCGGGCGGGTGAAATTTAAAATTGACGGAGGAAAATAAGCTGAACGAGCTCATATTTTACGGTGGGTGAGGTGAAAATTTTCGGCTAAGCGACCATATGCTAGTAATTCTGGACGAAACGAGAAAATTTTTATCAAAAAGGAAAACTAGTGTGAAAGCAAAATATAGAACGAATATAGAATGATTACAAAGTTTAAAAAATAAAGAGATTTACACTTGGTTACGCATGTGTTCGACTTCTGGGAAGAAATGAGGCCATCGGGGAGAAACAGGTCGGATAACAAAAAGGCGCAGCCACAATCACTTAGTTGATAAATATGACTTATGCAGGAGAGCCATTTCCTTGTCTAACCTCACTATAACATCTTGCAAATGGCTTCAAACGTTCAATGAAGGGAGAAGATTATCACCAGGGAATTGGATTAATTATTTCGAATTACTATATAAATTATTTATTATTTATAATCATATTCATATTCATGTTTATCTTCTGTTACTTAATCATTCACTCTCATCACCCTCCCAGAAATGCTCGACAAGTCTTTAAAATCTATCCTTGTTTGTAATTATTTTATCATAATTACCCTTCTCATTCCTATCTCAGCCTTTATTGGATAGCGGCGATCACTACGGCGCTCATCAACGTACTAGAACTGCCGCTGCCAGGTTATCCAGGAATGGCATTCAAGGTCAATATACTGCTATCGAATTGCTTTTCATCGTTTCAAAGTCTTTACTCGAAAAGTCTCAATGGGCTTCCGGCGTAGACGTTTCTATCATGATGATTGATGCTATGGCTAAATTAGAGGCTCCTTGGGAGCCTACTCACAAAGCTCACGTTACTCAATTGATTGGATTATGTACCTCTCAATCTACTTGGAGGAAAAAGCTTATCGACGCTGCCATATCGTCTGTCTTACCTCTTTTTTGTCTTCTTTCGCTTATGTCACTTTAGTTCCAGCGCGAAATCTTTCAATATACCCTCCGGTCATCCTGATATTCTTCAATACATAGGTAATCTCTACTACAAAGGTATTTTACATTTTCTTTCTCTTGATTTTTCTTATCTTCATTCCGTCCAGAATCTTCATTTAACGTGGCAGAACATTACTTGATGCTTGCTTCAAAAAAGGAATCTGCTACAATCCTTGCTAAAATGTACATGCAGTGGGCACTTTCCAACAATCAATATCATGACGATGTCGGCCGTTTTGCTTTGAGAGGTGTTCTTGGGTAAGTCATGCGTCTGAAAAAGCATGGATTACATTTCTAACTATCTTAATAGTTTCATATTAGCTGAACAAGTCGAATGTGCCATTACTTTTACTCTTAACTTTTTAATAGAGTTACAATTATCTCATCCTAACACTATCCTTGAATCTCAACCTCTTGATGGCATAACTTTAACACAATCACATACCCTAAACTTCGCCCAACTAATCATTGCATGCATTCAAAGGAGCGGTACATCAAATATTGCACAGGAGTGGAAGTCATTGGTAGATTATTATCGAAACTCTAGTTCCATTGTAAACACTCAACCTGTTACTCAAGTAGGTATTACTAGCGTTATATTTCAAGCTAATTAGTATAGGCTTGTGCAAAGATTGGTTCTCTCTACTTTGACATCAAACCAATGCAGTCCAGTGGTAACATGATGGATATCATGTCTTCTTTGCTCGGTGGTGCCCCTGCTCAATCAATTTCCAAACGTAAGTTGGCAAATACGTCAGTTGGTGAATTAGATTAGACTTGACTATTTTGTTTAATTATACATACCGCATCCGCATCGAGGTTCAGTGAGATAGTGCTTTTGACTGTGACATTAAATGTTACTCATTGATTGGGGTTTCAGGCTTTTGAGAACCACGCTTATTCAAAAAACTGTCCAAAATTACAATCAGAATGGATGCGTAAAAAAATTGATTAGCAAACTCAGCAAATTATTGAGGCTCGAATATATCTTGACAGTGATTTATCTATAGTTGATGAATTGTATGTTACACAAAACATGGGCAAGAGTTAAAAATATATCATTAGACGCATTAACGCTTTTAAAGCACGGTGAAAGACATTTAACTTGCTGTTAGATTCTTGACACGCTAACTCTAGCCACATCACCTACCATACGTCCTTAATATCGCTCTTCTAGGATTTAAACCGCCGAATGAAATCCATGACTATTCATATTTATTCTGATCACGCCTTTGTTCAGAATAAATATAAAATTTACATATTATTGGTCTTCGCTGATTACACTTCTTTCTATTTGATTGTTCGCTCGTTGAACAAACCATTCATTCCACAACCCAGCAGTCTAAACCAACATAATGGAAGAAGGTTGTAAAGAATTCTAACCGAGTAATATTCATAGAGAAAACGAAATACTTTTGTTAGGAACAACGGCTGAGAAAAGAATGATAAACAATACAGATATACACTTTGTGGAAAAATTTCGAAAGGCTGAAGGCTGATGGAAAGAAAAGTGACTAAATTATTGTTCGTAAATGACGGAACTAATCGAGCCTAAGTGAGGGTCTACCTCAAGAATGAAGGACCTTGCACGCCCACGGTTGAGGCATTTGGCATATCTGGCGGAGGTACACTTCCCAAGATGGGGTGGTCTTGCGCCAGTGCTCGAGGATCTCAAGCGAAACTGGCCAGGTGTTTCACCGGCTGACAGGACTAAGGGAAATCACCGCGTGCATGAACGAGGTACATGCTTTGCTTTCTTCTCCTCTTCCTCGCAGCTTATTAAACTTCTTACTTGTCTTGCGGGGTCTAAGCTTGCTTCAATGCTATCTTCTCTTCATTCTAGAAAAGGATGGGGGTCGTATTCTAGATGTCGTCGACCTCGCACTGCCCATCGTAATAGGGTGCGATTAGGGGCAAATAAAATTATTGAATGAAGAGCAATTGAAACAAGACTTCATAAAATTCAGGAGTCATTTTGCGATATTTAGGATGGAAATTTCACCTCCCGCTGAATCTACTAATCATGATGCCATAATTCGAACACTAGGATATGTTAAGGGAATATGTATCTATACTAATCACTATGCGTACTGCTTCCGGCTAACCTTATCTAGTATATAATGTTTCCTAAGCTAAGCGCTTTGGCTTGGCTGATGCTTGTTCATGATCGTAAAGTGGTAGTGGTGCCAAACTATAGAAAAGAGCCATGATTGTATGTCTTTCAAGTTTATTTGCAAGGATCACATTGACTGATCAATTCCCAGAACGTCGCTGGTGTATGATAACCACTGAGTTGATGCCGGCAGAAGGGAGTAAGTTTCATCAGAGTTTAACAAGTGCGTAAAAAAGTTTTGCAATCATAACAAAATCACATTTATTAATATCTCATAACAGTTTCACTGCGTTCGAGCCCCACAATAACTTCATCTTTTCTCCCTGAAAAGCTTCCTCATTGCGATTAGCAGGATGACGATAGGATAAATAGGAAAACAAGATATATACTCGCTATAGGTAGCTGTAGAAGCAAGTAGAATTGCTACTTAGAGCTCAATTCATTAAGAAGAATTATTGACCGCTTTGGCGGCAAGAGCCCTACGTCTATTAAAATCCAGAAAAATTAAAAAATTAACTAGCTAGCTAACCCAAGGTAGTCGCAATAGTCATTATCACTGTAATATTTAGAGCTTTGCAGAAAGAGGCATGTTTTCTCATTTTGCCAAGCCGACCACTAGACTAACCCTTATAGTTGACATCTGACCCTAACTTTTTCAAGGGCTGCTTAATATGAGTTTTTAAGGTTGTCTCCCTATTAAACTACATATATGGCTCAAATATTATTTCAAAGGTCGATAATTCTTTGAATTACTATGAAGGCTAAATAGTAAGTTTGAAGTGGAGCTCCAAAGTAAGTTACATAAAAAGCTCCCTATTTAATTTTCAAGGTGGCTTACGGGTCATTTTAAAGTGTGGCTAACTAGTAATATTCAAAGATGTCTTACTAGGAATGTTCAGGGGTGTCTCACTAAATATATCTCAATAGTAATTATTAATTTAAAAGTGTGAGTTATTGCGATATTTCTGAAGTAAATCACCGACAATGTTCAAGGTTTCCTCGCCAATAATACCTAATAATGGCTTACTTTTAATTATAATAAATGTCTCATCAATTTCAAGAATCGATGGATCACTAGCAAAGTTAGGATGTGACTAATCATCAGCCAAAGTCAAGCAAGTGTGCCCAATAATTCAAAGGGAATATGAGCACACCCGAAGCTGTTCTTGACCAGATGAGCTCCTATTAGAATTCCGGCGCATGATATACTACGGTTCATTCACATCAGTTAATCTTTCGAACACGATTGATACCACTAGAAACGCTAAATTTTACGACAGCACATATGGAAACGGATTGCCATTTTCTTCATCGAGACAATTCATCAAAAAGGGTAAAATCAATCACAGACCGGCTAAGAACAACAAATTTATGACGTAGAAACTATAAAACAAGTTCCAAAGTGAAATGTTTCGCTGTTTCACGATATGACCAACCCAAATTGAGTGTCGATGCGTTGGTCTATTAAATCATGCTTGCATAAAAAACAAAAAAGTTCTACCAAACAGATGAGAAGCAAATAAAACATGCAAACGTGCTTATCAGGGCAAAAAAAAACATTGCACCGTGCCGACTGCCAAAGTCCCAGGCGAAAAATGGAATTGGAAATGGTCAAAACATGCGTCAGTTGAAACAGGGTGATAGATCTCCATGCATTAATAAATATTAGATAATGAAAATATGAACAATGAGACAAAAACACAAACGGACACAAAAAAAGCCATGGAATGAAACTGTTCAACTTCTTCCATTTTGTTAAGTACATAAAAATCTGTAATGATATGCAACAAAATGTCCCCCGTTTGAAATCAATTGAAAACAACGAAGACCTAAGAAAGTAATGTTATAGAATGACCAAGAACGTATCAGCTACTTTGCGGTTATATAAGTTGAAGATACTGTTACAGGAGGGCAACGTCAATTCTTTGTAAGCCGATTAAAGACGATGGCATCCTTATACTTGATTTAAACTTTTCTAAAAATCAAGCTGGTTGGTATATTTTTCTTTTGAAAGTCTTGGAGTAAATATTGTCAAGTAGCAATAATCACTGAAATATTAATAATATACAAATTAATGTAAAAAAGTTTGGCACTAAAACAAGTTAATTCAAGGACAAAAAAACATCACTTTCCATTTAAGTAATTGCGTTAGCTGCGATAACATAGCATTACAGTTAAACTTAAATTGTTCATTTTTAAATATTAATCGAGAGTCCGAACTTTTCTCCTTTTCACGTAGTGGCTTTTTGAAAAACGTTTTCCAACGAAGGAAAAGTAGGTCTCGAAGAATTATTCATCATTGAGAGCAATTTTGCTAATTGTCAAGCTCAACAGTTAGAGTATTTGGTTTATGTTCATCTTTTATGTCAAAAGAGATTTGCTAACTCGGATGTAAAAACAAATTGAAGTTTAGCAAAATAATGAATAAATCTTAATTTATGGCAAAATTAACGCTCAAAAAAAGAACATTTCTTCCACCTACTTCGGCAGTGAAAGTAAATTTATAATAAATATTTATGAAATCATGCCAATACTGTCATTACATATATTTGCATATTTTTGCATAGCGAATTTCTAGATTCTTATGAACCAGGTTCTGAGTAGCTTTAAAGAGAGACAAAATTCCAAAATTTACCCCTATTGAAGTTTCTTTGCCTTTCTTCAAGGTCGCGTAGATATTAAGGTTTTCTTTTAATTTGGTACATGATTATTTACAGGCAATTTGCTATCCCTCCTTGACAAAAAAAAAAAAATTGTATTCAGACAATGAATGGGTAACGAAGTCCGCTACAACATAGCGATGTTCTCATTTATTTTGGACAACCTAGATGTGGTGTCATTATCCCATTATTATAACTTTAAAATCGTCTAGTTACTTCGTCAAAGCAGACATCACTTTACAAACTTTACAAGTTAAAAACTCATATCAAGCAGCCCTTGAAAAAGTTAGGGTCAGATGTCAACTATAAGGGTTAGTCTAGTGGTCGGCTTGGCAAAATGAGAAAACATGCCTCTTTCTGCAAAGCTCTAAATATTACAGTGATAATGACTATTGCGACTACCTTGGGTTAGCTAGCTAGTTAATTTTTTAATTTTTCTGGATTTTAATAGACGTAGGGCTCTTGCCGCCAAAGCGGTCAATAATTCTTCTTAATGAATTGAGCTCTAAGTAGCAATTCTACTTGCTTCTACAGCTACCTATAGCGAGTATATATCTTGTTTTCCTATTTATCCTATCGTCATCCTGCTAATCGCAATGAGGAAGCTTTTCAGGGAGAAAAGATGAAGTTATTGTGGGGCTCGAACGCAGTGAAACTGTTATGAGATATTAATAAATGTGATTTTGTTATGATTGCAAAACTTTTTTACGCACTTGTTAAACTCTGATGAAACTTACTCCCTTCTGCCGGCATCAACTCAGTGGTTATCATACACCAGCGACGTTCTGGGAATTGATCAGTCAATGTGATCCTTGCAAATAAACTTGAAAGACATACAATCATGGCTCTTTTCTATAGTTTGGCACCACTACCACTTTACGATCATGAACAAGCATCAGCCAAGCCAAAGCGCTTAGCTTAGGAAACATTATATACTAGATAAGGTTAGCCGGAAGCAGTACGCATAGTGATTAGTATAGATACATATTCCCTTAACATATCCTAGTGTTCGAATTATGGCATCATGATTAGTAGATTCAGCGGGAGGTGAAATTTCCATCCTAAATATCGCAAAATGACTCCTGAATTTTATGAAGTCTTGTTTCAATTGCTCTTCATTCAATAATTTTATTTGCCCCTAATCGCACCCTATTACGATGGGCAGTGCGAGGTCGACGACATCTAGAATACGACCCCCATCCTTTTCTAGAATGAAGAGAAGATAGCATTGAAGCAAGCTTAGACCCCGCAAGACAAGTAAGAAGTTTAATAAGCTGCGAGGAAGAGGAGAAGAAAGCAAAGCATGTACCTCGTTCATGCACGCGGTGATTTCCCTTAGTCCTGTCAGCCGGTGAAACACCTGGCCAGTTTCGCTTGAGATCCTCGAGCACTGGCGCAAGACCACCCCATCTTGGGAAGTGTACCTCCGCCAGATATGCCAAATGCCTCAACCGTGGGCGTGCAAGGTCCTTCATTCTTGAGGTAGACCCTCACTTAGGCTCGATTAGTTCCGTCATTTACGAACAATAATTTAGTCACTTTTCTTTCCATCAGCCTTCAGCCTTTCGAAATTTTTCCACAAAGTGTATATCTGTATTGTTTATCATTCTTTTCTCAGCCGTTGTTCCTAACAAAAGTATTTCGTTTTCTCTATGAATATTACTCGGTTAGAATTCTTTACAACCTTCTTCCATTATGTTGGTTTAGACTGCTGGGTTGTGGAATGAATGGTTTGTTCAACGAGCGAACAATCAAATAGAAAGAAGTGTAATCAGCGAAGACCAATAATATGTAAATTTTATATTTATTCTGAACAAAGGCGTGATCAGAATAAATATGAATAGTCATGGATTTCATTCGGCGGTTTAAATCCTAGAAGAGCGATATTAAGGACGTATGGTAGGTGATGTGGCTAGAGTTAGCGTGTCAAGAATCTAACAGCAAGTTAAATGTCTTTCACCGTGCTTTAAAAGCGTTAATGCGTCTAATGATATATTTTTAACTCTTGCCCATGTTTTGTGTAACATACAATTCATCAACTATAGATAAATCACTGTCAAGATATATTCGAGCCTCAATAATTTGCTGAGTTTGCTAATCAATTTTTTTACGCATCCATTCTGATTGTAATTTTGGACTGAGCGGAGGCAAATACTAACACAAAGGATAGCCGAATAACCCGATGAGAATGACAACATACTACAGTGCACTTCAAATTCTAATTCATAGTAGCCATTTAATTCTTTTCGTGTGAATTTAAAAATAATGGATTGCACGCAATTCTATATGAAATGTACAATGAATCTCGCGGAATGGGTATTTAATAATTAGTTGTTGTAGTTTAGGCTTGCGGAACTTAGCCTACGCAAAGATGTTCTGGTTGAATTGTTAAATTGATCTTGTTCTTTAGTATGGTCATAAGACGGAATATTTGCATTTGCAAATTCATATGTAGTTGTAGCAGCGCTTGGACTTGACGTATTAGCAAATGGTGTAATGGTCCCGCTAGTATTTGACATAGAGCCCCGCTTATATGACATCTTCTTTGAGGGAGTGATACCAAAGCGAGATTTTACACTACAGATTGAAGGTGATCGTGAGACTGAGGGATCACTAGACGATTCGGTTTTAGGCAAATCACTGTTAATTAGAGAGTTTCTTTGCGAATTTGAAGACTTATTATCAATCAAATCATTTTCTTCGAGTTGTGTTGAATGAGAATAGAGGGACATTCTTTCAGTATTGCTTGCAATTGTTTGAGACTCGTGTGACTGATTCAACTTGGCTTGTTCATGACATAGCTGTGTCGATTTAAAGTGATCTTTCAAATCATTCCAAGGTAAGTTATTTTCTTTGAGAACAGTTTCAGTATTCTTATTATAAAGTGATTTTGATTGAGAATCGACAGCATTTAGTCTATTCTTCAAAGTCATAAAGGCTGATGACTGAGGTAATATCATCAAAAGACCATATAAGCACTTGAAAAGGAATGGATTTTGATCTGGTTCAAGTAATTGTAGTCTTAAACCAATGAAAACTGGGGATTCAATTAATTGAACAAGTTTGTCAACTTGAACGAGTAAATCGACATTGACGTGTAAATCCGAAATGATGTATAATAATTCACTGGCGTGTTGATAGTTCTGAGAGAGCAAACATAGAGTAAAAACTGAGATTGGATTATGTGACCAAGACTTGTAAATTTTGCAAAATAATGATTTATCTTGATCAGTTTCGATGTTTTTCAAAGATTTACGTAAGTCTGATAGTTCGGGTGCAGTAATCAAAACAATAGTTAGCTTTTGTATCAAGAAACTAACAAAATCGAAATCATCTTCAGATTGAATAATATCGGCCAAGGCTTGATAGATCTTAGAAGAGCCCAAACTTAAAGATAGTTGGCGAATAATCAAAGAACCGCGAAGATCTAAAAATCCACGGTCTGTAGAGAATAATTGAATCAAATTTTTCATGAACGCTATAAAGTAACTGAAATCAGAAACTTTGGAAATTTGAGCTAAAAGACGAAGGTTCCTTTTAATGACGTGCTCTGACGGATCGGAAAGAGTTTTGAGTAAAGCAGGAAAGGTGGCATCATCCAAACTGAAGATCTAGAAGACAGATTATTATAAAAGGCCAAAGGAAGAAGATACTAACCTCTTGGGGAGATATAGACTGTAACATCAACATCCAATCTAAAGCAGCAACTCTGGTTTGAACGTTATCATTCAACAGTTGCAAAGTTAGATTTGATAAAGTTAGCTGATAATCAAAGTTTTCAATAGAATGTAATGAACCTTTAATGATATTGAATAATTTGGAATTCAACTGATCAACTAAATGCTGGGTGTGAGGATTGTGATGAGAAAGGTATGGTAAGATTGTTGGAATCAATCTGGGAGTAAGAGGAATTAGAAGAGAAGGAGCAGAATCGAACAAAGAAGATAACCAATGAATTGCAGAGAATTGAATGACTTCATCTTGAGAGTTTAAATGATTAAACAGAGTTTCAGCGAGTTCAAAGTAATTGGGTTGAGATTGATTTGATTGAATATTAGATAAAAAGTTATTTAATAACGATTGAGTGGCCGATCTAACGTCAGGACTCGAATCAGACAGATAACGCAATAAAGCGTCAAGAATCTTGGGTAGATGGGATATCAAATCGTTGCTGTTGATAGAATCGAATAAGGAAATCCAAGAAAGTAAAAACATTCTGGTGAAAGGAGAAACGACGTAAATTCTTTTCGATAGTAGTTGAATAAAGTGATTCAAATTGAATTGAGAATAAGACTCGGTGACTATGTCTTTTATTAGTCTATCTAATAACTCACTACCATTCTTGACAGAGAGTTCAGAATCGGAGGAGAGTTTATTAAGACAATCGAATATTTGATCAAAGTGAGGCAAAAGATTAGATCTGGAAACTTTTGCGATGTTGTACATGGATTCGCAAGTGAAGTATCTAATTCTAGGATCAATATCGTTGAAGCAGGAGAGTATAGGTTTAATAATGATGTCTAGATAATGAATTAGTTGATCATCTAAAGCAACAGCGGCAGCTGCTAAACCAATTAAGCCACCATTCTTGATATTTGAATGATTCTCTTTATTAAATGAGGAAGCTAGCTGATCAATAATTAGTTTTATTTTATTTGTTTCATTCTTAAATAAAAATTCTTTCAACTGCTTTTCCAATTCCAACGCAGCAGATTTCCTCCTTTCATACTTTTGGTCATATAAGCTTCTTGATAAGTGATGGTCCATTTCAAACAAGTCAATAAATCTTATAGACCGAATAACTATGTGAGCGATTTTGGATGGATGAAGTATGAGTTTATAATTGTAATAGGAAGTTTCAGATGGATTACGTAGAGCAAGATTACCTTTCTTAACGAGGAATTTGGTAACGGCGTTCACAATATTGTCGTTTACAGGGGGAGTGTATTATTATTCAATAGCGGCAGTTAAACAAGATGATTTTAGTGTGAGTATGGAGTTGTTAGAGGGTGTAGATAGTGGTACTGATGCTTTCAAAGGACGTTAAACCATTGATGATTAATAATCATGATTCGAATAAGAATACATCGATAGATGATAGCAACAGGAATAACAATAGTAATGTCAATCAAGATATCGGTATCCTCAATAGAATACTAGGATACAACGGCTATAAAACATCAAGCAGTTTATTAGTAACTGATGCACCAAATTTAAATAATTTAGGTAAAATGTAAAATTATCCATGAATACAAGCTCATATCAATTCAACGATGAACCAAAACGATTTTAGACAGTTAATCAGTCAGAGTAATCAGTCTAAAAAGCATGAAAATCTGAAAAATCTAAACAAGAATGATAAAAAGAGATTGTCCAATCTATCCACCTTATCTAATGATATTCAACTACTCGCTCAATCAAAAGGCTTAAATTTAGATGAAATCAATAAACAAAAGCTCAATAAATCTAAAGAAGTTGATGAGCATGTTCAATCAGAATTAGACTCCGTGATCAGTAACATAAAACCTCCTACTAATCAACAACATCATTCAAATAAAAGATCTCGTAATGACATACTAGCCGAATTAAAGCGATCTAAACTTGATCATCAGTTTGATGATTCTGCTTCAACCCAACATACCTATAAGCCTCCTTCTCCCGATGCCTTGAACTCTGATGATGACATTTTCAACGATACCAACGATAAGTATCAGCCACCCATTTTATCTGATAGCGATAGCAATAGTGATAGCGGTAGCCATAACAATATCGATACTACTTCGAAAGACATTCAATCACCATTTTCACAACCGCAATCACCACAAATCTCACAATCACCTCTACGGAAAAACTCCCTCTCCCCCTCTCCATCCCCTGAACTAGACATCTCTGGTAGATTAGTCGGCTTAACTTCAACTGCACTACCCAACGTCGCCCAACGCATTCAATCTGATAAAGACGCTGAAATAGCTGATCAACGTAAACAACGTAAACAAATTTGGCTAGCTAAGCAAGGCATCAAGAAGGACACTGGTGACAACCCTGAACCTCCACCCCAAAAGACTCAAACTGACTCTCAAAAGTTAAATTCAGACTATCAAAGGTATGTTATAGTCTTGACATTCAATCAATTAATAAGGTTACATTCACAGAATCAACGCTTATATACAAAAAAATAAAAAATAAATAAACCCTACTATACAATCCTTTCCTTCATCTACCAGTATCTTTACGCATTTGACATTTCGACTGGTACTGTTTCATAACCATTCTTTTGTAACTTTAATGGTCTAGTTGTAATCAGATCCCATATCTTATTTAAACGACCTGTAAAATCATTCTTCATCTTGTTTGTGATCCTCTCTCCTTCTTCGAATCTTGGCTTCCTCCACAGCTTCAACGTTAGGCTGTTTACGACAACTGAAACTGACGAACACGCCATCGCCAACCCTGCCATCATCGGATGTAAATGAATATTCCAAGGCAAGAACATTCCCATAGCTAATGGTATAAAAATTGTGTTATACCCACAAGCCCACAAGAAGTTCATCTTTATCTTCTTCATTATCGCTTTTGATAACTTGATTGAGTTATAAACATCCTTGATTTCTCCTTGCCTCATCAATACTATATCTGCTGCTTCAATTGCAATAGATGATCCAGAAGCCAAAGCTATTCCCACGGATGCTGCAGCAAGTGCAGGTGAATCATTTATTCCATCTCCCACCTGTACCTATATTAGTTTTTTTAAACAGTAAAATTTCAACTGACCATTGCTACACCTCCATCATTATCATCAATCATTGTAATCACCCTTTCTCGCTTTCCTTTCGGACTAACACCTGCAAATACTCTATTTTTTGCTATAAAAGCTTTTTCTGCTATTGACAAAGCGGTGTTCATTTGATCACCAGTCATCAGGTAGCTTTCGATTGAGATATTCGATAACGACCTAATTGTTTCTCTAACATTTGACTTAATTTCATCGCCAAGTGCGATTACCACTATTGGTTCTGATTGAATAGTCACATATACTATTGTAAAGCCTTTTTCTGAATTTATATTCCTAAACTGTTCCAGGTCCTTTGGCTCTTTTATTCCTTTATGCAGTATTGTTTGATTACCAATTTCGACTTGCAAATCAATTGAAGACTTATCGGATAATAACAAGGATACTTCTGATTCAACACCTTTACCTGTATGTGATAACCAGCTCTTGATTGAATAGACATCGTCATTATTATTATCAACGATAACTTTATTGTTGAAATGATTCATAATTGCTTGACCCAGTGGGTGCTCACTCTTTGATTCCACAATCGATATAATCTTCATCACTTGCTCTTTTTTGAAACCTAATGAATGATAACCACCTCTGAATGCATCATCATTCCATGCAACAGAAGTAACGTTAATGTTCCCTTCAGTTATTGTACCAGTCTTATCCCAAACTATTCTTCTAATTTTGCTGGCTTGCTCTAATGCTTGACCACCTTTTATCAAAATTCCATTCTGAGCACCAACACCTGTACCAACCATTACAGCAGTTGGTGTTGATAATCCTAAAGCGCATGGACATGCGACAACAATAACTGAAATGCAAAGTTTCAAACAAACTGCAAATCTACTAACACCAATTTGATTGAATATGTGAGGTAAAGAGGATTTTGGTATAATCAAATAAGAAAGTATCATCCAGACCGAGAATGTTAATAATCCAAGTAAAATAACCGTTGGCACAAAGTAGCCAGCAATTCTATCGGCAAATGCTTGAATAGGGGCTTTAGAAGTTTGAGCATCTTCAACCAACTTTACTATTTGCGATAATGCCGTATCTGTACCTGATCTTGTAACACAAACATCAATAGATCCATTTATGTTCATTGTACCACCGGTAACAACATCCCCTTTTGATTTGGGTACCGGTATGGGTTCACCTGTAATCATACTTTCATCAATTAATGAAGTACCTTTACAAACACAACCGTCTGCAGGTAATCTCTCTCCAGGTACCAACTTAACTATGTCACCCTTTTGTAACAATTCCGTTGGTATCTTTTTTTCGTCGAAATGTACTTGATCTTGGTTTGATTCATCATAATTTGTGTAAATAACAGCTGAACTTGGAGCCAATTGTAATAAATCTGATAAAGCTGTACTAGTTTTACCCTTTGCTAGATTCTCCAAGTATCTACCAAGCGTGACAAACGTAATCAACATTGTTGATGTATCAAAAAACGTTTGAGGTATTACGCTATCACTAGACCAAGTGAAAACGCTTGATACCATAACACCTGCACTATAAACAAAAGCAGCTGTTGTACCAAAAACAACTAAAACGTCCATTGTGGCTGATTTGTGAAGTAAACTTTTATAAGCCGGCTTATAGAAGAGTTTACCGATTCCAAATTGAACTGGAATTGTTAAGACTAGACAGATAAGATCACCAATTGTCAATCCACGCCATAAGTTGAAGATAACAAAAGGTTTAACTGAAGGTATCATTGGTAAAAGCATTCCAATTAGGAAGACGGGTATAGCGAATGTGGAGGAATACTTCAGAGCGTCTTTCCATTGATTAACTTCCTTGATTCTAGATAAGGATTTTAATTGACTATCATTCCTGTCATCACGGATCATTGAATCGAAACCCGCATCCTGGATGGCTTCAACGATATCTCTAACGCCAATTTGATCAGCATTATAATGAACTCTAGCGAATTCCATTGGTAATGAAATATCTGACGAGATAACGCCATCTAAATTTGATAAAGCTGATTGTATTGATGAAGTGCACGAAGAGCACGTCATGCCATAAATGGAGATATCAATAACGGACTTTGAGTTTAAATTAGTCAAAGCTGTTGCTTCAAATCCCATTTCTCCTATTTCCTTTTATAATTTTGTCAAATTGTCTATAAATAGGTATTACAACTCACGTTAGCGAGCTTTTCAGGATCCCAGTAATCTTTGATATAATTTATAGTTGCCTTTTCTGATAACAGCGCGACTTGAATGGATTCAACCCCTTGTAATTTCCCTATATAACTCTCGATACTCTGTAACGTAAGGAAGTCAGCGTAAAGAGAAACAATGAATAATATTAGATGACAAACCTGTACACAAGAGCTACATGTCATGCCTTCTACTTTAAGCGTGCAATTCTCGATTGCTGTACTTTCCATCATGAAAGTTGCGTTGTACGTCCAAAGCTATTAATCAAATGCGATAAAATCCGTGATACAAATAAAATAAATTATCAATTACTCTAATTCCTTCATAGACCTTGTAGCAGTACCGCGCTTTAATGGTTTCAATTGATCATCAGAGCGCTTCCAACCAATGACATTTATAATCTGGAATGTGGCGGGTATAGTTCCATCTTGGTTGCCATGTAATGATTTGTAGATCTCTGAAGCTGCTATTAGAGTATCCCTTGAAATATGCGTTCTTCTTCCATTTATTGCGTTTGATTCACCCATGAACTTGAGATCCTCCATCAATTCGAACATTGAAGGATAATTAATGATGAGATCATCAATATCAATAGTCAGTAATGTAAATCCAGCTCTGTTCATTAAATTGCCGACATCTGTCGTATCTGTCATTGGTGAAACATGAGGACCGAAGCCACCCCAGCGTTCTTGTTCAGCTAGTTGTAATGAAGTGCGTAATTCAAATAACGTATCACCACCAAATAAGCATCCCAAGAAAGGGCTATCTGGTTTTAATGCGCGATTAAATTGAATCAAAGCACCAGGTAAATCGTTAACCCAGTGTAAACCCAAAGATGAAACGATAATATCAGTTGAATTGGGATTGAATATGTTATCAAATGAAGGGTTCTCTTCATCAATTTGAATCCTATTTGGTATCTCTAATCACGATTAGCTGAATATCAGCCATTTATGAAATTCAAGCTTACTAGCAAAGTATACATCGCTATCTTGATCTCTTAAAACAGCTTTAACTGTTCAAATTGTGAGAATAACTCAATGAATTAAAAGTAACTAACCTGACGAATCAGCGATGTTTATATCATCAGCCAATTCCTCTTCATCTAAAACTCTTGCAGCCTGATTGGATCCACTGCCAATACAAATAGCTTTAGTGTATCTCCTCTTTATATCAAGAAGCCTGTCCCTAAAGCTCTCTCCAACCTCATTCTTTATATAATCTACTGTCCTTGAATCTTGTAGGTTACTGGCTGCTACTTCCTTTTGCCACGTCTTTGTACTTCTATCAAAGACATTAAAAACTGAAGGCGTAGGCTTTTGAATTGAATTTAAATTTGAATGAGTTGCAAATCCTCTGAGATTCTTTATATTTCTCAATATCATGATAAATGCACTGGTTAAAGAGGTGAAATGTAAATTTATTTTCAAAATTCAACAATATACGGATATCATTGGATATCATAACGCTGTAATTTAATATTCTCCCTCTTCCTCAACTCCGTCTGCAGAATCAACTCCAACTTCTTCGTAATCCTTCTCAAGTGCTGCAAGATCTTCTCTAGCCTCTGAGAATTCACCCTCTTCCATACCCTCTCCAACGTACCAGTGAACAAAGGCGCGCTTTGAGTAAAGTAAGTCAAATTTGTGATCAAGACGTGCCCATGCGTTTGCGATTGCTGTGGTGTTTGAAAGCATACATAATGATCTTGATACCTTGGCGAGATCACCACCTGGAACCAAAGCTGGTGCTTCATTACAGATACCAAGCTTGAATCCAGTTGGACACCAATCAACGAATTGGATGGTACGCTTCGTCTTGATTGTTGCAACTGATGCATTAGCATCCTTTGGTACAACATCACCTCTGTAAAGCAAGCAACATGCCATATATTTACCTTGACGTGGATCACACTTAACCATTTGGTTGCCTGGGTCAAAGCAAGAGAATGTCATCTCTGAAACCGAGTTTTGCTCATGTGTTGCTTTCTCTGCTGATATTATTGGTGCGTAAGATGCCAATGGGAAGTGAATACGTGGGAATGGTACCAAATTCGTTTGGAATTCGTTAAGGTCAACGTTAAGTGATCCATCGAATCGAAGTGATGCAGTAACTGATGAAACAACTTGAGCAATAAGTCTGTTCAAATTGGTGTAAGATGGGCTTTGAATACCAAGTCTGTTACGGCAAATATCGTAGATAGCCTCGTTGTCAACCATGAAAGAACAATCAGAGTGCTCAAGTGTAGTGTGCGTAGTGAGAACACTGTTGTATGGTTCAACAACTGATGTTGACATCTTTGGTGATGGGTAAACTGAGAATTCAAGTTTCGACTTCTTTCCGTAATCGAGTGAGAGACGCTCGAGGAGAAGTGCTCCGAAACCAGAACCGGTACCACCACCGAATGAGTGGAATACAAAGAATCCTTGAAGACCTGAACAGTTATCCGCAAGACGACGAACTCTGTCGAGTACTGAGTCTACGAGTTCTTTACCAACCGTGTAGTGACCACGAGCGTAGTTGTTGGCTGCGTCTTCCTTACCGGTAACCAAAGTTTCTGGGTGGAAGAGTGATCTGTATGGTCCAGTTCTAACCTCGTCAACTACGTTTGGCTCAAGATCGACGTAGATGGAACGAGGAACGTGCTTGCCTGATCCCGTTTCAGAAAAGAAAGTTGAGAATCCATCATCGTTAGCTGATGGTGAATCTGGCATAAGACGACCATCTGGCTGTGAATTTTGTTATTATTGAGTTCTGTTTATGTGAAAATTTTCAGCTTACTGAGAGACCGTGCTCAACGGTGTAGAGTTCCCCTGATACGCGTTAAATTTGATTTCAATAGATTTTAATCAACCCACAGCAAGCGTTACCGATTTGTACACCTGCTTGACCGACGTGCTATTGACAGTGAGTTGACGTGGCGCAGGAAATAGTTTAGACTTACGACGGAGATAACTTCACGCATTCTTAATTATTTATTGAATTTATTGGTATTTAACTGAAAGGGGCCTTGACTCTCGCAAATAAGGGTGCTTTAGAGAAAAGACTTGGTCGTACGGACTCAAGTGCGTCGCGTCTATAGATACGTGATGTATAAAATTTACAAGTCAGTGGAAATCCAACTCAAATATCATTCGTAACTTTGAACAACTTTTCATTGCCCCAGTCTCACCTCTTAACTTCGTCTCAATCTCTTTTTGACTTTGGCTCCTTACTCAATTCACAACGGCATCAAGTCATTTATATCTAATTGATTGCATGCAATTTCAAGTGGTATGACATAAATATTAGTTTCAGACCGTTACCCAGCATCTTTTGCAAACTCATCGCTGTGTTCCTCATTTTCATCATCGTTGAACCTAACCTCTTTTCTGTCTTGATCGTTGCTTAAAGGTGACGTACTGCTACGATCGCTAATATCCAACGAACCTTCATTTGTATGCACCTCGTTTTCATTTGCGCTCTCCTCTATCGTCTTTGTTAAAGGTGCCAGGAATCCATTATTCTGCAGTGATGCCAACATATCTGCTGCCATAGCTGCTTCATTACCTGGACCTGATAAATCTGATTGACTTTGCGAGGCATGAGGTACAGAGCTCCTTCTGTTTCCCTTCCTGGCTCGCCTTCTAGGCGCTGTGTCTCCTTGCTTGAGCTTGTCGAGCAATGTATCCATTATTGACTCGCCCTCTGGGTCCGTGTAAGCTGCTTGTATTGCTGCTCTTTCTTTAACTCTAGCTTCTTTAGCTTGACGTCGCTTTTCAATGCTCGCCTTCTCCTCTGCGTACGTCTGGTTCTCATTTTTACATTTCTAATCGTAACATTAGTCAAAACCCACAAAACACTTTAGTAAATACCTTGTAAGAAGCCAGAAATTGCTTAAACACACCAAAGAACTCCGAAGTCGATGGTAACTTGTCAAGTTCACCATAGAAGCGAGCAGTGTTCTGATACGAAGCATCGGCCAAAGCTAATCTGTCAACCATGCCATCTAGCTTCCCTTTAGCAACTGCAGAAAATTTCCACATCTTTTCAGGGTACCCATCTCGAGGGGTAATAGATTCCGGATCATTGAAGTGATTCTCCAATTCCAACAACAAGTGTTTCAGCCCTTCTCTAAGATCTCCTAGACCTTTCCTCACATCCGTCAAATTTACTACTAACGTCAGCTTGCGGGTTGCAAGTATATATCTCACTAACCTCTGTAAGCTTCAGCCGGCTTTGACAACTCATCAATGAAGAGCTCCATGTCAGTGAACTGCTTTGCTACGGTTCTCTCGAGGAAGTGAACCAAAGTAGTTCCATTTGTCGACTTGGTATCAACCATCTACTTCGCGTTAACATATTCCACAAACAAATGCACTCGTACCTTATTTAAACTGGTGATCTTAAAACCGAAAGCTCCACCTTTAACACCTTGAGCATTCATGTAATTACCAATCAGTAACACCAGCTGCAGATAATTAGATTATATGAAATCCCCTATTCTTACTCACCTTCAACATTTCTATAAACCTTGGAGCAGACATTAGACTTTCAGATGCCTCATGAACTACATCAACGCTCTGCCGATGTTAGAAGAATTATGTGCTTTTGTAATGACTCACTTCACTTAGAATATTGTACACCTCTTCGAAAACAGACTTATAAAGCATACCCTCGATTCTAGGTCCCATTCTTTCTATCTTGATCAACTGAACCATTAGTCTGTCTGCAGGGTGCAAAGTAACAAGAACCTCAGGGCCTGCATCCTTGTAAGGTGCCAATTTACCTGCCTGTTCAGGAGTCGGCAGAACCGGTTTCAACTCGCTCAAGAATGTCTGCGTACAGAAGTCCTCGTCAAATGAAAGGATTTTTGAGGCGATCTGTTCGGGGGAGTATTGCTTTACCCGCTGCATCACAATTTCGATTCTCTTCTGCGATGAAACGTCTAGAACACTTATCAAGTCCTTGTCCTTTTTCTTGTTCATCAAATTGAGGACTATCTGCTTACTCTTAAAATCTTCTTCGAGTTCAATCCACACACCATCACGCTTTAATTGGTTAAACCATTCTGTTTCAGGAGCCTCGTTCGTAAGACCCCAGACAGTCTTACCGAGATGATTTTGATTTATTTTATCCCACTGTAGCTGCTTCATCTTCTGACTCGCGGCGTCAGGCAGCTCTTTACGAGCATGAGCACTATACATAGTAGAAGTAGGTCGTGAAGAGGGAGGGATTGGCGGAGGAGGCGGAAGACCGGTGTTAGTAGCTGGTATTGCTTGACGTAGACCACCAGACTTGAGTATGTTCGCAAGTGAGGCGTTTGGTGTTGTAGTACCTGGTGGTGGCGGAGGTGGTGGCGGAGGAGGTGGAGCTCCCTGAGATGACGCTTGAGAAGTTGGAGGTGGGGGAGGCGGTAAAGGTATAGGGCCACCAGCTCCCATGGCAATTACTGGATTTCCGACCGGTGGAGGAGGAGGAGGCACAGGTATAAGACCACCTGTTGTCATAGCACTTGCAGGATTTCCGACTGGAGGGGGAGGAGGCGGCACAGGTATAAGGCCACCTGTTGTCATAGCACTTGCAGGATTTCCAACCGGAGGTGGCGGTGGGGCTGGAGGAGCTGGAGGAGCTGTAGGGGGTGTAGATTCTGCTGCTGGCATTGAAGATAAAAGATCTTTATCATTTGTGGCGGACGTCTGATCCGTAACATCCGGTCTACCAACCCCTTGGTGTTTTTTGAGGTTCTTAGTTTGCTTTTGTAGCATGGCTTCAAATGCATTGTTGCGGGTTTCTGATGAGTTTTCATTAATGGAGGCCATGGATGTCACTTGGGTATCGTCACTTTGGGTAGTAAACCCGCTAGCATGAGTCATAGTTGCATCAGACTGCTCCTCGTCAGTCTGCGATTCTTCAGTAACTGCTGGCATCTCTGAATCCGTCTTTGATCTGTCGTCTTCATCTTTATCGTCTTCGTCTAAGGGTAAACCTGAAGGCGTCCTGCGGCCTCTGCTGCGAATCTCTTCTAGGTAGGCCGGTTCTATACCAAGTTTCTTATGACTTTTACGTTTACTGGACTTTTCTTGTGGACTTGGTGCTGTCTTGGAAATTGACATCGAACTATTATCTACATCAATCTCCCGAGAACTACTCACGTATGGACCGTTACTAGGTTGGACACTCATAATCGCACTGTCACTCGAAATCCTCTTACTGCTTCTTTGAGGTTTACCTGAAGGCATAGGTCTAGCCAATGCTTTTCGCTGTTGTACGTTGTAATCCACATCCTTTGGCATGTTCTGATATCGTAGAACCCTTGGGCTGGGTTGCTTGGGGCTTTCACGCTCTGATCTCATAGGTGTCAGCTTACCTTTACTGACAAGATTAACGTGATGCTCCTGTACTTCTTCATCTTCTGCGTCCATGAATTGTGATGCACGACCCTCATCCTTTGTGGCTGTGATGCCTGAACTTTCCGAATCCCTGTTCTGTGGTGGAGCTTTGACTACACCCAGACTGCGTCCAAGTTTAGCACCTCTTGAAAAAGGCTGATCACCCTTGCTAGGTACCTCTATTTTTGGCTTTTTGCTTGGACTTTCTGCCATTTGTTCAGCTTCTTGCTCGGCTCCTTGCTCATCGACATTATTCAATGCGTTCAATGCGTCTGTACCCTCTAGCTTCTTAACAGTCTTGTGCCGAGCAAGTCGTCTTTCAAGGGCAGTGACGAACTCGCGTTGCTGAGACTTTTTCCCATCAATACCAACTTCATTTTCAACTGATATGAGATCATGGAACCCTTTCGTCTGCTTAAGCAGATTAAACAATTCGCGTATGAGTGCCTCCAGTTCAGTAATCTTCTCGCGGAGTCTATCTTCAAGTTCTTCAGAGTGCTCTTGGACTTTATGCATCGCCTCCCGCGAGATACTCAGTGATTCCTCCGTCTCGTTCAGTTTCCTTTGAAGCGTGTTGACTAATACCGTATCTGAAGATGACGACGCAGGCAAGTCAGTCGCATTATAAAGCGCTACCTCCTGCTCAAGTGCATCCTTTTGTCTCCTGGTTTTAATGTGTTGCGCGTGTTCATTTTCCAGCTGATTCTCTAGCTTCTGCATTCTGTCCTGATCGGTAAAGCGAGACACAACATTTCCAACAGATACGTTAGCTAGCGATGAGAAGTCTGTCGCAACACCACCCTTCCCGTCCATCACAATTGACGATATGAGGCTATCCACTAATTGAAGATACCTATTCTTTGTCTCAGGATCACTTGGAAGCAGTAGCAAGTGTTGTAATACGGCATGAAATAAGTCTCGACCTCTGGAACCTTCAACAGATGATATTAAAGCCCGAAAAATGTCTTCAGTCGTTGTAAGACTACCAAAGAATTGTGATTTCTGAGATTGCATTAATAACTCGTGATCCTCTTCAGCCAATTCTTCGTACTCGAGGATGATGTCCTCAACACGGGGATGCTGAAGGCTCCTCAATTTGTCTGTGACTCTTTTCAAACCAGATAATTCCAACTGAGATCTAAGAAAATGACGTACGTCTGGATCTTCCGGCAAGCATACGAGTTGATTGACAAGAAGCAGATTCACCACCTTGATATAATGAGTTGATTTTCACAAACTGACATTTACTCACGGCATAATCAACCAACATGCTATCAGCAGATATAGCGTTCTTCAATTCATCGCTTGCACCCACGAGCGAGCCCATTCGACCCCTACCGTCAATGGTAGCTTCGAAAGATTTGAGCCATGGATCGAATCTCGAATTCTCCTCGTAATGTGTTTGCAGTGCGTCGAATGATCTGAGAACAATCGAGTGGCCTCGTGGTTTATCCCAAGAGATCAAGAAGAGTAGAATTTCAACAGCCTGTCTTCGAGTTTGAAGTTGTGGGCTCATTATAGACGCCGCTAAGGATGTCACAATAATTGGTTGCGAGGATACATCGCTAGCACCAGACTAGAGCCCATCAGAATACTGAAGACAAAATAGGGAACACCTACAGGATAGTTTACCACGTGCCGCATGCACTTGACGATTTCTGCTTCAAGTATTGCGTCGCCCTCTCTCTTAACCGTGCGATGATTGATGGTGTGTAACACATTGGCCAAAACGGAAGGACCGCGAAGCTCAATAAATTCCTTCAGCCACCTAAACATAGATGAGTAATATAACAACAAATTGTCATTCCACTCACTCGAGAGGCATTGTACGCAAGCTGACGGATAGATGAGAAACGTCAGTGTGTAAAACGTTACCACTGAGGAATTTGCGAATGTAAGCTTGAGGGGGGTCATCAGCATGCCCAACAAAAGCACGTGGGGAGGAAGTAGAGGATTTTTCGCTTCTGCCGTGTCTCTTGACAGCTTGCTTCTGCTTCAAGGCGCTACTCTGAAGCAAAGCACGCTTATTATCTTGAGGCAAAGCTCTGAGTCTCTTAGCTTCAGAGTCACCCGGAGCTATGGATTGAACAAAGATATCGAAATGATCCTCAATCTCAGCCTCTGAGAGTAAGTCAACATTCTTTATAGAGATACCACCTGTGCCAAGTTTGCTCATGGAGGAGGAGCTTTGGGATCTTACAGAATTGAATGAAGGGGATGATTCAATACTTGCTAAGTTAAAGTCGTTTATTGACCTCGAAGGACCAGCCTCGTAAAAAGCATCGCCGCTGCCCAAGAAAGAGGAGAATTGCGATGAGCGACCTGAAAAGAGAGAATTTCCATCAGATTGCATCCTAGAATTGCGTTTGGTGGGGAGAGTGGAGATCATTGATGACGAGGTGGGTAATCTACCTGCGTCGATCGAGGACGAGCTGTGATATGAATCAAGGGTGGGGCTACGATAAGGGTAATCCTTATTAGCGTCATATTCAATATTTGAATTTAAATTGGAATTGAGATTTGGATTGGTATTTGGTGCAGAGATGGAACCGCCAGAGATAGCTGACTTGTCAACGTCGTTCCACTCATAATCTGCTTGGATCTTTGAGCGTGATTTCTTCTTTGAAGACAGTGAAAATATTGAGTCCATTTGGACTGCTTTTTCACTCAGTGGTGGTGATAGTACTGGTCCGACCAAGACAAATTCAAATCAAAGCCAATATCAGCGTCATATTGCAGCAAAATTAAATTGAAATTCTTCTTCTTTTATTACAATTCTATGTCTTACGATTCAAAGCGTCTACTTTGGCTCTGACCTGATACCGCAATTGGGCTGGTATACACGGACGCGCCCTATACGCCACTTCATTCATCATCTGAGTCGTAGAATTCATCTGACATATCTTCATCGAGTGCGGCAAGGTGTGCCAAGTCGACCTATTTCGTATTAGCACACTTCGTTATCATCTAATCCAGCATTCACCTTATAACGGAGTAGACCACCTACACCACCAAATCCGCGAACAAATTGAGCACCTTCTTGCGATTTGTCAGTTACAAATTCCAAGTTTGCACCAAATTCCTTGTAATTCTCTGCAAACCATTCTAACAAAGATTGTGGTTCACCGATTGGCTCCATTTCAGAACCAGTTGAAGGATCAGTGAACTTTGAACGATCGTCTTCCTGTCCTTTGTTTACGTGAAGTACAACTTCTTCGCCTGCAGCATTGCGAAGCTTGTGACGAGTGACTTCAAGATTCTCAAACACAATCAAGTCCTTGACAGCACCAAGATCTAATGCACGTAACGTATCCTCAATACCAAAGCAGAATTTACCAGTGTCTAAGGAAATTTCATCAAAGTACTTTGAGATAAGCTTCTTCTCTTGTACGAATTTAACATTCTGCAATGACTCGGAAGATAAATCGATTGCTTGGTTGAAACCATTCTCACCACCGTAAGAAACATCCACAATTTTAACAATCTTTGTCGCCAATCTTGGGTCAAAGAGATCCGATTGACTCAATTCAGTCTTAAAGTCTGCACTACCAGCGAGGACCAAACCAGCAACATTGATCTTGTCATTAGTAATAAAGTGCTGAGTGGCGAACTCAGCAACCTTTCTAACGTAGTTGTGGCGCTTTTCATCACGGAGACGGGAGAAACGCATGGCAGATTGACCACCACGTCCGTGCTTCTTTGGTAGATCAACGGTAAACTTCTGAATAACCTCTCTAGTGTTTCCGGCGAGTGTACCAAACAAGGAGCCACTACCATCCATAACGATGAAACCAAACTTTGTGTCAGATTCGAGCAACTCCTGTAGGGCTTCTGTGTGGAACTTGTTATCGCAAAGGTAAAGGGAGGTGTTTATAGGGCGGTGAGGTTCGAAGTCAATAGAGACCTTCTTCTCTTTACCGTCATCGGTGACGATTGTGCCTACGAAGAGAACTAAACCATTGTTGGGCATGCGAGTATAGAGCTTGAGACGCTGCTGAGTGGAAGTGATGGCAGCTAGAACAGAGAGTCTATTAACACGTGATTTAATGTTTGAAGCAGTACCGTATTCCTGCGTAAGCATACCACTGAGTTGAGATATTTGTGCTCTACCGTTTGAGATCAAACTGATCATCGAGGTACCGTTACCTCTGACAGAGTCCAACCAGCGAATAACCCTCTTCATCTTCCATATCTGCACATTTTGTGCTGCAATATCGTCTGAACTCATATCGTGATGGTGGTGGTGGAAGAATTTATATAACCAATTAAAATTTGAAATATCCTGAGTATAAAATCAGTGCCTTTTACTTGGTGTTGTTTACAGTGCCTGCGTATGCTTGATCTTCCTCAGAGACTGCTATCTTCGACTATGCTTGACATCCATCTGCACACCCCAACCCACGCCAAATATGCTCCAACTAATATCCTAAAATACCTCTCGTCTGCCGCCTTATTGCTCGATTGGCAGCTGAATTGATGGATGCCACGCGGTGAAAGTAAAATTTGCAGGTACAAACGTCTCAAATGATCGTTGCGTGTTCAAGGCTAGAATTAAAGGCTACGATTATATTTACGTCTGTTCTGATATTTCGCCGCGTTGCGTGACATCTTTGATCGTGCACAGGGAATGCTTTGGGCACATAAAGGATATACCTTACATATATATTGCACTAGAAGAGCTACTACAGAGTGTATCGCTGCTTTTCACATCGTTTTCGCGTCAGAAAGGCTGATAATACTTCTTCAACTGCCCTTCCATGAGCCAGAATAATATAAAGGTAGTTGCGCGGTTTAGACCTGTAAATAAGGTCGAGCAACAACAATATCCACCAGATGGAAAACCCATCATCGACATCAACGATACCAACACTCAAGTAAATCTCTACAACGAATCAAACAACTATTCTTTCGATAGAGTGTTCGATAGACAGTCCAAGCAGGAAGACGTTTTCGAATACGGCGTTAGGGGTATCGTTGACGATGTCATTTCTGGCTACAATGGTACTGTCTTCGCCTACGGTCAGACCGGCTCTGGTAAAACGTACACTATGATGGGCTCTGATATCGACGACAACAACTCAAAGGGTATCATACCTCGCATCACCGAACAGATCTTTGAATCCATTCTTACCTCTCCTCCAAACATGGAGTACCTTGTCAAGGTCAGTTACATGGAAATCTACATGGAAAGAATCAGAGACCTCTTGTCCCCAAATAATGATAATCTTCAAGTTCACGAGGATAAAGTAAGAGGCGTTTACGTCAAGAACCTTTCAGACTACTACGTTGGTGATGCAAATGAAGTCTACGAGATTATGAGACAAGGCAGTCAAGCAAGAGCTGTCTCTTCAACAAACATGAACGCTGAATCTTCTCGCTCTCACTCAATCTTTCTTATCTCTATCGTACAGAAAAACATCGAGACTGGCTCCCAAAAAACTGGTAACCTCTATCTCGTCGATTTGGCTGGTTCAGAAAAAATTGGTAAAACTGGTGCAACCGGACAAACCTTAGAAGAAGCAAAGAAGATCAACAAAAGTTTATCAGCACTTGGTATGGTTATCAATGCCTTGACTGATGGAAAATCAACCCATATACCCTATCGTGACTCCAAACTGACAAGAATCTTGCAAGAATCTCTCGGAGGTAACTCCAGAACTACCTTGATAGTTAAGTACGTTGATTTTCGGCTTTGGGATTTCGATCTAACTCAAATACAGCTGTTCGCCTTCCGAATATAACGCTGACGAGACTATGTCGACCTTGAGATTTGGTATCAGAGCAAAGTCGATCAAGAATTCTGCTCGTGTCAACACTGAATTATCTCCTGCTGAACTTAAGAACCTTCTCAAGAAATCGCAAAGAGATCGCACTCTTTATGAAAACTTTGTCACTGCACTTGAAGCTGAGTTGAAACAATGGAGGGCAGGAAAGACAGTCCCAAAGGAAGATTGGACAACTAAAGACTCAACACCAAAGGAGAATATACCTTTAAATACCACAATACCATCTACACCTACCAAACCAATCAATCAAAACCTAGAAGTTGCTCGTGATGAAGCACGCCCAGCTACCCCGGTGCCGCTCAACTTGGATAAAGATGAGAGGGAAGACTTCTTGAAACACGAGAACGAATTGAGTGACCAGTTGGCAGACAAGGAAAAAGCGATGACTTCACTCGAAAAGGTTCTCAAAGAGCTGCGCGACGAGCTTGATTTCTATAAAACCTCTCATCAAACACTCAACGAGGAGAACTCTGACTTCCAAACGCAATTATCAGATCTCCGCCTACAATTTGAAAGATTAGAGTTTGATAACAAGGACAACATCATCAATATGGATGTTCTACGCGACAGAAATACAGAATTGACAGCTTCAGTGAATGACTTGAACAGATCTCTTGAAGAAGCCAAGAATGCTCAGAAAGACTCCCTTGCGGAAGACTTTGAAAAGAAGAAGGCTGAAAAGATGGCACAGATGATGGCTAAGTTTGATGCTACTGGTTTTTCAGAGAAGGACGATGTTTTACGAGACTTAGTGTCAAAGATTGACAGCATTGACAACGACGAAAGACTCAGCGGTGGCACATTGACATCTGACGATCTTTCTGCTATCCGCCGCCAACTCCTTGAATCCCAATCTCTTGCTCGCGAATCCCAGGACAAGCTTCGCAACAGTGAACATGATAACCAAACCTTGGTTATCAAGAGGGAGGAGGTTGAGTCTCGTTTGCATGGTCTTGAAAGCGAGTTCGAAGAGCTTCTAGAGAAATCGATCAAAGAAGAAGAAGCCAATAATCTAGACTTGCAGGAGTCTATCAATGGAATCAAGGACAAGCTTGAAGCACAATACAATTCAAAGCGTGAAAAGAACGAAGTGGAAGTTAATGATCTGCGTCAGCAGATAGAGAATAAAAATCAAGATATTACCTCGCTCAAAGACGACGTACAGAATCTGATGGGCCTCAATGACGAACTTAAGCGAGCCTTCGCTGTCACATCAGCTGGTATAGAAGGCGGTAAGAACCTAGTAGATTCAGCAAGAGATCTGGAAAAAACTCGCAAGAGCCTCGCATCCCAGTTAAATGACTTTGAAGGTATGAAGAAGTCACTGATGAAAGATTTACAAGATCGCTGCGAGAAAGTCGTTGAACTTGAGATTGAACTTGATCAGTATAAAGAGCAGTATGCTCAAGTGTTGCGTAGCACCAACAACAAGGCAGCTCAGAAGAAAATGGCCTTCTTGGAGCGCAATCTGGAGCAATTGACCCTCGTTCAGAAGGGACTTGTTGATCAGAACCAATCACTGAAAAAGGAAGTCGCGATTGCTGAGCGCAAGCTGCTTGCTAGATCCGAAAGGATTAACAACTTGGAGCACTTACTACAGGAAGCAGACAAGAGGCTCGTCATCTCTAATGCTAAGTTTGAGGGGCAACTACAAGCCGTACGAGAGCGCCTTGAGCATGCTAGATGTGAGTACTAACGATTGAATAACACATCCACTGACAGTAACCTTAGCTCAAAAAGAATCCACAAATGCGTCCATAAACTTCGGTAGAATCGCTAAGCCTCTCAGAGTGAGAACTTTACTTTTCAGGAAAATACTACTGACATCATAAACCAGGGTGGTGGTGGTAGCGGATCAGCATCTGCTTCTCCGACGAACAAGAAAACGATAGACTTATCTGGTGCGTCAGACCATGACAGCGGATCGTCGAGTAAGTTGATGAGTGTGCGGTGAGATTGTTAACTGACTCCGCTACAGCTAAACGTGCTTCTTGGTTCTTTTCATCTGGAAAATGATTTCCTGTGCTTTTATCTTCACACACTATATATCAGCAGTCATCCAAAGCAGCTTTTGACTTGTATCTATCATACACCCTTCTTAATATAGCACTAGTGAGACGCATGTGCAGTATGCCAGTGATGCAATCAGATGCAAACTTTTTTTCCAATACCTCTTCACAATGGTATTTCGACCATGCAAATCATGCGTGCATGTCTCTGATGATATGACCAACTATGCATGTATACACCCGTGAACGACAGAAAGTTGAAATCGTATAATCTCAGCTCGAAGCGACCACTGATTTCGCTTGCTTTGCCTGATGTGCTCATTGAGTTAATTTATCGAAATCTCGAAAGCTAACTCACGGCGACCTTGGCAGCCAAAGCTTGAGCATCTCTTGGAAAATGTCAGATTATTACTTCTAGTGCTCAATGACCCACGCTTCACGCTTGTTCGAAAGCCTCTGAGTGCTTTGTTTGGGCGCTGGTCAAGAATGTCAGAAACCTTATAAAAGGAGATGCTGCATACCTTTATTGTTGGCAGCGGCCTTCTTCTGCGCGCGTTCTATGCCATTTTAGAACATAAGGACGATCAAACAGCTACATACCCCGATCCCTACGCGACTTTAGTATCCGCTCATTGAGAATGCTACGAGCTTACTTTTCTCTTTGATTCCCTCCTGAATCTAAATGTCAGAATATCCCAATGCATTAACTGCATCCTTACTGCTCATCTGGCCCGTGGTAAGTGATCAACGAGCATGCGGCTCAAAAGAAGCTACAATTTCAGCGCAGTGTGAGCTTTCACAGTTTTCTAATTGCTTTGCATTTGCATCATCTGTAAGTTATCATCGCGCTGCTCGATAACGTATAATTACTCAATTCCAAGAATGTCAAACACATGTTTCATTTACAACGCATGTGCATGTTTATAGTACACAATTATTTCCCATATGTATCCCGGTAAAATCTATCTAAGCATCTTTAAGCGTGAAGCTAATATTACATCTTCTGTCTGCGGACTACCTCGTCTTAGTGGTGGAGGTTAGCAAGATCAAGTGATGATAGCAAACGTATTAGGAGTATCGCTCAAAGCGGACTTTAAACGGACTGCCAGGTCTTATTGAAGGTTAGAGAGAGGCAAACGAATGAGATAAAGCTTAATGGGAGTAGCGCAGACTATTTACATGGAAAGGTTATACCGGCCTTACTATAGCCCCAAGATGTTGTATCGCAAGGAGAAGAGGAAAGGAGTGTGGGCTGTTTAAATACCGTAGCGGCGACCGAGAATCACGTGGCTCGCGTTTTGTGTTTGTTATTGTGTTTTACGAACACAGCTACCCTCGTTCCCAGTCAAGCATCTAACGGCGTAGACACAATTATTAGATGGCTATGACTGGTGATATAGATGAATATCAAGTAGCTCGATACTGCGTTTCTGATGGCTTTAAAGGTATATCGGAGTGATTCAGCAGCTTTGAAGATTTAGATATTAGTATTATACGACTTTCCGTGCATGCTCGACCATTTGCGGTTTGAGTTGAGTAGAAACAATTAGATTGGGAGATAAACAAGATCGAGAGCAGCGTAAGATATTCAGTAGGACACTCAAGTCACCCTCACTCAGTCTTTCACAGGGTGCCTTGAGCATATTTAATTCAGCACAATAACTTATACTATTGAAATTTTCCACAAGTACTAGAAATAGGTATGCAAATCACACTGCCATCCATTAAACACACCTTGATGTCATCAGAAATGTAGATACAAGTACCAGATTGAACCTTTGTGGGTGGCGACAGAATAAATCACTTTAGTGATATATCCAAGCGCTCATTAATGTACTAAAAAGGTGTGATAAAATCCTTAATTACCGTAATTCTGTAACAGACCGGAGGTAACAATGAAGGTCAAGAATGTCCGATTGAATCTGAACAAAGAACAATGGACACTTTAAAGTCAACATAAATTTATTATTGTTACAACGATGTGATTTTAAATAAAATAATATAATTTAGCAATCACTCAATGCTGATGAAGAGGTAGGAGAACCACTGGTTTCTCGTCTCATTCTTGCTTCAAGCAGTTTGCGCGTACGTGGAGCGACAGCGGCACCCCTTCTGCGTGGAGGGCCTTCTTCTAAATCATCCGAGTTGACTCTCGAGCTCCAAGACGTTGTCAGGATATCGTCGACTTTTGCGAGTGCTTTATCTGAATCCTCTTGGGAATGTGAATAAGGCTGATCTGAATACTTTGATTCATTTTGGCCTTTACCAATAAAGTTATACTTATGGTTCCCGCTGTCATAGCTGTCATACATCGGTGACGGTAATGCTTCACCGTTGACTGTATTGATTCCAAGTGATCCCATACCAGTTGATTGTCTCATCGATGGCAGTCTCATGAGGTAGTTCTTCATTGTAGACGATCTCGCTAATTCTGGTGTAGCCTCGATTGTTGGCAGGAAGTCTGACGAAGCAGGTGACTTTAATTTAGGTGAAGCGACTTCAGATCCCTTGAAGGCATTAGACATTGGCGATCTAAAGTCTTCATCTGTATGTTTTGAAGGTGAGTTGTTCTCCCCGCTATATGGAGATGTGAAGTGTTCGTCGCTTTGAGGAGACACTGCAATGTCGGACTTATCCACAACAGGCGGAGCTGAGGAGTCCATTCTACTGTTTTCAATGTTCTTCCAATCGTCAACAACCATTTGCTGCTGCTCTACATTATTATTCACGTGTTGTGCATTCTCTTCCATCAAGGCAGATGTTGTCATTTGAGAAGCTCTGTATCTTGTACTGGTAGACATGGCACTCCTACGCGTTTTGTATCTACGCACTTTAGACCTTGTTGATGAACCTCCAATTGAGTCATTCCTCGACGATTCATTCGAAGCATCGTTGCTCCTACCTATGTTGATTATTCCATCGTCCTCATATGTTTCATCCTCATAAAACACTGTTGATCCACTACCTTCACTCCATGTCTCTATCTCTTGTCCGATCGATTCATCCTCATTCTCATTTTCTTCCGGTTTCTGTTGATCCTTTTCTTTACTCTGCATGTTTGGTTGAATACTCAAAGCAGCTCCAAATGATTGCGGTGGCTCTTGTTTAGCGTTTGCTTGGAAGATCATTTCGGACCTAACAGCCTGTGGCGGAGGAGAGCGTAAAGTTTCAGGAAGGCTCTGCCAATCTGGTACTGGTGGAGGACTGACGACTTTGGGAGGTGAACTGACTGCATTTGGTGGAGGCGACACTACCCGTGGGACTTGAGCTTCAAGTGACCAAGAGGGTGGATGCACTTTCTTGCCAGCAAGTGGAGGTGATGGCAAGAATGGCAACTGAGCTAGTTCTGCGTCTTCAGGCAAAGGAGATGCCACCTGCGGCTCAGGCGACAGACCAGGTGGCGTCAACTGTGATTCATTTTGCTTCATTGCAGTATGGATACTACTATCAGCTCCATTTTTGTCGTCTTGGCCCTTGACAAATGGAGTGATAGCCATCTCACGAAGTCTGGCAGCTTCGTCGTTGAACTCATCGCGAATGTTGTTCATGTCTTTGACGGTGTAGAACTTAGATTGACCAGCTATTTTTTCGGTGAACGGTCCATCGTCAACCTCCTCACTCTTGTCGCTCCTGGCTAATTCCGCGAAGTTTGGACTGAGAGGAACAGGAGATCTTGCCAACTTTTCAAGCAAAGGGGAGTGAGGTGACTTGAAATATGTAAGCGTGCATTGCAAGTTTTATTATGTCTTACCTTTTCTTTGCTCCTCGCAGACTTTTCAGGGTACTGCTGATTGCCAATGTCAAAATTTTCATTGACAACAGCGTTCATGGTTATAGGAGATGAGAAGCTGATTCTATCTTTCAGATCTTTGCTCTTGGATTTAGATAATTTAAACTTTTTGCTCCGTTTAGCGTGTCTGTCGGGTGATTTTGGCAACGGTGGGGGCGGCGAATCCATCTTTTTGGTGTCCTTAGCATCTTTAGTGCCCTCAGCGGTTGAATTTGAGTCCGATTTGAGCTGTTCGTAGGAGATTGGAACTGGTGACTGTAAATCCTTGCTGATTGGAGTTAAGACATTGTCCACAGGTGACTTTGTTTGCTTAACATCTTCCATTTCAATCTCTCTTGGAGCATTGGCGGGAACAATAGAGTTTCTAAGCCATCCAGCAGCAGCAGGAGTTGGTTCACGCTTTGGTGGGTGGAAAGCCGTTTTGATAGCTTGGCTAAAGTCACCCCAAGGCGTTGAGCTGCGAAGCGGTGGCGAAAATGCAGATGGGATGTAATTGCTTTCGTCATTATCCACTATCTGTTGAGCATTCTTGTCCGATGTCTTACGCTGTCTGATTTGCGCGTCGCGGGCATTGTCAATCTGAGGAGAAGGTCTCTGCGAAAATATCTTGTTACCAATGACGCCAGATTTGTAGCGTTCACCATCTAAAGCCGACTTCATTGCATTGGCGTAAAATGCCATTGAGCCTGAGTTGTGATTCTTGCTATCTGACATTTCGTCCAGTCTGCGATCGACGTCATAAGAAGAGGCATCTTGGAAACCCTCAGGCAATGGGGACTTTAGAATTTGATCCGTGATTTCGCTAGGAGGCTGGAATGATGAGTTTGTACGCTGGAAGACTGGCCTTGGTGATTGCTTTGGAGTGTTATTGTTTGAGGGCCATTTCCAAGGCTCATTGCGGAAAGAAGGAGAGGCAAGTCCAGAAGGTTGATAGCCCCAAGGCCTTTCAGCTCTTTCCTCTGGAGGGTTTGAGAAAGGCAGCGCATTTGGAGACATCATCTGAGCATCGTCGTCCGTTTGCCAGCTTGAATGACGGGGCTCTTCATCTAAATGACCTTCTGAGGTCTTGATAGCAGCTGGTTTGTCTATCTCCGAGATAGAGTCTGAAGACCCATTCTCCATCGAGATTTGACGCTCTTTGGCGAGCCGACTGCGACGACGTTTGCGATAAATGAGACCCATGATAGTGAAGGCTGCGACCAAGCCACTAATAATAAAAATGGGAGAGAGATATGCAACTTTGAAATCAGTGGAGCTGGAGTCGGAGATGGATTGCTGAGCATCTTCTGCGTTGTTGGTTGAAGGAGGGCTAGGTTGGACATCGTCGGTAGACTGGTCAATATCTTCGTCTTGGTTATTGTCTTGCTCTTGCAGCTCTTCTGGTTCATCGTTGATCTGGTCTATCGCCGAATCGATGTCATCATTTGGCTGGTTGTCTTGATTTTCTTGATTCGACTCGGCATCGTCATCATTTGGAGACTAAAATTGGTTAGGATGACCCGAAAAAGCTTAGTGACTCACAGAGGAGGACTCCTGGTCGTCAGGTGCGGGATTGTCTTCGATATTTGAAGAATCCATATCATTCGGGAGTTGTAGAGGCGGACTAGTGGAACCACGGGTGTCGTCTAGACTACCAATGCCATGATAAGTACCGTCGTTGTATTTTTGACGCTTTTGTAAAGTGTGCTGACAGTTGTTATCCATATTGTGTACACAGCCAACGACCAAATTAACGTCGTCGTTGACTGCAGAGAAGTTTGAACGCGTTTTATCCAGTGTGTTCCTAATTGCTGGTTAGGTTTCTGACAAGACATTTCTCTCTCACTCACAAATGAGCGTCTTGCTTATAAAAGTGGGGCTGTATGACCTCTGGGTCTTTAATCAAAGCTTGTCTGTTGAATGGGGGCACGATGAAAGCGTGATTGAGAGTAAAGAGTGTGAATGTAGTTATAAAGGAGTTCAAATCCTTTATAAATTTCAATCGAGATGGTTCTTTATCAAGTAAATATTGAAATCGCGTTTTCGGATAGACGCGCTAAATAAAATACCTTCCTTATTAAGACGTGTGTAAGATCCTGTTTAATTTAACACTCGGATATGGCAATTTACTTTGTAAGACATTCATCGGCGTACACTGCTGCTACACTGTTGCTATTCCGCGTTTGTCAAAATTTGCACCTAGACTTTGCTAGCTGAAATCCTTGTCTTGTTGAGCGACTGGGATGTAAAGTAGTATAACGATGTTATAATCATATATAAGCCGCCATCAACTGCCTATATCGCGTTATTTAGAAAAGCCTGCGTATGTTAGTAGTCACCTGGTAGACTAGTATAGCGAACCAGCCGTTGAGGAACAATGAGTACATCTTGAAATTGAAAGAATCGTCATTTGAGAATAGCTTGATTGGATAAAACAAGAGCAGATTGAATAGGCTATGTAGGAGCACTAATATCTGTATCAGGGGTACTGTGACCGTGATTAAGATGATAACGTTAATCTTATCATTCGGTCTGTTTAGCCGGAGTGAGAATAGCCTGTACCTCGCTTCCGCGCTAGCTCACTCGATTCCATTCGCAGCAAGGGCTCCTCCCATCATGTCGAAAAAGAATTTGCGGTAGACGAGTCCCCCTTGCACGATTCAATAAGCATTTTAACTCTAAGCATTTCGGCTTTACTGACAGAGGCATGCGTAACAGACGTCTGAAGCGGTTATCAAAACAGAACAGCACACGGAAGCAACTCACAAGTAGTTGCCACCAGGGCAAACAGGCGGCAGACATCAATGCTGACTTTAGCATCGACAGCGACTTTCATTCTGTGCTAGTCCACGTGGTCGTTCCTCACAGACAGCGAGATCGATCGAGATGAAAGTTATCTACTACGCAATAAGGTAGATAATACATCAGTAAAGTACTCAAAAGCATCTGCTAACGTTGTCTAGCTTTTTCATGCTTGTTATTTCCGCTGCATCCACGCTGAGCGGCTTATTTAAGGTGTCGTGGGTTTTCAAACGCTCTGTGAACAACATAGGGCTGTTCAGAATCTGTTACGATAAATTAGGCGTGCAAGAATGTCAGAGATTCCCTAATCAAGGCACTTGCGACGAACTTGGTGAAGCGTTCTGCACAGTGTGGTCCTCCGCAGGCTACACCATACAATTATCCTTTATATTTCTCGTCCCTTGTCTTTGTGCGATTACGCTCATCGCTTGTATCGGTCGCAAGGGCGGCAAGAAACGTCGTGAAGGGTGGAGATTGATGACATGCTTAATGGTTCTGTATTCCTCGCTTCAGCTCTTCACCGTCATAACCGTGGCTGTCTTCAGCAAGACTAAGAATCTCGGCCACCTAGGCACTGGATTCTACATGACGCTCGTCGCTGTTTTACTTTCTTTCACGGCATGCTTCATTCAGATCATAGCCGGATTCTCAGCTTCACGTAATTATGCATGGGCTAAAGAAGAGAAAGATTACTGGTTCACTGGACGCAGGTCAAGTAGTCTTACTGCAGATGAACACACGCCATTGATCAGCCACGGTTGAGGCGTGTGGTGCTGTAATTAGCTGTGAATGATTTCCCCTCTGTTGTTTTCGACTTTGCTAAAGTACTGGGGTGACAATGTGTTTTCTATTCCACTTGTGAGTATAACACCGTTCAAGGATTTGTACAGTTTGATGTCATCTGGGTGGGAGTGAGTTTAAGTGTACATCGCAGCAAGCAACAAACCTCTAAGAACTTTGCCAACGTCAACGTATATGAAGACTGTCGAAGAATTACGCATTCCGCTCACAACTCCGGCCTCTTTGGGCATACCAGCAGCCAGATGAATGTACTGCCTCCCCATTGTCTTGAGGCCACTGACCTTTATGCTACTCCAAGCATCATCGTTTGTGCCGTGTATCACGACAGGTGCCTCATCTGTGCTCAATATCTGAGATAACTCCAACTGTGTCGTGTCTAAGGAGTGGCCCTGAACGGCCCTTATAAACCAAACACCAGACTCTGACACCAGCTGGTAACGCTTTTTGTCGTTGTTCAAGACTAGTTGCTGCAACAGCTCGAAATCCAGTCCGCGCAATTTAGGCCTGCTTAGCTGTAAAGACTAATTAGAACGGACGGCTGGATGCGCACCACCCACGCACCAAATCATCCACCCTGATAAAGCCATCATTTCTCATTTCCAGTCCCTCCTTGATGGCACCATGCCTCAGAATATACGACAGCGTTTTCGAGTAGCGCACTTCTGGGGAATCTGTGGGCCTGCCTCTAGCGTTCTTTGGTGGCTGCTTTGGGTCCATCATATCATTTAATTTTCTGAAGTTTTTACGTCGAGCCCCGCCTTCGCTTGCTTCTTCAAAGGTCTTTTAGGATATAATCAGGATGAGCGTAAGATCTAAAATTTAAGCAGTAGGCGTAGTACTGAGAAATGCAATCAGTTAAGATTATTCAACCCACGCGTTATCAGCCGAGCTGCACTGCCGTAAGACGAGCCACAGCTGGCTTCTCTTTTCAATTAACCTCAGTTTTAGTTCAACAAGCCGCACTTTTATTCCTTCAATACGTAGACTGCAGGACTCTAGCAGCGATGCACCCGCCAACCCAAAGCTCGAGTCGATCGTCGATCAAATAGCATCACTTAACTTGGTTGAAGCTGCTGATTTGGCTCAATTGTTGAAGGTACATGGCTGTGCCTACAATTTTACGCCTACTAACACCCAAGCAGACCAAATTGAACATCCAAGACGTCGCCATGCCTGCTGTTGCCGCTGCACCTGCTGCCTCTGCCGACGCCGCTGCTGAGGCCGAAGAGGACAAGCCAAAGGAGAAGACTATATTCTCAGTCAAGCTGGAATCTATTGATCAGACCGCTAAAGCAAAGGTTATCAAGGAAGTCAAGGCTTTGAATCCAACCATGAACTTGGTCGAGGCAAAGAAGTTCGTTGAAAGCGCACCACAAGTTCTTAAGGAGGGTTTGACAAAGGAGGATGCTGAGAAGCTTCAAAAGGCACTTGAAGCCGCAGGTGCAAAGATTGTCCTTGAGTAGACAATAAGTAGACAATGTATAAATTTCATTTCCTTCTTACTATTACTACATTACTTCTCTTTAGCCACCTCTCTCACGCTCTCTTTGAATATTTTACATCCCAGCTCCATTTCGTCCTTTGTGATGGTCAGTGGTGGGATGAATCTGATAACATCAAATGCAGATGTCGTGAGCAGCATCAGTCCCTTTTCCAAGCACCTCTTCTGCACTCTGCCGCCGACGTTGTTTGGTGTCGCATTGCTTATGCTAGCATTTGGGATTGGATGCTTTGATGAGCTGACAAACTCGACGCCGATCATCAAACCCAATCCACGGACTTTTTAGGTATTTAAATAAGCGCGTTGAGTGAGAATCTTACTCACCATCAGCAAACAAGTGCTTTGTCTCACTATCAGTCTGCAGTTCCTTCAAAGCAGCCAGCAACTCAGCTGAACGAGCCTTCACGTTGTCGAGTATCTTCTCTTCTCTCATGATGTTAGCACACTCAACTCCAGCTGCACATGAGATGGCGTTTCCTGAGTATGTTCCACCCAATGAACCCTGTAGCGTGTGTCAGAGTCAGCCTATTGCACTGATTCGATGAGACACACCTTTGGCATTTTGTCGGTAAGCTCCTTGCGAGTCACAACGCCTGAGAGCGGGAAGCCGTTTGCAATTCCCTTGGCTATGACGAGGATATCTGGACGGACACCGGAGTACTCTGAGGCAAAGTATTTACCAGTACGACCGAAACCACTCTGCACTTCGTCACTGATAGTATTGTGAGCATACTTTTACTGTGTACTGCGAATACGCACATGATAAGCATGATATTGTTATCGTCGCAAATTTGACGCAGACCATGGAGATATGAAGAAGGAGCTGGGACGTAGCCTCTGTAAAGCATTATAATGAGCTTGTGTTGTGATGTAACTCTCGAAAACTCACCCCTCTCCAATGACCGGCTCGAGAATAATAGCAGCGGTATCAGCAGGCGCGCTCTGCTGGGCAAGGAGCATCTCGAGCTGGAATAGACATTGCTTGACAAGTTCGTCTTCGGGTGTGGATTGTGGGAGACCCATTTGGTGTGCGTAAGGGAATGGTGTTGCGAAAATACCAGGCTGCGTGGTCTCAGTGAGGTACATCTCGTGTTAGACGACGCAAACTCACCATGCCGTGGCCAACTTGCTCTGCATAGATGGTCTTGGACTTGGTAAGTGCGGATGCACCGTACGTACGTCTGTCGAGTGTTAGATAAGTAACCAGCTGCATTCGACCAACACACCCGTGATAAGATCCTTGCATACAGATAATGTTGCCGTGCGTCTTTCCAGACGACTTTCTTGCGATCTTGACTGCATTTTCTACAGCTTCACTGCCAGAGTTGAGCTTGAGAAATATGAGCTCATTGAAGAGATAAGAAGCGGCGACTAACGAAGAAGAATGAGTCGAGCGAAGGATGTGGCATGACTGGGAGTAATTTCTCAATGAGCTGTACACTAGCGCAGCGTTAGAGGTGAAGCTGTTGCCGTCAGTACCGGCAAACCCACTATGGACGGTGGAATCCAATGCTGCACTGGCCGTGTACGAGCGTGGCTACCTGCTCTTGTGCAGCCTTGGTGACACGTGGGTGGCAGTGGCCGAGGTTCGTCACGCCTGATATCACATTAAGTGGGCGAACGATAAGATAAGACAGACGCACCAATACCACAGGTAAAGTCGAGATACTTGGTCTCATTCTGGGCCACATCGTCAGCGCCACTATACCATTTATGCCGCTAACATACAGTGTGAAGCCAGCTGCCTTCTCCCTTCTCAATCATATGGTCTTTAATACGGCCACAGCCGCTGGCAACATGCTTTTGTCCAGTTTTAATCAAATCAGTCATCGTTTCTGTTCAACACTCAAATCCTTGCGTGGTTCTTATTGCCTTCTAAGCGAGCAAATTAAGCGATGAGCCTGATTTACTAGCTTAGCGATACATCTTACCGATAAATTTACCGATAGGGCAGTAGTGATGATGTTAAATATCCGCTGGAACTATTCACGTGTACAAGAGCCGCGAGTGACTGTTTGTTGTGGTAACCGGAGAAGCCATCCTCCTTCTTTTCTTATGTTGCATAGTAAATCTTACAGATGCTTATTAGAGTTTATATACCTTCCCTATCACTCCTCCCAATCTTCCTGATTTGAGCTTGCGTCAAAAATTGCGTCGGTCAAGACTTGGCTTCAGCGAGATGGCGTCGACCAAGTGATGCACGACTATGATCTTATTATTTATATTGTACTCTTAACATTTAAATACATTCGTTAGCTTTTATTTTACAACCAAGTTTATATATGATGTTTGTTGCTCGAGCGTATACTCTGTCCTAGCTTGCTGTCTTTGAAGTTCCATTCTTTGTCTATCTTCAGAAAGTCATCTTCAAGCAACTGTGATGCTGTTGGCCGCTCGCGCGGTTCAGCCTTGAAGCACGTGTCCTTGAATCTCACAGCGCTCTCACTCATCTTGATGCTCTCTTTAACTGGGGGTGCTGATCGTTTTTGTCCAACCTAAAAGGGTTAAACGAGTACTGAATGTCATGTTCAACTCACCTCCATCACTATCTGCACCATCGTCATCTTGGGCCATGGTCTTTCAGCCGTAAACATTTCCAGGAAAACACATCCCAAACTCCATATGTCGCACTTAGCTGAGTACCCAGTCATTCCAACTGAGTCTATTACTTCAGGCTGCACTGACATTAGCATTACGCTCGGATAATTATCACTTATCACTCACAGCCATCCAGTAGAAGGTCCCCTTCATGTTAGTGGCTCCGGCATTTGTACCATACGCATCAGAATCTGTTTATTTGTCAATCCTGCAATACACTACACTCGCCACTCACCAGCAGCTTTAGAAACACCAAAGTCGGAAATTTTGCAGTTGCCCTCGAAATCGACGAGCAAATTATCCGCTTTGAGATCCCTGTGCCACACACCGCTATCATGAAGGTAAACTAGACCGTCCAACACCTGCTTCATGAAGAATCTAACCAAATTTTCTTCAAACGGACCGTGTCTCCTAAGACAGCGCATAACAGAGCCACCAGGAACATATTCAAGGAAGCTGTGCGAGGGGAGTTGGTTATAATAAAGCATTTCAACTACATTTACTCACATTGAAAAGTACTTTTCCGTTCTCTCGAAGCCTAAATAACTGACGATTCGATCATGATCGAGATCCTTGAGCAACTCAATCTCATACTTAATACTATCAACTAATTTGTTATCACCATCGTTTTCTTCTTCAGAATGAGCAGTCAAAGCAACCTGCTTTACAGCTAGCGGTTCACCAGTGTTGGCGTTGAGTGCCAGATACACATGACCGAACGATCCTTTCCCGATAAGGTCACCTTTGACCCACTTTATCGTAGATGGCTCATCTGTTACCGGTGAGAGGATATGATATTCTTTTTCCCTTTCATTCGGCTGGACCTGCACAACTTTATTACCCCAGAACACCGTCGAGCGACGCCTCAACCCGTTCTTATCGTCTGCACTGTGTGCCTTTCTAATTGGAATGTTCTGATCTGGATTTGCTAAGTTTTCCTCTGAACTTAGCATCTTCTGCTCTTTCTGCTCTAAAGTTGGTTGCTCCAATTGGCTCTGATCTGTCTCATCTTCTCTTTGCCTGTATTTGGCGTTGGCATCTTGGAGATCTTTCATGGTATCTTCTCTCGCAATCTCAGCTGGTTCTTCATAGATAACTGATGAACGGTCGTTCGATTGATAGGAAGCGTCATCACCGACCCTGAACGACCTCGCTCTGTCCAATGCTTTGCGATGATCTTGAGCTACGTGTCTAATAGTTCTCGTCCTACGCATTCTCGAAGGAAGAGCTGTATGGCTAACGTTCTTGGGTATTTCTTTCTCCTTGACATTCTCGTTTTTCTCGTTATTTTGATTATTCTCACGCTTAGTGTTGTTTTTCTCATTTGTTGGTGAAAATTGCATCCTTGACTCCAATGTAGCACTTTCATCACCATTGTTCGACACTATAGGTCTGTCTAGATCATGTCCAGGGAAATACAGCTCCAAATTATCAATCAAATCTTCCGGATTAGGTCTGAACAGAGCATTCTCATTTCGTTTGTCCCGAATACTTGAACCTCTATTCAATCTCCTTCTGTTCAGCAAGTGAGGTGATATTTTATTCGAACGCAATTGAGTTTGGGCAGGTGAACCTGAATCAGAAGCTGAAGTTGCAGTCGCTGTTGTAGTCTGCGGTTCGGAAGTAATTGTATTATTTTCTGGTATAATTAATTGTAATTTTCTTTTGTCTTGCTTTGAGGCATGAGTATCAGATCCACTAAGATACTCCGTGGTCGATTTAGGAGGCCTTTGCCAAGTAGCCACTCCTTCATCATCACTGTAGCTCTCTTCATTTTTATCATCTTTAATTGTTTCCGATGACAATGACTTTTGCGGCTGCTCATCTACTATACTCCCTCTGCCAGGTATGATGGTTGCCATTTCTGGCGAAGTTGGTGTGACATTATGCCATGATTTCGTTGCAGTGTTTTGCTGATCCGCAGGCTTAATCTTCCAGCCAAACTCATCGTCGTCATCATCAGTTGCTGATGAATAGTCCTCACCTGATGCCATCATACCATTGTCTGACTCAGCGCCATCAGGCTGTCTAGCGTGCGTGTTCGTTCCATCATCCAGTAAAAACTCCTGATCATCTTCAGCCGTAAACCTATCCTGACTATTCAAATCTGACGCTGGAGTCAACGGATCAACACTCGCTGTAGAAGACCTATTGGAAGATGAAGTGTGCTCATCAGGTATACTAGATACAGAGCTGTGCTGGTTGTGTTGGTGTGGTCTAGTATGCGATGAGTTAGTTACAGACTGCGGCGAGATTGCATCGTTGGTTGGAATGTTCCCGTTCGCAGAAGGTGAAAAAAGTAATGTAGATTCCTCGCGTCCAAATCTATCAATTGTAAAATCGTCATACTTGGCGTAAAAACCTTGATTTCCAGGTTTTGGCGTCGGCATGTTAGAAGGTTGTGGCATGCCGTCACTGGATACTGGCGTTACAAGTGTTGAGCGCGATTGCTGGTCTGAGGTTGGGCTTTGGTGCTTCGATGGAAGACTGCTGGTGCTCCACCCCGGTGATGCCAGTCTAGCTGAGTTTGGTGGGGATGCGTATGGTGGGGATGCGTATGGTGGGGATACGTATGGCTGTTGAGGGGGTGCGTTGTTCCTATACTGCTGCTGGTCGATTTGCTGATTCATTCGGTACATCCAATTGAGCTCCTCTTCAGAATAAGGCCTTGAAGGTGGTTTGGCGGTACTAGATGAGGGTGACGTTGGCATCACATAGGGAGAGTCGGGGGGAGGTGGATGCGAAGGGTGGTTGACTAGGGTCTGCTGGTGCACTGGAAATGGGCTAGGTTGCACCTGACGAGAAGGTATCTTAATATTCGACTGAGAATAAGTTTTTGGAGGCAGCGGTTTCATTTGAGTACCTGGCGATGTCACTTGTGGCTGAGGTGGAGCGTATACTTGTGCACCACCTTGCCTATGTTTGACATAATTCGCTGGTATATTTGGTGGTACGGCAGGATAAACCGCAGGATTGTCCGAGTGATGGTAGCCGTCATACATATTAGAAATACTCCTTGCGCCTTGCAATGGTTTTCGGTTGTGAGTAGTTGGTGGCACGCCAAGACTAGGAACTGGCATTTGCAACTGACGCTGAGTGGGATATGGGTGGTTATAGGGTTGTTGAGTTGATGGAGGTGGTCTTGAGCTCCACGAAGGCGAAGCCATTGCTGGGTATGGTGAATGTCGGGTTGATTTTTGTAAGCTTCTGTGATCTGCGGTATACGAAGACAACGGTTTCCTATCAGTGTGCTGTTGCTGCTGTTGCACTCTCTCACGCTCCCTTAGAAGTAACAATCTTTCACGTTCCCTGTTTCTCCTGCGAACCAGGTCCACTTCGGAGCGAGGCATTTCACTACCGGCGACCTGTTCCGCCCATTGTCGCTGCTGACGCTCTATCTGTCTATTTTGCACCTCGCGTGCACGCTCGTCCTCAATCCGTAGATCCTCCTGTAGCTTCTGTGCTAACTCATGATCGCGCTGCTCTTGCTCGAATTTCGACATAAGGACATGCTGCTCTTGTTCTACAGATGAGGAGGACATCGGTACACCGAAATTGTCAAGTCTAGTTCCAGTGCTGACGCTGCGTGAAGGCGCTGTGCCTCGGCTGCTCGGTCTTGGCTGTCTGCCAGGTCTCAAACTGAGCGGCAAGTTGAAATCAGTGTTGGTAACAGCTTGTGGACGCTCTACCTTGACTAGAATATGCGCGAGTACGTTTTGGGTTGAGTTCCTGGACGTCTGAGTGTTCAAAATTGCGTCCAATTCGCGATTGGAGATGGCTTTGGGAGAGGTCTGGCGAAGGAATAGATCTGTGAGGTAGAAATTGCAATATGGGTAGTCGTCTTCGTAGATAGGCAGCTGCGCTTTGAGATTAGCGCTAGTTGAACGTACACAGCGAGACTCACACAAGTAAGCACTGAGACTCTAGCTCTGTTGTAGCTGAACACGTTGCTGACGTCTACTGGATTCCAGCTGCCACCAACGATAGATACCATCAGGATTCTGATCTCTGCGGGATTGTCGAGTGACGCCTTGTGCTTGTGGTAGCTCATTTGCTTGTGGTGATTCGCGCTTTCGTCACTGTTTACTCTGAAATGTTTCATCTATTCCCACTATCTCAGCATCAACGTCGTCTGCAAGAGATAGGCTGAGCACACAAAATAAATTTTATAAGCAAAACTAATTATCTCTATTCCTGGCAGCTACGAATCTCTTAAGTACAACCTCCTTCACTCTATACTCGGCCAGCAGTTTAGCCGGGTCATCGAGGTTGCGAACCTTTTCTTGGGATGGTATTTGCACGTACGCGAGAATTAAAGTCTTTTTAGCTTGTCCATTCACCCTATTTATGGTGTTGAGCCACTGCCAGCTGAGCTTGTCCGAATTGTGCAGGTCAAATGGACTCGACTCTTTGTCTCGTTGATCCTCGTATGTTGGACAAATGACGACAGCAAATTCTGCGTGGTGGAAGACTGGGCCACGCTTATAGAGCACAATGTCTACGCAGAACTTGATACCACTCTTTATCACCCATCCTAGCGATCTGTAGTAGTGATAGATGGCATAATTGACTAGGAATGGGTTATCGAGGCGCTGCAGGCAAGTGTCTCTTGAATCCGGAGCGTTTTGAAGGAACATTGAAGCTAGTCTGCACTCCTTCCAGAGCTGATTGATGGGTATCACCGCGTCCGTGTATGGATCCACAATCTTCAGACAGCCAATCCCCCAAGCCAAGAAAAAGGCCTCTGGAAGAGTGAGTTGGAGATGCTCAGCATTGGACAAATCTTGTTGTTCTTCTTGTGTATCAGGCTCTAGAGGTTCCCACTTCGGTGGACTAGACGGCTCAATCGGATTAGAGCTTTTTTCATTTAAAGGCAGGTTATCGTTGTCATCTGCAGGCATTGGTGGAGACAGTTTTATACTATCAGAGCCCTCCAAAGCAGCCTCAGCGGCCAACTGAGCTTCAGATAAGACCTTTGCTCTTTCAATCTTCATTTTGTTCCTCTCTATACGTCTCTTGGAGGTAATTTCTTCAGCAGTTGGCTGTGGTTTGTCACCAACGGCCAATTTACGCTGACGGTCATTCCAAGTTGGCTCAGAGCGGCTAAGTGAACCTTTGCCAAAGAATCCTCTAGTCCAGAGCACTCTGACGTCTCTCTCGTTGATAACCCACACGGATTGGGTTTGCTTGATGTACACGCCCACGCATTGCGGATTAATTAGCGATTTCTGTCCAAATCTACTCAAACCGGCCAAGAAAGTCGACGGCCTCTGATCGATGAGAACTGGGAGTGGATTGGCGTATATTCTATTCTGATGCTGTTTTATTCTTTTATGCGCTGTATTGTTTCTTGGTGGTGGATTTGCAGCCATTGTGATGGCGTCGTGGCTGTTTGGGTAGAAGCGATCGTTAAGAGTTATCAACCATGTCTTCTCTGTGTGAGTCTATGCTACCAGCGTACATCACAAGCATTTCTAATTCCTGGTACAGCTTCAGCGCCACCAAAATTACTAGCGCTGTACATAACAGTACCAATTGTTAGTTGTACCTTGGGTGATGATCTGATGATCTGCGCGAAATACTGACGCTACCACAAAGCTCGCATTCGGTATGGGATATTTGCTAGGCAGACCAAGTGGATCACAGCTGCGCACAACTACCGATTCGGAGGAAGAAGACAGTGACGATGAACCTCAGGAGGGGCTTGGATCGGTGAAGCCGAGTATTTTAGAGCCATGCAAGATGGTCAGTGGTGTTTTTATTATCGTTACTCCCTTTAACGTGATAATGCGACACAAAAGGTTTTAGTCGTTAGAACTGATTTAGGTATGACCAAAGGCAAAATAGCAGCGCAATGCAGGTGAGATCGGATTATGAAGCTCGTTATATGCTTACATATCCAGCCACGCCACTTTGGCTTGCTACAAGGCACTCCAGCAGTCAAATCCAGCCGTAAGTGTGTTCTGAGGCGGCTGCAACGACCTGACAATCTAAAGCTGCTTCGTCACTGGGAGCGTACTGGGTGAGTTTGGAATATCTCTTGGCACTCCCAACTTGCTTAGATGACGATACAGCCAAGCAAAGATAACAGTACAAGCAAAGTCAGAAGAGGAGCTTATGATACTGCAAGCACAAGCACAGTCTGTGAATGTATGTGCAAAGACCATTCAGGATGCGTGAGTGCTTTGTTTATCGCGGTGATTGGTGGCTCACTAAGCACCACAGTGGGCGCACACAGATAGAAGCCGGATCAACTACAGTGCTAGGCGTTGGACCAGCACCTGTAGATCTTGTCAACGTGGTGACTTCCGAGCAGAAGCTGTTGTAGAATGACCAAATGTGTTTTGTAAATCTTCCAAAGGAAAAGAAAGCAGCCAACAAATGCCAAGGATCAAATGGATGAAACTGAGTTTACAATCATGTACGTAAGTTGAGTAGATCGAAACCTGAGAAACGACGCTAAGTTTAATCAGCGTGAACATCACGGAGACGACGGATGGTGCTGTGAAAATGGTTAGCATATCATTGGAATCACTTAAGATCACTCCACCCACCTACGGACAGTGGTTGCTGCTGGAGTAGCCAAAGCATAGGCACCACCTGCAATAACCTTACGACAGGCCTTACAGTTCCAGATACCGGTAGCGGTACGCTTTACTGAATCTTTACCACAGAAGGTGCATGTGTAACGTGCGTGCTGTGAGATTTCCATCTTTTTTACTTGCTTACGCAAGGAAGCACCATAGCGGACACCGTATTTTCCTGTGACACCGACCTTACGAGTACCTGTGGGCGTATACGATTTGAGTGGTTGCACTTAATTTAAATATATTTCACTAACGCTTGACCATTTTTGGAACCTGTGTGTACTTGAAAGACGAGTGCCCAATTCGAAATTTTACACTGAATGCGAGGATTTTTCGCAATATAAAATTACCAAGAAAGTGCTGAAAAGGGAGCATCAAGGGGTTTTTAGGGGCGCTTGAGGTGCTTGGGATGGTCTACAGTCCACTCCAGCTGTCTTCTCTGTTGAAGTTTGTGACGTTGATTGAAGATTTGAACCTAGGCTAGAGCGCAGAAGGACAACTATATTGTGATATACGCGTCATGCTCCTTACTACACACATTCCCTTTGACTCCCTTGAAATTAAAAATTTTAGACAGATTTTAGCGGATTCTCGCATCTTGTCCTTCACGCTTAACGTCGACGAGATTTAAACCGCTTTACTTCAATAAAAGTAACTGCAATCTCACAATGGGTGCCAACAAGATCGAGAAAGAGAACTACTTCAACCGTCTCCAAGAGCTCATTGAGACGTACCCATCCATCTTCATTGTCAACATCGACAACGTGTCTTCCAACCAAATGCACCAGATCCGTCAAGCCCTCCGTGGCAAGGGTCAAGTGCTTATGGGTAAGAACACCATGGTCCGTAGAGCCTTGAAGATTTTCATCCAATCAAACCCACAATACGAGCGTCTTTTGACACACGTTAAGGGTAACATTGGTTACGTCTTCACCTCTGGCGACTTAAAGGACATCAGGGACATCATTGTCGCCAACAAGGTCAGAGCCCCAGCCAGAGCTGGTCTCTACTCACCAGAAGATGTCTACATTCCTGCTGGTAACACTGGTATGGAGCCAGGTAAGACTTCTTTCTTCCAAGCTCTCGGTGTCCCAACCAAGATTGCCCGTGGTACCATTGAAATCATCAGTGACATCAGAGTTGTTGAGAACAACACCCGTGTCGGTGCTTCTGAGGCTACTTTGCTCAACATGCTCAACATCTCTCCATTCACCTTCGGTATGACATGTGTGCAAGTTTACGACAACGGTCAAATCTTCTCACCAACTGTTCTCGATGTCACTGAGGAGACTCTCATCGGCAGATTAATGACCGCTGGTAACCAAATCGCTGCCATCTCATTGGCCATCAACTACCCAACCTTGCCAGCAGCTATGCACTCGTTCATCAACTCATTCAAGAACATCATGGCTGTTTCTGTTGCAACTGACTACACTGTCAGCTACACTGAAAAGGTGAGTCTATTAAGCGCTCTATTCTTATGGCGGTCAGTTCTACGTGATGATTTCTTACTTATGTCAACACTGAAAATTCTTACACTGAAAAGTGGTGGTGAAAAACCAAGACGGGTCGCTGACTAGAACCCCGCCATGAGGAAGCGCGTGTGCTCATGCACTAACGCTAACACGATACACAGGTCAAGGACATGATCGCCAACCCAGATGCGTACGCTGCTGCTGCCCCAGCTGCTGCCACTGGTGGTGAAGCTGCCCCAGCTGCTGAGGAGAAGAAGGAGGAGGAAGAGGAAGAGGATGAAGACATGGGTCTCGGTCTCTTTGACTAAACTGTTTGAAGAGCGTTTATTGTACTATGAATGTTTTGCTGCAGTAATGAAAAGTGTGCCCGGTTTTTTTTGTGTGTCCTAAACGTTGTATTTGTTAACAATCGAATCTCCACATTGTGCTGCCCTTGCTCACTATCAATCAGGATGCCCAACCCCACGCAACAATCGTACCGAATCAGAAACTGGGAAATAAAGACGCAAAAGTCGACGATACCTTCAATGCCCGAAAGCGACGCCTTGGCTGCTGAACTCGGGATCCCAATACCAGAGATGACATTCCTATCGAGTGGAGTGGAGGTGCTAGACACAGATAGCGGATTTAAGTTAAGTTTCAATGCGCGTGATGCACTACGTGGAGTGAGCAAACAGAATGAATTGAGGGTATCTTACGCCGATCACTGGCGAAGCAGTCGACAACCGCACGAAGCATCCACCATACAGCCTAGTCAGCCATGGGACTGGACTTACAGTACGACATACAGCGGCAGCACAGAAAGTGAAAGAGCACACTGGCAGCCCATCCCCACCACTACACCAGTCATTCCCATCGATAAACTCAGTGACACCACCCAGCCTATCCTCTTCTACGACGATGTGCAACTTTACGAAGACGAACTAGGCGACAACGGTCAAGTAGGTCTTAATGTGAAAATACGCGTTATGCCTTTCGCTTGGTTCATCCTTCAGCGCTTCTTCCTCCGTGTGGATGACGTCCTCTTTCGCATGTACGACGTGCGCGTTTATCACGATTTCAGCGGCAATGTCGTCTCGCGTGAGTGTGCGGGCTGGGAGGCGGGTTGGGAGGCTATGAAGCAGTGTCTGCCCCCTCATACACCTAACATTCTTTCAGATGAACCTGTCATCCAGGCAACGCTGCGCACTATGGAGAAATACAACACGCATACTAATTGCACGCAATGGAAGGGACTGGGGTGTGTGAAGGAGGTGTGTGAGTTGTGAGTTGTGAGAGTTGAACGGTGATGGTATTCATGTTGATTGATTATGCGACTATTTAATACAAAGCTTGTAGAGCTTGAGTGTTTGTGGGTGTGTGAGGAGTGTTAGATGTGCAAGAGGTGTGCATACGCTTGTGTATTGCTTATAGATTTCACCCTACACCAACCCCTTTTCCTCAATCTTGGCAGCTGTAGCTTCGATCTGCGCCAGTGTGTTAGACAAGCACTCCATACCATAATACAATACGAAACCCACCAAAGAAGCGACCGATTTGATTTGTGCATCCCACCCATGTGTGTGTGGAGCATAAGCAGCTTCAAATTGTCTATCATCTTCCTGCGCAGCAGCCACATGCGCCGCACCACCCAAGTCGCCTTCGTGGGTAGCATGTGAAGGAGTGAACACGATAACGGCATCGACCTGATCAATATAAGCTTCTAATCTCGACTGTACTATCATAGTGGATGCAATAGTTTCAGCACCGTAGGACGATAAATTGAGTAATGCACCTAGACGCGTGAAGGTGATGTTATCGAATATCTTACTAGCTGCCAACAAATTATGCTCAATCATCGCACGTTCGAGCACATTCGTAGGCGTATGTTTTGCCCCTTGCTCGTCCACGTTATTGTGCGTGTAGCTGATCTGCGCTATTTGATGTGCAGATAGGTGTTCAGCAAAAGATGCTATGTCGTCTGCTGATAAAATTCGCTCGAGGAATACCTTCTCGAGTATTATGTGGTGTTGTGTAGAACGACTCCTTTCGTCGCGGTAGAGTGATGCGAGGATGCGACTGCGTTTAGGACCAGCTGGTGCAAGTATAGCAGTAACTATCGCAGCCGAAAGAGAACTTAGTCTATCTTCATAATCGAGATCAGCTTCATAGCTCAGTTGCTGGAAGATAGTGGCAGATCTTATAAAGTCGCGCTTGTAGTCGAGAATTCTAGCCTGACTCAGTTTGAAAGACAGGATAAGTGATTTATTCGTCGTGGTGTGTATCACTGTCGCGGCCTTGTTGAGATAAGACTCGGAACTTATAGAGTCATCGACTTCCAAATACAGTCTGACAATCTTGATGTACGTGTCGAGCTTACTATCGATACTCTCAAGTAAATCGAAGTTCAGCTTCGTTAATTCGTTCGCAGCGCTCGACAAATCGTCAGCGTTGAAGTACAAATCGGATGCTTGGATATGGAGCTGATTGTTCAGATGATCGTAGAGGCTGTAATGGCTAAGAATATCACACGCAGAAGCGATATTCTTCACCAAGCCAGATTTGATGAGGTGCTCTGTACATTGTTCAACAACAGACTTCTTCTGAATGAGGTTGTAGTTTGAGCTGAGAATTGAGTTGAGCGTATCTGCGATGTTTCCATCCAACTGCTCAAATAGCAGAGTATAATTTTTGGCGTCGATTATCTCCTCAATACTCGTCATCATCGGTAGACCTAGAGAGAGGGAAAATGACTTCAATTCAGAAAGCAATGGGTCTTGAATTTTTGAAGTACAAGGTTAGTAACCTCGAAGGCAGCGTGGAGTACAAGCAGAGCGTCGTTGTCGATGTTACAGCGCTGTTATATGGGATAGAGGTGCTGAAGCGGTGGATACATGATAAAACCCATGTAATTATGATACCACTGCACGCAATAAACAGCCTGGATGTGTTCAAGGGGATGGGTGATGACGATATCCAGTACAGATCCCGCAATGCATCTGCGTTTATCGAAAAGGAGTTGAAGAAGCAGACGATAAAGCTGCAGGAGTCTATCCCACTCACCAGCAACCACTACACAAACATAATAAATTCACTTAAACTGACTTCAAACGCGTCCAAGCTGGTCGTCGTTGGTACTGGCGCGGACGTGGACAGACTCAATACAGATGAAATCACACAGCACACGCAGCAATCTGGCTACGACGTCGACTTGCTTTTGCCTGCAGAAATTGAAGATGCTGCACTGTGGTCAAAACAGAGGAAATTGAAATATTTGAATAAAAGTAAGAAGAAGTAAGAGGTTAGGGTCTGAGGACTACGAAACAAGATGAATGAGTGTCCATCCGCACTCAAGATAATCACACCACAGCCACAGCGCACACTTTTAGATTAGAGGAGATTGATCTTGTGTATATCAATTAAGTTTAAAATGCAGGCACCTTTAAATACGGTTAGAGCGTCTACAGCGCAGCTATCCAACTCACCAACAAATCACCAGCGACTCTGATAAAACCAATTGATCCAATGAAGAAGGCTGATCCCCATACGATTGGCATGTTCTCTGGTGCGAAAGATGACTTCAAGTACTTCCTGATAGTCGACTCATTGGTTGCTCCTTCGCTTGTCGTGAGGTAGGCTGGCTTGTCACTCATTTTGCGTTCTGGGAAGACGGACAGGGACAAACAGACATATTCAAGATAACCGACGTAACAAAATATTATGACAAAAATTTAACAACAAAAACATTTTACAGCTTTTGCATAGCAGCAATATCAGTGGATTGGACGTGGTCCTCATCTGCCTCGACTTGCTCTTGGAGTTCTTCCAAACCGACCTTCTCGTCCTCAACGACGAGAGTAACTTGCAACTTGTTTACACCGTATCCAACTGGGACAAGCTTGGAGAGACCCCAGGTAAGTCCATCAATCTCAATTGATCTCATGTTCTCCTCCAATTTCTTCATGTCTGTCTCGTTGTCCCATGGCTTCACGTCGAAGGTAACGACAGACTTCTGCACGGTCTTTGGCTTCTTTGACTTCTTCTCGTTGTACATAGCAACTCTCTCTGACTTGATACGCTCAGCTTCTGGGTCCTCATCGTCGGAGCCGAAGAGGTCAACGTCATCGTCCTCCTCCTTGGACTCGGCAGCTGGTGCTGGTGCTGCTGGTGCGCTACCTGCTGGGGCTGAGCCGTACAAGGAAGCAGCGAAAGCGCCACCGCCAAGAACATCAAATTGGTCCTTGAAGGTGCTGATGTGGTTGAACCATCTGCTGACGTTCTGGTATTGAGCTGGAGCGCTGCCTACTTGCTTGTAGACAAAGACGTCAGCTTGGGATGGGTTGTGTCTGGGGCTTGTTAGACGGGTGTAACGTGTGTAAGAGCGTATCAAGACAACAGCACACAATGCTCAGTAGTATTGGATTGTTTATCTGCATAAAAAGCGGGGTCTTAATCCGCACTAGGAAACACGGACCAATAGTAGAATCATCATGTTGTGTGCTGTATGCCACGCTCTCCAGTTCTCCACTTACGCATCAACGTATGAGTTGTTTTGGAGGTGTTGATCGAGCTGCTTCAAATCAACCATCTTGTTATTTGTCTGAATGAAGAGAGAGAAGCCAGCGCAATCGCGAAGACTACATGTTGGAAAAATTTCTGCAAGAATTAAAAATCTTTTTTGTGAAATGTTGAGCGAGAGTAGTGTAGCTTATAATAATAAGGTGTGTTTAATTCGTGCTTTCTGCCCAGCTAACGACGCAGCACTCGTTCGTCACTGGTGGCTCGCAAGGTCTAGGGATAGCGCTAGCCAGTGAGCTAGTGAATCGCGGGAGCAGTGTAACGATTTGTGCGCGCAACGAGTCCAAGCTTGCTGCCGCCGTTGCACAAATCGAGGTGGGCAATGAGTGATGATATCGCGGGTGATATGCTCAACGCACAGCGCAGAAACACAGAAGCAATGACAATCAATTCATACACTACGTTTCTGCCGATCTGACAAAATATACGCAGGCTCTGCACGCTATAGAAAGAGCCACTGAGTTAGCATTAGCGACACAGAAGATGCCACCATCTCTCTTCTTCGCCTGCGCAGGATGCTCGACACCCGGCTGGTTTGCAGAGATGTCCATTGAGGAATTCGAGTGGGACATGCAGGCCAACTACTTCTCCGCATTGCATACTGCCAAGGTGGGAAGATTGCGTGGGTTTTGCTATATGCTTACAAGACGCAGGCAGCTACGCAGAATGTACTCCAGCATACCACACCACACGCACACATCACTCTTGTCTCTTCCGTGCTAGGTTTCCCGCTCGGGGTACCTGGATACTCGGCTTACACGCCCTCCAAACACGCCGTGCGTGGATTAGGAGATGCCCTGCGTACGGAACTTCTTCTACATGATATAACCACACACGTTTACTTTCCTGGCACCATCTACTCCCCCGGCTACGAAAAGGAGAATCAGACAAAACCTGCGCTGACTAAAAAGATAGAGGGCGCTGCAGATGGACTGACGCCGGAGCAGTGTGCACGTGCGCTACTCAAAGGTATCGACAAGGGGGAGTACCAAATCACATCCGATTTCGTAGGCAGCCTGATCAAAAATCTTAGCAGAGGTGCTTCTCCTTCGAACAACCTGCTAATAGACACCCTGCTTTTTTTCGTAGCTGCAATTGCATTTCCCTTCTGGAGAATTTATATGGATTATTTGGTGAAAAAGGAGAGGAAAACTAAGACAGCTAAATAGAAAATTATCATTCATATCAAGTAAATAAGTAAGAAGTAGACATAATTTGTATATAATTCATTTAGTTTTCTTTTCATTAAATTAACGCTTTACGCTGAATGCGTTGCATATGTTGCATTTGCATCTGATCCACCTGATACATCTCACCCACCTCGTCATCTATCTTCTCACACCCACTCTCATGCGAATGGATTTCCACAGTAGCACTTCAAGATGGGAGGTGAGGCTGAAAAGTCAGCAGTGACGATGATCTGTGGAATGTTAGGAAAGCACGACGCAACACATGTTAACCTACATCAACAGTCATGCTGTCCTTAATAGTCTGTATATACTTGCCATTCTCCACCCTGACGTTCTCATACTTCGGTTGGTAAGCAAGCTTCGACTTATTATGCTGAACCGTGTCCATGTCGTTATTCTTCTTGTTAACCATATCGTTATCGTTATCGTTATCATTGTCCTCATCACTCTCATCACTGTCACTCTCATCAAACAGCGCCTGCTCATCCTGGGTAGATCTCGAAGTCATATGCGCTGGGGCGTGTTTCTGAGCAGCTTCTTGAATACACTGAAGATGGCCATCTGAGCTATTCTCAACCAACCACGATATAACATCGACGCCCTTCTTCCAATACAGATCGAGTGTCTTATGCTGCTCGCTATACTTGTGTTCGTTGACTGGTATCTGGTCGACGTGCACTCTCTTCTCGATGCCCATATCGTTGACGAGCACATCGAAAGCCCTATCGAGCACACCAATTACAGTCGCCTGTCTCACTACCGGTCCATATCTCTTTGTGAGATCTGAAATCAACAGACAGAGGTAGAGATGCTGCGAGCTCTCCTGCGCTTGTTTCGAAGCCTCCTTCTTGACATTGCACTGCTGTGCTGTCTTGGCTACAGTCTCCCTGTCCATCTGGAAGTTCTTCTCAGCTTCCTCTCCATACTCGAGAACTGTCTGCAGCTGGCGATGCACCACCACATCCGCATACCTTCTGATAGGCGATGTGAAGTGCGTGTAGAGAGGAACATTGAGTGCGTAGTGTCGGTACGAACTGATATCTATAGCTCCTGAGCAGAAGTACTTGGCTCTGCACATTCCCTTCACGGCCAATACTTGCAGCATCTTTCTCGCCTCCTCATCCTCAACAGCAAGGAACGAACTCTGGAGTGCCTTGGACGAGGATACGTCAATGTCAAATCCTAACTCCTTCGCTCTCTCTTGGAATGCATCCAGTCTCTTCGGAATTGGATCTTCGTGACGTCTCAACAACGATTGCTCAGGTAAACTGGCTGCTATTTCTGACGCGACTGTGATATTCGTTATCAACATAAACTCCTCAATCAGGTTGTTCGCCTCTCTTGACTGATATGCCATGCAATCAATAGGCGTGCCATGCTCATCAAGCTGGAATGCTAACTTCATCGTCTGGATCTTAAGTGCTCCCTCATCGAATCTACGTTGGCGCATCTTCTGCGACAACTTGTATAGTATCTTTATATCTCCGCCAATCTCTTCACTAGTGTACTTGTCACTCTTTCTGCCCTCAACCACATCAAGTTGTCTACCCTCGATGATGTTCTGGGCATTGCCATACGACAATTGTGCGCAAGATTTGATTATCGTACGCCCAAACCATGTCTTAAGCACCTTGGCGTCTTTGTCCATAGTAAAGGTGACAGAGAAGGCTAGTCTTTCTCTGTCGGGAAGCAATGAACACAGGTCTGACGACAAGATCGATGGTAACATTGGCAGAGCTTTTTGCACCAAATACACACTAGTTGCTCTCTTTCTAGCATCTTTATCCAGTGGCGAATTTGGTTTGATGAAGTAGCTAACGTCCGCAATTGAGACTGTTATATCATAAGTATCATCGCTATTGACTTTAACAGAGACAGCATCATCTAAATCTTTCGCAGTGTCTGGATCTATAGTAAAAGTCCTCTCATTTCTCATATCTCTCCTCTTTCCATACTCCTCTTGTGGAATGTGCCAAGGCAATGCAGGAAGACACCTGAGAGCAGAATCTGGGAAATCTTCAGAAGATGTTGCATTGGAGTCTTTCAATAATGCACTAGTCTCAACTTGGACGTCACCAATCGGTCCGAGCTTCTCAACCAATGTACCGAATGGATGCAACGAAGTAATTGGCCAGCGCTTGATGCAAGAAACGAACAGTTGATTCTGATAATGCTCAGAATTACTCAAGAAATCTTTTGGAGCTTGTTCAGTTGGAATAGCAATAAGTGGCACTCTCTTATCAGTTGGCTTGAACCACACAATCTTTGGCCTCTGTGCTGGTTTTTCTTGTGCCTCTGGTATTCCACCTTCACGCTCACGTCTTTCAGCATCCTGTTTTTCTTTAGTGGCAGCTGAACTTGGTCTGAGTATACCAAGTGTACCTGAGAACAACTGTCCAGGCATGCGCTCAACAATCGCGACAACGTGACCAGCATATTTAGGTTTCTGATCGTCGTTAACCTCCTCATCTGCAATCAAAAATAAACCCTGTCCTTCAACTTGCACATCATCTCTATTCTTGGCCTGCTGTTTAGTTTCAATTGAGGGATTGATTGCGCGCAATGCATCATACTGTGCATTTTCTTCTTTACGTCTCTTCTTATCCTCCTTCTCCTTCTTCGTACCCCAGACCTCATCGACATTTAGTAATTCGACTGCAACTATATCACCCTCTAATGCACGGTTACGATCTTTGCTACCACAGATATAGACATCGGCATCCAAGACCTCGGTGGATATGTAGGCATCCGATCTATTGCGTTTGTTTACACGCAACATACCAACTACCAGCTTACCAGCAGTGAGGAGCGGAGGTAATGAAGCTTGTGGAAGGTATGGAGCAAATAGAGACTTGCGTTGAGGGCCCCCATGGTTGCTTGGTTGTTGGATTTGTAAATTGAACGCTTGTTGTTGCTGGAGAGCGTAGTTGATGCCGTTGTCAAATTTACCCATCTGATTGCCACCAAGTGCAGCAGACAAGGAAGCGGCAGCTACCATGTTTTGGAATGAATTAGGGAATGCGAATGATTGGGCCCTGTTGTGACCACCTGCACCGACACCAACACGGAATTGAGCCAATGAAGCTAATTGAGATTGAGCTTGTGCAAGATCAGGTACTCCTGATTGATTGTTGTTAGGAATAGGTTGCTGGATGGCTGAAAAGGTTAGAAATGCAAGTAAGAGACATTAATTCTCACCTTGACCAGTGCTAATTCTTCTACCATGACCACTTTGAGCACTTTGTGGAGACATCTTGTTAACAGTGTTGGATGGGGGGAAGGAAAAGTCATTAAGGTCTTTAGTAACTTTTGAGACATTGACAGAATGACGTCTTCCATGACCTTTTGGGGGAATGTTTTTCATTTGTGGAGAGCCTTGTGGGTTGTAGAGGTTTGGTGAGTGAGGGGAGTACTGAGTGAGGTTACCACCAGACATTCTCATGTTAGGGGCTTGCTGAGATTGAATGCGGCGGTGGTTGTTAGGGATGTTAGGGATGTTAGGGATGTGAGGGTTGTTAGCGTTGGGATTCATTCTCGAGTTGAGAGTCTGCTGATCGTATTGCTGAATGAATTGAGATTGATTTTGAATCAAAGCTCTCTGCTGATGCTGGAGTTGCTCAATTTGCTGCTGGAGGAGTAATTGCTCAGGGGTGATACCAAGTTGAGGAATTTGAGCAGGACCACCGAGTGATTGAGAAGGAGTGTGGTTGCCGTATGAGATTGAGTTGTTGGTTTGGCGACGTCTAGCACCGAATTGGAAATTTGGGTTCAGAGTGCCGTAGCTGTCTGATTCGTTTGATTCGTCCTGGAATCTAGGACCAAGATTCTTGCGGCGATTACGATCTTGAGATTGAGGTTGATTCATTGAGGCTGATTTGCGGTGGCCGTTGATTGATTGATTGCGTGGTTGTTGTTGTGGCTGTTGCACAGGCAATGGAGGCATCGCTGTTGGATCATCGCTATGGTTATGCATTTGATTTGCTTGTTGTCTCCTGTTCTTTGGATTGTGTTGTGAATCTGCCATTCTCTGTTCAATTGGTTAGGTTGATGGCGACGTGTTTCAACGCACAGACCTCTTAATTCAATTTTTAGCTTAATTCAAATTCTTTAATTCCTTCAGTATTAACGAGTGGTTGGTATTTATCTCTTTAACCCTTTGTCGCTGTCGCTGTCGTCGTCGTCTGATTAAACTGCGCGTAATGAAAGATGTATCAATTTGGATAATTCAATTTCACTTTAATTAATTTAATCATCGGTTCTTGTTCCAATAGTGCTCTCTCATATCTACAAACATTCCTACTCATCTTAATATCTCTACACATGAATGGTAAAATTTTCACACGGGTATTGTGCATGTATATTAGAATAACTAAGTGCATCATTGTAAAAACTCCAATGGCCCCCAGAAACCTCTAAAATAACGGTAAAATTCAAGAATTTTTGAATTGGCTGTTGTCATCGATATGTGGTAATGGATATCAGCGGGGCTTGTTCAAATACGATCAAGATACAAAATGTCTGCAACATATGCTCAATTAAAGGATAACACGTCTATTGTTGGTTAGTGTGGATTCATATGCTTACTCAAATCACTCAACTTAGACGATTAGTTTTCGGGGCTTCCGGAGACTTAGCCAAGAAGAAGGTGAGCGCGGTTCAATTGGTGGTATGTTATGGACCATCTAACCAAACCATTTAGACTTTCCCAGCTCTCTTTGGTCTCCGTAAGATGGGTTTACTCCCAAAGGATACACGCATCATTGGATACGCCCGCTCAAAGATGACAAATGAGGAGTTCCATGACAAAGTTACTGGATTTATTAAGATTGATGATAATGATTCAAACTCCAAGAAGCTCCTTGATGAGTTTAAGAGTGGTTTGTCATACGTCGCTGGTGGATACGATGGCGAAGAAGCGTTTAAGAATCTCAACGATAACCTCACCAATGCTGAGAAGAGTAATGCTTCATCTGGTAAGGTGTCAAATAGGTAAGTCAATTTGGAGTATAACTATCTGATTATCTAATCAATTGCTCATTTATAGACTATTCTACGTGAGTTTAATTGTTTAGATAATTATCTCGCCCTTCTAAACCTTCCCCTCAGCTCGCTCTCCCTCCTAGTGTCTTTGGCTCCGTCTCTGAAGGCTTACGTAAATTCTGTTACTCAGGCTCAGGCACCAACAGACTCATCGTCGAAAAGCCTTTTGGAAAAGACACCGAATCTTCACAGCAACTTATGAATGCAATCAAAGCAAACTGGTCAGAGGAAGAAATATTCCGCATCGATCACTATCTTGGTAAAGAGATGGTGAAAAATTTGCTTGTTTTGCGCTTCGCTAATGTTTTCCTTGACAATCAATTCCACAAAAACTCTGTTGATAATGTACAAATCACTTTCAAGGAGCCTTTCGGCACTGAAGGACGTGGTGGATACTTTGATGAATTCAACATCATCCGCGACATACTCCAAAATCACTTAATGCAAGTACTTTCTTTGGTGACGATGGAGAGACCTGTTTCATTCTCTTCAGAGGATATTCGTGATGAGAAGGTAAAGGTTTTGCGCACAATACCACCACTCAAACCAGAAGAAGTCGTCCTTGGTCAGTACGTTGGTGCGAATGGAAAGCCTGGATACAAGGAGGATGATACTGTCCCACAAGATTCAAATTGCCCAACATACGCTGCATGTGCTTTACACATCAACAACCCACGCTGGGAAGGCGTTCCATTCATACTCAAAGCAGGTAAAGCTTTGAATGAAGGTAAGGTTGAGGTTAGAATTCAATTCAAGGACGTCACATCGGGTATATTCTCAGACATTCCAAGAGATGAGCTCGTTATTAGAATTCAACCATCTGAAGCTATCTACTTGAAGGCCAACACTAAAGTACCTGGACTTCATATGTCGGCGCTACCAACAGAGTTGGATTTGACATACAAGGATAGATTCGATAAAGCTGTCATACCTGAAGCTTATGAGTCACTCCTCCTTGATGCGCTTAACGGGGATCACTCCAACTTTGTGCGTGATGATGAGCTTGATATTGCGTGGAAAATATTTACACCAATCCTTCACTGGATCGAGGGAGCGAATGGGGAGAAGCCAACGCCAGACTCATATGAGTATGGATCAAGAGGACCAAAGGGGGTTGAAGAGTTCCAAGCCAAGTTTGGATACAAGCGCACACCAGATAACTACAAGTGGCCAGTAACTGATCTTAGCCAGGCCAAGATGTAATAAGTGTTTTGTAGATGAAGATGAATAATTTTGTAAACTGCACAAAGAGAAAAAAATCCAAACCAATCCGTCAAAAGAGGTGATGCATGTGAAGAAAGTACATATTCACTACACTTGTGTTTAGTTGGTACCCTTGGTACTGTGAGGAATGTTAACCTTGTACACCACCTGAACTGAAATCCAACCCACCGAGCTTCTTGAATAACCGAAGAAAGCTCTTCAACCTTACCCTTGGCACGACGGAGAGTACCAAGACGCTTCTTAGTGAGCTTACGTGCCTTCTTGTCCTTGGAGTTACGGAGGAGTTCCATGACACGCTTCTCGTATGGAGCGAAACCAGCAACTTCACGGATGACGCCCTTCACCAAGCGACCACGCTCAGAGTTAGCGCCCTTTCTGTGAGAAGGCTTAACACGCTTTGGGAGCTGTGTGGTTGGGTAGCCCTTGTTCAAGCCAACGCGGAGGTTGTTTGTAGTGGTCGACACTATAGGCTGTGTTAAGTGGGTTTTTCTGCTTAATTCCCCCCTACTCACTCTCTCTTCACCGTCTCTCCAGAAGTCAGAAATTTCTGAGATGCGCATTATCACAAAATTAAAATTTGCGAGGTATAAAAGGTGGTCTTCTCAGAAATTATTCTTCTTATCTTACATTCATTTCGAAATATACCAGCTAGCAGACGGTGTTTTATACACCGCATGACTGTCTAGCAAAATTGGCTTCGAATATATCTACGGATGCTACAATTCATCCGGTGTGCAACCTACACGCTGGGGATTCGCTTGTATCCAACATTACTCGCCTTTGTAACTTTTTTCTATGTATCTTTATCTACAATCTACTCGTTCTGCTCCTTTTTATTCTTTGACAAGATCTTCTCTATCTCTTTCTCTGCCTTATCAATGTTTTCCTTGGTCTGCTTCTCCTGATTTGCCTCATACCATGCCTTCTTTATCTCCAAACTTGAAATTGTACTCTCAATATCTGAGTATGACTTTGGAGGTGGGATCGACAATCCGATGAGTGCTGTCAGTGTGGCCAGAGGTACGTGCACTTTATCCTCCGAAGTCGCTTTTGCTGGTGTCTTTTTCTGTCCCCTTTCCTTCTTCTTCGATTTCCCTCCGCCGACAAAGTAAGCGTCATCATCGTCCTCCTTCTTCTTGAGTAGTGTGCCGCCTGGAACTTGGTTGTCTACTTGGCGGATGTTGTGTTGGGCGAGTGGGGTATTAGCACCTTGAATACCCTGGTTACCTTCAGCATTGTCACTATGATTGTGCACCACATGCACCCCACCAATCCTCCCAAACTGATCAATTAGCGTCTGGCAATCCTGAATGAGAGGTTCAAAAGCGGGCAGTTTAGCATCTTCGCGGAGTTGTTCAGCATGCAATTTAGCCTTCTGCGCATTCTCAGCTTCTCTTTCCTCCTTGGCCCTTTGTGCGCGTCTAGCTTTATCCTCGTTGACTTTGGCGTAGTACGCATCCATACCTTCGCGATGGGTTTCTGAGTGCGAGCGTTTCTCCGCGTACACGGCATCGAGATCGGATTGCAATTTGTTACGCTGGTCGAAGAGTGTCTGCTTGGATGCCTGTGCATGGTCCATCTCCGCCCTCGTTTCATTCAAACCCTTGGAAATAGCCTCCGATTTAGCCGCGAGTGCTTTGTGTTCGGGGTCATCCAGGTGCGCTTTCAATGCTTCGACTTGCGCCCTGTCTGCGTCTATGGCGTGTTGCTGCTGGGCAAACCCATCAACGAGCTTCCTCTGTCTTCTGAGATTTGTTATTTCCTGCAGAGACCTCTTCTCATCGGCTAAACGGAGCTGACCAGATTCGATGGAAGTGTTGAGGTGGTCGATCCTGCTGTCGATATCGCCTACAGAGGAGAAAGGTATTTTAGACTTGGAGGATTGCAAATCTTTTACCTTGTGTGTGTGAGTGGGTTATGTGTTCCATATGCTCCCGTCTTACCTTCCTCTGCGTAGACTCGTGCAACACTCTCACCCTCTCAAGCACCTTGTCTCTGCTAGCCCTGTTCCCTGCTTGATTCGATTTGTGCTCGTCAAGCTCCTTGAACAATGCCTTTCTGCGCTCATGCGCTGGCCCGTTCGCAGAGGCGTTGCTGATCTTTTGGCGCACAATTTGCAGCTTGCCTTGGATATCATCTATCTGCGATTTGTAGGCGTCTTGGTGTTTTCTAAATTCCGTGATGTCTGGCTTCATTTGGTGTTTTGGTGTGTGCTGTGTGCTGGGAAAGATAGGCAGACAATAAAAAAAGGGATGAAAAATAAATTATTTCAACTCAATATTATATTTAAATAGATATTTATGTTTATGTTTATATATATACTTACACACTCACACTCACACTCACAATGGCCATCAACGATATCTACGTCGCCAATACAGCGTGTGTTTCTATTTCTCTACTATGCCCACCCTAACGCTCTCAGTCGCCGCTTGGATGAGTTATCACGCGGGCGTTTAAGCGTAGACGACGACGGGATGCTCGTTCTAGGTCAGAGCACCTTGGACAGCGCCCGCAGGCAGCACCTCCTCCACTTAGCCTCGGTAGCCAAGCACGCTGCGCTCGAGACGCACTCCTCCTCCCTCCTCACTGGCCACCTCAGCGAATCTGATGACTTTGCCGATCTGGCTTTCTCCATCAAGATAGACCGCGATGAGGATATTGCACACAGATCGCCCAACGATATCGCCAGACTCATCCTCAACCAGCTCCACCTCTCCTATACGCTCATTGTGGAGGATGACGCCATAGCACAGAGACTGCCCAAGCATTCCAGTCACTTGCTCAGCCAGGATCAGAAAGATAGCCTCATTCACGCTTCCTCTTTCGTCGGTCGACCCACACTCGACTTTTCCGCCTCCATCACCCCTTCAGAAGACATACACGTCTGGGCCATCAGGATTGCAGAGCGTCAGTACCTCGGATTGCTGACTATATCTGTGCATACGTAGTATGAAATGTGATAATAATGTTAATAATGATAATGTAAATAATGTTACCTCCTCTGCTGCCCCTCGCCGCTCACAGGAAGAATTTGCGCCTGCTCGTCTCCAATTCAGGTCTCCACTGGAACTCAAACGCATCACCGCCGCCGTCGTTGTCGCCTGCATTAGCGAGACGCGCTTCAACAGGTCGGTTGTCCACCTCGTACTTAACCCCCGGCAGGCCTCTCTTCATCCACCTCAGCTTGAGCGTGAACCGCGGTCCTATCTCCTGCAAAGCTGTCTTCTCTGTCGACTTGAAAGCGTAGCGGTGTCGCCTAAAGAAGATAAAGTCGCGCTGCACGTGGAAAGTCGCTACCTGTCGACCCTCAAATTCCGGCACAGGTGGGAAGAGTGCTTGGAACATCCTTCCAACAGTATGTCCGAGTCTGGTAGCGAAGTTGTTCAGCACCAGTTCCGGGTGGTGCGGTGTAGGACGAGCGTGACCCTGTATCATTAAAGAAATGAATTGAAAAGTTAAGCACGTCAGTAAATCATTTCTCTCAAACTAAACACTCCAGCCACTTACCGTAATAGCCTTGCTTTGTTTGACGGACGACAATTTGAAATACGCCGTGGGGCCACTCGGGAGATGCATCAGCGTCAACGCATTCGCCGTCTTGTGATCCTCATTCACCACCATCATGTCGCTGTACTCCCGTTTGCGTGCCCAGCCGGCAATAGTACCCATCTCGTACCCCTTGCCGCTCCTCCTCTTGACGTACTCTGAGTTGGGCAGTACGGATGTGAGATCCATGCAGAACTCTATTGTGCTCTTTCCCGCGCCCGCGCTCGTCGTGATGAGTATCTTGGGCAACTTGATCCCTGAATCTGGGTCATCGGGGTTGACCAGTTGCGGTGTGAAGTAGCTTGCGAAGGCGTCGTTGGCAATATCTGAGGAGAGTTCGGGATCATCTGTTCCCATGTGCATATCCTTGTTATTCTCGCTGTTATTCTCCTTGTCGTTGTCGTTGTCGTCTGGCTGCTCTGGCTGCTCTGGCTGCTCACCCCCTCCTCCTCCTCCCACACCCATACTCATATCATATTCCCGCGTATTGTCGAGCGTGTTGGGCACATTCCGCGCCCTCCTCTCCTCTGCATCTTCCTCTGTTTCCTCCTTCCTGCTCTTCAAGCGGCGCTCTAGCTTCTGCTTGCTTTTGGTTTTCTTAGCTGCGTCGACTATCTGCCCGCGCTTCATTTTGTTTTTAATTTTTATACTGTCCATTGTGCGCAAGTAGGTGTTGTGGTGGTGGTATGGTACAGAGCTCTAAACAGCCATATCTCAACAACAAACATAGAAAATGTATCCAAAAACAGCATCAGCGGTAACAAGCGTGAATTTCCAATCCATAGCACATTTCAGAATGTATTTTTGTGTCTTTACGAGCACAGTGAGGGGAGTGAGACAGATTAGAGTGGTGTTAAATCCAACAGTACTCAACCCACAATACACAACACCAAACTCACTCTACAAACCCCACACACTATATAATCACATTCTTTTCGATGAAATTCTATTCATTTTCAATTTTAAAAAAACCCGCTCAGTCTCCTCACACACCGGGGAATAAAACGAGCGATCCATTCATCTTGTTACGCTATCCTCTCTGGCCTTTTGGCTTAGATCAAGTGTAGTATCTGTTCTTCCAAGTTCGAACAACTTGGATCGCATAACTTATGCGACTAACGTTCGATCTAATTTTTATCCGCGTCCAGCCGCCCTCACTGCTTGCATAGGATGGCTGGAAGATGGCCTTGCGTTGCACTACCGCATGTGCCGTCAGCGCTCTCTTATCATTCTCATCAACCATTTTGCCATGTCTTTGCTACTTTTAGTGGTAATGACTTGATGATATGGTTGTCGAGTAAAGGCGAGTTTGCGGCATGACGGGAGTGTGCCGGTGTTCGAGCGTACAAAATAGCAACAATGTGATTTGCACGCACACACCTTTAGCACACCTCCAAACACCCACACATACAAATAAAATGCATTGATTAACAGTTATAAAATAATTTGGTAATAATTATCACGAATGTCGCTAGAAGTGAACAGATAGGATTATCGATTAACGTAAGTGTATATATTAGCGTGTTGATTGATGCAAATGCGTGTGCGTCTGTAACGTGTTTAAGGTGTTTAAGGTGTTTGCGTTGTTCGAGTTGCTTGAGTTGCCTGAGTTGCCTGAGTTGCTTGAGTGGTTTGAGTTGCCTGTATTGCCTGTACTCCCCCCACCCGCCATATTCGATCGAACACCCAGTGGGTTCTTGGAATACGACAGTCTGATTCCACCTCTAATTAATCCGTTGAGTGTATTCCCGTAGAGCTCGTGGAGTGTCTTAGTAGCCACATGTACATCTTCGAACTGTATTTGTGTTAGCGTAATTCTCACCCTTACGACACCCAACTCACCTCCACGAAACACATTGGTCCGTTCGCTTTCTGTCTAAATGACAACCTCTTAAATCCGCCCTGCTTACTAAATAATGCTCGCAGAGCATCCTCCAATAGACTAACCGGCTGTGATGGCGGTGGTGTGGTTAAATTTCCAACGTACAATGTCGAACAGGGTGGATTTTGATCTGCGGGATTCGTCGGTTTCAGTGGTGCTAAACTTGGTGCTGTATTCGATGTTTGACTTTGTGTTGATGTCGGTGTCAGTGTGTGTGTGTGTGTATTTGTATGTGCATTCGTCTGTGTGTTTTTCTGTGCGTTCGCTTGTGCGCTTGTCTGTACACCCGTCTGTGCACCTGTTTGCGCTAATTGACTATGCAATGTGTGTATACTACTCGTTTGCAGACTGCCTGCTTGCAAACTACTCGATTGGGCTGGAGGTGGGGATGTTTTCGTAACCTGTACGTCATTCAATGCCAGGCCAATATGACTGGTAGTGGTGTTGCTGCTGGTCAAGTCTTGCGCGCTGTGTGATACATGTCCTCCACCCAGGTTGTGTCCTAAAGCCAATGCACTCAACCGCCTGCCCAGACTCTGACTAGCTAAGGCTGAGTTGGAATTGGGGTCGAGTGTTCTAGGCGATAGTGGCCTCATATGGCTCCCATTCCCATTTCCATTCCCACTCACACTCCCATTTCCACTCACATTCCCACTCACACTGACACCACCTGTAACACCCCCATTGGTGTACATCGGTGGAGAGTACGCATCCAGACTGTTGAGAGGTGATAGTGTACTCGAATTTGACTTTTCGTGGTTACGAGATTGTCGCAGTTGTCCACTTTGCCCCGTTTGGCCTGACGGCGATAACGTATATTTGTTACTTTGGAACGGGTCAAACCCACCCGATGGCGGTGTGGGTTCAGTATCAAATGGCCTAAACAATGTTTCTTGATTAGGTGAACAGATTGAACCAGTCGTAGGTGAGCTCGTTGCGTTGTGAAATGCCTCAAAAACAGCGGACGATCTAGGACCATCCCATGCAGAGTTGGATGGTCCAAATAGACTTGAATTGGAGGTCTGAGAGTTGAGTGAGGTTGATGTAGGTGGGTTAACTCGAGTGCCTTCTCTGAAACCATCTCTCGCACCAACACCAACACCTACACCTAATCCCACTCCTGCTCCCACTCCCAGTCCCACACCCTCCTGTGTCGAATGTGTGGCTTGCATATAGTTCTCCTCCTTCTTGGAACGCGTGTGCAGATTCTTCTTGGCCATCTCAGCCTTCAAAACACATCCACGCTCACTATCGATTTTGCGACCCGATAGGATATCCTTAGCTTCAAGAGCAGCGGGCTTACTCCTAAATTTTGCAAAACCTATAGTCTGTTTTCTGGCCGAGAGCTGCTGAGCAGCGGTGACATTCATATTCAGATTCATGTTCATGTTGGCGTGCATGTGCATGTTGTTCGTATGCAGGTTGGCGGACTCGTCGACGGCGCTGCCGGGGGCGTTTTCACGCTCGGACATGATACTCGTGGAGGGGATGTGAGCGAGTGAGTAAGGGTCTTTGTGTGGCGGAGGGACAACATCTTTCGCAGGTATTTTGAGCGTCGCTGCTTCGAACTCTGCACTGAAAATGAACATGTTCTGGAACTCCCTGTCAGTCATATCGTCAGGGAAACCGACGACGAAGATAGTGCTGATGTCGTCAGCGTTGGTGCTATGGCTGTGGATTTGAGACTGGGAGTGGTTGAAGCTGTTAGTACGATGCGCATTGAGTGGGAGTGGTGGAGGAGGCATGAATAGGGGATTAAAAGAGGATTGAGTATCATGTGCGTCTGATTCGGGGGATGATTTCAAGTCGACTGTGGGTGTACTGCCGTTGCCGTTGCCGCTGCTGCTGCCGCTGAAATCACCGCGCTGAGACGGATTAAAAGGCTCAACAGAAGCAGATAAATGAGATTTGGTAGGACTAGATTTACTATTTGGATTGCTGACTGAATTTAAAAGAGAATTGTATCCGAAGAAAGGCTCATTCGATTTAGGCGATGAAGGTAGTGATAGTGTCTCCATATTATTTGGTATTGCCAGTATATCTTCATCCTCGATTTCTGTCATGGCGCCTGCTGCCGATTTCTCCTGCCGATTTCCTTTATTCTTGGTTGTGGGTGATTGGGAGAAACCCGCGTCTCGACAAGAGCACACGTGTTTTTTTTAAAATTATTGCGCGGTGACTGATTTTGGTGTATTTTATACTATTTACACGCGTTGCCCATACTGATATGCATCTCCATGTGATTATAATATGCTTTGCAGCTTTGGGCTTACGTGGCAGCTGAGCTGCGCTGTGTTGATAACGGCGGCGTGGATGGTGGATTTGTGTAACTGGTGCAACTGCCGTGAGTACCTCGAGTGCTTTAGCTCGTCATGGTCCATGTCATAGCATATGTCATTGCCTTCTCCCAATACTCAGCGTGCATGAACGCGGATTTATTAAGTAAGCGTGGCAGATATGATATTCATGTATTTTAAAACGACATTTTGATTTAAATATCCAGTTCTGAATCATCACTATCCTCCTGTGCATTCTGCCCCTGTCTGATATGGTTTGGCTTGCTATCATAATCGCCGTCGTGATCCTGTTCCTCCTTCTTTGCAAAGTCGTGTGCATTTGTGTTTACTGGCTTCAACTTGACTGCATCCAGCGCGAGGAGGAGGTTCTCCACATCTAAATAATTCCTTGGTCAGCCTCACCCCACACGCACCACACAAACCCACCTTTCTTGGTCGTCTGCTTCCCGTGCAACCCAATAGCAGCATCATTGGCACCCACTATCTGCTTCATAAGCGTCCCGCGTCTGTAAAATAGCAGTGTAGGGCAATTACGCTCTGGATAGCCTGCTATACACTGACTGCCAACGATGGAGACGAATTTCGTATGCGGGTATTCAGTGGCAAGCGAGTGGAGGTGCTGTCCAATGATTCTACTCTCTTCGATGCTGAATTTGTACCGTTGTTAGGCGTAACTTACTCCCAATCAAACCAACTCACGCTTCTGAGTAGAGGAAACATATTACACTTGTTCCACCACGCTTGAGATTCTCTATACTATCATCATGAGGGTTGAATTGAGGGTCTGTGTGTTCCTTGCTCGCGTCTGTCACCTCGCGTGTGTAGTCTGGTCTCGCAATTGGATACATTCTGCCAAATTTAGCAGTGCTTTCGAGCTTCTGCATCTCCTCTATCCTTTTTTTGCGGTAGGAAAGAAGGACACGCTCATCGTCGCTGTCATCAGCCTCCTCCGCCGCCTCAGCGAGAGTGTCCTCTGTAGCAAGTGAGAGACCAGCGTTTCTGATCTGGGAGTAGTCAATGTCCAGACCCTCTGGAGTGGATGGTCTCGAAGGTGGTTTCTGTGGTATAATTCCCTGTGCTCGCAGTGCATCGTTGCTAATAACGATATTGCTATTAGAGAAGACACTCGATTCAAATGTCAGGCGTACAATTCAGTGTCATCCGAGTAGCGTAATGCGCCTGTCGTTGGTATGTGTGGTTGATTCTCTCCTAGAAATGTTTTCTCGTCGCCGCCGCCGCCGTTGCCGCCTTGGGCCATATCGAATGGGTTGAACATTGGTGTTGGTCGTTGGTGTAGAAGAAATGCTTCTGTGTTCAACACCACCATGTCATTCGTATACGCGCTTATATTCCAAATCTACACGCTCAACGCTATTCTCTCGTCGTACAGAGCACTCAAGAAGAACAGCGAGCGTGATAAGCGTGTCCAGCTGAGTGAGCGCCGTCGACAAATATCCTCGTGGCTCCAAATATGGATATGCTGGGTGAGTGGGCTACTTTCTTATAACTGATCCACTTCCCGCTTAACATACTCCGCCTCAGTTCATCTGGCTCAAACTGGGCAACCTCGTCGACTACTTGCTCAGCTGGATCTGGTTCTATTGGCAGATAAAGACTTTCATTCTCCTCACTTTTATTCTCACTAGCAGACAATCTGCCAGCGCGCTTTTCATCGACGCGCTCAAACCAACGCTGATGCCCTACGAGTATTATGCGGATGGTTTTTTCGCGCTGCTTGAGGACACGCACGCGATTGGGATGTGGGTGCTGACTGATATCATATACCGTGGCGTTAGGGATAACTTAGCTGACGTGGGTGTTCTGAGACACTACCTGAATCTCGCACCGGCGACAACAACAGCACCAGAAGCAGAAGCAGGAGCACACCATCCACCCAATCCCAAGAAGAAGGTCGTGCGCAGGCCAACAGGACCTATTATCCGCCAGCGCAAGAACATGATAGCCAATTCCCAAAAATCACAGAACACACAAAGCAAAACAGGGCGTCCGAGTGTCGTGCTTAGACGGCCGCAGTCTGCGAAAACACCTGAACTCACACCTGCACCCGCGCACAGCGGCAAAGAAGAGGACGCAGCGCTCATCAACACCAAACCTACTTTCATGAGTACTCCCAAGGCCAAAGCGTTACATGCGAGTGGAGATAATGTTCTTCACGCACCTCACGCACCCGACACACTCCACTCTCCTTACATACCAGGCAGGCTTCCTCACACTCCGCCATTTGTGCGGCTGACGAGGTCGCAGACGCGTGGAAATGCAAATGCAGCAACAGCACCAGCACTAACAGCTACAAGCGGTGATAAGGGTGGTGATTCTATAAGCAGTAGTAGTAGTAGTAGTAGTAGTAGTGGCAGCGAGGAGGACACACCGCCAGCACCTCCTCACACCCATAGCATAGCCAACATGGATAGGAAGCGCAACGCTTCCAGTGCCTCTCTTAAGAGTGCGAGCAGTGCAAACAGTGCGAACAGCGCCAAGAGCGCGCAGAGCAACGAGCAGCCGTCATACACAGTCCTTCGACGCGCTGACCCGAGTTCGAAGACAAGTGGGAGTGGGAGTGGGAGTGACGGCCAGAACAGCGGCAGTGACAGTGACAGCTCGAATGACAATGACAGCGACAGCTCCACAGAAAACACAAAGATGCTCGATCAAAACGAATTAGCCACAACGCACACCCGCACCTACTCTTCAACCGCCGAGAACAAAAAACTTACATCCTCAAATATACCACGCAAGAAACGCATTGTAACTTTGCGCAAACAAGTAAATACAAACGCCAAACCAAACACGAACACAAACACGGACGCACAAACACAACCACACCCTCCACGCAGACAGGCAGCTACACGGGGTAGAGGACTGAGACGACCTCCTATACGCGGCAGAGGGCGCGGACGAGCCACTTGATGGGTTAAAATGCAACATATACACTAAACTAAAACAGCAAGCTAGACGCGTACTCAATGTTGCCATTCGTCGATCTGAGAGCTTGAATAGCTTCTTCTCTGCCCACACCTAACTCCATCAACTTTGCTATTTTCTCTTCACTTATACCGTTGTTACTCCTATTTGAATCTGTATTTGTAGATGCTGCAGGATGAGATTGAGAAGCCGTGCTGCTTCCACCTAGAGTAGCGCCTGAGCCTGGGAACTTATCACCAGAGTGTGGTGGTATCGATGGCTGTTGAGCAATACCGCCTCCCTCTGCCGATTCCAACTGAGCTGGATCTTGATGGTTGTTCTTTGGTATCTCATGTTCCTAAGAGGTTGGGTTAGCGTGGGTGCGCTGTAGTGAAAGCTACACCTACTGCCAAGAAAGGAATAACTATGTCTTGAATAATCATAGCGTTTTGCCGCAAGTCAATTACAGCTTGATGACGCTTGAGCATATCTAAACCGAACAATAGATCAACGCCACTGCCTTCACTGAGAGGAAGAGTGAGTTTATATGTCTTACCAACCACACAATACGTACGTCACAGTGAATGAACACTGTAGGAGTATATCACCAATCTGCATAGGTGCAGCGTGAATTCTTCCCAAGATCTTCGCAGTTCCTACACCTCGTGCAATACCTTGAAAGCGTGTATCAAGAAGACGCATGAGGTTGCAATCTTCAGCGCACTTTGGACTCATAATTGTATTTTGAGCGCCTGAATCGACGAAAGCTTTAACGTGGTGTTTGTTAACCTGTGTATCGATATAAAGCATCTCAACCATCCCGAATGTTTCTGGATTGTATTCGATTGCACGTTCAAACGACTCAGCTACGGCTTGTTGACGTATTTCTTCTTCGATCCGCTTCTGCGAGTCGATATCGAATGGATCTGAATTGAGCATTTCAGCCTGTTGGGTTTCAGCAACGTGTTTATTACGAACAGCTTGCTGCATCAGTTCGTAGAATTTCGGTGGATTCTTCTCTGCTGCTTCTGCTAGTTCTGGCTGTACCTGCTTCATCTGCTCGAGCAAATCTCGATTTCCTAGCAATTGTAGTCTCATCATCTCGCCGTCGTGTGCAACTTCTTTGCCCGCCACTTGAACCTTCCTTCTCAATCCGAGCATAGCATCTGCTGTGATGCCCTCGTCTTTGAGCTTGCGCGTGGGTTCTAAACTCAACTCGCTGTCGACATGTGTTATAATCTGCTCAGATGGTGGTATTTCTGACTCTGCCTCAAGCAGTGCTTGTAGATTATCCATTTCCATATCCGCACTGACTTCGAGCGTGTAAGTCTGCTAAGCTTGTGAGATTTGTATATGTGTGTGGCTGTATCCCACCTGTCCACTGTCCGTGACAAATGTCAAGAACATGGTGGTATATGATAAACAAGTTTAGATTATATTGATTGCCATACATTGATTGCGTTACATTGCTACACTTAATAAATATACTCGTTAGTTCCTTCTATTCCCCTCCGTCGCTCTCCTCGCTCTCCGCGTACACCACATCATCATTCTCGCTCTTCCCCTCAATCTCCCTTCGGAATGTCGACTTGACTCTCTCCATCAGCTTCTCAAACGGCAGCGACGTTGCCAGCTCTTTATCCATCCCGCAACTCCTGTACGTGATGTAACGCCACTGGTCTCTGAGCGTCTTGACAGACCACTCCCCCTTATACGTATCCATGCCCAGCGACTTGAAATTGATCACCCCACGCTCCTTGATATTCATGTCAAGTACGTGTTTAATCAGTATACCACAATCAGACCGCCTGAAATCTGATCCTGACCGGCGATTCGGAAGGTCACGTCCGCGTAGCTCATCTTCCCATTTGATACGACACTGGTGTGCTGAACGCTTTCTGCCCATCTTCTCCTGTACAGTGACCCAGAAAGGATCGTGTCCATCTCTAGTCACGTGGTTTCGCTCATTCATCATTGGTATTACGATTGAGAGGTACTCATTCTTTTCATCCTCCGACCACAGTCCTTTGCGTCTTTCTGGACAAACAAACATTCGGCGGTAATGATCAGAGCACTCGTTAGCTGGACGCTCGACGATGTGCGATATTTTTGTCCAAGAAGTTCCAAGTTGGGCATGTGCACTGCGTGAGAGTTAGTTTTTTTTTTTTTTGCATGTTTGCAGTCGTTCAAATGTTTCACTCACTCTAACAACCTATCGTCCTCGTCTTTCGTCCAGATTCCTTTGTTTGCATAAGGATGCCATCGAGCTCGAACATGCGTGTACACACTTGCTAGCACTCTATGTGGGACACATTCGGTAAGGTCACACCAGAAGTTGTCTCTGTTTTTCTCCTTCTTTGAAGCAAATATCCTCTCTCGGAGTTGATCATCGTCCAGGTTGTTGGTAATTTTGTACTTGCTTATCCAGTCATAGACGATTCTCCTCTCTTCTTCGTCGAATGTACCTTGTTTGATTTTCGTGAAATTATCATTGATTATCTTTATTTGAGGTGGGTATAGCCATCTAGTGTAGCGGTGTTCAGGAAGAACAGGCTCTGTCTCCCAGCCTTTATGAATTTTTCTGCCTTTTTTATGTAATTCTTCTGATTGAGGTACAATTGTTGAAGGTGCATCGTGTGGTAGCACTGGATCTGTGACGCTGTTGCTGCTGTTGACGTCATTTCCGCGTGTCTTTTTATCCTTACTCGTGCTATCTATGCCATTTGTGCCATCGAAGGTTTGCTTTTTCTTTGACTTGTTGCGGTCAGATTCCTTGTACTCCTTGAGGGGAGCTAGAGAGGCTTCCGAATTAGGCTCCATTTTTACTCTCTTTCTTTCAGCGACGTCTGTATCTGCCTTCTCGGACCTACTCGAGAGATGGCCACGGCTGCTACGACGCTTACGATTAACTTTCCTGATAGAATCCTTCACAACTAAATCTAAAGAATCCGCGATAACTTGACTTAGTGAGATCATATTTATTTGCCGTATTTGGAGATATCCCACTCGTGACGGTGTACCACCAAGAGAAAGGCAGAGGAATGGACACGCCTGGTTCGCCAACGCCCTCAAACACATCTCTATCGTCGATCAACGATGAAAACGATATTAACTTTGAGACTGAAATACTCCAATCTCTCGCACTCGGTGAGTTGGCGGGTGCGCAAATGACCCCTAAAGGTGGCGCAAGGAATTCAATTTCATTATCTATGGCATCAGCTCCAGCCACTGAACCACTGGAGAATCCAAATGGTCCAATCAGCAAACTCCCACTCGAGATACTCATACACATCTTACGTCTGCTCAACAACCCAACGCACCTCCTCAACAATTTACTCGTTTGTAGGACTTGGTGTGCCTGTGGAATCGAGATTCTCTGGCATCGCCCTTCCTTCCCTGCCGCGACTCCTTATGTCAAGTTCGCGCACATAATCGGTGGGCTGTATTCCAACGCGCCTACTTTTCAATACTCAAACTACGTCAAGCGTCTCAATTTTTCTAATATTCACAATTGGATTACTGATCCTTACTTCCTCCCTGTGGCAAAGTGTCTCCGTCTCGAACGGCTGACGTTGACCGGTTGCAAGAGTCTTAGTGATAGTAGCCTGGAATTCGTTCTCGAGAACTGCAAAAACATACTGGCTTTGGATTTATCTGGTATAAACAAAATGTCAGACAAGACACTCAAGGTTATTGCCAATAACTGCAAGAAGCTTCAAGGAATGAATTTGACAGACTGCGAGAGTATTTCTGACGAAGGCGTTGTTGAGCTTGCTAGAGGTTGTCAGCATATGAGAAGGGTGCGTGTCTTGATTTCCTCCCTTGCCATCGTTGACTTAGATATTTTAGTTGAAATTGTGCAATCTGAGGCAGATATCTGATATCACCGTTATAGCTATAGCTGAGAATTGTCCAGATTTGCTAGAGGTAGACTTCACAAAGTGCTCCATCTCATCCTCCTCTGTCAGTTTATTTTGGAAGAATGGCATTGGGGCACGTGAATTCAGATTAGGACAGTGTGCCTTTATAGATGACTCAGCATTCCCTTCACCCTCTACAACATCAAACATTCCTCATCACTACACACTAATCACCCAGCCACAAGTAAAACACTTTGAAGTCCTCCGTCATCTCGATCTAACGAGCTGCACATCGATAACCGACGAAGCGATAAAAGGAATCATAGCGCATGCGCCCAAAGTGCGAAATTTAGTTCTAGCGAAATGTTCCAATCTCACCGACGTTGCGATCAAAAACATATCAAAATTAGGAAAAGCTCTTCATTCATTACACCTTGGACACGTAACGGCGATTACCGACGAGAGTATTATAGTACTTGCTAGGATGTGCACGCGTATCAGATATATAGATCTGGCATGCTGTCCCAACTTGACGGACAATTCTATCACAGAACTGGCCAGAAACATGCCGAAATTGAAGCGTATTGGATTGGTGAGAGTGACAAATCTAACGGACATTTCCATTATAGCGCTCTGCGATCACTATACGCAGCTCGAGAGGATACATTTATCTTATTGCGAGAAGATCACAGTAGATGCCGTACACCATCTCGTAGCCAGGCTCCAAAAGCTGACGCATCTCTCGCTCAGCGGTATACCAGATTTTAGGAGGCCTGAGTTGCAGAGGTTCTGTCGAGCGCCACCAAAGGAATTCAGCGAGCACCAACGTCAAGTATTCTGTGTATTCAGCGGTAAAGGGATACACGACTTAAGAGCATACATGCAGGAGGAGTACATGAGAGCTCGAAGAAGCCTGTTTGAGGACATACCACCATTCCAGAATGCGAGCGAGGGCGGAAGCGAGGCGAGCTCAAGCCCGGCAAGAACAAGACCTAACAGAATGTTAGAGGCTCTGGGTCTGAGCAGCTCAGATACGCAGCAGCTTGGCCTATCCAACGCTGAACTACGCCAGTTGGCGCTGTCTAACTTTGAGCAGCACAATCGGTAGCATAATAATACAACATATAGCATAGCATATTCACTTTATTTTAGAGCAAACTTTTTTTAGTAATTGTTATTTAAATTACTCTTTTTGCATTGATTGAGACATATTTACTTGGGATAGATAGCCACATGAATAGAAAAGGAATCATGAATTTGAGTGAATAAAGTCATTACATGTATTGCGAGATCCATCTGAAGCCTTCACCGTAGCCTTGACGCATAACGACGGAGCACATGAAGACTTCAATAGGACGAATGTCTTTAAGGGGTACCTTGCCCTTGCCGGTAGTTTGCCAGAGACCGAGAGACTGACGGAGTTCTTCTTCAGAGACAGCGCCAGGAGCGTCAATCTTGTTACCGAGAACGAGGAAAGGAACCCTAGAGAGTTCCTCGATGGAGAGCAGAGCGTCGAGCTCTATTCTAGTCTCGTTCATTCTCTCCACGTCTTGACTGTCGACTAGGAAGACAACGCCGTCAACTTCAGGGAAGTAGTCCTTCCACAGTCTTCTCGCTTGTTGGTGACCGCCTAGATCGTAAGTGGTGAATTTAACAGCGCCAATAGCGAGTTCTTCCGAGGTTGGGTGCAAAGTCGGCTGGAGTGTTGCCAGTCTGTCGTTCTTAAGCATGTGGAGGAGTGTCTGTGAATTGGTGTGTTGGTTAGCAGATAGCTGGGGAGCGGCGGGGATCGACCCACAGTCTTTCCTGCATTATCCAAACCAAGGAACAAGATCTTGGCATTCTTGCTGGCGAGTCCTGAGCGGCGGCGGTGTGAGCTGTTTGTGTCGTGTGTTGTGATTGTGATTAACACACCTAAAGAAGCGAGTACGTCCCAGAACCAATCTAAAATCCACCTAATGTGTATCAATGTGCTGCTCTCTCGATGTGCTTCTTTCTCCCCACATTTTTAAATTTCGTCGTCGTCGTCGAGTGCCAAACGTACTCGAGTGCAGACTTAGATTACAGCGTCAACGAAAGTTGAAAAATAAATGTCGCTATTTGGAAATAACAGCGGTGCCGGTGCAGGCGCAGGTGGTGGATTTAGGTGGGTTTATTCCCTATGTCCCTGCATCCTGCTCAATCTTACAGCTTTGGTCAATCTTCGCAGCAGCAGCAACCTGCTCAGTCTGGCGGATTCAGCTTTGGTGGCGCATCTGGATCCACAGCGCCTAAGCCATCTCTCTTTGGTGCGGCTGCTGGTACTAGCAACAGCGCGTCAACTGGGACTACCACTCAACAGCCTCCATCGAGTGGATTTGGAGGATTTGGAGGATTCGGTCAGCAGCAAACTTCCCAGCAACCCGGTCAACAAACACAACAGCCAGCCCAAACTGGTGGTTTGTTTGGAAGTCAACCACCAGCTTCATCGACGACGGGCACGGGTTTTGGAGGTTTTGGACAGTCGCAGCCACAGCCACTGCAACAGCAACAACCTCAGCAGTCTCAGCAGCCCGCTACTTCGAATAGCGCCTTAGGGTTTGGGTTGGGAGGTGGGAGCACCGCGTGAGTATCTCAGATGCAGCACTACGCGCTCATACTGACAAACTACAATAGCAATACAACAGGTGCTTTCGGAAGTACGATTGGTGGTGGATTGGCTGGCACAGGTGGTCCGAATAACTCACAACAGCCCCAGCAATCACTCACCCGGACAACTAAATACAACGACCTCTCAGACGCACATAAGAAAGTGATAGACGATATAGATGCCCACATACAAGGTAGAAACCACATAGCATTGAACCTCAAGTCGGAGCCACTGGGCAAGGACGTGGATAGATCATCAGTGCTGCTTGAGCAAGTATCGAACGATTTGATGAGTCTGAAGAGCACACTTTCGCACACTTCAGCTGCTCTCGACAGTCTCAAAGAGGACACAGACACTGATACAGTCCGAGCACTCACCATGACGCGCATAATTGATGGCTACAAACGCCCACAAGAGAGTGGCGCGTGGCTCAAAACATATAGGGACTTCCCTCATGAGTACTTTACACAAATGTCAGTAGATCTTAAAGACAGAGCGACTAAATATACCAGTACACTTGAGCAGATAGAAAGACATTTGAGATATCTGCTCAGCACCAACAGCCAGCAGCAGGCCATGTACACACCACACAGTATCGCTCAAATACTGCAAACGCAGCATTCAACCTTTATGAGTCTCGCAAGCCACGTCGCAGAGCTGCAGAGCGCGACGGAAGGACTCAAGGAGGGATACAGGGATATATGGAGAAACAAGACCAAATCGTACGCTGATCCGTTCACGCTGCCGAATGAAGGCGCTTAGAGGGTGAAGATAAAGTGTAATTTATTCTAGTATTGATTTTTAAGGTGATTAGACCAATTTCGTGAAGAGCTTTGGAGCAGCGCAGTCGTCGACGGCGTGCAAGAAGCTGTAAGGGGTGAGAGGGGTGTGTGCGTGCTGCGGTTTACTCACTGGACTATAAATCGGGGAAATGTTATTGGTTAAGCATAACAGTTAAGGCAGATTACTTACGCCTGTAGAAAGAATCACTTAGATATCGTTGCTAGCCTATGAATCGCACTCACATTTCCTCAGCACAGTTCTCGCCTTCGAATCCTTTGCCTGCTTCGACTTTTTCGTTGCAGTGCTCGAAGTGGTGCTTCAAGTGAGCGACGTGGGAGTTGTTCTCACATTCTGAATAAGCGTCAGGAGTGCGGCGTACAGCAAGCAGATTCATTCACCTTCACGGATAGCTGGGTAGATCTGAGTGGCATGAGAAGGCTAAGCGTTGTGAGCCAGCAACACTCACATCTTCTGGCTCCTCTTCCTCCTCCTCTTCTTCCTCCTCTTCCTTGTCTTCAGATTCCTGTTGTGGCTCTTCCTGTGTCTCTTCCTGTGGCTGCTCCTGTGGCTGCTCCTCGCCCTCATCTGCGTACCCAACTGAGTAGACCGCGTCGACTGCTGAACTTAAATAATCTGCTAATCCCATTTTCTGCTCTTTGGATATTTGAATTCCTCGGTGTGTTGGTTAGAAACGACGAAGCGAAAAAAACTAAATGGAGTTCTGGGATATGTTCAAGACGCGCAAAGCTGGTGTGTCGTAGGCGTTGAGTGTCTATTAGCTTCTGTTCATGCGCCACAAATTAGATATCCTGCGCCTCGTCGACGCTGCCCAGTCTGGCTGTGAAATTAGGCAGGCGAGGGTAGAGGTCTATTCACTGCAGAAGACTTTCAACGACGCCGTTGATCTCCTTCCCTCATTCGATCAGAAGAGCTACTCCACTCAGCTCGTTCAGATTGCAAGTATCCTCAACGAGAAGGAAGCTGCAGTAGCGCCGAAACCCAAATTCAGCTTTAAAGATAAAGCACGTGCAAGACAGGCCGCATCTGTAACTACTGCAAGTGCTGGGAGTGCTGGGAACGCTTCAATTGGCCCTGCTAAGACTACGCTAGACCAGCACCTTCACCCCCACAATCACGAGTCAGCCTTGGCAGCTACAGATATACACCACACGCTACATATCATCAACGCCCATCAAGGCGGTCTCACTGTCGATCGCGTCTCCGATAGCGTCCTCGTCGCTCCTGCAGACACTCACTCACCGTCTAGCTGCCACATCCACAATGTAGAACGAAGCATAATCAACCTCATTCGGGTAGACGGCAGTCTGTTCCTCAATAACATCAACCACGCTATCATTATAGCTGAATGTCATCAGGTGCGTTAGTACTTTTGCTGTTTGAGACATTCGGGAATGACTGACACGTTTTTAGTTCCGTATACACAAATCTCACAACGTTACCATCGCACTCTCCATTTCTTCCACTGCTATCATGGAATCGTGCACCAACATCACTTTCGTCAAGCATCCAAAGGCTACGAACATACCCGTGGTATCTGACTTTGATGATCCCGTTTCTTCATCCAATTTCACATATAGCGAGAACACCGGGCGAGTTGAGGATATAGTAAAGCAGCCCACTCTCGCACAGTTAGCATACCTTCCTTAATTCATTACTCCACGCTAGCATATGCAAGATCTTTGTACACCACCAATACATTCATAGACGTTGCACACTCCAAATGCAAGCCAGGCATCATCCAATATACCTAAATCCATTTGATTTATTCTGATAGTACAACATAAAAGAAAAAAAAGAAAAGTCCCGTTGCAATTAGCAGTGGATAGCTTTTAAGCATATTTGAAAGTAAGTAAGTAATTAAAATCAGAGAGCATCTCCAAGAATGTTCCACATCCCGTAGAAACGATAAATTCAAGCACGAGCGAAAGACCGGTTTCCTCAAATCTAAGCTGATTCCTTCTTCGATGTATACTCGCGGTGACCTGAAGCTTGCGAGTTTTCATCGCTCTCGAATCTCTTATCAGAGTGATCGACATTGTCAGAATGCTCGATATTTTCCGGATTACCATAGATATCCATCTTGTTGGCCTCCATGACATCTCTCCTGGAATTGTAACCGGGTGGGACCCACTTCTCGCTTGCCCAGGCTGTCAAGCCCTTCGTGGAGTACATTATGTCCACATTCTCGAGCGATAAACCTGCGGTTTCGTAGAGGAAGAAGAAGACAAAGACTGACGCGAAGAGATTGCAGCCAGCGAAGATGTAACCGTAAGCGAAGCCAATGTCACCAGTGATGAATGGCGAAAAGAAGGAGATAAGGAAGTTCCACGTCCAGTTCGAAGCCGTCGCCAGCGATGCCTGTCTTGCTCTTGTTCTCGTTGGGAACGTCTCACCAGTGACAATCCAGCAAGCTGGACCCCAAGTAGTGGCGTAACTGGCAATGAACAAGCAAGCTGAGACAATCATGAGATCTCCCATACCTTCGTATTCGCTTGGAGGGCGACAAACACCGACGGAGGCGAAAATAAGCAGCCAAATCTTTATAGCAGTTAGCAAAATGCAGTTACTCTCGGAGACAACTCACTGCTATGGAAAAGTTAGCATGATCTAGGAGAAAGATTTTCACTACTCACTTTGCCATAAACCTCCAATGTAAAGTGGTCTACGACGTCCATAGTGTTCTAGCACATAAAGACTGAAGAAGACGCAAACAAAGTTCACAACACCCATAATAATTTGTGTAATGTAAGAATCTTCGATACCAACCGACTGGAAGATAGTGGCACCGTAGTAGAAGAAGTAGTTGGCACCAGTCAGCTGTTGCAGACTTTGCATCATCATTCCAAGGAAGGTTCTGTAGGCCAATTTCTTCGAGCCAGGAGAGCCGACGAAACATTCAATCCACGACTGCCAGAATGGAGCGTCATTCTCCCTCTCCATGTTGATATTTGTTTCAATTTCGCGGTAGTCATGCTCAACAACAGCTCTATCATAGTCTGTCTTGATACCTCTAATTCTTTCGAGCGCATTTCTTGCGTCGTCGGTTCTGTCGTTTTTCATGAGCCAACGTGGTGATTCTGAGATTATCAGCAAAACCCCGAGAAATCATCAAGCTACCCACCTGGAAACCGAGCGTGAAAGTGAGTGCATAACCAAGACCAACGATGATTCTCCAACTCGCGTCACTGTCTAGCTGGCGGGTACCGTAACAAAAGCAATATGCCAAAAGCATACCAAATGTAATGGCAAGTTGGTAGCAAGCAACCGCTGTACCTCTGAAAGAAGCTACGACGCACTCGGACATGTACATTGGTACCGCTGCTGATAAAGCACCAACACCCAGACCAGCTATCAGTCTACCGACTGCGAATTGCTGCCACACTTCAAATGTAGTGATCTGTACGAGGAATCCAATACTGACTACGATACACTCGATCGTCATGGCCCATCTTCTCCCTAAAAAGTCCGCGAGAGGAGCACCAAGAAGAGCACCACCAAAGGTACCGATCGACAAAAGACCAACGATAAGACCCTCTCTGACTCGGGAAAACTCGTAAGTCTCGCAGTTCATACCATTAGCATCACATCCCTCTTGAATGTCCGAAAATCGCTCGAGGAAGTCCCTCATGAGAAGCATGTCTGATATCATACCAATATCATAACTTAGTGCGCTGTGAGCGGGGAGGTCTCGTAATGACATTCTGTACTCACCCAAAAACCATACCTCCAACGGAGCTGCAGGTCTCAGTTAGTGGTGTTTTGCGGAGATGCGGGGCCCTACGATAGTGCTGCTATGAAAATTGTCACAAGCCCTAGCGGCTGTCCATGTACTTTAAAATTAAACATTGTGGTTGTAGTTCGAGATGAAAGGGCAGCTCGGATTGACTTTACAAGTATGGTATATGAATGCGTACCTGATGGTCATGTGCACGTCATACGGTGCGCATACGGAACTCTTCCTTGTTTGATGATCACCGGGGGTGACTCAATGCGGATAAAATCCCCAAGAATGCTAAGGGAAGAGCTTCTTCGTATCTCATAATCTGGTCTAGCTGCATTATCGAGAATGCTAAACGGGGTATTGCGGGAATTATGCATGCATGGCGGCTATAATTTCAATACTTGTCAAAAATAAAAACAAAGACGCTAAACTTCCATCTGAGTGTCTTCAGGTACGCTGTTGTTTCAGTAAGTTGTAAAAGACTGACACCGGAACACTTCCGTATACACAAATCTTACAATGTCATCATCCTACTTTTTACTTTTTGTCCGTTATCATACGACCGCATAATGGCACCCCTTTCGTCAAGAAACCGAAGCGTGCTGGCACATCGGAAGCCTCCGACATGGCTGATCACGTCTCTTGATCTAATTTAAAGGATCATGGGAACTCTGGGCTGACTGAGGATATTTCTAGATGCGTTCTTATCATACTACAAGTATATATTGCTGAGATGTCTTTTTTTCAGTAACTCATTTACAACACTACCATACTCAATATGCAAGATCTTCATACAAAAACAGATGATGCAAACTCTCGCTACTAAGGGATATCACTGACTGCAATCACGATCTCGCCCCAACTGCAAGCCCCGCCCAGTCACATATCTAAGTCGGCTAAAGTTTAAAGTAAATTTATTCGAAAAATTTGATAATACAGGCATCATTTTGATGACATTAGGAAGCCTTTAGCAATTCGTGATCACCAGTTATGGATAGATTAGTAGGTAACTTGAAATATTGGAGAGCTGTCCTTTGCATCCGGCAGAAATGAAAAAATTGATGAAAAGTGAGATGAAGTCTTCCATGCAGCTTACATTTAAGCTTTGTTTCCTGCATCGTCGTTATTTCCTGATGATTGAGAGAATCTGTCACCGTCAGAGTGATCGAACGTGTACTTTTCAGCGTTCGAAGACTCCAAAGCATCTCCCCTTCGAGACATTCCTGGTGGAATCCATTTTTCTGAGCCCCAAGCTGTCAAACCTTTCGTTGAATACATCTCATTGACGGCCTCCAAAGACAAATCAGCAGTTTCGTAGAGGAAGAAGAAGACAAAGACTGACGCGAAGAGATTGCAGCCAGCGAAGATGTAACCGTAAGCGAAGCCAATGTCACCAGTGATGAATGGCGAAAAGAAGGAGATAAGGAAGTTCCACGTCCAGTTCGAAGCCGTCGCCAGCGATGCCTGTCTTGCTCTTGTTCTCGTTGGGAACGTCTCACCAGTGATAATCCAACACCCTGGTCCCCACGTTGCGGCATAGCTGGCAATAAACAGACAAGCTGAGACAATCATGAGATCTCCCATTCCATCGTACTCCGCTGGAGGACGTGCAACCCCTACTGAAGCAAAAACAAGCAACCAAATCTGAGACAAAATTAGCAACGATTTTATCGAAATTTCTCTTACTCACACCTGTGAAAGAGTCATTAAGGGTTCAAGAGGAAGATTTCCGCTACTCACTTTGCCATAAACCACCGATGTAAAGTGGTTTACGACGACCAAAGTGCTCCAAGATGTAAAGACTAGCAAAAACGCAAACGAAGTTCACGACCCCGAGAATTATTTGGGTAATGTAAGAGTCATCGATACCGACAGACTGGAAGATAGTGGCACCGTAGTAGAAGAAGTAGTTGGCACCAGTCAGCTGTTGCAGACTTTGCATCATCATTCCAAGGAAGGTTCTGTAGGCCAATTTCTTCGAGCCAGGAGAGCCGACGAAACATTCAATCCACGACTGCCAGAATGGAGCGTCATTCTCCCTCTCCATGTTGATATTTGTTTCAATTTCGCGGTAGTCATGCTCAACAACAGCTCTATCATAGTCTGTCTTGATACCTCTAATTCTTTCGAGCGCATTTCTTGCGTCGTCGGTTCTGTCGTTTTTCATGAGCCAACGTGGTGATTCTGAGATTATCAGCAAAACCCCGAGAAATCATCAAGCTACCCACCTGGAAGGAACCAAATGCCAATTCCAAGGGTGAATGTAAACGCAAAACCGAGACCGATGATGATTCTCCAACTAGCGTCGCTATCTAATTGACGGGTACCAATACAGAAACAGTATGAAAGCAAGACACCTAAGGTGATTGCGAGCTGGTAGCAAGCGACAGCCGCACCTGTTCATAACGTTAGAGCAAAATTTTCTTCAAAGGGCACACCTACCTCTGAAAGACGCTACGACGCACTCGGACATGTACATTGGTACCGCTGCTGATAAAGCACCAACACCCAGACCAGCTATCAGTCTACCAACCGCGAGTTGCTGCCAGACAGTGAAGGTGGTTATCTGTATGAGGAATCCAATGCTGACGACGATACACTCAATTGTCATAGCCCATCTTCTGCCGAGGTAATCTGCAATAGGAGCACCAAAGATAGCACCGGCAAGGGTACCGATGGAGAGAAGACCGACGATAAGGCCTTCTCTGACTCTGGATAATTCATAGTTGCTACAGTTCATACCGTTGGAGTCACATCCTTCACGGATGTCTGAAAAACGCTCTAGGAAATCCCTCATGAGAAGCATGTCTGAGATCATACCGGTATCATATCTGGAGTGAATGTTAACGGCGGCATAACGCAGATTCAGTCTATACACACCCAAAGATACCTCCTCCGACAGATCTATGGGTCTTGATCAGTTGCAAAGTTCGGGGATGCGGGGACTTACGATAATAACGCAATGGAGATTGTCATAAGCCCCACCGGCTGACCCTTTATTTCGAAATTGATCATAGTGGTTGTAATTAGAGGCAAGATTAGGCTACTCGAGCTTTACATAAGTGCGAATGGGCACGGTCGAACATTACGACGAGCTGCATGATGAATTTGGTACCTGACTCTTGTCATGTGCAAGCAATACGAAGATAATCCAAATTCAATGGCAAAAAAAAGCCTGGATATAGACTGGTGCTCATTGATGGGTCGGCAGCCGTTTCCGTAACTACACACTCGCTCTCCAGCTGCCATAACCACAATTTTCACCGGAGTATACTATTTTCCGACCGCGTGTCTGAAAATCCATTCCTCAATATTTTTAACCACGCTACCAGCCTCGCGCTTATTAAAGCGAGGCCCATATGGTGCGTCGTTGTCACAAAAAGCTTAAAGAATGACAGCGGAGAGGTTCCGTCTATACCATCACATAACATGACTTGTTTACTATCCATTATCTAAACAGTCATCACGTTTTCCTGAACTCATACTTTCATCAACTGTCGGTCAAGTATACCAAAGCTGCTGTCTTACCAATGGTGTCTGACCTCAACGATGGTGTCTTCCTATTCAAATATCCTACTTTACATATCTGCTGTTCCCTCAGCATTGCTGCTCATCCCATCTTTAACAGACAAGCATCTCTTCAATCGTGATGATGATTCGGAAATATGAGACAACCATGAGCTGTCACAACGAGCATGCATTCATGAGATGGCATGCATTCCCGAAATGTATTCTTAGTAGCTACTCCACAAAGAACAGTGATCACCGATGATACGCTCTCTCTACGCGCTCATCCCGAAATCCACAATCACTATATCAATTTCACGCCATCTACAACGCACACAAATTCACAATCAAAATTCGAAAAGGGAGAATCAATGTGAACGTTACAGTGACACTCTTTCTGCACGATCATTTCAAAATCCGCAATCGCCATACCAATGTCACGCAATCTCAATGCACACATTCTTGGGAAGAAGCAAATTCATTTGAGAGCACAGGTATTATTTTATTTGCGCAAGAATTATCTAAGCAAGTCATAGTAAGCAATTAGTAAAATGAGAGCAAACCTTGGAAAGTTCTATGTCCTATAGAAGCGAAAAAGCAAATTAAAAAAGAGAGGAGGAATATAAGACTTCCTGAAAATCTTAAGCCTTCTTGGCTGCGTCTTCGTGCTGATCTGAAGCTTGAGAGAACCTCTCACCATCCTCAAATCTCTTGTCGACGTTCTCGCCATTCTCATCATGATATGTATCAAGCTTGGCCGACTCCATGACATCCCTCCTATTTTCATAGCCAGGAGGTGTCCAAGCTCTGCTCTTCCATGGCTTCAAGCCATCGGTTGAGTACATTTCGTCTACTGCCTCAAGAGATAAACCGGCAGTCTCGTAGAGGAAGAAGTATACGAAGACTGACGCAAATAAGTTACAGCCAGCGAAGACGTAACCATAGGCGAAGCCAATGTCACCAGTGATGAATGGTGAGAAGAACCCGATGAGGAAGTTCCATACCCAGTTTGATGCGGTGGCAATGGATGCTTGTCTGGCTCTGGTTCTCATTGGGAACGTTTCACCAGTGATAATCCAGCAGGCTGGACCCCAAGTAGTTGCGTAACTGGCAATGAACAAGCAAGCTGAGACAATCATGAGATTACCCATGCCCTCGTTCTGATCTGGTGGGCGAGCAACACCGACGGAGGCAAAAATGAAGAGCCAAATCTAAAGAGAGATTAGCAATGGCTAATGGTATCTATAAACTACTCACGGCTGTAGAAAAGTCAGTAATATTCAGGGAGGAAGATTTTCATGACTTACATTGCCAAAGACCACCCCAGAAGAGAGGACGACGACGTCCAAAGTTCTCTAAGACGTAAAGTGATGCGAATGTGCAAACGAAGTTGACGGCACCGAGAATGATTTGTGTGATGAACGAATCTGAGAGACCGACCGATTGGAAGATAGTGGCACCGTAGTAGAAGAAGTAGTTGGCACCAGTCAGCTGTTGCAGACTTTGCATCATCATACCAAGAAGCGTTCTGTAGACCAACTTCTTCGAGCCATGGTGACCAATGAAACACTCCACCCAGGACTGCCAGAATGGAGACTCAACTTGTCTTTCAATTTCAATACGGCCAGAAATCTCTAGGAAGTCGTGCTCGACAACGGTTCTTTCAAAGTCTGTCTCAGCACCTCTAATTCTCTCGAGCGCATGTCTTGCCTGTTCAGGCTTGTTGTTCTTCATCAACCAACGGGGAGATTCTAGCGCATCGTTAGTAAGGAAGGGTTGAAAACATAAGTATTCACCTGGTAAGAGCCAGATACCACAACCGAGAGTGCAAGTTAACACGAAACCGAGACCGATAATGATTCTCCAACTCGCGGCGCTCTCTAATTGACGAGTACCAATGCAGAAGCAGTATGACAGTAGAATACCGAAGGTGATTGCCAGTTGGTAACAAGCGACAGCCGTACCTGTTAAATGTGGTAAGATGAAGGCTTCCGTAGCTAGATGATAGTATTACCTCTGAAAGAGGCCACTACACACTCGGACATGTACATTGGTACAGCGGCGGACAACGCACCGACACCCAAACCGGCAATAAGTCTACCGACAGCGACTTGCTGCCAGACAGTGAAGGCAGCCATTTGAACGATAAATCCAATGCTGACGACGATACACTCGATAGTCATAGCCCATCTTCTGCCGAGGTAGTCGGCAATAGGAGCACCAAAAAGAGCACCAGCAAGGGTACCGATGGAGAGCAAACTGACGATAAGACCCTTTCTGACTCTTGAAAAGTCCATATCACAGTTCAATCCGTTAGGATCACAGTTTGTACGAATGTCTGAGAACCGTTCGAGGAAGTCATCCATCAGGACGATGTCTGAGATCTGACCGGTATCGTAACTGTGGCAGTGTCAGCGGCTATGCACAAGTACAATAACTGTACGCACCCGAAGATCATCCCTCCGACGGAGCTGTGGGATTCGTCAGTTGGAGTGCGGAGACGGATGCGGGGCCTACGTTAAAATGGCAATGAAAATAGACACAATGCCCAGCGGTTGATTATTATACTTGATGTTGGTCATTGTGGTTCTGGTTAAAGAGCAATTTGTCAGAATATTACAAGGAAAGCGCACATGCAATCCGTACCTGAGACGGCTGGTCACATGTCTGTTACGGAGCTACGGAGATCTATCCAAAATCTAGGTCCAACTAAATAAACTAATGTTAAAAAGTCTCATTATTTTTTTTGCGTTTTCTGGAACCCGCGGATCCACATTGATCTGCCCATCTCCACCTCCACAAGCTTAAGTGTCTGATAGCGGTATCTGACCGTATAGATAGCTTCTGATCTCTAAAAAAAGCTGGTCACAGTTTCGACCACGATCTCGTTCTCACTGGGCGTCATCAGATCCGTCGCTGTTTCAGATTGATTGACAGCGGACCGCTTCCGAAGTAACCTTACAAATCCAGTAACGTGACTTACGCTCACACCACCTCTTTAAAATCCATCATGTTATTTTGACTCAGCACTTTCGTCAAGAATCCGGAGGGTGTCAGGATGCGCTCTGATATGTGTCTAAGTTTGACAAACTCTTCGACCTTTCCGATGAATTCTAGTGCGCTTGACTTGTCGTTAAAGGTTTTCACAAACAAGAATGGTAGATAGTATAAGCCATCGGGAAAGTACTACCCACTACCCAATCCTGCACTCGCATCATCAGTATATCTCCAGACATTTTTTTCTTTTCAGGGCAACCCAACATCCTAGCATATAAAAGACTCAAAAAACCAAAACGTATGTAGTTTTCAAATATCCACAGACACGCACGTTCTCGTACTGCAAATCTAACGCTTCAAAATCGTTGTTTCACTCCAGTTGCAAGTTCAGTCTTCCTAAACACCTCAAGTCCAACGAAAAAAATTTCAATGAAATAAGTTTATTCGACATAATCTGAAAGTATTGATAGTACAAGAAGTGTATGGATTTGCATGATAAAGTCTATTGAGATCTCATGATGGCAAATTGAAAGATGGAATCTGGCAAGTTAATAAGTAAGTGGTTGTTAGACATTGACGCAATCCTAAGAATGTTTTATCCTATAGAGATGAAATATTCCTTGAGAGTGAAAAGTGAATGAAAACGCGAAAAGAAAATCCTTTGCAGCTCATGCCTATTGAGCAGCATCTTAGACCTTACGAGAAACATCTTGATGGCCTGATGTTTGAGAGACTCTCTCCTCATCATCATCGAATCTCTTTTCGCCATTGTCGGCATGATCCTTGTGGTACTGCTCAACCTTGCTTGTTTCCATGACTTCTCCTCTTGAACTGTAACCAGGGGGTGTCCATCCACCGCTTTGGTAAGCCTTCAAACCGTCGGTAGAGTACATCTCGTCGACTGCCTCAAGGGTCAAGCCGGCAGTCTCGTAGAGGAAGAAGAAGACGAAGAATGCTGCGAATAAGTTGCAACCAGCAAACACGTAACCGTAACCGTATCCAATATCACCAGTGATGAATGGCGAAAAGAAGGAGATAAGGAAGTTCCACGTCCAATTTGAAGCAGTCGCGATGGCTGCTTGTCTGGCTCTGGTTCTCATTGGGAACGTTTCACCAGTAACAATCCAGCAGGCTGGACCCCAAGTAGTGGCGTAACTGGCAATGAACAAGCAAGCTGAAACGATCATGAGATCACCCATGCCCTCGTTCTGATCTGGTGGGCGAGCAACACCGACGGAAGCAAAAATGAGCAACCAAACACATTGCCAGAGACCACCAATGATGAGAGGCTTACGACGTCCAAAGTTTTCCAAGACGTAAAGTGATGCAAATGTGCAAACGAAGTTGACGACACCGAGGATGATTTGGGTGATGTAAGAATCTTCGATACCAACCGATTGGAAGATCGTGGCACCGTAGTAGAAGAAGTAGTTGGCACCAGTCAGCTGTTGCAGACTTTGAATAAACATACCAAGGAAAGTTCTGTAAACCAACTTCTTAGTACCAGGATGGCCGGCGAAGCACTCCACCCATGATCTCCAGAATGGAGATTCGGTTTGTTGCTCCATCTTAATACGGCTGGCAATTTCAAGGAAATCATGATCGACGACTGTACTATCGAAGTCCGTGTTGACACCTCTGATTCTTTCAAGTGCACGTTTTGCTTCGTCAGGTTTGTTGGCTTTCATGAGCCAGCGTGGTGATTCTGACATGATATCAGTATGAGTTAAGAAAGCCATTTAAGTATGCTCACCTGGAAGTAACCAGATACCACAACCAAGGATGAAGGTCAAAACCATACCAAGACCGACAATGATTCTCCAGCTGGCATCGCTATACAATTCACGGGTACCGTAGCAGAAACAGTATGCCAACAAGATACCAAAGGTGATGGCAAGTTGGTAGCAGGCGACAGCTGTACCTCTGAAGGCAGCAACGACGCACTCTGACATGTACATTGGTACCGCGGCAGAGAGGGCACCGACACCAAGACCAGCAATAAGTCTACCAACAGCGATTTGCTGCCAGACATGGAAGGCAGTGATTTGAACAATAAATCCGATAGTAGTGACGATGCACTCAATCGACATAGCCCATCTTCTACCCAGCTTGTCGGCAATTGGAGCACCTAAGAGAGCACCGCACAGGGTACCAATTGAGAGAAGACCGACAATAAGACCTTCTCTGACTCTGGAGAATTCGTAGGTGGTGCAGTTCATTCCGTTGGCGTTGCAACCTTCGCGAATATCTGCGAAACGCTGGAGGAAGTCTTCCATGAGGAGCATGTCCGAGATTTGACCGGTATCATAACTAGAAGAGTCAGTGGCGACATCCTGGTCGTACAAGACCCTGTACACACCCAAAGATCATACCTCCGACGGAGCTGTAAGATTTGGTTAGCTGCGATATGCGGGGAGTGTGCGGGGGCCTACGTTAATAAAGCGATGAAGATTGTGACAATCCCCAGTGGCTGTCCATTTGCTTTAAAATTTATAGCCATCGTCGTAGTTGTTAAAGAAGAAGAACGAGCGATCGAAGTTTTACAAGAGGGGAATCCCAAATGCGGTACCTGAATTTGGTCACGTGGTGACTTGTCTCACGGAGTTCATCAAAATTGGTAACTAGATTCGACGGATTAGGAAGGAAGTCATTAAAAGCTCATTTACAAGCATCGGAATATCCTTATGCGTGGGCACTTGGGCGCACGCATCGCAGATACTTCCTTATTCGCGGGATTTTAGATGAGAGTCATGTGACGTCGTAGACCTTGCTACGTAAGCTGAATTAACTGCAGAGCCTGAGGTAGATTCTAAGCGTTTATTTCCGCTGTTAATACAAGTCAATTATCTGTCACGTCCGCTAACATACCTTGCGAGGGACAAGTCGAAGATTCCGGTGAACTGTCGATATTTTCCAGTTTCTGGAATAATGCGTATTTATCAAATATTTTACTCGTACGCTCCCTGAACTCTGATATTTTCTGATCCATGGACATGAACATCGGCAAATGACATCAACATATGAGCTAGCACAATTCTTACGAGAAACTGGTCCAGAGCCATTGAGCAGCCCAAACAAATTACGTAAGATGATCGATAAATATCGCTCCAAATCTTCCACGCAGCGGAGCACATTGCCGGCTATCCTTATCGATTACAAAGAATCCAGGGAAGAAAGTTTAGACGGGAGGGCCCCACGTGACACAAACATGTCGAATTCCACCCCTTTAAACCCCGCATCAAACCCCGCTAAATCTTTCCCCGCTGCCTCAAACATCACCCCAGTCAGTCTCACGCCATGCAATATAACAACGGCTTCGCACGACAAACTCGTGAACCTTGTGCACTGCGTTAACATAATCAAGAACGATCTGCTTAAGGAGCACAGTAGGCGGCTAGCAGCAGAGCAAAGGGCTTTGCGCGCTGAAGAACTTGCTAGGCTGGCACTGAATAGACTTTCTAGATATGAATGACTCTGTTAATACCCCGCTTGTATTAATACCACGAATCGCAATGCATTTAGCCTGATTATACGATATCTCTTCTAAGTTACTCAATCATCACAGGCCCGAACTCCGTGCACCAACCAGCACGGCCGTAAATAGTACAGCAGCGCTGAAGAAAGTGAAAATCATCCGAGTGCATTAATACAGCCTTTTGCTCTTATGAACATCCAAAGATTGCCTCCTGAGCTGATACCCAATATCATCGAGCCACTTTCGGCCAACCCGAGGGACCTGCTGCCGGTGCTCACACTCAATAAGGAGTTCTCCCATGAAGCGTATAAGCAGCTGTATTCATTCGTCGCCCTCAGGCCATGGGAGCGACCCGACAAGCTGGTGGAGTTCTTCGACGCCATAAAGCACAACAGCGAGCTAGCGCACCTTGTGAAAAAGCTAGAGATACGATCCTTTCCCCGTCAGCTCAGCCACATCGAAAGAGTCCATCTCTACGACACATTGACGTCGTCACTCACCCATTTCACCAATCTAGAGATCCTCAGCTGGACGCGAGCCATGACGCTCAGCACGGATATCCTATCAGTCGTTAGCACCTTACCTCGACTGTCAGAGCTGGAAATCAATTCCGGAAACGATATAAGATACGATGACATCTTCAAACCCACTCCAGCCCGATGGCGCACACTGCACACCCTGAAAGTTATCCTGCCTGATCGTAGCATAGCGCGCGCTTTGCGGCCATTTCTCCAGCAGCGTGGCCAGCAGCTGCGATCGCTGATGATATTGGCCAAAGAGAGCGGCGTGATTGACGATAAATACCTCAACAGCATTGCGGGAAGCTTGACAAACCTCCATCAGCTCAGTCTTGGTGGATTGAAGCGCGTGACGGATAGATCTATCGTGAATATCCTCGTGCGGAACCCACACATTACCTCACTGGCATTAGAATCGCTCAGCTTGACTAGCACTCACTGGGAAATTATTATGCCTTACCTCACACATCTCAGTGTGACATATAACTCTTCAGGCGTGCTGGATAAACTATTAGACGCTATTAGACCGAGCAAGTCGTTCAAGAGCTTCACTATATACTCGTCAGGGATGGACAGTCTGCCGTATCTGCCCGCGGAGTTTCTCGAGCGTTTGGTCAATATGCATTGCTATACATTGACGACACTTAGGGTAAGCGTATCTCTGCTTTGCCCGGATAGGACTAACAACATTTACAAACAGATACATCACGTCTTGGTTACTCAGGAGATGCTCACTAACGTATCCAACAAGTGCCCTCATCTCACCGAATTGGTGGTGCATCTCCCCATTGTAGACACCGGCATTCTGATGAGCGAGTGTGCACCGAACTGGACCAGGCTTGAAAAGCTACATCTGCTGGGTGACTCCAGCACTGGTAAGGAGATACAGATGGAGCACCTCCTACCCTTCGTGGAGATATGCCAAAACCTCACACAAGTGGGATGGCGATCGCGGGTTTGGAAAGTTCACAGACATGGCCAGGATGTACGTCTAGATCTGTACAAGCAGATTTATATTCCTAGCGTGTTTTCGGTGTGTACTGAGTACCCTACTAGACTTGTGACTCACGACACTCAAGGTTATTCGAACATGAGCTTGAGGAGGAGGATGAAGCCTTCGGTGCATGGAAGGATGAACACTGAGATAGCAATTTTGAACACAAGTTTTGCATATGCCCCTCACTGTACTATAAAGAATCATATATATATTCTAGGACATAGAATCGAAGATAAAGTTAATCATAATAATATACTTGTAATGTTCTCATTTTGAATGTCACTTGCTGAAAGACAAAGAAAACTTTCAATACACCAACCATAGATGGAGACCAGCTCTGCAAGGAATAAGGAGACCAGCTCCAATTAGCTTCTTTATGGCGCACACGACTTTTAAACCCAATCACAATCACACTTTACCTCCGTACATGTTAAAGTACTGACCCGGCTGTGGTCCCGGACCTGGCACCGGATAGGCAGTTTGTGGATGGGGCGAAGGAGTACCGCCATAAGGATGGAGGAGAGAAGCTTCGCTCTGCGCATGTGCCCAAGGAGGTTGAGGCGTCTGAGAGGAAGGAGGTGCTTCATTCGCGAATGGATCTGCGTATGCATTGTCGCTATATCCAGCACCTGCTCCAGCATGTTCATCACTGTAATAGGCCATACCAGTGAGTGGATCAAAGTACTGCGGATGTGCTACTCCACCGGCAGCTGCTGCTGCGTTTGGAGGCATAGGATAATCGCTATAAGGCGCGTATCCCATTGCACCCGGGCTGTTTGAACGCATTCCACCGATAGAGTGTGACGCGTTGGTTAGTGGCTCACCACCTAGACTCAAATCGTCATCTGTCTCGTTCGTTGGATGTGGGTTGCTGTAGCTGCTCTCCATCTCTATACCTGCACCACCGGTAGGGCGAGCAGGCAATGGCTGGAGTGCGGTTGCTGATGGTCCGTCTTCATCTCGCAATTGAGGCCATTTAATGTCGTCTGTTTCTGTGTCAGAATCTATCACCACTTAAGAACCCACTCACCACTGTTGTCCTCGTCGTCTTCGATATCTGCGTATCGTCTCTTCACACATCTCCAGATAACAAAGCCGGCGGCGGCTATCGCGGCAACACCTACGCCCACAGCGATACCAATGATACCACCTGTGCTCAAACCGTCTGATTCTTCACTCGATGCGTTGCCTGAGCCCGGCGAAGGCGTCTGCGTTACTGTCACCACATTTCCATTGTTTTTAGTTAAAAGGCTTGGTGATGGTGTTGAGCTGTTTTCACTCGCAGTCGACGCATTCGAGGCAGTGGACTGTGAAGAGGCAGTAGACTGCGATGAAGCAGAGGATTGTGATGAAGCAGAGGAGCGAGATGCGCTACTGCTGCTGCTGTTGGTATTATTGTCACTGCTGGTATTACCCTCAGACGGGCTAGAGTCGGTGCTACTATCGCCGCTATTTGATGAGCTACTGCTGCTGTCATTACTGCTGCTGCCACCATTATCATTATTGTCGGTGCTGTTGTCGTTGTTGCTGTCTGAATTGTTATCGTTGTTGTTCGAATTATTGTGATTGTTGTTCGAATTATTGTCGCTGTTGTTCGAGCTACTCCCACCATTGCTGCTATCACCGTTGCTGCTATCACCGCCCGAACTATTATCGCTGTTATCCTGGCGTCTACTATTGTACAGAACAGGCAAAGGCGTCGGAGCTGCGAATGAGGATGCTGCTCCCACCGACAAGGATATCAATAATAGTCCTCCTAAGGTTTTTGGTTTCATTTGTGATTGCGGTGCAGGAGAAGGAGGTTGCGTGCCTCGCAAAGACCACAAAACTCAATGCTTGAAATAAGTTAAACATCCATTAAAATATATTAAAAGCTTTTCTTTAGTTTCTCGTCCTCATTTTCAATTAGATGCTCAGACTTTCTCCTCTTATTCGCGCGACCCTCTTCTTCGTTAGCTTCATTCGCTGCATTCGCTGCATTCTTATCGTCAGAATCACTGTTATCACTCGTGTTATTTGTATTGCTGCTACCATTTCCACTTTCAAGTTGTGTTGTACTGCTCAGGGACACAGGCTCTTCTGCAACCTTGCCCTGCCCAGCGTCCAACTCATCGACAATACCAAGATGTTCCTGTGCAGTCGTTGGTTGCGGTGGTGGCTGAGCGTCACTTTCTCCATCGGCAGAATTGGTTCCTCCACTCAAAGCTGCTGCTGCTGCTGCCGCTGCATTGCTACTACTGCTCGTCGGACTTGTTGGCCTGTTAAGATTCACATTCCCAAAGTCCTCTACATCAGCTTGGGTGTCTTGCATACTCAATGGAGATATTTCTCTGCTTGTCTTTCTATTAGCTAAAAACGGTATCGGTGAGAACATTGGGGTTGGTGGTGCGCTTGCCCTGCTTGAATGTGAGGGTGAAACATTCAATGCCGATGCATTGCTTAATTCAACTGAATCTAGAGGCACGGCGCCTTCTCCATTAAGGAGTCCACATGTATTCGTATTAGATGTACCTTCCATCGCCTTTATTTGTGCATCGAGTGATATTTTACCTGATGTCACCATTACTACTCTATGCAGCGCCCGCAAATATTTTCCAACGGTTCTATACGAGCCTCTATCCTTGTTGTCATTGTATATAGCTAATTCGGATATTCGTTGTATCGTGAATGGAGGTTCACTGTTGATATTCCAATTCACGTCAGCAACTCCTTGATCAGAATATCAACATACTCAACGAAATCCACTTCGATTATCTGCCAGATGCTATTGAACTCTTCAAAGGCTTCCTTCTCCGAAACGCTCTCAACAACCGGTGCACGTTTCGGTCCAATCACAACAGCAGGTGTTTGTACTCGTGACTTGTCTGGAGACTGACTGTGTTCGTCACTTTGCCCGAGTTGTAGGTTATTGCCGCCGTCGGCTATATTGATCTCTGGCTCAGTTCTTGTGCGCGTATCGAGTTCGACTTTAGGTTTGTCCATCTCTCGGGTATTCTTTAGGTCATCGTGTTGGGTATTATGGCTAGTGTTGTCGTAGTACTTCTTTATATTCTGTGACGCGCAGTTTAATCTACTGTCTCCTGTCTCGCCGGCGACATTCACTCACCTCCTGAATTCTCTCCTTAAGCGCCTGTCTAATAACATCCCACGACTGGCTATATATTGCTGCGTTAATGTCAAGCATTCAATACACCTCCACCTCACCTCGGCTCAACGTTATCAGTCATCTTCTCCAATTCGCTCAACGACATGATGAAGGCAATAAACCAAGCCAGAATTCAACACATTCATTTCTAACAAACATCAATAATACATGGCTTTGACTTGTAATCTTGTATTCTCTCCACTGATCTTCTAACGCGCTCGTCCCAGTCGATTGTCGCATCAACTATGTCATCAGCATACACTTCCTCTAATATCACCACAACTTCAACGCGACATTTTGACAATGGCAGTATTCTAACATGCTGCACAGTCTCCTCATCCGATTCAAGACGTTGGAGATGCGTCCATTCCGGTCCCTTAATAATCACGCATCCTTCCACACTCGCTTGGACTTTGTATTTCAACTTCATAAAGCGCTCACTTTTGTTCGCTATGCGCAGCCTCAGTTGAGCTTCCTTTCCAATCACTATCTTGTCCCATGAACTCTGTGCCAAATCTATGTCTATATCATTTAGTTTAACCATCTCCAACATCCTCCTGCTCAGCTTATGTTTGCGGAGGTTGAAGTTGAGGTTTCCAGCTCTTGGTGTGTCCGTCGTTGAGTCGGGTTCACGCCAAAATAGTCTCACATTCTTGTATAGCTCTTGACTATACCAGAATATCTCTCTCATGATCCTCTCCTTCTTCAGTGGTAGACTTGTTTGTGATACTGTAAACTGTCTCTCACAGAGACTTGGTATGTTAGCCGTCGAAGTCGCTTCTCGTAGCTTCATTCTCCGCACAGGCAAAACAAGCCTTGCAGTTGAACCAGGCTGAACCAATCGACAGACTCCAAATTCGGTCATGTATTCCTCTTCTTCGTCTTCTTTGACTCTCTCCAATACCACTTCAAATGGAGTACCGAATGAATTTCGAATATCGACGATAAGCAGAAACTCCTTGGTATCTTTGTTGCTATTCTGGAGCAGCTGTGATTGCTCTATCAGGGGCAGATGTGGTGTACTAGGCTGCGTCATTTGTGTCGGAGTCATTGGTTGGCTGGCGCTAGCGCTGGGTGAATTAGGCCACAATCCGAAATAATCCTTCTGCTCCAACTCGGAGGCCTTCTCGACGCCTTCGAAAGGCAAAACAGAGATTTGTTGAGCTTCGAGCGTCTGTTGCACTGTTAATGACAGCGAGTAAACAAGCTGACGCGCGTAAATCTGTTCAGAGTCCTCGCTGTCACGACCATACTCAACGATGATTGAACCCTGGTTACAACCCACTCTTCCATAGCAATATATATCTAAAACTGCTCTCCGTCTTGCTGGTATAGTTATTGCCGAGATATCGGTACAAGGTCTGAAGACAGGCTCGTGCGCGACCGTGTATTCCATCTCGTGCGTTTCAGTCAAACTACCCTGCTGCTCTTCTATAGCTGATAACAAACATTCCGTTGAGTTATCGCTGAATTTTATGTCGATGAAATCTACATCAACGTCCGACGTATTCTCTAGAATCAACTTGAGCGTCGTACTAATCGCGTTGTCAGATAAAGCACTGAAGTCTATCAGACCCACCATTCTCCACTGTAAAGCATTAAAGCATGATGATTCATATTAGTCGCCGCAACGACGAGCGTTGGTAGTGAGTGAATTGCAGTAATATTGATATACTGGGGACTTTTCATACCTCCAGGAGCGCTCGTGAGAGTAGTCCTCCGGGAATCGTTCATAGAAGCAATGGTTGAGGATCTACTAGACATACTCTGCCTTTGTAGAGATGGTGTACTGTTCAATGCCGAGCTCTTCATCTTGCTCCTCCGCTCTAATTTCAAACTCCGAGCTTTGCTCTTACGTTTCTCTTCGTCCGTGTTAGACAACGGGAGAATAATTTCCTTCGTCACCGTCCCTTTCATTCTCATTCTACATCCCAGTACTGTCAGTTGGCCCGTACTCTGTACTAAACCTTTCAGTAGCAATGTCTGATATGAAACTGGTGCCAGACAGACGTCCATCTTCTCGCCCTCAAAGCATACACCCGAAGTGCTCAGGACGTGTCAGTACCACCCAATATATTCGAAATATGACTTACATTAGCTCAACACCTTGTAGCTCTAGTGGGAATTTATAAGGATTATGCAGCGTTGCTGCTATTTCTAACATCTCATTTTGTACAGTCATAGCCTGGATATAAATGTCAACTTACTCACGCAATCTTAACAAACTAACCTCTGCTATTCTCAAAGATCTTCTAGCTGGTGTGTTTGCAAGCTTTCGAATTGATGATCGCTGCGAGCTGTATGCAAATGGTATGGCATTTCCTGGTAGTCTTGGGGATGTTAAATGGAAGCGCGCTATTCTACGATAAACCCACGTTATAAGCTCCAGGCTGAGGAGTGGGTCAGGAACCCAAAAAGCGAGTTCAACAGTAGTGGTTAAACTCCGACGCAGCACATCCAGTGCTGCAAGCATAATCTGAACAATTCTAACCTGCTCAGGAGCAGCTAGTGCAAAATAGAAATACCTCAACAATATAGCAGAATACTTGATTATGGCATTAAAGTCGCCAATATGCTCTACGATAGATATGGCATCTCTGAGAAAGTTTCGCTGCATAGTAGTCCAATTAAAGCTATGCTCGAGCTCCTCTTTGAAACTATCCCTCGCTTCATTATCTTCGTCTCTATAAAGGTATCTAAACTGCGTGTCTATCCCGTAAACATCACAAACATCATCCAGAATCTTGACCAACGATTCACTGTTGTCTTTCAATTGCCTCAGTACAACCTTTGGGTAAGATTCTTCGGTCTTAAGATCGTTCCGTGATGCTTCAAGTAAATCTGTACAGATAGCTACAACTTCCTGACGGAAATAGGCTGCCTTGCGCGCATAGCCGATGCTATCATGCGTATATAACAGCGCTATTGTAACCTTTAGCTGCTCCAATCTGTCTAATTGAAGTAGATGTGCTCCATGAGCCATTTCTGCAATCAATGAGATCTGAGATCTGGGCAAATGAGGCATCTTGTCGGCATGTTCCACTATCATATCACGATCTGGCTGAGTTTCCAGAAAGACGGGCGAGCCTCCAATCACTAATGCATTTAAAGACTCATCATTCAGACCCCCACAAGCCCAAACTGTCAAGAGGAATTTCGAAAACCTCAGGCACGCGCGGACGTAAGTCCTCACAGCTGTCAAGTTTGTATTGGAAACTGATAGATTGTTGATATTTAGACTTGAGTTTGAGGCGGGTGCACTACTAGATGAGGTCTGTAGCAGACGTTTATATGACGCTAAAGCGCTACTGAATTTGTCGTATATTGCAGCCCAAGGAGTTTCGAGTAATGCGTGGATGGGTATTTTTTCTGTTTTCTGCCAATATAGTAAAACCTGTGCAACCGCTTGGCATTCAATGGCGGATGCATGATGGAATGAGTCGACAGGTGCACGTAGCTGCGACAAACTCTCGTTATAGTTTGCCAAACTCTCTTTTAGCCTGCCTGACATGAGAAAAAGATCGCCATAGAGCTTAGACTGTCTACCGTCGTTTTTGCGCCTCTCGCCTGCTGTTTCTGCAAACCAAGACAAAATGCTGCCGATGATATCAGCAATCAGGGTATTCAAGTAGAATGCGCTGTCTTCAACCAGCGCTAAATGAGAAGAAGGATTGTTAGCGGCTCTTTCACTGTCTCTAGGCTGGAATGCCCAGCAGCGCTGTATGGGTGGTTTGAGCGATGCAGGGAGCCCCACGATGGTGTGATTGAACGCGTCGTTGGCTGTATCTAGAGAAGAATGCGAGGGACAGTCGACTACGCCAACCACAGCATGAAATTGGTCGCTGAACGCAACCTGTGCGTCGTTGATGATGCTGTTAGGATTCGAGTGATAGTTGATGTGTATTGTGTGACTCGTCGGAGACAGCGGAGGAGGGTGAAATGCAGCTGTACAAATAGCGTCAGGTGTACGTCTCTGTTGATCTCGAAGTCAACCCACAGAATCCTGGCACTTCAGATCCTTTCATCTGCTGGAAGCTGCTCAAAGCTTCTAAAGAGCTCTTGTAGACTGATTTACGTATGGGCTTGATTGGCACGACTAATATATTCAAGCATCCCGGCTGGATGAATCTCTCGCCATCTTTCATCGCAGAGAGATAGTGGACGTCAACATCCAACAGAGATAGCAGAAATATTTTGTTGATAGTCGCGTTGAAATGTATGATTAGTCTGGCCAGACGCTCCTGTTATCGCTAGAAATCCCACCGAACCAGATGAACTAACCGTGCGCGTCGTGCGCGTGAATGTAGGCATTGTTAAGAAAAACACGCGATTAGGAAGAAACTAAATCATACTATCACCGGACATACGCGTCCCTTTACACATCACTTTCGCTTCGATCAATACCGTCATCATCAGTTGCTATCGAAAATGGCTCGGATGAGAACAAAACCAAATGGCGAGAATGGCGCGGAAGCACGTGAGTGACATTATTTAATGTTTACGTTATTCTAAGGCCAACTAGCTGGCGATCCAGCTACTAATGGTAATCGCAATAGAGATCGCGACACGAGTGGTAGAGGCGGCCAGCAGTACGCAGAAAGGGGCGGAAAGAGTCTAAACGCCTACAAATCAACAGGAACCGGAAAAAGGCGGTACAAACCAGGTATGGCCGCGTTAAGAGAAATCAGAAAATACCAGAAGTCGACAGACTTGCTCATTCAAAAACTGCCTTTCTCTAGATTGGTATGGGCTATCTAAGAGAAATCTCCTCGCTAACAAAATCAAGGTTCGCGAGATACACGAAGAATTTCTTAACACAGGGTACAGATTGGAGGAATTTCCTGCGCGTTGGCAGTCTTCCGCGCTACTATGCTTGCAGGAAGCTGCAGAAGCCTATCTTGTGCATCTGTTCGAGGACGCGTGGGTGTCACTAAACAAACAAAACGACGTCACTAACGACAATGATAGCTATCTATGTACAATACACGCAAAGAGAGTTACTTTAATGCAACAGGATATACGTCTCGCTCGGAGAATACGCGGGCAGCAATAATACAACATGTTTAAAGCATTCTAACGCATACATTTCATTTCCCGGCTTTGGCTCTGCGTTCGGCAAACCTCCTCTTGGCAGCGTCGATGGCAGACTCATCGTTACGTCTTTCGAGTGTCTTGGCTTGTTGGGTTTGTGTTGCAGATTTCTGCTGCTCTTCCTTCTCTTTCGTTAGGGACAACATCTGCTCCTCAACCATTTTACTGTGACGTTCTCTAATTGCAGCTTGTGAGGCGTCAGTACCCACTGCCTGTCTTTTGAATCCTGCTTCTTTGTTGTTTGAAGTTGGAAGAGATGGTCCTTGAGGAGCTCGCCTCTTCTTTCCTGCATTCAGACCCGCAGATAAAAGCTGGACTTTATCAACAGCCTGTCCTTCATCATCAATCTCAACATTGTTGCCTTTAGATTGAGCCTTCTTAAGCATTGAGTCTGAATCAATTTCAGTCTGCGAAGCAGGCGGCCGTATAACGTTTGATTTGTTTTCCTGTGCAGCTTTCATAGCAGCAGCATGCTCTTCCTCCTTATCGTCGAGTATACCGCGCATAAATGCTGATGCACCAGTTCCTCTGCCGTCTCTCTCCTTCTTTTCCCTGGCTTCTTCCTCTTCCTCCGCCAGTCTAATTTCCTCAAGAGTCTTCTTGTAGCCTTCGGTGACAAACTCTTCGGTGCCTTGATACTCATCACCTTCTCTTTCTCTAGTCTTTTGTATCATCTTCTCTTCAGCTCTACTTCTGTCGAGTTTGCGCTTTTCTGCAGCAACAGCCAATCCTTCAATGTATTTGGGTGCGCGTGTGCTGCTTTCTTTTTTCCGACTAGCCTCGACGGCCTCTCTGGCAGACTGCATCTGATCAAACACTTCGTCATACTCAAAAACACTATCGTCGAGCTTTTTGGCATCTTCCAGCTGCTTTGCTATCCTCGAGCTGGTTGCTTGGGCAGCTTGGGCTACCATTCCAGTACCCTTACCACCACTGCTGCTGCTGCTGCTCTTGGCGGGTGGCTTGAACCCGGAATCATCGTCGCTGTCATCGCTATCTTCCAGTATAGATTTTTTAGGCTTTTCCTTTGGCTGGTTGAGCCCACCACCTAGCTTGATATTCATAGTCCTTCTTCAAGAAAACCGCCAACACTGCAATGGGAAAACGCAAGGCAGCCAGGAAGCCAACGGGTCCGAAGAAGGACAAAACTACGCTGCCAAAAACATTCGAGGTGTGTTGTGAGCAGCTCCTCTGCCACGCTTACACGCTCAGTGTCTTTTCTGTAGTCGCAACGATGCGGTACAAGTAAAACTAGATCAGAAGAACGGCATGGGCTATCTGAATTGCAAAGTCTGTAATATGAGATTCGAGTCGACTATAAATTGTAAGTTGTTGGGCGCAGAGCTATGGCCGTAAGCTCACCATCGACAGCGCTCACTGCACCTGTTGATCTCTATCACGACTGGATTGTGAGTATCTCTGCCATGCTTTTGAACCTGCTCACGCTCGCAGGATGCTAACGATGAGGTCAACTTCCCTCAGCAAAAGAAAAAGAGAGTGGAAGATAGGCCACCAGCCAGCGACGAAGAAGATTAAGTCATAAATTGAGAAGAAGAGTGTACACTAGCATCTTGTAGTTTGTATCAAAGAAGCATCGATTTCCATATTAAGCAACAACTTAGAATCCATATACTTTGCTAGCGTTGCCGCGATTTGCTTTACCCTGTGAAATCTTCTCTTCTAGTTCCGTTCGTTTGTTAACAGCTTCAGATATGAGCGAACTGAGTTGACCACGGGCTCTAGCTCCTCTGCCTTGCGGTCCACTGACTTCGACGTGTTCCTGCGGCTTCTCAGCTCCCATTTGGGTTGGTCTCATCTGTTTCTGTATGTCCTTAGCATTCACATCCACTATATCCTTTCCTGATAATCCTTGCTTGCGCTTGCGTTCCTCCTCTTCCTCGGCCTCTACGTCAATACCCGCGTCTATCTGCCACTGACGTACTTTGGACTGATAGAAAGCAGGTTCATAAGATTCCCATTCACCGCTTGGTTTCCGATAATAACCTGGATATGGATCGTAGGGTGTAGGATCAGGTGGGACGTAATCTGGTAATTCGGGTGCAACGCTCATCTTGATCGCGCTTTGTGCTTGTGTTCTTAGCGTTGACGGCTTCTTGAATGTGCTTGTGGATGCTGAGAAGTACTTGAGCTTAATTCGAGCACAATTGTACACTCACCACCTAACGAGAAGATATCAACGGGTGCTGAATGTTTGGAATTCCTGCTTGTGCTCGTACTCGATAGATCGGCATCCTTATCTTGTGTTGCTTCTTTATTGTGAAACTGTTGCTGCTTCTGCTGCTGGACTTGCGCTTTCTTTGGTGCGGGTAGCATACCCAGCAGGCCACTCAGACTATTTCCATTCGAAGTGGAAGTACTGGGCTGTGGCCTTTTGCTAGATTCACCAACTAGAGCAGCCACATCATCGTCTTCGCTCTGCTTGCTTCTCTTGGCACTATCGGACTTAATCTGGACGGGTGCTCTCTTTTGCCCAGTTGAAGGCTTTGGCAGAGAGCCAAAAAGACCGCCATTATTCCTTTGCTTCGGCTGCTCGACTTTCACGTCCTCCTCGTCACTGCTGCTGCCGTAGTCTCCAACTAGCATGGTTGTATCGATTCAACGACTGCTAAATGGCAAAAACAGCTCTGATTACTGTAGGATCTACGAAGTTCGATGGATTGATAAGCCAGGCTGTAGAAATTTCTCAAGCGCTGTCTAAGCAGGGCTATCACAGTCTCGTCATACAGCACGGCAAGTCCAAACTACCGGAAGGGCTGCCCGGGAGCGTGAAAGAGACATTCGAATATTCTGATAGCTTGAGCAATTACATTGATAACGCTGATATCATCATATCCCATGCAGGTGCGCGCGTAAGCTGATAGCATCAATACTATCTGATTACTCAAAGGTACGGGGACGATAATTGAAGTTCTTAGGAGCAAGAAAACGCTTATAGCTGTGCACAACGACAAATTGGCAGATAATCACCAGCGAGAACTGGCGCGTAGACTGTGCAGGCTGGGATACTGCATCCACAGCAGCGCTGAGTGAGTTTGTGTGTTTTATCAGCAGATAGAGTTTTAACAATCCTCAGAAATCTCATCGACACTATAAGCTCAATAAATCTGCTTGAATACACACCTACCAGATTTCCAGAATTTGCAGCTGACAGAGTCAGGCATTTCTTCGACAGCGAGGCGGGATTCCCTGTGTGATATATCTGGTACCCTATATAAACCCATTTCACTCTCATTGCCTTCAGCCGTCATTCCGGCCATTTCGTTGCTTGTACAATCCTTGATCCTGACGTCGACGTCGGTGCGCTGTAAATATGCAGGTCGTAGATGCGAAGCAGACGGCTTTAAGCAACACAAACGCCCTCGAGTACACGAGCAAAGAGAAAGCCTTGGAAAGTCTGCTCAGTGCCCCAGTCATCTTCCAAGAAGCCAGCAATCCAGCGAGTAAGGGATTGGGTATACCGAATGGCTATAAAGCAGTCAACGAGGAACTTAAGGTAAAACTTCATAACTCTTTTGCGATTTACTCACACATCTCATCTCATAGGCTACACCAAAAGAAGAACAGCCGTACTCTCCATCCAAAGCCAGTCCTGCCGCATCTGAATCTGCATCTGCATCCAATTCCGCCACGACGAGTGCTGCTGCATCTCCGGCTACTAAGCCTTCTGCCAAAGATCTCTACCCATGGCCAATCGCACCAGCTTTTCCCAAAGGCATCAACAATGTCGGCAAAGGGTTGAGGAACGTTGGAAACACGTGTTTCTTGAACAGCACGATGCAGTGCTTACTACACACACCCTCCCTGATGAACTTCCTCCAATCACAGCATGCCAAAGGTAGACCCGACAAGAAGTTCTGTATGATCGAAGCACTCAAAGCCTGTGCAAAGAGCTCTTTCTCGGGCTCAGGTGGAAGTTATGCTCCAGCACCTGTGGTGAGAAATCTCAAGGCCATCGCCAAACATATGACAGTCGGTCGACAGGAAGATGCCCAGGAGTTTCTTCGTTATGCCGCAGATGCACTGCAAGCTTCTTATCTCTCAAATTTCCCTAAATCAGCCAAAGGAAAGCAAGCCGAGACTAACCCAATACATAAAATCTTCGGCGGGAAACTTAGATCGAGAGTTCTGTGTCAGAATTCGAAACACGCTTCGGATACATTTGACACCTTTATGGATTTGAGTGTCAATGTTAAAGGTTGCAGCAACATACAAGAATCTTTCAAATCTTTCACTGCCCTTGACAGACTCGAAGGTGCTAACAAATACAAATGCGAAAGTTGCAAGAAGCCAGTACCGGCTACAAAGCAATTCACGGTACATGAAGCACCGCAGTGTCTGACGGTGCACCTGAAGAGATTCTCACCATTGGGTCAGAAGCTAAACGGTAGTCTTGCTTTCGATGAGAACCTCGACATACAGAAATACATGAGCAAAGGGCAACCATCACCCAAGTACAAGCTCTACGGTGTCGTGTCCCATTATGGAGGTAGTGCGAGGTCCGGACACTACATCGCGCACGTCAGGGCACCTAATGGAAGATGGTACGAGATGAATGACGATATGGTATCGCCCTCGAAACCCCCATTCGGATCTAAGAATGCCTACGTGCTCTTTTACGAGAAAGAAAGAAGTAGCACATTGAAAGATGCTGTCCAAAGCGCAACATCAGCCACTCCATCAAGTGAAAAGATATTAGGCAAGCGTAAGGTGAATGAAGATGGCTCAGAATCACCTCAGAAGACACCGCTGAAGACGCCAGTACGCAACAAAATGCAAACCAAGGCACAAACGCCGGTAAGTGCGCCAGCACACAAACCCAGATTAGTATCATTCGATATGCCCTCATCAAACAAAGCAAAGAAGAGGAGAATGTCTATGCCATTTAACAAACGGGATACACCCTCAGATGATCTTGGATCTCCTGTTGTACGCCGTTGATTGTATTTTTTTATTTGATAGATTATGGGTATTCAACTTGTTTAAACTACATGCTTTTCTATTCTAGATGTGTGGCTCGAAGTTGAGGGTGAGTGCTGATCGTTGTCGAACAAGACGTCCTCCTCCGCAGGGTGTTCTTGAGGACTATCAGAGGTAGATATCCGTGCAGCTTGGTTCGGTTGCTTGTTTGGTGTTTGTGATCGCGAGTGAACAGCAGAGCTAGCGTGAGATATTGAGCTTGATCTGGATTCAGACTGGGGGAGAAGGTTGTTCAGATGAGCATGGCCATGTCCGTCGGTTGGGCTGCCGAGTTGAGATGGAAGATCATCCAATGCATACTCGGAATCAGCCGCTGCAGACCAGATACGTCTGTGTCCATTAACAGCACTCCTAGCGCCTGAAAATGGAAGTATCTTTTCCTTACCGATGTCTGCATTGGTAGGCAGACCGCCCGGATCTCTAAGATGCTCAGGAAGCAAGACGTAGAAGCAAGCAGTTGCTAAACAGGCACCTGCAACTGCATCGACCAAGTAGTGATGACTGAGGTACATTGTCGCCCAGTACAGCCAACCTACATACGCCCAGTAGAATGCCTTGAATCTAGGGAAGAAGTGCGACAAGAAAAGCGCCTCTATAGTCGCTGAACCAGCATGCAGAGATGGGAATGCACCAAATACAAGTGGCGATGCACCAAATGCGGAAGAATATGAATGCGAGTGCATCAGTTCATCGATTCTAGCCAATCCAGCTGGGCTACCAGGAATGGAATAATCAGCTGGAAGCAATCCGTAAAGGAGTTCATACCCTGAGTATTTCATCAGCAACGGTGCATCGTATCTCAAACTATACCCACAAGGAGGTGCGCAAGGGAAACTGACCTGCACAATAACACCAATGATGTTCATTACACCAAATACGAAGCCCCAGAACTGCAAGGCGGAGTATGGCTTATGTCCATTTCTGTCAGCGCCGCCTTTGGCAGGTGCGTAGACCCACGCAACGGCGGCAATAACGAAGGGAACGACGTAGTGAACCAGTCCGTAAGGAAACCACGCGCATATATCCAGTATCCAATGTCTGTGCGTTGTAACCAGATTGCTGATGTTGGCGCCATACCACACTGATTCTAACGTCGGCAGAATAGTAACATTGATTGTAGGTCTTACGGGCGTTGGTATGAAGCGTGCACAGAAAAACGTCATTAACCAACACAATATTGGCGTACCAGGAAGAAAGAACTGAGAAGTCACCGGAGTGATGATCAACCCGAAGTAAACGACAGGTATCAGCCATTTCACGAGAGGGATAGGAATTGACATCATTATAAAGCTCGGGAGCGCAATAAGGAAGTAAATTAACCACTGTATATCAAATTTACGCCATTTGTGTGTTTTGAGCTTCTCTACCGTTACTTTGGGTGACAAACCATAATCAAGTGATAAAAAGGCTGACTTTATGTCGCGTATTAAATTAGAGACGGGCTTTGGTGCTCTCAGCCCGATACGCATCGTCCTCGTTGTGGTGGTCGAGTCGTAAGAGTGGATTCATTTTCTTTGAAATGCTATCGTACAAATTGTGCTGCCTTTACTTCCGCCAAAGGAGAATGAAGGATGTTCTACGCTGGAATGATACGTAAACCCTGGGAGAGTGTATCGTCAGCTTTGTGCACGGGCTCGGGAAGTCTACTCACTGTCTTGGTTGAGGAAAGTTGATTTTATCTCTTCCTCCGTGAAGTTACACGATGTAATCAGAAGCTTACCGCCTTTTCGCACCAAGTCCGCGGCGTGCTTGGCATATAAAAGGCGGTTTGAGCCAGTCGATAGACAGATAGCGTCTGCATGATTAGATATGCGACTTTTGAACTTGGAATACCTACCAAATGTCCCTTTGTCCATCACGATGTCCCATTCACCTAGCCGATTGATCTGCTGTTGATCGAGTACATCTAACACGTCAAACGAGACTGCTTCACAGTCCTTGCCTCTGCTCTTGGCTATGTTGTAAGAAAGCTTAATAGAAGCAGGACTGTAGTCAACGCCCTTCAAATACTGGCCATCATAGCCGTTGCTAACCAATTCGAACAATAGATGACCGTTGCCGGTTCCCATACTACGAGCAGGGTTATTTCGTGATGCAGGAGATACCAAAAAGCTTACTCTAGCACACTCGGGCCACTCTCTTCAGGCGTTGCATTATCTAAAGCCCAATCAACCATCTTCTCGACGCTATCTTCACCGAACCTGGAGACTTGTGAGATGTCTTTCACTAGACATATCACTATTCTAACCATATTTCTCCCTCTTCACCTATCTCTTCAAAATTATTGACTTCCCGTCTGAAAGCCCGGTGAGCTCATACGACTGACGCACGCAGACGCAACCTACTCATATACATCATCCCAGCTATGCAAATTGAGTTTTAAGCGCTGATCAAATATCCCACTCACTGCTCCTTCGTTCCTAGCCTGGACGAAGGTAGATCTTCCACCTGGGCCATGATCGTTTATTATCAAAGGCTTGTACAGAGTAAGAGCAACTATACATTGGTTTATACATAAAAGCACATCAATCGATTTTATTTTTGGTTGCACGAAGTAGTGCGACATCCTGGAGTAGTGTTAGAGCAACAGTACGTAACCTACAAACTCACGTAATTCTGGTCCATCTTGTAGTTGGTATACATCTGTACTATTGTGAATTTCGAAGATAAGCATGAAATCTTCACTCACCCAAGGCACATCATTCTCACCATATTTTTCAACTGGCCTTTTATACGTGAGATACTCATCAGCCAATGCGTTACAGACCTTGTCGTCTCCGTACAATGGTAGGAACACGCCAAGCTCCCAATTAGTTATACTGAGACTGCCTGTCTTGGTGAATCTTCCCCATGCAGATGGTGTAAAGTTATGCGAGCCAACATAAACCCATCCGCCAGCCACATCCTTTTCAGTGACGCGTTCTGTTGTGTCAACTTCGGATTCCGTAGCGCTCGAATCAGTGTCTTCATCGGATGTGAATGTCACTTTTTCCTTGCCGTCCTTTGCCTTCTTCAATTTCCCAGCCATCTTGTTTTTAGTAACGGAATGTGTACGCTTTAGAATACCACAAATTGTCTTAGCATGCATGAAGATATTTCCACGCTTGCTCGGGTTTCTGTGCATTACGTCGCGTGGAAAGTCTGCATTAAGCCACTTTTTGGCACTAATTGTGTCGTTAGCTTTGGTCGGTGTAATATCACCTCTTACTCCATGAACATGTTGCCTCCCATATCTGGTCCTCCCAAGTTCTCCTGGGCCATCTTTTTGGTAGGGAAAAGAATCTTGATAGGAGGCCATTTCTTGCTGTCCTCTTTCTTTTTGCTTTTAAGTGCAAGTGCATCGTCTTGTAATCCTGGTATGAGATTAAAACGACCCGAGGCTGAGTTGTAGAACTGTCTGATATTAGATTGCGCGACTGCTTACAGCATAACCTACCTCCCTTCCCCAATGAGCTTTGTATGCACCAAGCGAGCTACCTTGGCACTCTAAGTCAACGAACCATTCATGCTTTGCAGAGTCACCGCGCGCATCAATGAGGTCACCGTTAGCATCAACACCACATCCAGCCCCTCTAATCAGATCCGCGAGACGCGCATGTCCGACGCGCTTGATGTTGTCTACGCCTTTGTGCTCCCCGTTTATGCTAGCAACAAGGCGTGCTTTGGATCTTGAGAAGTCCCACTGACTTATCGCATTAACATTGGGCAATGGAATGTCATCCATTTCAGCAGCCACGCCCGACAGAGTGCTTTGTAGCTGTGAGTATTGACTTAGAAGCAGAATGCTCCTGCTCACTCATTCAATTTCAGCTTGTAGAGGAACCAACTCCAATCTGTTTCGAATGCCGATGCTTGCTTGCTGCTTGATCCATCTAAAGTATTTCCTTTTGGTGGAAAGTCTTGTATAAATAAAGTCTACTACGCGTTAATGAGGGCCATTTGGATTTGTTCAATACCCTACATTTTCATTTAACTTCCAGTCCATTTCAATGAAGTTTGCAGTTGTCACCAAGACTCTCATCCATCCATCAGTTGTAAATATCTAAATTTAGTGAGATTCGTGTAACACTCTTGCTATGACATAACTTACGATAGCGAACTACTTTAACTTAGAGAGGGTTTAAAGTCAAGTTAGGAAGTCTTACCTTCGCATGGTAAGTACCGCGTGCATCTACGTTGTGCATATACCAATTCCTTCAGATGTCGTCAGATCGAGATAACGGATACCGATCACTTACCTGTTGTTGACAGTTGAAGCGAGTTTGCTCTGCCTTAACATTAGTTCTAGAAATTATTTTCATAGTAAGGCGTACTGGTTGCGCGCAAATGACTTTTGCGTCGCCAAATAGCGGTATCATTAGCTCATCTTGGCGGACATAGCTGGACATGATGACCAATTTGAGTCTATTGGGCTAGAATTAAGATGCGTCAATAGATACCACAGCACGAATCGCAGCGTACCTGTCCGAAACACTTGTTGATTGACCAAGAATTCTCATTTCTTTCGGTCAGGTAGTTGACAGTTTGCTTTACAACACCGTCGGGATACTTGTCTGCACCGCCAGTATTAGCTTGGGGCTGTTGCTGAGTAGAATGGTCGCGCTTGACGTGCTTGGCTTGTCGTTCCAGACGTTCAGCCTCAAGCTTCTTCCTCTCCTTTAAGAAATCGAATGGAGCGTTCTTGGAAGTTAACGTCGATTCTTTTGCCGAATTTGTCGCGTCATCTCCATTAACCATCTCTGGAACCGCAGATGGCTTTATTTGCTTCGGCGGGATGATTTCATCTGACTCATCTTGTGTACTGCCACGGTTTTCGTCTTCGCTATCTGAAATATTGATAACTTGTGCGCTTCTCTTGGACATGGTCGCTACACAGATGACCGTGTACTCTTAAGAGATAACGACCAACATCTCGTAGATAGTATGCGGTGGGCATTCAGGGCGAGCAGCCGCCTACTTCAAAGCAGAAACGTGTACAAGGAAATGCTGGATAGGGGGTTTGTGAAGGATGTTACGAGGTGAGTTTGCGCGCCAGATTGCTGGATGAGTGTCTGACGGGATTAGCGATCTTCTGGGCAGGCATCTCGAGAGCAGCAGAACAATTTATAGCGGCCTGGATCCTACCGCTGAGTCACTGCATGTCGGACATCTACTGCCTCTGCTCGCCTGCTTGCATCTTCATCTAGCAGGACATAGAGTGATTCCACTCGTATGTGCAGTTCACTGCTATTTGCTTCTCGAGCTAATCACGCGTAGATCGGCGGTGCGACTGGCTCAATAGGAGATCCGTCAGGAAGATCAACAGAACGTTCACTGATTAAGGCAGAGACTCTCGATAAGAACATAGCAACCTTAACAAAACAATTGGGCGTTTTCTACGAGCGAGGTAGAGAATACGCGCGACATCACGCCCTTTATGACTCTACAATCGGGGAAATAAGTGTCTTAGACAATAAGGAATGGTTAGCGAAGCTCTCTTTACTAGAGTTCCTGTCGACTACCGGAAAATTAAGCAACATTGGACCTATGCTGGCTAGAGATTCAGTGAAAAATCGCTTGGCCAAAGGTATCTCGTACACCGAATTCACTTATCAGCTACTCCAAGCTAGAGACTTTGAGCATCTCTTCACCAGCCACGAATGTACAGTGCAGATTGGTGGTAGCGATCAATGGGGGAACATAACCGCTGGCGTTGAATTGATCAGGCGCGTCACCTCAGATGAAACTACTCAAGATAAGGCTTTTGGATTAACATTACCGCTTCTTACAACAAGCAGTGGTGATAAATTTGGTAAAAGCGCTGGAAATGCTATTTGGTTAAACTCCTCCCTCACTTCTGTCTTTGACTTCTATCAATTTTGGCTCAAGACACCTGATGCGGATGTGGAGAGGTTCCTCAGGCTGCTCACTCTTGCTCCGTTGAGTGATATTGAGCAACTCATGGAGCAGCATAAAGTAGGTTTTGCACTTTTCTTTTCTATCACCTAACGCAAGTGAATTAATTAGGTTGTACCTGAACAAAGATCTGCTCAGCGGCGGCTTGCTGAAGAAGTAACCACTTTGATTCACGGGAGTTAGTCTGTGAACTAATCAACTACTCACTTCTAACCCTAAAAATAGGAAGTGGACTGGAAATTGCACGCATAGCCACGGGTGTTCTGTTCGGAAAAGACTTGTATGCACTCAAGACACATCAGGTCGTAGCTGCATTCGAAAATGATTCTCGACTAGTAAGGAAATTACGCAGTGATGTAGTAGGCCAGCGTCTGACACGAGTGTCAACATTTGGTCGGACTGTAAAATCGACATGTGAGTGACTATTAAGAGTATAATGGAACAACTGACACTTAGTAGCACAAGCCAAAACACTCGTTGCTTCAGGAGGAGTATACGTCAATGGTGAAAGGATGACAGATGTCAACAGAACACTGACGGAGGAAGATATCATAGACAATCACCTGATCTTCATCAGAACTGGCAAATCATCGCATTTGATTATACACTTAGACTAACATTATCATTATGCATACAAAATAATACAATCAATTTAAGATCATTGTCATTATGGTAGCATCCCACGCGTGCCCATTTGAAGAGTCTGTAGCAACTTTTTCCACAAACTATCACTCCTAGCTAGTCTTTCTCTGATTGAACGAGCTGCATTAGCATTATCTCGCCGTCTGTTAGCAAATAAGACTGCCAAGATAAAGATTAACAAAGGTGGTAACACTCTAGGCAGAATTTCTTTCAAAGGGTTTAATAGCATCATGAGCTTTGCTGTGGTAGTAAGCTGCTTCGGACTGTTTCGAGCCATTGGTTCGATTGGTGGTGTCTTGGCATGCTCAGTCATTTGCGAGCGTATTTCAAGATGCTGAGGTAGAGTTGCAGAAGTTGTAGGGTTTGCTGCAGGTGACCTTGATGCCACTGTAGCACTATCGGGCTTCCCTCTCGTCTTCAATCTGGCAGGTGTTGCTGTATACGATGATCCGTTGGAAGAAGATCTGGATAGACTTGGTGTTGACGGCTCAGTGACTGTAGAGCTTTCTGGTGTGCTTGTGCTTTTCTCCTTGCTCGTTGCTTCTTGTAAGTCTGCGAGCCGTTGCAGCAATACCTAAATGATGTCAGCTTAATTAGTTCCAGTTTATTTATAACGAACCTCATTTTCTGGTCCACCACTCGAGGAGGAAAGCAAGAAGTCTCGACTCACTTCCCACTCGCCAAATTCTGGCAGTATGATGAACGCATATACGTCCCTGACTTTGATATAATCCTGATCTGCGTTGCTAGCACTGTAAAGCCATTCCTCAGCTTCCAGCTTGGCTTTTTCCAATTGATCCAGCCTGATTATAGCGAGCAGAAGCGCCGACTGCGAGCCACCCGGTAATTGACCGTCTATACGGGAATGAGAAAGACGGATGAGAAAATCGACAAATTGAGAAGTGGTGTATCCAAGCTGAGTGTAATCTGACTTTTTATCATTATTCAAGTAGAGCGTAAGCCAACAAGTGAGCTCTAGTGATAGCAGCTTGTTTAATAATCCCGTGCTGTTGGCTCCTGGATAGCAAGCAGCGACGGTGTCCAAGCATCCAGTGAAATTCTTATTGAGAAGCTGCTTGGATGCTTTGTTGTATGTCATTCGACTTGTTCTGACTCAACGTCGACGAAGACAACGAAGAGATGGCCACACCAAGTTTGATTCCATTGGTGGATACAACACCGAGCAAAGATTTGTTGTTAAGCGCCGCAAGAATTACTCCTGTCCTAGTTCCATCTAGCAATCTCAGCAACACCGTCTCTACCATCCCAAAGTCATCCAGCTACTACGTCTTAGTAGCAGACGATGAGAGCTTAGACAGCGCCATTAGTTACCTCAATAACGGCGCATCAGCTATCTTCGCTTCTGTCGAATTGGCTGACAGATGTATCTCTGCTGGCGTCCCTTCAGAAAAGCTCTATGCGGTCTCTAGCAGCACTGATATTCCAGAGGATGTCCTCAAAGGCATCAAAGGTGCCCTTATCAAGATTTCTGGCGTAAATTCAGCCACCCAACTTCCGAAACCAAAGGTTACTCTCTACTTAGACGAATCTAAGATTATCCCAACCGAGAAGACAGTTGCTTCCTTACACAAGAGCAATGCTGCGCTTGCGGTGCCACTATCTCAACTCACCAACGACGCCACATCCTCATCCAAGTTGAACATCACAAACGCATTCTTGGCACCAATCACGACCGATAGACCAGATGGTTTGTTCAGCACCATCGTGTCATCCTACCTTCACGGTGGAAAGTCATTAGGATTGTGCTATTCATCAAAGGAGTCAATAGAAGAATCCGTCAGAACAGGCAGAGGTGTCTACCAATCTCGCAAACATGGATTATGGCGCAAAGGAGAAACAAGTGGTGCTATCCAAGACGTCGTTAAGATCGACCTAGATTGCGACTCTGACTGTCTCAACTTTGAGGTCATTCAACATGGCGCTGGGTTCTGTCATTTGGACACGCCAACTTGCTTCGGTCAATTGAGCGGCTTAGCTGCTTTGGAAGAGACTCTTGTTTCACGCCACCGATCAGCACCCGAGGGTAGTTACACTAAGAGACTGTTCAACGATGAAACTCTTCTCAGATCAAAGATTATGGAGGAAGCTGATGAGCTATGTGCTGCAAAATCCCAAGAGGATGTTGCATTCGAGGCAGCCGATTTGATTTACTTTGCATTAACAAGATGTGTCAGCAAGGGTGTCAATCTCGCAGATATCGGTCATGCATTAGACAAAAAAGCTGCTAAAGTATCGAGACGACCAGGAAATGCTAAGCCTAAATATCTTGAGCAGGCTCAAGCTAAGATTACCCCAGCTCCTGCACCATCGACCACCCAACAACCTCAACCAACATCATTTGGTAACGATTTGATTAGAATGCGCAAGACTAAGCTGGACGGAATTGCCGAAGAGGAGCGCCTGCAGTTGTTGCGTAGACCTGTATTGAACTCAGGCGCAATGATTGATCGTGTCAGACCAATCGTTGAAGGTGTTAGTACTAAAGGTGACAAGAGCTTGCTTGATTTCATTGCCAAGTTAGACAAGGCAGACCTGAAGTCGCCTATTGCACGTGCGCCATTTGAGGAGCCAACAATCCAACAAGATGTCAAGGAAGCAATTGATATCGCTTATGAAAACGTACGTAAATTCCATGTTGGTCAAGCAGAGAAGGAGCCTTTAGTCGTTGAAACCATGCCGGGTATCGTTTGTCAAAGGTTCGCTAGACCAATCAGCAGGGTTGGTCTGTATGTGCCAGGAGGTACAGCAATCTTGCCCTCCTCTGCTCTCATGTTGGGTGTACCAGCGCAAGTAGCAGGATGCAAGGAAATAGTATTGGCAACTCCGCCAAAACCTGATGGCAGCATTGCACCAGAAGTACTCTACGTCGCAAAGAAGGTCGGCGCGTCTGCCATTCTCAAAGCAGGAGGTGCACAAGCCGTAGCAGCTCTCGCTTATGGTACAGAGACAGTGCCAAAGGTTGACAAGATTTTTGGTCCTGGTAATCAATGGGTTACCGCCGCTAAGATGTTCGTATCGACGGATGCTGACGCTCAAGTCGCTATTGATATGCCTGCTGGTCCATCGGAAGTACTGGTTATTGCTGACAAGACAGCCAATGCTTCCTACGTTGCCAGTGACCTTCTTTCACAAGCTGAGCACGGTGTCGACAGTCAAGTTGTGCTGGTGACGATCGATCTCAGTGAGAAGGAGATAGATGACATTGAGAAAGAGGTTGAACAGCAAGCTAGAAAGCTGCCACGTGTCGATATCACCAGAATTTCGGTATCAAAGAGTTTAATCGTATCAACTAGTGACGTCAAATCCGCATTCGATTTCTCGAATGATTACGCTCCTGAGCACCTCATTCTTCATATTGACAGTGCGTCTGAGAAGGTGCCGATGGTCGAAAATGCTGGTAGTGTGTTCGTTGGACAATACTCTCCAGAGAGGTAAGTGTTCCGGCTATACCTGAAGCCAGCTGACTTCGCTTATAGTTGCGGTGATTATGCATCTGGCACCAACCACACACTTCCAACAAACGGGTTTGCTAGACAGTATAGTGGTGAATACAGTCAAATCTCTTATGAATCAGTCTAACACGAAAATAGGTGTAAACACTCTTTCATTCCAAAAGCACATTACTTCACAAGAACTTACTAAGGAGGGATTAGATAAATTGGGGCCAGTTGTCGTAAAATTAGCTGAATGTGAAGGATTACGCGCGCACGCCAATGCCGTACGAGTAAGACTCGGTATGCAATCACCATAAACGCATGCAAGTATCTATGTTATTGTTCAATTCTATATTATAAATGGATTCAAAACTTATGCTCCTCCCCTATTAAAAGTTCTAGCTCGTCCATCCGTTGCTCTACAGCCATTTTTGCAACTTTTGTTTGATCCGCCTTATCTTTCAATTTTTGGAGATAGTTCTCGTCTGGTACTCTATAGAACTTGAATCTCTCCCACCATTTGTGAGTGACTGGTTCTTCAGGTGCCGGTTGAGGTGGTCGTTCGACAATACGCATGTGGTTTTCTTTGTCTTCTTCTTCTCTGTCTCTCCTTTTCAGCAAATAATTAATCCGCTGCACTCGCACCTCGTTAGCTACTGCTTGGCCCGTCGAACAAACCAAGACTGCTGTTATCACACCCGGGATAACACCTGCTCTACCGCCTTGAAATTATTAGTTTGCTGTGTATTGTGTGATAATCACCCACGAAGACGATAATTCCAGGCACCTCCACCAAGTGCACCCGCCAACGCTGAGTCTGCCATCTTGAAAGTCCTTGTCGGTTTATCCTGGTTGACAGGTGCGTACTTGCGTAGCGATGGGGTAACAAGCCACTCCCTCAAACCTTTGAGATTGTTAAAGGTTTCTGCTGAGTAGTCGCAGACGTACTAAAGAAGACGAAGGACGTGAGAGCGACGTTCTTGGCCGTATTGAGACCTCTATCAAGAGCGTTTAGCAACATCGTTAGTCGTGCCTGCTACTCACAAATCCAACCCGTCGATTCCTTTCTGTGAGCCAGTCGCACCAGCGAGAAGACCTCCTCCGAGTGCTCCACCAAAAATCAGCCAGTGGTCCGATAAGCACATAGATAAACTCACTAAATCCAGCTGTGTTTATAAATATGTTCTGAGCTGCTTCTGTATCTGCTGGCCAGCTATCCATAGTAGACGAAGTATTCTTATCAACGTGGTCAGAGTCAAGGATGTTCTCGTTCAGATTGACTGCTGAACGAGAAATAACTTCTTTCTTTTGATTTTAATAAGCGTGAAGCAGCACAAGATATACAGTCATTAGATGTGGATGCTATCAATGAAGTCATTTGCAGCGCGATGGATTGACTGTACAGGTTTAAGAGGAAGTTGCAGAAGCGTCAAAATCTTAAATAAATTATGCGTTTGATATAAATTGAAACACCTTAACAATCTTTCAAAAGCAGCGTCTCAATATGAAGGATTCTGGCTAAGAGAACCACAGGTATGTTGCAGGAAGGGTGATTTGATATCTACAAATATAAATCCTACTCATCATAACTCTGCAATTCTAACGCAGCTTTAATCACCCCTCCTTCACATTATTTGAAATTTCGAAGTTAACTAGTCGGAAGCAAAATCCCCGATGTTAGACTTTTGATGACCCCCTAATTTCTATACCTAAATATCTTTGAAGTTTGAAGCGAGGCGGAATAGCAATTTTTCTCGGGAGTCAAGTTTGATAGCTGTGGACGCCATGTGCCGTAAAACGTTTTACGCGTTTAAAGGGTGGTAAATTGTGATTATGGTTCCTTGCGATCTGTAAAAATAAAAATAATGTGCTCCAAACGATGAAGTGCGTGTGATCCTCATATCTATCCTATGGCGTGCTGCAGAATGATTTCGGACTGTTGCTTCCGAGCAGCGTACAGAGCGTGATTTGAAGCATCAAGGAAATAAATCTGGCAAAATCATACTATCTTCCGCCAGAGCTATAAGTTAAGCCTTTTTATTTGGAGATCATAAAAAGTCGTAAATCATCCATTTGGGATGAGATAGGTGTTAGAGAATGTATGTTGAAGGATATGAGCAAAAGATTGAAATAGTGCTGTATTTGAGATCCTGAAAATGCTATGAAGTGATGTTGTTGCTAAAGTATTTGAATCGTCAGTAAATGACATCGCTGTGTTTGTCTTCTCACTTAGTGCGTCTTTCGCGGGGAAAATAAGCATATCTGATTCAATTCAATGGTTCAGAGTTTTGAAAGCGTCTGAAGGAACAAAATGATAATGAAAAGCTATTCAAACCACCCTTACATCCAATAAGAACATTCTGATGTCATTAGAGTTGTAGAGTTGAGTCCATTTGAGCGATTGTAGGGAGCAACGGAGAATATGGTTGTCAAGATACAACCATACACTGATATATATCTAGACACTTAATAATGTACAAGTTATGTGTTTCAATCTCCAATACGCATACATTTCATAACACTTTTGTGACTCAGCGGCGGTAAAGAAGTGGCAGTAAGCACTCAATCTGCGCCAAATTCGAGAACACTGATGCTCTTCTCTATCTCCGCTTTACCAGTAAATGCTCCAATCGATATGAATCCTCAGTGCCTGTTGAGGTCGCTACTGTAGTTTCAATTCAGATCAACGATTCCCAGCGAAATCCGTTTCTGGATATATCTGAAGACTAGCACTCGCTACCATCAGCTCAGCATTGAATTCATATTGTGCATGTGATATGTATCATTTTCATCTACCAAATACTACATTCATAAGGACATTATATTTACATTTGCTTGATTCCCGGCAATCCGAGCGATGGGAATCCGTAAGCAATCTTCAACTGCTCTGGCGTCCAGCCAAAGATCTTGCCGTTGCTAACGATTCCGTAGTTTACTCTCGATTGCGTTACGTATAATTTTCGCTATCATGGTCGAGTCACTAATCATGTCATCCACCAATAAACTTCTTGGTTGGTTACCATCAAAATTTAACCGAGTTTAATGTTTTAGAGGAGAATGTCAAGCAATCTTTCAAGTTCTCTACTAAGCTCTCACCTCAGCCGCTCACTCAGGAAGCGTACAATGAACATAATACCTTCGTGGTTCGCTGTAACGATGGGGACTGGGATTCTTTCAATCCTGCTATTTAACTCACCTTACCAATTCAATGGCCTGCACGTAATAGCCGGCGTGATATTCGCCATTAACATCATCGTATTTGTTGTGTTACTGATATTTACTATACTCCGATACGCTATTTGGCCATCGCTGCTCCCACTGATGCTCACACACCCCGTCAACCTTTTTTTGGGGACGTTTCCAATGGGATTAGATACGCTGATTACAATGATTGTCAACTCTCTAGTCCCCCGATATGGTTACAACTACGTCTTACTAGCCTATGTGCTGTGGTATATCAGCGTTGCCATTTCAATAATCACCTGTATAGGTATTCCTTTTATTCAGATGAGCAGGCAGAACGTCGAAAATAGACAGATATTCGCGACTGCACTTCTACCCACCGTCAGTACAATAGTCGCAGCGTCTACAGGTGCTTCTGTGGCGACTGTCCTCCCAGACTCACAGGCTAGGATCACTATTGTCATTTCATACATCCTCTTAGGCATGGGACTGCCAATATCCGTACTCCTCATGGCTAATTACAGTTACAGACTTATCCTATTCAAGTTACCCCAGCCTGCTTTCATTAGCTCGACCTTTATCACTATAGGGCCATGCGGGCAGTCTGCATATGCCATCCTCAAGCTGAGCAGCGATGTTAATATGCTTATCTCAAAAACAGGTCTGGTTCCATTCACGGGTGTCAGAGATGAACAAGCTGCGAGACTAGCGGGTATTGCGCTACAAACAGTATCCATTCCGATGGCTTTGTTTATCTGGGGATTCGGCGTGCTTTGGTTCTTCTTCGCTGTGATATCCTTCGCTGATACATGGGCAGCTAAGAAAATACCTTTGAATCTGTCTCTCTGGGCATGCACGTGGGTGTATCCGTTGTCGAAAAAATCCTTGACTTACCTGTCTCAGCTTCCCTATCGGCACGCTGGCCTTGTCTGCTCAAGAGCTGGGCAAGGAGATGGACTCAACAGGGATGAAAGTCGTCGGTACTATCCTGATGATGCTCTTGTTGATAATTTGGCTGCTTCTTTTTCCAGTGACTCTTTACTTCAGCGTCATTAAGGATTCTTGGTTCACTAGCCCGTGTCTGTCGGAAGTCGGTGGCCAGCCGCCTTCATTTGAGGAGGTTGACTTTATCAAGAACCGCAAGTATTGAACGAATATAGATATGTTTTATAGAATCAAAGCCAGGATGAGATTGTATGATGTAATGTATTTAATTTATTTTCCCTAATTTTTTTCACTGTCTTCTTATCGGGTGCTAAGAGGATGGGCAGGAATAAGCTCGATTCTGGCTGGAAAGGACGCCAGCAGAAGCAGTCTGAGGATTAGAAGCCTAACAATGATCTTAAGGGGGGCTATAAGAAGAACTTTAAGAAGGACAATAAGAATGACTCTAACCACTCAAGTAAACACGACAGAGGCTACAAAAACCACAGCAAGTCACATAGAAAGTCATCTGTTTCTCATAAACCAGTCACAGATGCAACCGCAAACGGCCAGGGTCAGTTGCATCCTTCATGAGCAGTCAAGAAAGCACAGGCGGAAACCATAGCAAATGCGCCAACGCGCACCAAAATTACATTCGAATAGACAAACTATAAATACATTTAACTTATTGTGCCTGCATGATACGCGGATTTTGTTGTGATTGGAATGCGCATTCGACTAACGCCATCCTCGTCAGCGGGGGGCAAGCGACCACCTCGAATATTGAACTGAATAGCAGGATGAAGGAGTTTTGGTGTGTTGAGAGAACTATCTTTCTCCATTCTGAATTGAGCAAAGTGGTCCATCTTGATATGATCATTGAGAAGCAGCTGATCTGCGACGGTAGTTGAGCAGCTCACCTGCTTACCATCACCTGGATAATCATGACCGACGAAAAGCTTGGTGTCACCAGCCAGACCCATCAGCCTATCGATGGAAGACTTCAGCTGGGACGCTACACCGCCTGGAAAATCCGCTCTAGCGGTGTGAGTGGGGGCCAAAAATATGGAGTCGCCGGTGAAGACGTGTCCTCCGAACATATAACCAACATGGTCAGGCGTATGACCCGGAAGATGGATGACGTTGCCTGAGCAATCACCCAGCGAGATGGTCTCTCCATCATCAAGCAGTCCATCGAAGCTACCTTGCAGAGAATCGAGAGAAAGGTTGTATCTTGGTCCGAAAGTGCGCTGCACGTCCACTATCCGCTTCCCAATGCTAACGGGTGCGTGGAGGTGGTGCCTCAGGTAACGCGCTGCAGTGAGGTGGTCTGCATGTGCATGTGTCTCCAAAATATGGCGTACTTCTAATTTGCTCGTGGATATGTGCGCTAGTAGTCCATCGGCACTCTGCGTACTCACATGCCCACTATTGCTGTCATAATCGAGCACTGGGTCTATCACCGCGGCTTGCAGTGTTCTAGGACAGTGCAGCACGTACGTCCATGTCGAACTGTCCTTATCGTAGAACGTCTGGGTTGTGGGTGTGTTGGCAGCTACATGCGTACGGAATGGCGGGGTTGGAGTAACTGCAGCAGTACTTTGATGTCTAATACCACCTTTAATCCCACCAGCTACTTTCCAATTATGATTACGTATAATTTTCGCTATCATGGTCGAGTCACTAATCATGTCATCCACCAATAAACTTCTTGGTTGGTTACCATCAAAATTTAACCGAGTTTAATGTTTTAGAGGAGAATGTCAAGCAATCTTTCAAGTTCTCTACTAAGCTCTCACCTCAGCCGCTCACTCAGGAAGCGTACAATGAACATAATACCTTCGTGGTTCGCTGTAACGATGGGGACTGGGATTCTTTCAATCCTGCTATTTAACTCACCTTACCAATTCAATGGCCTGCACGTAATAGCCGGCGTGATATTCGCCATTAACATCATCGTATTTGTTGTGTTACTGATATTTACTATACTCCGATACGCTATTTGGCCATCGCTGCTCCCACTGATGCTCACACACCCCGTCAACCTTTTTTTGGGGACGTTTCCAATGGGATTAGATACGCTGATTACAATGATTGTCAACTCTCTAGTCCCCCGATATGGTTACAACTACGTCTTACTAGCCTATGTGCTGTGGTATATCAGCGTTGCCATTTCAATAATCACCTGTATAGGTATTCCTTTTATTCAGATGAGCAGGCAGAACGTCGAAAATAGACAGATATTCGCGACTGCACTTCTACCCACCGTCAGTACAATAGTCGCAGCGTCTACAGGTGCTTCTGTGGCGAATGTCCTCCCAGACTCACAGGCTAGGATCACTATTGTCATTTCATACATCCTCTTAGGCATGGGACTGCCAATATCCGTACTCCTCATGGCTAATTACAGTTACAGACTTATCCTATTCAAGTTACCCCAGCCTGCTTTCATTAGCTCGACCTTTATCACTATAGGGCCATGCGGGCAGTCTGCATATGCCATCCTCAAGCTGAGCAGCGATGTTAATATGCTTATCTCAAAAACAGGTCTGGTTCCATTCACGGGTGTCAGAGATGAACAAGCTGCGAGACTAGCGGGTATTGCGCTACAAACAGTATCCATTCCGATGGCTTTGTTTATCTGGGGATTCGGCGTGCTTTGGTTCTTCTTCGCTGTGATATCCTTCGCTGATACATGGGCAGCTAAGAAAATACCTTTGAATCTGTCTCTCTGGGCATGCACGTGGGTGTATCCGTTGTCGAAAAAATCCTTGACTTACCTGTCTCAGCTTCCCTATCGGCACGCTGGCCTTGTCTGCTCAAGAGCTGGGCAAGGAGATGGACTCAACAGGGATGAAAGTCGTCGGTACTATCCTGATGATGCTCTTGTTGATAATTTGGCTGCTTCTTTTTCCAGTGACTCTTTACTTCAGCGTCATTAAGGATTCTTGGTTCACTAGCCCGTGTCTGTCGGAAGTCGGTGGCCAGCCGCCTTCATTTGAGGAGGTTGACTTTATCAAGAACCGCAAGTATTGAACGAATATAGATATGTTTTATAGAATCAAAGCCAGGATGAGATTGTATGATGTAATGTATTTAATTTATTTTCCCTAATTTTTTTCACTGTCTTCTTATCGGGTGCTAAGAGGATGGGCAGGAATAAGCTCGATTCTGGCTGGAAAGGACGCCAGCAGAAGCAGTCTGAGGATTAGAAGCCTAACAATGATCTTAAGGGGGGCTATAAGAAGAACTTTAAGAAGGACAATAAGAATGACTCTAACCACTCAAGTAAACACGACAGAGGCTACAAAAACCACAGCAAGTCACATAGAAAGTCATCTGTTTCTCATAAACCAGTCACAGATGCAACCGCAAACGGCCAGGGTCAGTTGCATCCTTCATGAGCAGTCAAGAAAGCACAGGCGGAAACCATAGCAAATGCGCCAACGCGCACCAAAATTACATTCGAATAGACAAACTATAAATACATTTAACTTATTGTGCCTGCATGATACGCGGATTTTGTTGTGATTGGAATGCGCATTCGACTAACGCCATCCTCGTCAGCGGGGGGCAAGCGACCACCTCGAATATTGAACTGAATAGCAGGATGAAGGAGTTTTGGTGTGTTGAGAGAACTATCTTTCTCCATTCTGAATTGAGCAAAGTGGTCCATCTTGA